AGGGATACCTGGCGCAGCATTGATGATGATACTTCGTCGTAAATAACAGTGACCATCACTGGTGCAGGTAGAGGTACAAGGCAGAAATTTACCTCAGATTTGGACATAAGCATAATTTTCATGAATAGCATAATATCGGTGCTCAAATCAGTGTATATCGCAGGCACAGGCGCAGACCTTAGGAAGGATTATAATGTTCGTTGCTTCGTCCATAGTAACCAGTATAGTACAATTCGCTCACGGACTCAAGGCGATACTTATATAACCAGGAATTTACTCGTAATCTCCCTCGCTGACTCCAGGTCACCGCTTAACGCGAATATATTCTGCAGCGCAACGGCTGCTTCGCGCGAGAAGTCCTCCACGAACTGAATCCCAACTTGCCCGGCGTGGTCGGTATCCTCCATTACGACGTCGCTACTGTCCGCTGGGACCGTGTTCATGGTCAGCGGCTGAGAGATCTTACCCTGAGATACCGTCTGAATCTGCTCCCCAAGCGCGAGGACGCGGTGGTACCCTTCGATAGCGAGATGCGCGAGGCCGAGTAGATGCCATACGCGAGCAAAGTTGAACTCCATTTCCTGCCGTTCCTGAAGGAGGCTTCCCTTTCGCTCGCGAACGCGACGGTATTCGTGCATGAATGAGAGGCCCTGCATGATGAGGTAGTGGCGGTTGTCGGACTGACGTTTGAGCGAGTGGTGGATGTAGCAGAGGGCAATGGAGAGGAGGACGGCAGGGTTCTGGTCGTCGAGATCGTATGCGCGGAAAAAGTAGTTGAGAGCTGGGTAGAAACTGTTGCCAGAATATAGGATGTGGCCATATAGCACAAGCAGGGCGACGTCCAGCTGGTCAGCGGGAATGGCTTCGCCTGACTCGTCGCGTGTGGTAAGTGTCGCACGCTCCTTGTAGATTGACTCTCGGACTGCTTTGCTGGGTCTGGAGTCATTGGGGCCATCTGGGATTGAAAAATCCATGGCCTTGATCTGCCGCAGCATGAATTTCATGTTTGGTGAGGAATGGAAGAGAGATCGGTGAGGGTCGCCGCAGAGACGGCTCAACATGGAGAATAAGCGATATGTGTCTGTGACGAACTGATATTCTTTGATGAACCAGCGTGCTTCATTTGCAAGAGTTTCCTCGTCTTGCGCCTTCAGGGCACATGCTGTACGGGTTAGTATACCATCGAGCGAGACCAAGGTGCCAGGGGCAACTTACTGAACCAGCAGACGTGGATCAGGCGAGTGCAGGGTTTCGAGTGATACCAAATACTGGCATCTGCAGCGGCTGCAAGACTATCGTAGGCTTCGTCAGGCTCCCCTTGCCCTGAGACGACAAGAGCGTATTGCAGGAATAAGTCCAGCCACTCGTCGAAGCTGATACCATGGTAGTCGGTTGGTACAGCATCCTGGAGAGGCTCTTCGGTAACTGTGCCTGTTATAAGTGTAAGCTAAGCCGGATTATGTCTTTTCGGAGTGCCCTTTTTTTTTACATACCTAAAGACTCCTGAAGCCGACTTGCCATTTCCTGCATCTCATCCATGAGAGTACGATTTTTATACTTTCCCGCCTTCCTTTGTGCTTCCCTTGAATAACCCAAAAAGACGATGTTGCGTTGGAAAGGATAAAACACCTTATTGGAGCGAAACTCACGTAGCAAAGCATCCGTGATGTCGAGCCAGTCCTCAATCGCTTCGGCATTGCCCTCTTTGACCCTTGGGTGAATATTCAACAGCTTCCCATACAAAAACTGGACAAGCTCTGTCCTTTCTCCCTCTGCTTCTTGGACATTTCTCCTCGTAGCGCTTACAGAAGTAGTGGTAAGCGTCGGAGCCAGTCCTTCAGCATGTTCAGGCGGTACAGCAACTCTCAGACCCTCTAGTTCCGGATCGGTCTCGGTTCTGAACTCCAGCGCGAGTTGTTCCAACCGAGTATCCTTTCTCCGGCGATGAGTTCTGGTTTCCTGTCGCCCAAGCAGGACGGCTTCGTTGACGTACTTCAGCGCTTGTTCGGTCATTCCGATGCTCTCGTACAGCTTTGCGAGCTGTGCACGCGACTCTATGTTTCTTGCATCATAGTCTGCTACCGTAAGATAGCAGTTCTCAGCTTCTTCAATGTTGCCCAACTGCATGAAGCAGTCTCCCATGGCCATGAAATAGCTGATGTCGGCATACTCGGTAGTCTGCTGGATCGGTGTATAATACCGGAGCGCGTCCCCCAGTAAACCAACTTCCTTGAGCGCATCAGCAACCTCGCGGAAGAGGTCGCCATAGTCATAGAGTCTAGCCCCTTCGGAGGTGTCTTCTGGGTTCAACCATGAGAAATGATGCTGTGACGCTGTCAGAAAGATCTGAGATCCACAAGCCACGTTTGCCCTCCGCACTTACCAGAGCTTCGTCTTTGTGATCGTAGCCCATCTTGAGACGAAACAGACCAAGCTTGATCCGAAGTTCAAGCGGAAGGCCCAACCCATATGAATCTCGCGGCCAACGTCCTGGAATATAACCATCGACTTTGATGCGCCTAGGAGAATCGCTTGCATCCCATTCGCGGTCATCTTCGTTGAAATTTTCCCACATGGTATCATCTCGGCGACCAAGAAGCCATCGCGAGACAGACTTAAGAGCTCTTAATCCTTCCTCATATCGGCCTAGATAGCTGAACAATTCGGCGTATATGTTGACGTCGGACCAGGAAAAGTCGGGAGCATCTTCCGGCTCAAAGGACTTGTAGTACTCAACACTGTCCGTCCACTGATCTACAGCCTTCTGAACTTCGTTGAGATCAATGTAGGCTTCTGCCAAATTTCGCAGAGCCCTTGGATGGTGCGGAACCTCTTTGAGGATTCTTTCGTATTCCGTGACAGCCCGGCCGTTATGGCCCAACTCTCGATAGACTGCAGCTCTTTGAAACCTCGCATTGTAGTTCTTGGGTTCAATGTCAATGACACGACTCAGGCAATAGATGACATCGTTCAAGGCTGCAGGACGATCATCACCAGCTCGATCAAGTATCATTTGCGCTACTTTGAACCATACCGATGCATCCCTCGGTCGCGTATGAGCGCCGCTGAACAGCGCCGTTAGAGCTTTGTCCTTCTGACCCTGCGCTAGAAAGATCTCCGACAGCAGCGAGTGGGCAGCAAACATCTCAGGGTTGATGTGGATTGCACGCTTCACAAGATCAATGGCGGTTTCATAATCGCCATCGATAAAGGCCGAGGTAGCCTCCGAGTGCAGCATCTTGAATTCCGCACTGGGCTCCAGTGGCTTACGAGGCCCTCTCTTAATTCCTTTCCCACCACGGGCGCCCCATCGTCCAGAAAAAGGCCCCGTGCCTCTTCTGCGGCGTCGTCTCCGACCGACCGAACCATCATCGCCTTCCTCTGCAGCATTCTCGTCTACGTCTGAAGGCTCCTCTTCGCTAGAAAACGTCAGTGATCAGGGACAATTCAATTTCGGATGAACAAACTGACGTTGAAGATTCTTCTGCTGAAAATTCATAAGTGGAGTCCTCCGCCGAGCCATCCATTTGCGAATACTCCTGTGCATCCTCCTCGTCCTCGTACTCCATAGCTTGCTGGCCAGGTAGCTGGGAGGTGCTCCGTGAGAACAGATCCTTGTAAAGGCGAGGATCAATTACGGAGTGGAGTGAGGATTCGCCCGCGACGGCTGGCTGAGTACCTTGCCAAGGGTACTGCATTGTCTCATCAATGTCAGGATAGGCGGACTCCTGAGATTGATGGGGACGACCGGACCCATTTTCATCGCCGGGATATTCCATCTTCAAAGTGTCCAATATGAACTATCCACCTGGATCTATGACGTTGCAGAGAAAATCAGATGAATCGCAGTCCATGAACGCAGGAGAGTAGTGCTGATAAGCTCAGAGATGACCAGGTGCAGATTCACACAAGCATACAGAGTACGAATGTATCACCAGGGGTAGAGTAGACTGATCCAGCATCACAAGGAGGTCTCGGAGCAACTCAACTGCAATGCTGGATGCATCTGATGGCATGTATCCAATTGAGCAGAGTAGAGTACTGTCCCCAGTCTCCACATTCATTCAAGGCGCGTCAGACTCGTTTCAACGCAGACAATGCTGGTTGGTTTCCACGAGGCTGATTCAAAAGAGGATAAAAGGAAAGACATAAAGGATCCTCATGAGCTTAATTCATAGCAACAGATCCCCACTATCTATAGCATGCGAGCTGCTAACAGCAAGCGAGCGGTCTGATTGGGCAGGAGATTCCTCGGACTTCACCAGACTGATGAAACCACAGTAGTGTAGATGATGAAGTTCCGTGAAGAAGATACAAAGTAAAGCTCAAAGAGATGAAAGAAATTCTGGATAGTCCAAGGATCACAGCAGAAGTGATGGAAGCTTCTTTTACGTTGTCCTGGGTGTTGGACTAGCAGATGGCTGACCCAAGGAAAAAAGGCGACCAAAAGTGCCCAACCGGAAAAAGCCTCGACTGTCTCCTCAAACTGGAAACTCTTCTTCCTCTTCCTCTTCCTTTCTTCCTCTTCTTCTTTTCCTCCATCTCTCTCCTTCTTCCATCCCTCGTCCATCCTCCATCATCTCTAATCTCCTCCCTCTCCCTTTCACCCTCTTCGTCCTTTTCTCACTTTCCTTTTTTCTTTTCCTTTGATGATTCAGGTCTCTGCGTGTTGTGTTTGACACACTATTGCAGTTGGTCCTGACATCCTTTCGTTAAAAAAAGAGACAAAAATATACCACGCGAAAAAAAAGAAACTAAAAAGGTGGCCTACCACTACCAAATCGCCACTGATAAGACTCTCTGTCCGCTACGCCTTGCACAACTCCTATCGACGACGATATTCCCGACGCGAGCTCTCACGTATCCTTGAACAAAATCCTCCGATACCCTTTCGGTTCGATCTGTAATCGGCAGAGTCTCGAATCAAGTAGTGCAGCCACTGGCTTGGTCTGTGCCCCGATCGTTGTCGCCTAGAGCTATCTCGGTTGGGTTTCTTCGCCATTGCAAATACCTGTCTCCATCCTTAGAGAGATTCTCGGCCCTTACCTTCTGTTGTATTGTGATACGGCCTCTTTTCCGTTGTCGTTCAAGTCTGGAGTTTCTTTCTCGCGCAAACTCAGCAGGTACTGCAGGTATTTTGCAGGAATACTCCTTCTTCACGCACCAGTGCTGTAACAGCTCAACGAAACAGAATTACACTATCACCGTCATTCGATTGCCCTCATGGCTAGCCACATCATCGGCAACCGTAACAGCACTCCGGACGCCTCCAAGTCGTCCCTTCGTCCTCCGTCGTCTTCTCGGAACCTAGGTTCTCACCAGCTACGCGCGTCGGCCGATATGTCTGGCTTCCCGTCTCCGCTGTCGTCTCGCAGCATCCGCCCGTCGTCGGAAGTGTACTATAACCAGCAGTCTCAGGCTCAGAACAATGCGGAGGATCCTTTGGATCGTGCAGCTCAGCAGTGGCTCGCCGATATTGATCAATACGAGACTACTCTGGAGGAGATGGCGGCTGCTACGCTTGACCAGGACTTCAAGGACGAGCTGAGTGCTATCGAACAATGGTTCCGCGTCCTCAGTGAGGCCGAGAGAACCGCCGCTCTTTATGCTCTGCTGCAGCAGACTACGCAGGTGCAGATCCGATTCTTCATTCAGGTGCTGCAGCAGATGGCCAAAAGTCACCCAATGTCGGGCCTCTTGTCACCTGCCAATTTTGGTGAGAAGGGTATGTAGGCAGCTAAAACCGTATCCTAGGCTTGCGGCTGATTTGTTCTTTAGACGCGATGTCCAACAGGTTGAATGATGCGATGTCAAAGTTGAACATTGACAGCTCCCGCAACTCCTTGGGTCGCCCTCCGCCGTCCCCTGGTGCCAAGCGCAACTCGGGTCTGGACTCTTCGACCATTAATGCCATGTTCCCCGATGCCGCCGCGGCCATCGCCAAGAAGAAGGCCGAGTTCACGCAGCAAACTGGCAACGCTCCGCCTTCCAACCGCAATAGCGCTGTTTATGGCGACCGCTCCTCGTTTGTTGCACCGACCATCTCCGCTCCGGACAACACAGACAACCTGGGTCAGACTCCCGCTTCGCCATGGGCTCAACGAGGTAATGAGCCTCAGCCGCCTATTGCCCGACCCAAGTCTTCATCCGGTCAGCAGCCGATGGGACAGTTCAGCCAGGCCTCGTCGGGCCTGCGTTCTCCGCTACCCACACAGACGGCCACCATCCCGGCTCCTGAGATCGAGGCACCCCTACTGTCGCCGTACAATGTTGGAAATGCCAGCTGGGCCTCCATGACCAACACTCCGATGACAGCGACCTTTGGTCAGCAGGTGCACCAGCCGCCGAACTCGCAGGCGGATATGGTCGCGAATGCCACCGCGATGAAGCTGGCCGCTTTGTCGACGGTCAACAACCGCATCGCACTGGATGATGCGCGCAAGTACCGCCGTGCTCGCTCAAACGATGGACAGGGCAGATCTTCCAACGCCAATGTCAACCAGACCATGCAAGGCGGTCTTGCAAGCCCCGGCCTTCCGGGAGCGAATCATCTAGTTGCCGGACAGCTTTTGAACGCCCAACAGCTAGCCGCGTTGCAAGCTCAACAGCAGGCGGCGATGGCGGGTCGACGGTCCCGCCCCACCTCCCCAGGCATTGCCATGCAGGGAGGCGCGCTTGGAGCGATGGGCTTCACCTCACCGCAAAACAATGGCTTCCTGGCGGCTTATGACCCCAACAATCCGTTACTGGGTAATGGATTGGGTGCTCTGGGTCTCAGCCAGTTTGGGCTCGGCGGTCATGAGGGCTACCTCTCTGATCATTCCGAAGTCACTCGTGGCCGCTCTCCCCGGGGTCGCCGTGGCAGCTCCAAGCCGCCCGAGGATCCCACCGACCCGAATCTTCTGAAGGATATTCCCAGCTGGCTGAGATCTCTTCGCTTGCACAAGTACACGGATAACCTTAAGGATCTCAAATGGACCGAGCTGATTGAGCTCGACGACAAGGCTCTGGAGGATCGTGGTGTCAACGCTCTTGGCGCCCGGAACAAGATGCTCAAGGTTTGTCTCGCTCAACCCTTGAATTTACGGGATGTATTTTGCTGACGATCACAGGTGTTTGAGCAAGTCAAGGAGGCCAAGTCCGAAGGAAAACTCGACAACGTTGCGTGATGACACGGATTTACTTCTGTCATTTCTTTTTCATTCTAACATTCTCTCAACTGCATTAATTTGACTAGATTGACCTTGGCATAAGTGGCAGGATCCGACCTATGAGCGATCTCTTTGGAATGAGCTTTGGAAGGAGAGATGTATGTACTTTTTGTGACGTGCTTTTTGGCTTTACGCAGCCGATCAACGGATCAACAGGGCGTGCAGCATTTGAGAGGCCCGGTTGTGTCTCAAGTGCTGGCGATGTCTGGAAACGGGTTATGAAAGCAACAGGTCTGTCTGACCAGGATGTGCAGTGTTTGATTTACTACTGTTATGTTATGCACATAATCAATTAATATGACATGATTAAGCAGTCTAAGTGTAACGTAATGGAGTGTGTGTAGTCAATTTCCTTAATCTGCAGTTAGTACGTAGGTAGGTAGATGAGGTAACAAGCATTATGATTGGCTGATGGAGCTCTTCGACAGCGGTGAACTCGTCAACCTCCGTCTATCCACTTACCATAATCCCCACCACTGAAGAGAGGTACATCACTTTCAAACACTCACTCATTACCATATTATATCCATCATTATCAAGATCCACAGCCAATAACATACAACACAAACTAGATTGACACCACACACAGAACTACACCTTGAAAGAAAGAAAGAACCAGAACCAGAACAGACAATGCCTGCCACGAAACAGGAACTCTCGCTGCTAATCAACCCGCTCGTCCCGGAGTCCGTCCAACACAATAACCGAGTTAGACCCCTTTTCCACCCTTGAGTTGAATGAGTATTGACAGAAATAGGTCCTCTCCCAACTCCACTCCCTCACCTCCTTCCTCCTAGGCCTCACAGCCGGCATCCTCGCGCTGCAATCAGCAACCGGCTTCGCGTTCTATCTCCTCGGGACGGTGCTCGTGTCGGGGTTGTTTCATCTGCTTGTTCTCAGACGGAGTGGTGGGAAGGGCGCTGGTGTTTTCTTTCCCGGTGTTGGGGGGAGATTGCTGGGATTGATAGTCGGGGCTGGTTAAGGGAATGGGGGAGGAGAGGCGCGTGGAGGGATGTGTGGCTTGGGGCGGGGTGCTTGGGGAGGCGCTCTCGGGGTTTATTCTGGGGTGGGCGGGTGTTGGGGGGTTTTGAGGTGATGTCAGTCTTTTTTTTTGGATTCCATTGGATTGGATTGGATAAGGCTTGGATAGAGATGTGTTGTGGGGATAGAACTTGGATGAGGGGTGTATTATTATTATATTCTACGTCTCTATAAGAAGGATTCTATGGTATGCTGCTCTATGCTATGCTATGCTTGGCTCTGAGGGAGAGGATGGAGTTCGGTCTCCTCTTCGTGCCTTGGCTTGGGCTTGTTGGTGTGTTGGTATGCGGTTATATTGCCCTGTCTCTGTTAGTTTACTGTTATGACGGGCGATGAGAAAGGGTGTCAGAGAAAAAGGGAAGAGGAATACCGTTAGCAATGCCCACAGGTACGGAACGTATATGACCACGCTGTGGCCTCCCTCGTCTGCTCCTTCGCTCCCGGTCCCGGCCCGCTTCTGACGCTGACGCGAACGCTCCGGCTTGATCCATACATTACCCATGACCAATCCGGTGGCCAGACTCAACCCGATGACCGGCATGATAGCAATAAACGCCCACATAATTGCCTCCTTGCCCGCCGTTCGGATAGCCTCCTGCTCCGGACCGGGCAGACCAGCAATATACTCCAACGAAGCCCCGTCGTGCACGTCCAGCCCGTCCATACCGCTGCTCCCGCTGCTCTTGCTCGAAAGCCGATTGTTGAAGACGCTTCCCATAATCGTCAGCCCCAGCGTCCCGCCAAACGGCAGCGCAAATCGCATCAGCGACATCGCCGGGGCGATCTTCTCGGGCCACACGCCTGCCGTGTGCAGGTTCACGGGCATGAGACGGAGCCCCGTGCCTGCGCCCGCGAGGACCATCATCCCGTTTATGAGGGCGGTGTTTTGCGTGCTGATGGCCCAGATGAGGAGGGCGAAGCCGGTGGTTTCGGCGATGGTGCCCGTGTTGATGGCGAAGAAGGTCTGGGCGGGGTAGACGTTGCAGAGGTAGACGGCAAGGTAGACGCCGGCTTTGTCTGTTAGCTTGTCCAAAGAGATAGAGTTGGGGGGGGCGGGGCCATGAGACAATACCTCCTAATCCTGGAATGTAGTAGAGCAGGTTGATGCCTGCTTTCGAGGCAGGATAGGCTTCGACTAAGGTGAAATATATACCGATGAAGTAGAAGACGGAGTACATAGCTGCAATGCCAGCGTCAGTACCTCTTGGCCAAAGAAGCAAAAGATGATATCAGTACCTGCTCCACTGGAAAACTCCAAAACCGCAAGCCAAATCGTATCGCGTCTGGCGAACATGCTATACGGCAGCATGGGTACCTGCTTTGGGAACATCCGAGCAAACAATCTGCCCGGCTCGAGGAAGTACTCGTACACGAAGAACAGCACAAAGCATGCACCTCCCACAATTAGTGGCACTAGAACCTCGGGGGAAGACCAGGGATACGTCGGCCCTCCCCAGGCCGTGCCCAGGATGATGAGGCCGACGCCGAAGATGAACAGGACTGTCCCGACGATGTCCAGCGTTGCCAGGGCCGGAAGCACGGCAGACGACCGCGAGCCTTTTTTGAAGACAGTTCCTTCCACGAGCTCATTGCGTAGGAGGACGAAGATCACGATATGCGATATGAAAGCAATCTGAAGTATATAGTTAGTACATCATTAGCCTCAAGACTTCCAAGATCCTGCGGTCTACGACCAGACTTACCGGTATGGGCACCAGAAAGCAGTACCTCCAATTACTCTTATTCTCATCAGTCAGACGCCCAAAAGACCAAGTATCAGACTTACATCAGTCAAGTACCTGCGCATCACCGTTAGCATCACCACGATGAGGAATCTCCAAGAACTTACCCCCAACAACCGGCCCAACCCCGTACCCTAACCCCCCACAAACACAAAAATCGAATTATTCCTGGCATTTTCTCTCAGCGAAACCCGATCCGCCAGAACGATCATAATGATATTCATAATCCCTGCCGAGCTCGTCCCCTGCAGCGCCCTACCCAGCAACAGCATCCCCCAGCTCTGCGCCGCCGCGCACAGCGTACTCCCCACCAGCATCAGGAACATGGCGAGCTGAAGCACCGCATGCCGACCGAAGACGTCGGCAAGCTGGCCGAAGATCGGGATGAATGTTGTGGATGTTAGTGTGAACGCGGTGACGATCCAGTTGAGTTCGTCGAATCTGTCTGCTAACGGTGAGTACTTTTTGTGAAAGTGAGTGTGAGGACTACGGGAGAACGCACTGAAATGGGATGCTATGGAGGGGACGGCCGTGGCGACGATCGTGAGATCTAGAGTGCTCAGGATATATGGGAGTGTTAGACCACAGATGAGTTTCCATCTGTAGATGCGGTCGTGGCGTCGCTGCTGTTGGCAGAGGTGGCATGGCGCGTCTTCTGGACCTGGTGCGGACTGAGGGAGTATGTGCTGGTCCTCTGTCTTTATCGAGGCTCGCTCCGTAGACAAGCCATCGTCTGCTGCAGGAGCAGACTGGCTCGATTGTAAGCGGTGTTGGCAGAGCGGCTTTTCCTCTCCGCCAGACTTGGACTGTGTCCGTGTCTTGTTGTAGATGTACTTGGTGGCTGCGAACATCGGAGTGCAAGCGCAGTCGGTCTATGCCGATCTGTATCAAGAGAAATAGAAGGTGATATGATGAACAAGTAAGCAGAGGCCATCCATCATTTTATAGAAGAGCGCCTCTGGTGTCTCTGTCACCGGAGCCATTCCCTCGTGGTGCTTGGTTTCCCAAAGAGGCAACTCTCGTATTCGAAAGTTGAAGCCTGGATAAGCGTCAGCCACACGGACAACCGAGTACGTATATCTAACCACTAATCGGGCACCTTTAATCTTCTCGAATCGGACTGGGCTGTGCGGATCGATGAGAATCTTAGCGTACTTAAGTGTCCCCTATCCCGGTACTAGGGCTACCGCACTGCCACAATCACGTTCAGCCGCAAATATTAGAAAAATAGGGAAAGTTTGACCTCTCTAGAGATAATTTCTCCATTGCCATGATATTATATCCAAATATCCAAATATCCAATGGCTCTATGACTATATACAAAGCCAGGCTGTAGGGGTATACCTCGGGATATCCATCCCGACAAACTGAACTCGCTGATAATCAAGAAACAGAAAATGCGCACCATTAGATCAAAATCCATATATAGCTGCACGGCATTCAACTCCAACCAGGGAGGCATTTCAAGCATCAGTCGTGGCATTCACCTCGGCAGGATCAATATGAAGGTCCGGCGCCGAGTTGGCCAATGCACTCTGCAGTGCACTGGTAAGGTCGATATGGAAGAACGGCCGGTTCAGACCATGGACGAGCGCCACTTTACGGCGGTTCCGGTACGCCTTGCTTTCCGTCAGATCGCGCTGCAGTTTATCGTCATCAGTACTGCTGCTGTCGGATGGGGTTTCAATGCCGTGGGTTTCGCGCTCCCTTGCGTGCGAGTTGTCCTTGAGACCCTCTTCGATGTCACCGTGCTTCTGCTCCGCCTTGTGGGCCTGCTGGTTGTTCACGAGCTCGGCGAGCGCGGCGGCGGAGGCACTGCCCTCGATTTCCGCAACACTGAAAATAGGCTTCCATCTGTGGAATCCGTCTTCAGAGGTTGGAGTCGGGTAGCCGAAACCGGCAGCAGCCAGGGCTCGCTTGGTCCAGCGGTTGTTGATGTGGGCGAAATGCCACTGCACGGACTGCGGAGCGGCATAGTGATCCAATTGGTTGCGCACATCGATCAGATTCTGTACGGACGTCACATCCACGTTATTGACGGACGAGAAATCAAGAATGACCGCGCGGAGAGTCGGCAGATGCGACCGGTCTTCTGCTTCCTTTCCACGGCGAGGACCAGGGTTGTTCCATGGCCGATCGCCAAGCTTGCTGTAGGAGAAGGGATTCGTACGACGGGTCTGTTGGAAGATTGTCTGGACAAGGTAGTCGGTGTAGTGGTTGCAGTTGGGGTAGTTGAATCCCTCGGAGAATCTGTAGATAAAGATGCCGGGATACGGCTGCTGCACTTCGACCTCAGGGTTGGTTCCATCGGCGTGGTCGATAGGGAGGAAGATAGAGCGTTGCAAATTGCCCTTGCCATCGGCGGGAGTATATCCGTTGGCCGGTCCATACTTGCCATCACCTTGCACAAGATGGTCACCGATGACCGAATGAATGGTCACCCTTCCCAAGAATTGGCCGCGAGCTTTGGCAACACGGAACAGCAGAACGGCGGCGGAGACAGCGACAGTGCAGTAGATTCCATCCTCGATGGAGGTGAACACGGTGACAAACACACCGATAAAGAAGATGATCGCATCCAAGGGAGAGACGCGCCAAAACTGGTAGACGGTGTTTGGCGGGGTAATGAGATCGCCTACCGCGTGGATGATAACACCCGCGAGGGATGCCTTGGGGATGTAAAAGAACATAGCCGGCAAGGCGTAGATGGCAAGCAGCACGACGACTGCGGTAATGCAGCCAGCCAGGGGAGTTCGCACTCCCGCCTTGGACTTGATGGCAGTTCGGGAAAAGGATCCGGTGGCAGGGTAGGCACCCAAGAACGGGCCCAGCAGGTTTGTAACACCAATCGCAACCAGCTCCTGAGATGGGTCTATGGTATAGTTGTTGACACGGCCGAAGGACTTGGAGATGGCAATGTGCTCAATCAAAAGGACGATGACCGCGGCTGGGAGTTCACCGGCAAACGTTTTAATGATTCTGGCGTTGACGGTCGGGACGGCGGCATGCTGAAAGCCTCGGGGAACAGTTCCTAGAAGCTTAAATGCAGGGTGCTGCCTGCGATGAATGTTCACCGCGGCGCTGATCATCGTGTAGAATAGGATCACGAAGACAGTACGCAGCGTAGACAGGAAGAAGAAGGTCTTGGCGCGCTGAGGGTATCGCTTTGCGCCGTAACTACAGGCAGAGCGGATGATATAAAGCATGGCCAAGGCACTGACACCCATCGCCGCATCAAGCCCGGCACTGGGAAGGTGCTTGAGAGTGTTGATGATGATCTTGTAAGTGGCATCTCGGGTACTGAAGGTGGCAGTCTCGCCTAGAAGGTCTTTGACCTGACCGGAGCAGATATTGAGGGCTGATCCGGTCATGAAGGCAGAAATTGCAGGAAGGGGGATAAAGTCGACAATGAAACCGAGACGGAGGAGACCCATAGCGCAGACGATCCCACCACAGATGATAGCCATGGCTGATGCGATGACATACGGCGGGACATCCGGGATCTCTTTCTGAGCTTTGAGGACGATGGTTCCAACCAGGGTGGACATAACCGCAACGGGCTAAAGCAATGTTAGCATACCTATCTGCGGAGAGAATAAAAGGCAGTGTTACTAACCCCAATGGTAATATCCTTGGAAGTAGCAAAGAACCAGTAGATCAAGACACCCATAAAAGAGGAATAGAGACCGAATTCAACGGGCAAGGCAGCAAGTTTCGCGTACGCCATGCCCTGAGGAATGACCACAGCTCCGACAGTCACACCTGAAACTCGATTAGACAGAAGCATAGGGTTGAGAAGCAAGCAGGGATTACTGACCAGCAACCATGTCTCCCAGAAACCATTGCAAATTGTACCTCGTGATCCAAGTCAAGAATGGGAAAAGTCTGTAAAAGTAGTGGCCGACATCCTGCCAAGTTGGGCAGAGCTCTTTGAGCCATTCGGCCGAGGTGGGCTCGGGTTCGACGTAGGAATAAGTATCCACGGTGCCAACGGAGAACATGGACTCGCCCCGGGTCACTGGGTCAGCATTGGCACCCAGAGGGTCGCGGTAGGGAAGCTTGATCCTCAAGCCTTTGGCCAGCCCGTGGCCAATCTTGGTCTTAAGGTCGGCAGACATAATGATTGTGTAGGTAGACAAGCGTTCGAATAGACCAGGAGATGTCTGGAGGACAGGGTATAGTGTGCCGCGACCTCAGCAGGGCTCGACGAGGGACGTTCGGCGATGTAGAGACCTTCAGATCAGGAGACAGATAGGTGTGACACAAGACTAGATTGACTCGGGTGGTGTGCTGATGAGTGTATTCAAGCAGACTCCATGGCGTCGATGGTAGATATATAAAAAAATGAAAAAGGTGAAGATCTAGAAAAGCCAAGACCGATGTCGTGATCCGGAGATGAGAATGCGAATTGCTAACTATCCGCAATGGAAAAGCCCCCAAAGCCTAAAGCTCAAGGTGATACTGACCAGACTGATCAAAAGGCAACCAATCTGAACAAGCAATCGATGGAAATAAAATGATAGAGACGTGGGGGAGCTAGGTTCTGCGGTTTACAAAACAAGGAATCGTAGTGTGGCTTTTGGGAGAGATCCAGCCGGGGAACGTCTTCTGGCCAGCGGAGGCGTTCGAACACGAAGGAGGAAAAAGCAAGTGGAAGTCAGGTAGAGGAGAGGTAGACAGAGGAAGGGATGAAGATGGTTTAAAGCAGAAGAGCAAAAAGAAATAGGTGGAGAGTTGCGTTGACGCCGTCAAGATGTAGATCACTCATTGGGGGCGGTTGATGGAGATTCGAGAACAGGTGAGAAAATCATTAATAATGACACGATTACTTTTCCAGCTTTTCAAAGCAAGTCATGCTATCTCGGCTCTTTGAACAAGCAAATAAGAATATTTATGGATACTTTTTTTAAACTAGATATTTTATGTACTCCATACCGAGATACGGAGGAGATATCTTACGTACCTTGAAAATTAAGCCAAGAGCGCACGGCGACATGGGAAACCATGAGACCCACATTGATCGCCGGCGAACGCAAGACGTAGATACTTGTACCTCTGAAAGAGTGAGAAAAAAGCGCTAAGGAAGTAATCAGGCTCGAGTTTCGAAATTATCAATGCATCAATCGGGAAAAATGCGTCTGAACCCGGTTGATTTTAGCTGAACAGGCCACCCAAGGTTATTTCCCGGAGAGACAAGGGAAATCTCTGTTTGGGAACTGAAAGGCCTGGAAGCAGTTCAGCACTAGTATCTAGAGAATGATAGATACTTGCAAGATGACGACGGGCGGGTCCATGGTTTGCCATCAGAGCTGCATCTAAAGGACGATGATTATCTCCGCTGTATTTACGCTCTTGAAGGAATATTCTGAGTTTATCCAATGAACTTAAGAGTCCGAGAATTATACTCCGTAATTGTTCTCCGTTACTGTACCAGCCTGTTACAACCTAAAAAATCTCAATCATCTAGGTGCTCAGTAGGATCTCCTAACTCCAAGATACCGAAGCAGAAGGCGTTTAATGCCAAGGATAAGTGGGGACTAACGGCAGACTCTCCAGACTTGTGGGCCTCACCGCTTTAAGTTACAACCAATCACGACTGATATGGGCACACCAGCAACATCATCCGCGCAGATTCCTCCATACCCCACCAACCTTAACCGCCAATAGGGATTCCGGCAGAACACGCCATCGCCTGCATTGATGGTGAAAGCTCCTACCGGCTTGGAAGGTCCACGTGTGCCGTGCGAGCATTCCTGAGGACATAACGTTAAAACAGTGTACCGGCTGACTAAGGTGTCGGCGCTAACTTAACTGTTCAAGAAGCGTAATCTCGGAAGTCTCAATGTTTCAAGTTTAATTGAGAATAGTAACATGTAAATCCAAATAAAAATATACTCTGAAGAAAATGAACTTGAAGGAGAATTCAAGGCTGAAGCATATAGAACTGTGGGATAGTCACAAGGAGATTGATAACTCGCCATCGACAGCATCTTCACTGTCAGCTGTCAGCACTCTGCACTCTGCAGTTGCTTTAACCTACCGATGCTTTGAGCTCTGAGATCAGATCATTCGCATATGCAGATTGCAGGCTCTAATCCTATTTAGCAACATGTGGCTTGAACTCTCGGCGACGAACCTCGTTCGGTCTTGCTGCAGCTCAACTCGTCCAAGCTCCGTCCTCCGACAGGTCAGTGATCTACTTACAGGGCAAAGACCGCATGAACTCTCCATAAGACATAGATAGTCAGCAACGCCTCAATAATCAAATTGAAGCACGTTGGCTAGTTAAGTAAGCTTGCTCAAAATGATCATTTTCAGTGGAGGAGACTGATCCAGCCCCAAACTTCTGAAGGACTGTTATGAATACTGACATGTCTGGATCATCCAGTTCAGCTCCCAAAGTCGCCAATCACGGATGATTGTGATAGCTCCAATCCAAATGTAATTCGAATAACGCAGGTAACTGCGGATAATCCAATAATTCTGAGTTTCCCAGAGTCAGACAGCACCCAGACGCACCCCAGAGTTATAATCCTGGTCGTCCCCACTCTGACACCATCGAGATCAAAATCGCATCATCTCCATCTTATCACAGTGCAGCATTTGACAACTCCTATTTGAATCAAGCTATCCCGTCAAGGAATTCTGCGACAATCTGGAAAGAGGCCCAATCGCCCTAAACACTAATCTCTTCACTACGTGGCGGCCTACCTAGGTGCGAGACTGGTCACATCAACCTGGCCACCAACTTCAAAGCTGGATGGCTGTTTATCATACTTGGCAACCGCCGACGAAGTCATTCTACCCGCAGCGGATTGGGAGATATTGCGTTGCCACTAAATCCCAAAAGTCTGACGCCCCGGGCTCGTGGCTTACTCCGTCTTAGCTCCTGTCACACAGCAGAGAGGAGTCGCCGCATGACTTGACTGCTCCTGTAGCTAGAAGGCTTGCAATGATCGCTTCGAGGTACAGCCCCTCGCTTCTCATGAAAGGGGCGAGCTCTGTTCCACGAAAACGAGACTATTGCTCGTTTACTTTTCCCTGGCTTGAACTGAAAGCACCAACCAACTGTGTCGGATGTGTGAGAAACAAGTAACCGCAAGCGAGACCATGTGGAATCTAGGCAGCATGTGCTCTGATACCGCAGATCAGAACCCAAGCCCACGGATTGCCTAGTGCTATCGTCCCGAGAAATATTTGCCTTACATGAAAGTCTTACAGCACTACTTCCCCCACAGTACTTTGTTGCATCAGGGGCGATCTGAGCGGTTTTGTCCATGTGGCAAGCTGCAGGGTTGCATCGTCCTTGTCGATCCAGTGAGACATCGAAGTGCTCACCAGGAAGCATGTTTAAGGCAACCAGGTACATAGGTGGAGTGCAGTTTGCTTGTCTTTCTATCATGGTCAGCGTAAAGCATGTCCAAGTTAAACCTATGTGCTTGGTCAAGCGACCACACTCACGGCGCTACCATGAGTTTGATCAATCGTCGAGTCCGGATACTGACGTCTAAATGTGCTCTTGCTTATCGTCGAGCCACCTTGGCCCAGAGGCAGTCAAACGACCCCGTCCCGACTGCAACAATCTAGCTATCAATCGAGAGAAGTTACTCTTCCTTTCTACCTCAAACAAGACCTAGGCTTGTCTACTCCATTGCAAAAAAAAAGTTCACGCCTCTCAAAATCTCGTTATTCTACCTTCGAACTGCCTGCATCCTTGAGAACCAACCTCGTCGCTTCCGTCAAACCTGGATTCCGACCCTAAAATCATACCTATCGGCCTTCCCTTTCCAGGCTATCCTTGATAATCGATCATATCCTACCTCCGTTCCAACAGCAAACCTCTACGCAATGCGTTCAGAACGCAAGGTAAGTAGCTCCTTAGGCGTCATGTGCATGCACCGCTGCCAGGTATACTACTTCCAAGTTGTAGAGTAATGTCCAACGACGATAGGCGTAATGGTTGACTGAAATCAGTCAATGAGTGGAGTTTTGAGGGTCAATGTTTCATCGTTTCCCATTTGGCAGTACTCTTAGGAGGACCTGAGCGAAAGCCGAGCTATGATTGCGCGGGACTATCAAATGGGCGAGTATTGTGCAGAAAGAAGATCGCGAGAGGCCAAGACTACGGCGTACGGTGGAACAGATATTCTTGAAGTTCAATGCCCAATCCGCATTCAAGTCTATAGATGTGAAAGGATCCCACGGTACTCAAGTGAGCCGAAGCAACCGAGTCTTCGATGAAACAACATCATTCATCACCTCATCAAAGTCAATGCTTCATCCCACAAAACAGAAAGGAAATCCTATGCAAGGGAATCTGAAGTATGATGAAAAAATCAAACGAAAAAGAGATTTCTCCATTGTCATCTCCCAGGTCTTCAGAGCGAACGCCACCGCAAAGCAAATCATTAAAGTCAGAAACACAAAGGAACCGAATTGTACCAGGGACGGCTCCCCCACATGGTATCATAAGGGACTCGCGTAAGTGCACCAGCACACATCAACTATATTAGCCACAACCATCTTCCCCAATGCCTTTTACTGCGAAGCACACTGCACACGCTCTGCGCCAGGAGGAACATCATCGTCGTCCTCGTCCATGGCGCTGGCGGCGCCGTGAGCGCGTCTTTGAGAGCCCTCGCTGGCGTCAATGTCCTCCACTTCGAAATCCTCAACCATCGAATCAGCCGGAGGCTGAGGCTGCTCCATACGAGGTGGCAGGACCTTCTCCAGGAGATCGAGGTTCTGGAGCTGATCCTTCTCAGGGAACTTGACATCGAATTGGATGTACAGGTTACCAAAGTCGTGGTGGCGGTAAGAGGGCATACCCTGGCCCTTGATCACCTTGATGGCACCTAGAGGAGCTATTAGCTACAGCGACTCAACCAGACGAAGAATAAGTAAACAAAAAACATACCAGGAGTGACAACCTCGCCAGCAGCGATGTTGACAGTCAACCACCGGTCATCAAGGTGCTCGATGTTGACAGAACCGCCGGCAAGAGCAGTCAGGAGGTCGATTTCAGCGTGGTAAAACAGATCGTCATCCTTGCGCTGGAAACGGGGATGAGGCTTCTGCTCAATCTCAAATACGACATCACCCGGTAGGACGCCAGGCATCTGGTCACCCTCGCCGCGGAACTCGATCTTGTGGCCGTTCTTGACACCCTTGTCGACGTGGACATGGAGCACCTTGCGCTCCACAACGGTCTTCTTACCATTGCAGCGCTTGCAACGGTCCTTCTCGCGGATGATCTCTCCCTCTCCGCTGCAGTCGGGACAAACAGTCTGGAACCGCTGGATCATGGGGCCCATCTGGCGCATCATCGTCTTCATACCGGAACCATTGCAGCCAGTGCAGGACTTGACCGCGCCTTCCTTACCACCACGGCCGTCACATCCGGGGCAAATGACCGACTTCTGCAACGCCAATTTTGAGACCTTGCCACGGTAGATATCCTCCAGGCTGACTTTGTGTACGTGGTGAATGGTACGGGCCTTCTTGGGGCCTTGCTCCCGCATGCCACCGCCGAACATACCGCCGAACGCACCACCGCCGCCGAAGAACTGAGCGAAGAGATCCTCGGCACCCATTCCTGGACCACCAGCACCGCCTTCAAGACCTTCTTCACCATATTGATCGTAAATCTGACGCTTCTGAGGATCCGAAAGAATTTCATAGGCACGGGACATTTCCTTGAACTTTTCGGCGGCTTCTGGGTTGTTTGCATTCTTGTCTATACAACGTCCTGTTAGACTCCAGATCCATCCATCGCGAATATCATCGGTAATCACATACCAGGATGGTATTTGAGTGCACCCTTCTTGTAGGCGCTCTTCAGCTGAGCCTCAGAGGCTGTGTCGGGTACCTGACAATTAAACCGTCAATTCAATCCTTATATTTAAATATTTTAAGTCCGACACTTACCCCCAGGGTATCATAGAGCTTAGTGTCCTTGACCATTGTGATATGAGTCTAAAATGAGACTTGTTTGGAAAGATAGAACTAGTAACAAGAAAAACTTTTCGTCTAAGAAAAGACTGTCCGAAATCTGGATGGGTAGGCAAAGTGGAGGAGAAGAGAGGAGAGGAGAGGCGTAGGAGAGGCGTAAGAGATATCGACCGGATAGTCAAAAATCGAATTCAGAGGATTTAGGGTCGAACTGAGGTTGAGAGAAAGACTCTGGAGGTCTGACCCTTTCCAGATTATCAAGACAGGAGCGGCGACAGGCGGCTGTTCAGGCTGGAACCGTAAACTTCTGAAATCTGATTACCAGGGCAGGCACCAAAGAACCACTTTTCTATGCGAAAGATGTTCTCTGATACGCCAGGTGTTTTCAAGATCTGCGTATCTAAAAACGGAGATACGATATATTGAAACTCCGAGGAAGTCGACAGGAAGGGATGAAGGGTATATCTAGTCCGTACGAGTCGCCTTAAAATGAGAATGCACAGGTGATTACAGGCTCGCCTTTCCTTGCTTTTCAAGAAAGGGAATTCTCTTCATGCAAGCCTTACAAAACTCCGAAAATGGACGATACGACATTCTCGCTGCTTCGACTGACCCCGTCACAGGCTGAATCCATGGCCCGAGCGGGTTTCTGACAGTTTCGATGCAATTCCATGAGCTTCCGTTCGCCTCGCAGCCTTTCCATGGCTGACTGAGGTTTTGTAATACATTGTTTCTGACATCCACTTTCTATGGGCATTGCTGTCATTTTGCTGCGTAATACCTCGGTTTGAAAGTAATTTTCCGCTGCCTTCCACCAACCCTGTACATAACAATACAGTGCTGCGGAAGGACAATAGTCATCCATATGAGCCCTGTCCAAGGCTCAATTCTTAGATTGCTAATCTCTCCGCGTTAATTTGCATAAAAGTCAATTTGATACAGTTCTGACCATTAGTCACTTAGATGAAATCTTGCGCTGTTTAATCATGAAGGCGAGTTTTGTACACAGCCTTACTGCCTACGCCTTCTTTCCATGTATAGTTGAACTCTGGTACCTTTGTTTAACTTTTTCTTTCATCGGTGTAATCCGTACTGGGGCTCAGATGTGGCGGACGTGGATGATTGCCTCCGATTCTTATCGATAAGAGATAAGGGACAGCCCCCAGAAAGGAAGGAGGGGATTTCCCAACATGACATGCATTGACGCTCATTGCCATTATCGTACCTACTCTATGAATACGGACATCTTTCACTCCATATCTAAGTAATCTAGTAATTGGTACAAGCTCGGACTCAAGCGAAACATATCTGCTCGTGAGTCGTGAGTCGTGAGTCTGATGCCGCTACTCTCTGCGATGAGAACAATGCTCGTCAGCCTCGGAAGTTATCAACGACAAGCTGTACCGAGATAGTGGACCCGTCAAAACCCACCTCTGATATTGACTACATAACTGACCTAGGATTCATCCTTCTTTTAGCAAACTCGTGTACTGTGCTTGCTTTCCTTGACACTCTGTACTCACATCTCGAAACTCTTCGCAATGGAATCAGATGCTGGTTTCATCGCCGCCTTAGAGGAGGCAAAGAAAGGTGCCGCTGAAGGTGGAGTCCCTATCGGTGCAGCTCTGGTGTCCAAGGATGGCAAGATCCTAGGCCGTGGGCACAATATGCGCGTTCAGAAAGGAAGCGCAACCTTGCATGTTAGTCCCAGTTGATACGATTTACTTCTGTTTTGGATCGCTGTCGATCATCCCTATACGCGCCGGCATTGCACATGGCACAAGCCAAGCTCACATTAAATTCATCGTAGGCCGAGATGTCTGCTCTCGAGAATTCTGGCCGTCTTCCCGCCTCCGCCTACGAGGGTGCGACTATGTACACCACGCTGTCGCCATGCGACATGTGTACAGGTGCCTGCATACTCTACAAGGTTAAGCGGGTTGTCATCGGGGAGAACAAGAGCTTCATGGGCGGCGAAGAATATCTTCTGAATCGGGGTAAAGAAGTGGTGGTGCTGGACAACGAGGAGTGCAAGCAATTGATGGAGAAGTTTATGAAGGAGAAGCCGGAGCTTTGGTACGTCTTTCACTCTCGACCCCGGTTTCATTATTCCGTCGCTACTCATCTTGCGATTGCGGGTTTTGACACTAATCATGTCGTTGTAGGAATGAGGACATTGCTGTCTAAGCATACCGATATAAGCAGTCTTGACAAAACGCCTTCGAATGGAGATGTGTGCAAATGATATAGTGTAAATAGGCTAGATTCTCAATATGATACTTTTTCATGCCTGAACACAGGGTATATCGTCTGTCTATGCGGCCGTCAAACGGTGAATCTCTTCGAAGAAGAATTTGAGATCGTCCGGTTGCACAAATGGAGTGATGCCTGTTACCATTAGTGATTGACTTGAAGAAGTTCGTACAAGAGATGAGAATTTACCGTGACCCAAGTTAGCAATCCATCCCTGCTTGCCACCCTGGAAGCCCTTGACCATGACCTCGACGGCTTCGGTGATAGCTTCGCGACTACCGTAAAGTATGCCGGGGTCGGCATTACCCTGGATCGTTACGCGGCCCTTGGCAATCTGCATCGCCTCAGCAGGATCGTGCAACCAGTCAAGACCGACAACATTATAGCCCGATTCGCAAAGATCCTCGAGAGCGTACCACGCCCCCTTGGCAAAGACTGTCATCGGCACGCGTTCCAGGCCCATCTCGTCCAGCTTCTTGGGGAGGTTGGCAGAAATGTACCGCAGATAAGGGAGGGAGAAGGTCTTGAATGCCGCAGGGGACATTTCTCCGGCCCAAGAGTCAAACACCTGGACGAGCTGCGCCCCGGACGCGACCTGGAGAGCCAGATATTCCACGCAGATCTCGGCAATCTTCTGCAGCAGTGCCTGCGACTCCTTCGGATACTTGTAGATCCACGTCTTGGACTGTATAAACAGCTTGGTTCCGCCGCCTTCAACCATGTAGCAGAGCAGAGTCCATGGGGCACCGCAGAAGCCAATCAGAGGCACGCGGCCTTTCAACTTGTGCCGGGTAAGCGTGATGGCCTTGTACACGTAGTCCAGTTCCTCCTTCACGTTGACCTCCTTCTGCATAACCTTCTCGTATTGTCCGTCGTCCGGGGACTTCAGAGGTTCAGGGAAGTGGGGTCCCTTCTTGTCCACCATTTCGACCTGCATTCCCATTGCCTGGGGAATGACAAGGATGTCCGAGAAGATGATTGCAGCATCGATCAATCCGTCGTACCGATCCACAGGCTGGATGGTCAGCGTGGATGCGATCTCCGGGTTCCGGCAGCATTCGAAAAAATCGCGGTTTCCTTTCGCTTCATGGTATTCGGGGAGATAGCGGCCAGCTAGAGCATTGATTAATTAGTACCAGAGGAAGACAATAAGTGATTCAATGATACACTTCAGTGATACAAAGTAGAAGGTTCGTCCAGGAACATACCTTGTCGCATAACCCATATTGGCGGACGCGGAACTCGCTCGCCTAAAGATAGCATCAGTTCCTTCAATCGTCTGCGCGCGGAATCTCAAGTCACCTTATACCTTTGGCGGCTCTGAGCAAAAGGTCGTTCTTCAATGGCTCAAATTTTTCTTGCATTTTGAATATGAGTGGGAGTTGTATTGGTACGAATAAAAAAAGATCTGAGGCGGGTTGACATTCACCTCGGGTTGCAGTGCGGGCCCAGCCGGCAGCCTGCCGCGATCGATCGATCTTCCAGAGGGGTACTCAAATCGGAGTATCAGAAGCTCTTACAGTAAGCACTTGTCCTACAAAAAGAAAGTATGAAAGCTTGCTGAGACAACCCAGTATTTATGCAAGATTCTATGCTAATTAAGATATTGTACATTTTCTCTTCAACATTAGTCGTCTTCACCAAAGTTCTTTTTCCGCAGGTTGCCTAAACTATACAACGAGTCGTTCAACTCCTTCTTCTGCTTCTCATCGAGGTCTGCTGATATCTCGGAGGTACCTTCGGAATTTATCTGTGCAGTGATCGCCTCTGATGTGGGCTCCCAATCAAGGCCCTCTGGCGCTGGCTTCAGGCGGAAAGCCTCAACCAGGGTCGACGGCGATGAGGGAGTAGCTCTCCATTCTCGTGTGGACCCAGGCTCCCGCACTGCGTCGACAGACACTACAATCGAGCTGTTCTCGGCAGGAACTGTTAGGTCAAGTACGTTGCCAGAAGCCTGGATGGAGTTCTGTGCTTTCAGCGAGCCATCAGACTCAAGCGTAAAGCAAAGAAGCTTCGAGGACCTGGAACGAATCGTAAGTCTCCTTCATGATGCAGTCCGTATAGATTAACTTACCCGTCTAATGCGACGAGGATGACATTCGCTTTCTCCTCAGAGTTTGCCGCCTTGGTAAGTGACAGGGCCCAGATACGACGAACAACAATTTCAGAGTCTGTGCCTTCTTCAAGCAAGGGGACCTTTTGTACGAGACGGCCCTCATTCCATCTCCATACGATCAAGTGATCATCACCTCCGCCTGAAACGAGATATTCCGGCGCCCACTGGGGAACGCACAAGCTACTAACGAACGAGGTGTGCCCAAGGCAGTAGTTCTCAATAATATGCGCTTGAGGAGGGCCGCGAGAGACCCGAATATGTTCATCGCGGTCCGCCGTGAAGATATATGGTCGCTTTCGACCCGAAGTTGCATCCACTGGGATGGATACGTAGACTAAGTCTGTGAGCATCGACACATGCCCAAGAATCAAATGGAGTTCAAAGGCAGACGCAGGCTTCTCTTCTGCGGTCTTCTCTTTCTGGCCGTAATGTCGCAACTGCTGTTCCAGCGATGCCAGGTTTCGCTTACTGTGAACAGTCAAAGTCGTTGCTGCTGGCTGATTCGGCTTGAGTTTGCCATGGGTTTTGGGCGCGATACTTGATTTTCCAGTGTCGATCAGTGGTAAAGAATAGACATCTCCGAATTTATCCCCACACAGGATGGTTTTATCATCGTCAACCAAAGCGATCGCAGATGGCCGCTTGGACATATGTCTACCAGAACGTAAGCTTTTTTCGCTTATATTATAAAGCCATCGATAAGGGACGTACCTCTCGCTCAATTGCTTGAGATTGCCACTCTCTTCTATCTCAAAGACACGAAGACACTTGTCCTCACCAGTGACGGCAACCACAAAGTTGCCGTCAGATGACACGGCCAAGATGGGGATCGTTGACCAAGCGGTTGAGGTTTCCGATTGACCTCCTTTCGCTGTCTGCTCCGGGGCTGGAGAAACCTTTCTCTTCTTAGCTGATGGCTCGTCCCCTTCAGAGCTTGGTGCTACACTGACTACTGTAGAATCTGCAGGATTGGCAGCCTCAGGCCAGATAGCAAGCTGTTTTCCGGTCTCAGCAGCGTAGGTGTATATTTTCGAGCCTGCAGAAGCGACAAACAGATTGCGGGAACCAGCTGTTTGCCTCTCTACATATCTGATGCATTGATTCGGATGTTGGTAATTGACCACCATATTGAGAGGTACAGGTCCTGCGATAATACACCCAGAAATTCTGTAGATTTGACCAGATGATTGGCCAAGCACAACAACCAAATCCGAAAAACAAATGGGTGCGAGCGATCAAACCCCGAAGAGACTTGTATAAGTCGTTTCGTCACAACTACAGGCCTATACACTGACTCCGGCCCTAACGCTGCATTGGGCATTTTTGCACTGCGGCGGGTGGAGCTCACGTGACTGTCTCGCTTGCGCGAATCCACACGAAGAATTTCCCCAAAATGAGCGCCGGCGGAATTTCTCTTGATGAACTTCCAACGTCACGATTCATATCGGACAAGACCAAATTTCACAAAACTCCTCCTTGCCCTTAAATAACCTATCTTCAGTGAATCAAGAAGACATGGGGGCAAGTCAGCTACCAAGGCCGCTTACTTCGATAAGCTCAAGAGCCTTCTCGATGATTACAACACCGTCTTCATTGTCGGTGTCGACAATGTCAGCTCTCAGCAGATGCACGAGATCCGTGTCGCTCTCCGTGGCCAGGCCGTCGTCCTGATGGGTAAGAACACTATGGTACGTTTGATCGTCCTGATTTTACTGTTTACACAGCCATTGACCATGAAATCCAGGTTCGCCGCGCCATCAAGGGCTTCATCACCGACAACCCGGAGTACGAGCGTCTGCTTCCTCACGTCAAGGGTGAGTAGAATACCTTAGACCCGTGTGGGACGGGTAACAACGAGTTGGTGGCTAATTTCCGTATGATAGGCAACGTCGGTTTCATCTTCACCAACGGTGACCTGAAGGATGTTAAGACCAAGATTCTGGCCAACCGTGTCGCTGCTCCTGCTCGTGCTGGTGCCGTCGCTCCCGCCGACGTCTGGATTCCCGCTGGTAACACCGGTATGGAACCCGGTAAGACTTCTTTCTTCCAGGCTCTCGGTGTCCCCACCAAGATTGCTCGTGGTACCATCGAAATTACCACCGATCTGAAGCTCGTTGAGGCTGGCGCCAAGGTCGGTCCCTCTGAGGCCACCTTGCTGAACATGCTGAACATCTCCCCCTTCACCTACGGTATGACCATCGCCCAGGTGTACGACAACGGCCAGTGCTTCCCCGCCCATGTTCTGGACATTGAGGAGTCTCAGCTCCTCGATGCCTTCAGCAGCGCCATCAAGACCATCACCACGGTCTCCCTGGCCCTCAACTACCCCACTCTGCCCTCCGTCATGCACTCTCTCGTCAACGGCTACAAGAAGGTCCTCGCTGTCGCCATCCAGACCGACTACAGCTGGCCCGAGATTGAGGAGCTCAAGGACCGTATCGCCAACCCTGACGCTTACGCCGCCGCTGCTCCTGCCGCTGCCGCCCCTGCTGCCGGCGGTGCTGCTCCTGCTGCTGAGGAGAAGAAGGAAGAGGAGGCCGACGAGTCCGACGAGGACATGGGCTTCGGCCTCTTCGACTAAACTCGTTGCAAAATTTCTGCGCGAGTTACGGTTGCCATGTATTAGACCATTCCATGTCCGATCTTGACGGTCGGACTAATGAAACAATGACTATCATGGATTTTGTGAACCTTTTCATTCTCATCTAGATGTGGACGTAGACGCGCTCCACTATCTTTCGATGAGTAGCAGGTAAGCCAGCATTTCCCCTTCCATCTCTCCTCTTCCCTACACCTACACATTCCTATCCCGGCGGATGATTATATTTTTTAACTCGGAGCCCCTGGAGGGTGCCTTGAAGATCAAAAACAATGCAACAACAAACACTCTAATTTTTTGATGACGCCAATTTCTATCCATTGCCTCTTTGCCATCACATGCACTCGCACTATTTACGACTCGATGCTAATTGTGATAACAGGATATTCTTGACGCACCTTTCGTAGAATCGACAGGAGGAACTATCTGCGTGAATTGCGCTTGTAGCTCCCACCGGTAGAACTTTGCTATAGCAGGTAGTCTTATGAATGAATATCATATGTCCACATTTCCGGTATTGAACCGCTTTATGATGAGTAAAAGTTACATTTCTCCTGCAAATATAGTCTCCTGGTATCAACAAGCAAACACAACCATCTTCAACTACCGCCAAATCTCCCACCAAACCCACCCAGGTCTCTTCTGAAGAATTTCCCAATATTCTTCAAATTCTCGTTCAAATTCGAGCTCATATCCCCGCCTTGACCCTGCCCCTGTCCTGTCGTTCCAGAAGGCGGTGGGGTGGATACGCCGCCGGTGTTGTTACCAGGATTAGTCCCGCTGGACGGCGTGCCAAATCGGTCAACGCCGTCCTTGGCCGCTGAGATGAGCGCGGACCCGAGCATCGACGGGTCAAAGCGAGTAGGTAGATTCGAGGCGCCAATGGACGCGGCAGCTCCTAGTCCGAGCCCCTGGGAGACGGAACTTGACGAGGGGGCAGGAGTGGTCTGCATGGCTGCTAGGACGGGGTTGCTCTGCTGGAGATTCGAGGCGTAGCGCTCGGAGGTGCGGTGGATCTGGAATAGTTCCACGAGGTGGTTCTGCTCCTGGCGGCTGCGGATGCCCTTGAGGTCGAGGATCTTGCGGAAATTTGCATTGTTGTGATCCGCGATGTGGATGAGATATGCTTGGACGAGGGCCTCAGGGGGCGAGGGCTGCACTTGCAGGGTTTTGAGGAGGGTTTCGATCTTTGAGAAGCTAGCGTTGACGCGCTTTACGAAGCTTGCTGGAGCTGGGGCGGGGAGGAGGGAGGAAAGGCCGGTTTTGAGAGTGTACGTGTCCAGAAGCATCTGATATACATTAGCCCTCAGTCAACATCTCACGAGATTAGAGGCGTAGAACATACCTGCTCCGCGCCTGTCTCCGCAATAGGCTTGCATTGGAATATGTTCGAGATGAACTGGGTCGACACGAGCTCTACGACATGGTCGGCGAAAGCTCTAGCATACTGCTGCTTATGCAAGAACTGTAAAATTTCCGAGAACGTGGCCTGGGTCTTTGACAGAAGCTCCCCAACATAAGAGCTGTGGTCACTGACGGCCTCGAGCCGACTCCAGGGCGTGTTGCGCATTTCGCGCCAGGAGGGTTCTAGGTTGATCTCAACTTTCCGTACCAGACCCCTAATTGCGGCAGATGCAATCCCCATGAAAGAGTCTGCTTGACTTTGCAGGTCCACGCTTTGTTTGAGGTTCTTGTCGAGCCTGCCTTTGATCTTCTCTTCCAACTGGTTGCAAGTGGTGTAGCAGTAATCGGCTGTGTTGAGGACCAAGATGAGGTCTTCCAAGGATGGCACATTCGACGGTGTATGTCCTGTCGGCCGTTCACTGATATAATTCAGAAGCACCTGCTGCGCATACTGGTCCAGGTACTTTCCAAAGACCTTGGCCAGGTCAGCAAGGCTTCCGCCCGTGGAGAGTTTCGCACACTGCTGCAAGGAGTGTCTGTAGAAAGTAAAGAGTTCTGTAGATGAGGATATTACGATGTGGGAATCGAATTCCTCGTCCGGTGGCCTAATGGGTTGTTGCCGGTACTTCGGTATAAGCGCAGCCAGCTGCTTGTCTTGAGCTTCAACCCATACGCTCAGGTATGGTTCGAATGCCTCCGAAATAGCCTGACCGAAGACAGGAATCTCGGTTGAAGCAAAGGTGTCAGTGGAGGGCCGGGCCGGGCTCGCAAACCGGCGCTCAAGGGAATGCTCAAAGTCCAGGGTCTCCTGAAGACAAGAGAGTAGCAAATTAACATCGATCGTTTGACCGTTCCGAACAGACCGGGACAATATCCCCTTGAAATCCTCGCGGGTTCCCTCGCAGAAGACATTCGCGAGAATCTCATTGACCCTCCAAGACGCCGGGAATATCGCCGCATACTCCTCATCGTAGATCTTCAAAATGCGCCGGAACCATGAATACCTCCGGGAGATATTATCCAACGAGCCCGCCTCTTCATTGTTCCGGAAGACCTGCCGATATTCGCGCAACTGGAAATTGCAATACCAGGTCACCAGCCTGGATCTCGCACTCTCCCCCAAGGCATCCATGACCTGACAGCCCTCCGACAGCGTGATACGATTCTGAGCAACTTCGCCTTTGGCAAACGCCAACTCAAAGTCCTCACAGATCTGCTCCAGCAATTCCCGCTGAATATCCGCCACGTTCCTACTCAAGAGCGCAATTTGGTCAATCGATCGGTATGACTTGAAGTGCGCCATCAGCTGAATCACCGCCTGCAGCAGCTGGGCGCAGTCGCGGTACTGTCTCGTCTTGCTCAGGGCACGGAGCTGGTCGTACGCCGTCGTCAACATCTGCAGTCTCTTGAGTGCGGTCATGGACTGCGTCAGATTCTTCTTCGCATTGTCTAGCTGCTTGATGTCCGCCGTCATCTCCGTAATCGCTTGTTCCGTCTTGGATGCGCGGTCGCGCACATCGTCGATTTTCTTGAACAGCTCCGTCAGATCGGCCTTGGCTGCCTGGATGCGCTCCACGCTCTCGGCGTTGGAGGTGACCTGCTCCTCCACCAGCGTGGCAATGTCATGGTCGAGCTCGTCTTCATATTCACGGAGGGATTGAGACACCTCGGACACGGAGGAGAGGGTGGAGGGGTGGGAGAAAATCGCATTCAAGTGGTCGATCGGGTCGTAATCAGCTATTTAATGCCGGGTTATTAGCAAGACCGTTCGACTGGATTGAATCAGACTGTGTGCTCACCTGCATCTAATGGATCGAGGTCCGCCGCGCCGTTGGGTGGCATATGGCCGGTAGAGGAGGTGGGAGTCGAGACGGACATTCCATTAGCTCTTAGGGGTAGTAAACGCAGGGCACATGCTGCAGTAGCGACAAGTGACCACCTGCCAATTGGCCCAAGTGAGACGGTAAGAGATCAAAGGGAAACTAGGAGAGCGAGGTTAGCTGAAGGGCTCTTTGTGCATTGACTGCGGATAGCTGTCGATAAATCAATATCGGCGCGGAGCAGCTTAGCGTATGCCTTGGCGTTCAGGCATCAAGCATTATTGATCTTAAAACATTTACGATCTACGACCTGGTTTTGAGCCAGAAATACCTAATCACTATAATGGCCGTATGTTGGAAACTCAGTGTCTGTATCAAATGCCATCATCATACTTATGGTATATCTCCCTCTCAGGAAAAATTGTTGCTGTAGTGTGAATACCGCAGCAGAAAGCGGCTGATGTATATTTTCTCTTCTATGCGGACATGATATCGTAGCATCCAGATGGAGAACGCTCTTTTCAAAACAACAATAAAAGCAAGATATACCCAAACGGCTATTATGAAGCCAAACCATTCGCCAAAGCCATGCAGAGAAGCTAACCACCCATATGATATGAATAGAATCTGTACTCCGAGTTACCACACTTGTTTCCTTCTGTTGTGCGTTGAGTGATAATGAGAGACTGATCAAGAACATCGAGACGGTGATCGTCTTAAAGTGTTAGACCGTTCCAGGAAGAAAAGCTTCAGGAGGTAATGTTCCTTGTGCCTGTAGATACCAACGCAGTTAGTTAAGTTATAATGTATCATCGAGACGGACGATCCCGGGTAAGCCTACCTTGAGTTCTTCAAAGTTCTTCAGAGCAGCCTCCATGTTCCAGCCATTTCCTGAGAGTGCCATTTCGGAATACTGTAAAGTCATGTTCGTCTTCGTGCTCATCTGCATTACCAGCTGCTCTTGCTGGACCTGCGTCTCGGGCTTTCCGGGCAACGGCATACCATAGCCTTCCGGGACTGCCTGGGGAGTCGCTGGCTGAATTGCTGGCTGGACCGACGGAGGCACCGTTGGCATTTCAGGAACCCATGCCTCATGTCCTCCATATGCTCTCAGACAAAGAACGTCACTGATCACCCTGATACCACCAACTCCTCCACCAGGACCAAGGATAAATGTCCTATCAAAACTGCGCACCTCAACTTTTCCATCAATAAGCTCCTCGAATTTCCCATGAACCATGATTAGAAGACCACCCACTCCAGTGCTGCTCTGCCCGGACGGATCTGGAAGACCTGGCACCGGGAAGCATTCGATGAGCCATTCGTTCGGATGAGCTGCCACCTCAGGGTGTTTTGTCTTAGGGAGACTATTCCAGACTTCACGAATCTTCTCCACGCCGACATAGGCGCGAGACATCCTAGCTGGAAGGTGGTTGATCTTGAGTAAGTTTCTGCTCTTTTTGATGTAAGCATCCCAGCCAGCGGTCTCGGTCTGTTGAGCCCTCGGAGCGGATGTGTTGACGTTTAAGGAGAAAGTCGAGTTACTGTCGTAAACGCCGTTGAGAAGGTCGTTACGGTCATTGTCATAACCAACAAAGAATGCCCGGACAAAGTTCTCCGCGATTTGCGATTCATCCAAGAAGTGAGGCGGCTGAACAGGTATCGGTGTTTTCTTCTGAGCAGCGATCTCCTCCGCGGTCCGAACTTCAACATTATTCAATACTCGTAACTTCGGGTACCACTTCATCATTGTCTCCTTGAAGGTAGGATCGGCGCTAAAAGGAGTACCAGTGAGGTCGAGGAATTCAAGGTTGCGGAATTTCCATCGCCATCCGATCAAGGACTGCGAGTCTTTGAAGTTATTGTTCGAGAGGTCCAGGTTTTTCAGGTCGGGGATCGTTTGGGCTAGACTTGTAACGACTGCGATGTTTGCCAGTTGGTTGTCTGCAAGACTGACACTCTCAACGGCCTCACGCCTCGTCGTAGAACTGTCGAAGTTCATCTCCCAGACTTTCATCAGCGCAGGGAAGAACTTGGACTCAGTGGATGTGCTATTGAAGATGCCCATGGCCAAAAGATCGGGGTCACTGCCCAGCTTGGAAAGATCAAGCAACTTTGTTTGTTGATAATATCGCTTGCTCAAAATCGCAGTCATCTTGCTCTTGGTATCGGCGGTCGAGGGAGCACCGCCATTCTGCGCGATATCCGCGAGCATCGGTTGATCCGTCATTCCATTCGCGGACGGCCCGTACGCTTCGATTGTAAGAGGCGCACCTGCAAAACTAAAACCATTCATCTGAAGCATTCTATCCAACAATTCGGGTCGGATAGACACTATTAGAGAGTCGCCTTCAACTCGCGACTAGTGAAAGTTAGCAAGGCTTAAGAGACCTTGAAACCGCAGTCACCCAAACAAACAAACGCTCAATAACAAAAAGGACCCTAGACGTTGCCGATCGTCGTTCTGAAATACCATGCCTGGAGAAGACGAGGACAGACCGGAGAGTACGACCGCTGCGCGTTTTTGCTGTCGGTGACCGCCAATTCTGGTGTTGCACATACCTTTGTTATTCTTGCGCGGGCGCCAGCTTTCGAATCGGGTGCAGTGAGTTTTTTCTCGAGGAAAGCGATGAGACTCTCAAGGCCTCCATCACGGTTGGAAGCAGCCTTGCTCTGTTTCCAGCCACGAACGCTGACCTGTTCTAAACCCGCTCCTCGAGTTCCCTGCCGAATATTCGCTTGCGAGTCCGCATTACTGGCGATCGCTTTCTGAATCGCATTCAAAGTCCTGTCCCGAGCTTGAGGCCGTCCACCAGCCGGAGTCGCACGGCCTGTGTCGCCGCGCGCCCTCTTTCCACGCCCTCGAGCGGCGCCCCCATCCATAGAAAGGTCGCCATCTCGGTCGATTCGTGTCGAACCCCGCTTGCGAATACCTCCGCGATCTGAGGCGCCGGAGCGAGCTCGAGAGCCTTTTCCTTTCATGTTGTTTAAGCGTCAAGGGAAGCCCGAGCTGGGGGAGAGAGGAATAGACTGGAAGTGGAAGTTGGAAGGACTTTATGGTGGGTAAGAGGCGAAAATGCGCGGTGCGCCTCGAAGAAACCGAGTTCCACTTAAGGATTCGACATGTAACGAAGGAAATAGGTGAGTGAGGAGGAAAAGAAGGTGAGGATTTTCAAGTATGTGGTTTCAAAGCAAATGAGCTGATGAAGTCGTATGCTTTCGAGGAGATGACGAGGCGATGTGAACCTCTAGCAGAGGTTTGAGGCTTCGGACAAAATTAAAGAACAAAAAGTGACGTGAATCAAAAGCATTTCGGCAGGCTCCAGTCTGGTCACGTGGGCGAACTTCTTGTTCTAGGTGTAGTTGATGCCTGAGGGAAGCTAGACCCATATAAGCTCCGACCGGGTTCGGTTCCAAGGCTGTCGGATTTGCTTATAGATTTAATTCCCGCGCTGTCTTACAACAATTGCCTCTGTGGTGTAGTTGGTTATCACGTGAGTCTCATATCTCACATATGACTCAGAAGAGTACTTCTGGGACATCTCAAGGTCGGGAGTTCGATCCTCCCCGGAGGCAATATTTTTTGGGCTGGTAATCTTTTACCATGGCATTGTGAAAATCAAGACTGATATTATTCATTCTATCTAGTAGCTTATAGTGCAACCTACCATCAAAGGGACGATGTACGAGAGGTATTTGTGTGTCAAATTCCAATATGTGAGAGGGAGATGGGGTGGGCCCCATGCACCAATCAGCAACTGCTCTCTGTCCTTTTTGAAATACCAATACCGAAGCAGCCAGATTGCGCAGCTTATCAGCGGTACCTGATACGCGCTGTACTCCAAGTCCCCATCACCTCTTAGCGTCGACTATCTGGAGTAAAGCCGATGCTTTAGTTCGTTTTGGGATTCATCAGGACAGCTTGTTCCAAAGACCGGACTTGATGAGGAGAAACTCCCCGACGCTCAATTGTTATTGCTGATGATTGTTTCGCCGAGTGACCCTACTGACCTGTAAGTTGCCTCGATGCCTCCTGTGCCGTTTTATTTACATGCCGCGATTCCCAAACTATTCACCAATTGAGCTTCATTGACATTGAGTACCTCCGCTATAGATTCCCCTCCGTGCGGGCGCGCTATTGTTGCTGATCAATTCGTCGAGCTGCTGCTCAACGTCGTCTACTTTTTCGGCCTTATGATCGTCGCTCCTTGAAGAGATGCCTGCCAAGTCACGATTTACGAGGCTTGATGCTTTCGCCAAAACAGTGGAGGATGCTCGCGTCCGTACCACCTCCGGAGGTATCATCACTCTGGCCTCGTTGGTAGTCATCCTGTACCTGGTTTGGGGAGAATGGCTGGATTATAGACGAGTGGTTGTCCTTCCAGAATTGGTTGTTGACAAGTCGAGAGGTATGGACCTACGAGGAACAGAGGTCATGGAAACAAAGGCTGATGCGAACGGTGGCATTGTACAGGCGAGCGAATGGAGATCCACATGAACATCACCTTTCCCCGACTACCATGCGAGCTTTTAACCCTTGATGTGATGGACGTTTCGGGCGAACAGCAAGTTGGCGTGGCACACGGTGTTAACAAGGTGCGCCTGAGTTCTCCCGCCGAGGGGGCCGTGTGCTGGATGTTCAAGCTCTGGACCTGTAAGCAGCCTCTTTTATTCCATCATTGTCGCCAATCGCTGACAAATGCGTCTGTCCGTCAGCCATTCTAAAGAGGAGATTGCCAAACACCTCGACCCGAACTACTGCGGCGACTGCGGCGGCGCCGACCCTCTCCCCGGCTCCATCAAAGAAGGTTGCTGCAACACCTGCGACGAAGTGCGCGAAGCCTACGCAGCCAAGAACTGGGCCTTTGGTAAGGGCTCCAATATCGAGCAGTGCGAACGCGAGGGCTACGCGGCGCGCATCGACGCCCAACGTCGCGAAGGCTGCCGCCTCGAGGGCATCCTGCGCGTCAACAAGGTCGTCGGCAACTTCCACATCGCCCCCGGCCGCAGCTTCACCAGCGGCCAGGTCCACGCGCACGACCTGCAAAACTACCTCGACCTCGAGCTCCCGGACAACGAAAAACACACCATGACCCACCACGTCCACCAGCTACGTTTCGGCCCCCAGCTCCCCGACGAGGTCTCCGACCGCTGGCAGTGGACAGACCACCACCACACCAACCCGCTCGACGGCACCAGCCAGGAGACGAACGACCCGGCCTTCAACTTCGTCTATTTCGTCAAGGTCGTCTCAACGTCCTACCTGCCCCTGGGCTGGGACCCGCTCTTCTCGTCCGCCGCCCACAACGCCCACGACCAGACCCCCCTGGGCTCCCACGGCATCGCGTACGGTTCCGGTGGCAGCATCGAAACGCACCAGTACTCCGTGACCTCGCACAAGCGGTCCCTGCGTGGCGGCGACGCCTCAGACGAAGGACACAAGGAACGTCTGCACGCCGCGAACGGCATCCCTGGCGTCTTCTTCAACTACGACATCTCGCCGATGAAGGTCATTAACCGCGAGGCCCGGCCCAAGAGCTTCTCGGGTTTCCTGACGGGCGTCTGTGCCATCATCGGTGGTACTTTGACCGTTGCCGCAGCCATTGACCGTGGTTTGTATGAGGGGGCCCTGAGAGTGAAGAAGTTGCATTCGAGCTGAGTGTCGTTATTATCGTCCAGAAAAGAAAGAGTGAAAAAGAAAAATACAAGTAGTATCAATTCCATATCGAACTGAAAATCTGATTTGAACTGTGGTTGATACGGGGGTGTCTTGTCGAAGAAGTGATTGGGATTACTGGTAGCCACGGCGTTTCGGGACTCTCCAGCATTGCATTATTGTTTTTTTTTTTTATATACTCGCAGGGAGCAGTGTCGAATTTGACAGAGCATACATAGCAAATCAGAGAAATATTGGTTTACCTCTTATGAGCTTCCCTTGTGCCGTGATCAAATCGTACCCGGGAAGACTGGCCATGGACCATTTTCAATAGCAAGTATAAAGGAGTGAAATCACAAAATTGAGTAATGAAGAGATTGAAGGTGATAAATACAGGCCTGTATCCTGCCCAGTTGTGTGTAATGCGTCTTATGTACACGAAACCACAGTAAGCCAAAGACACGATAGAATGATTCTTTCCCAATGAGTCAAAAGCCAGTCCACCGCCGCAATGACGTAAAACGACACGAAAGAATGACAGGCAACTGAAGCAGTACCGAAGACGCCAGACCTGCTCTCACAACTCCATTCAATGCGTAATGCGACGGAGCAATTGCTGTAGCAAAGTAAATGGGAGGAAAATCGGCAAGCGAAATCCTGCGTAGGGATCTAGACAGTCTAGTTCTAGGGAGCGTCAAGAAGTCGGCATAGATGCAACCCTTTGAGGCACATTTGCAAAAGCAGGAAAAAGCATAACATCTGAAAAACAGCGCACACGCTGGTATAAGACGACAAAAGAAACTGAACGATTGGGAGAAGAGGATAAGAGAGAAGGGTCTAGGGAGGGAAGAAGGGTCAAAGTGTATCAGCAACGAAAGCACTAATAATGCAAATGGTTTGCACTCCCAAAGTAGCCAGCTTGCTGGTTCAGAGGCTGGCTTTGTGGATACATTGGCGGTGTTTGGGGTGCCTGAGCCGCAAATGGCCCATACCAAGACTGACGGCGAGGCTCATCAGCACGATAAGTTTGATTCAGCGCATCCCAAGTGTGACTCGCCGCCGGGAGATTGTAAACACTGCTATGAACGCCACTTTGCAGCCCGTAATTCTGAGGAGGAGGTGTTGTGGCAAGTTGCCGCTGTTGGTGGTGCTGCCAGTGTTGTTGCCGTTGCGCAATTGCGTGCTGCACCAGCTGATTCGACATTCCTTCTTTGATACTCTTCTTCTCGCGCTCTCGAGCATCAATCGCACCAACAAGGCCCATTGGATCAACGGGAGGTGCCTGTTTGCTCTTGTCGTTAGAGATATCAAAGAAAGAAGATCCTGTCATACGAGCCACGTGCTCCTGCTCCCGAGCCGAGAGGTGGGATGAAATGTCGTTGAGGTTCATCATGCTACTGGCGCCGCGGGAATGGGGCCGAGGTTGGGGATCTCTGGGAATAGTCATCTGAGACTTGGAGCGAGTATGAGCCATCCAGTCTCCCGAGAGCGGTCTCCGAGGTGGAGGAGTCGTAGAAGTTGCCCGGTGGTGGTGTAGATGGATTGGCGGGCTAGGCGCAGCTCGTTGCTGCACGAATTGTTCCGGGGAAAGACCGCCACCGGGGGTTGTTGGACGTGCCATGCCTGGCTGCCATAGAATACTCCGCCGGTGTTCGTCCTGACTGGGAGACCTGGCATGAGCGTGGTCCACGGGATGTGTCGGCGCCGCATAGCGCTGTTTTTCCGTGGCATCCGAACCGGTCCTATGATGCGTAAACTTCTTCAGAGTGTCCGATGTGCTCGGACGTCCAGTGGTGGGCAGGTAGGTAAGTGTTGGCCCGAAATCTACCGTTGGAATGTCCGGATCGATTCGCGACGGCTCATCGAGCGTATAACGGGCGTCCCCAATGACAAGATCCTTCTTAGGCTCCGTCCCCACGGTCTTCATGACCCCCATTCTGGGCTTTGAAACAGACTTGACGGACTTTTTGCTATATACCGACTCGTGCGTGCTGGCATAGTCGGGGGAAGTTGTGGAAGCGTCATCGTAGACGCTCTCATCATCCGGTTGGCGTTCTTTGACGGGCGAACGGAACGACAGTTGACGGGAGGAGATGCGGTTCAGGGCTTCTTCGTCCACTGTATGGCGCAGGTCGTCGAAACTGGGCTCCCCGGTGGGACTGGTAGCGTCGAACTCTCCCAGCTGCTGTGAAGGTACAGGCTTTCTTCTCACAGCCTTTGTACCGTCTTGGTGAAGGTCACCTGCGATCGGTTTGACAAGTGGTGGGCCGAAGACGTTGTTCGAACTAACTGGTGCTGGCGAGTTTTGTGCTTGATCTGCGGAGCTCTCATTCGACGGAGCCGATGGGCGGTTGAACTGGTCGGTGCCACTGGACTCCTGGATTCTATGTTCGGCAGTTGAGTGTAGGGCCAAGTTGGACAGATTCATCTTTCCAGCGGCGGCGAGTTGTGAGAGAGTGCTGTCGGACATCCTGTTATTGGCCCTCCTCAGATCCGGCGAAGGTAATGGCCGGTTTGAGGGAGTCTCTCCTGGTGCATGCATAAATGCCGGCGGCATGGCTACCGGGTCAGGAGGAGATTGAGGTCGTAGATTCTCCCCAACGGCGGTGGCCGGAGGATCTACTTGCTGCTTCCAGTCACCCTCTTCACTGCTGCGGTCACTGACACTAGCCGTGCCGGCCTGTTGCCGCTCCACTGGCACTAGATCTTGATCGGAAGATGATGGTGAGCCTTCCATGACCCGAGCCTGCACGCGTTGTTGCATGGACTTAATTGCTGTCGTATCAGAAAAGCCTCGAGAATGATAACTGGATGCAATGTCCTCTTTTGGAGATTCATTTAGGATGGCATCTGCTGACTGGTTGTATTCTGGCCGGCTCTCGGGTAGCGAGCGATTGTTGCGAGGTCCCCCTGCGGGCACATTACTATAGCGATTGGGGAGACTGGCCCTGTAGCGTGGTTTTCTTGAGGAAATACTGCTGGTCCTGCTTCCTGCCGCGGCCATACGCTGAGCTGTCGCATCCTTCAGCTGTTTCCTCCATTCCGCCTCAGTCCAGGTGTGGCTACCCGGCATTTGCATCAGACTCGCTACATCCAGGACGTCCAGGTATCCATAACGCCGTTGGTTAGGGAATGCGAACATGATGCTCTTGACATGATTCGTGGCAGCTATGAGGCGTGTCGGCCGCCCATAGAGGTTGAAAGTGTCGAAAGTGGGGATGAGGAAGCGAACCATCATTTCGAAGCCGGAGATGGCAGGATGGACCTCGGGCATGACGAAGACGAACCCCTCAGAAGTCGACTCTGGATTCGAATGAATTGTGACAGTCCCTTCAATTTTCACAAGAGTCGACTGATCGATTAAGGCCTTGGACTGGGGGTATATGGCATATGCAGCGTAGGCGTTTGTGATAGTCGCAATAGGTTTCGCCTTTTTGGTCTTCTTCGTGTCGTAGAATTTGATGTCTCCTGTGGCCAGTCTCGGCACCCGATCATAGGCAGATTTCTTCAACGACTTCTGCGCCTTTTGGTACTCTTTCTCGTTCGGAGGCGAGATGACAAACCAGCAGCGTCTCCACGGCGTCCCTGCTCCGAATCGTACACGGGCCCAATCTTCCTGCTTGTAGCGGTTGCGCTCGAGAATAGATCGAATGTTATTTAGACCTTTGCCTTTGCCGGCAATGATCGAGCCTGTGTACGCTTCATAGAGCGAGGTGTGCTCGAACAGGGAAAGACGAATGGCTGAGGCCCACTGGGTTAATGAATGGAAGGAATTGAAAAGCAGCAGGTAGCGGTTCTGCCCGGCAGAACATATGCTCAAGACATTCTTCAGTGGCTCCATTGCTTGGTTTCTGGTGGGCAACGATTCAATCTGCTTTTTCGTTAGAGAGTCCAATAAGTCTATAACGCTTCATGTGGTACTCACGACTCGAATTGAAGCGTCCGCCAGATTGATGAATGTGGAAGGGACTTCTTCGCCCTCTGGTGCTGCGTCCAGCGCAGCGGCATCCCATACTGAAAGTACTGTCCCAATAAGTTGCGCATAGCATTCAACCCATTGTCGATCGGAACAAGGCCGGCCCTCTTAAATACAATTGAGTCAGTTCGTGCTGATTTCGACAGACACTTGAGACAGCACATACGGGTATCTAGATCATTCAGCTTGAGAAAATATCCTTCATGGTACAATTTGTTGGCGTGGTTATTGAGGTAAGTGAATATCGGCTGAAGTTCGGGCGGCGTATCTTCTGAAAGCTCCGTCAACGGAGGATTGTGAGAGAAGACCGTCGATGCTGGCCGTGAAATGCGGCGTTCCGCTTTTGTTGTCAACTGCGACGGCGAGCGTTCGATCGGTGAGGGTGTATCAGGAGAAGGGGTCTCGAATCTTGACGGAGGATTGCTCAACGTGATTGAGGCTGAAGCTGTACGATGATGTTGTCCGGAATTCTCCTTGCGGGACGAGCCACCGAAGGCTGATATGAAAGACCGCACTGATAACGCAAGGGGTTATCAGTTACCGTCATTCGGAATTCGGGGAAGGGGACGATCGTCTACTCACCACGCGAACGAACCATAATGATTGAGGTCTAGACTCCCGTGACTGATCTATTGATAGAATGAGGTAGAACCTGCAGAAGAAAAGGCCAGCTGCCGGTTCAACCCTTGAGATGACAGATATGACACTCTACCGCCAGGCAACTCGACCGGAACGACAGAAAAAAGCTGTCAGGTCGCGGATGAACAACAGATAAGTAACGAGAGATGAAGAGTAAGAAAAAAGAATAACAGTGTGTTAAATCCGGGCTCCTCCGCGCGGAGGTAGCAATGGGGTCTCCGGCCCGCCAAGAATGGGATCTATTGAAGAGATGATTCCATGTAGGATCTGGATTTGATGAATTGTCGGAGTAGACGAAAATAGCGTTTTGAAAAGAGTGGCAGGACAGGTCACAACCGGACAGTGTCGTAATGACCGCCAAGATGGGCTGGTGACGAGGGAAGTTCAGATTGCAAGCGCCTGACTTGGATAATCGCAGTCACAGGCTTGGTGTCTCAGTCTCTCTTTGATCAGTGGAGAGAAGGAAGGCGGGGGGCGAACGGCGGGCGAGTGGGTGGTCGGAATGAGGAGAGAAAAGAGAGGGAATAGGTCCTTCGAAGAGGAAACAATCAGAGAGAAAATCTAGGAAACGAGTGAGATAGGAAAGAATAGAAAGAATTCGAGAGAGATGAGGGAAGACGGATCATAGGGTAAGGAAGGTAGTAAGTACTACTACTACTACTACTTAGAGGAGTAGTATCGTAGTAGTGATGGTCGCCGAACGTGGGTCTAAAGGTGGAAATGGTAACTGTATTACCACACTGATTCGCAGAGCTTCCTTTTTCCCTTTTTCTTTTTCCTTTTGGATTTTCCTGTGGCGGTTTTCAAGGTCGAGGGATGATCAGGAGGATTTTGATTGTAGCCAAAAAATAGGGATGAAATAGGAGAAATAGTGTCAGGAGAAGGAGTTGGATGGAACTATTAGGTCGACTAAGTAGATACTAGGCATAATAATAATACACACCGTCTACTTATCTACCAGGGCAGATAGTAATAATAATAATACCAATATCAGAGACATGCAGAATGACTGGACCACCAGGCCAAGTCGCGGCTGGCGTCATTGCCCTTTTTTTTGGTCTTCCGCTTCGACACCTTTCATCATATCTGGAGGGGTTGACTTTGGCTTATCCATCTCTTCCTTGAATGCGACCATTGCCCTCATTCCAGTTGGTCATGTCGTTTGTGTCCGTGATGCGATCAGACACATCCTCTTTTTGCACCTCCACTCCCGTGTTTACTGCCGTTGCCATTGTTAAATGATAGGCAAAAGGTCACATCAATGGAGTAATCATTTAGTAGCTGTCATTAGCCACCGGTAAGTGTGAATGAATAATGATGCTAAATAGTAGTAATTCTTTATCATTGGCTACTAAATAACTTGTGACGCGGCCAGACCAACCACCCCGCGGTAAAGACAGGAAGTGTCTAATAATAATATAATAAGTACTGTAGTCTGTGTCTACCTAGGGTATCTTATGTAGACTAGACGCAATGACCTAGTATTTGTGTCGTAGTGCCGTTATGGACGGATAAACAATAGTGAATCTAATATGCATTAAAATCGAATAGGGGCTGAGCCTCAAGAAGATAATTTCTCGCTCAGAGGATACACAGAAAAGGATACTGTTGTACCGTATAGAGTCGATTGATATTTGCTAATAATTTTGACCGTGGTGTTCCATTATTCTGACAAAACGAAGCTGACCCTGCCCAGCACACTCCTTACTCCAGTGTCGCAACAACACACCCAAATATAGCAACAGAGAAATATGCATGTCTTACTGGCAGGAGAGAATCCAAGAGAAAAGCCGAGATGTCCCTACTGGGACTAGACTAGACTGCTAAATTACAGTACGGTTGCTACCTTACCTACTGATTGTTTGAAGGAATATGAAGGAGTAAGGTACCCTTTTTAACAGGCACATTTTCAACGAGGCGAGGAGAAGCGACAGCATAGGTGAGCGCTAAGCGCAATTCAGTTTAACAGCGGAGTTGCAGGGACGGTTGGATATTATTTTTTGAACATTTTCACAATTCGACAGCACTTGGAAGCCGTACACATCCGAATCGCCACAAGGGTAATCGTCGTAGGTAAATGTCATTACAGGCCATTCTAAGCCCCAATACCATGCAGCCACATCTTGGGAGCGCCGCTATTACCTACCTTAGGCTCTAGGTACCTCTGTACAATTCCCACAAAGGAAGTTCAAGTAGGATGATTTGATATCATCCTGCTCCCCGGTCTTGGTCTATCAAGGTAAGGTAACCAGTGGCAAACTTCTGACGAGAGGACGGTCGAAGTCTAATTCCCACGTCCTAACGCTTCTGTGCCTGTCTGGTCTGTTCCTGGCTGCATGCCATGGATCAAGCCACTTGATTTGTCTCATGGTTATTGCGCAAAGCGAAAGGCACGCCTTGCCACCATAAAAGGCCGATGTTGGTAGATTTCTTTCCGAACTCCAGCCAGGACTGAATCTGCTCGAGTTACGGCGGTATGATTGTGCTAGATCAGATTATCATGTGACTGATATCTGGTAGCGACTCACCGACAGCGAGTTTATCGCCTTAGACTCGGTAGTTAGAGCGGAGCTTTCCATCAGAACCCCATCGGACGCGCACTGAAAGCAGCGATCTTTGCTGTAACTGGAGTCCCGGATGGCAGATTATGACCTCAGCAGTGGGCTTAATTTTCTCTTGACCCATGGACTCGGATGATCAACAAGGAGCCCTTGTTGATCAACCACGTAATCATTATTTATCTCTTAGATAGGATATTCCCTCATCCTCGTGCAGTAGTAGTAACGATCCATGATCGCCTTGGAAACTTGAGAGCATTCGCGGTGACCTGGACAAGCCACCGTGGCCTTACGTCAGGTTGTAGATCCCCGCACAGTTCATCACCGGAAAGCCTGGGCTCTCCGTATCGAGTATATGCGCTTGGCGTGAGGTATGATCTTGATTGTTAGCGAGGAATAGGAAAAGACCAATCTTGGATTCTGACATGGAATCGATTAGTAGTATCCACATTTAAACCGTCTCAATAAATGAGGGGTAAGGTAGGGAGGTCCAGGTCTCGATTATCAGCGGTATTCCATACTCAGTTTAGCCTTTTCGATGTGAACGTCCTTGGCACCTTATAAGCATCCAAATGGGACATGTGGCCCACTACTCCGTAGCCATTTATCAGATCATATATTGTCTGAGAGGATCAGAAAGAAGTCCTAACGGTCATTCAGAGAACCTATGTTGGTCTGATCCTCCAGGAAGGTGCCATTCAGCACACCGCGATGAAAAGCGGACACTGGACCATTCAGAGACTCAGCCTAGACCGTCAGTCTGACTCGATGCATTTGACTCTTTGAGGATCAATGTGTTCCAAACCCGCAAGGCAGTCGATTCAACTCAGGAAGCCGACTGCTATATGGTTCTGATAGACCGTTCGAGCGGAGAGGGCGTCCACACTCATCCAGCTTGTGAACCCTTTTAAGTCGCAAACTGTTTATTTACTTGTTGACAGCATCCTCTTTTTGGCATTATTCTCAAGTGGAATTTACCTGATTCATGATGAATTCTCCTAGAAATCATTGCTGAAGATATGGCCTTAGTCCTCGAACTAGGCGCCTAAGCTAATAGAGCTGCCCCAAGGTAGTGAATCAGGAGAGATTGACTGACTGTGGATCTGTCCTTTGCCTTGCTGATAATGTGGATGTACATACCAGCTCAGTCAGAGTTGGGTATCCTTACCCTGGACTGAAGACTCAACTCTGACAGGCAAGATAGCCTCATATCACAGCTGTCCGCACCATGAATCCAAGGATAATCCAGTCTGTCACTGAGATTGACCGACAATAGCTCTAATGACAGATTCTCAGCAAAAAAGTGAATATCAGTTCGAGAGGTTCTTCCTCTTTGAATGATGTCGTGTGTGGCATCCTCGCCATGACAACAGATATTCACTGCTCATTGCTCATTCACCCTCAGCACATCTCTGACCTCTTCCTCCCCTCCAGTCCTTTTCATCTCTCCCAAATCTCTCCTTCCTTACACCACCGAAACGCGTCGTTTATTATTCGATACCATCTTGATTATTCCTACAGCACGTGGAGTTGTGTCGTATGCCTCAGCCAGACCCTTAGCTGTCGAAACGACTTCACGGGCATCCTTACACCTTCAGCTTTTCATTTGTTTGTTTTCCTCTCCAGTTTGTCTTTCTATTTCTTTGTCTTTTTGGCGTTTCTTTTTGCGTGCTTTGTTGTGTTTTGTCTGTCTCAGGCTCCGAAACTTCCAATGAGCAGTGGCTGAGCCTTTTGTCGCCAATATGGAGGTGTTCCCTCTCTCACCGGAGTTTGAATGCGAGGATCCATTCCAGACTACCGTTGGACGTGACGATTTTGAAGATGGTGACGATGAGGATCTGCCTTGGGTTGATCAGAAAGTCAGAGAAATCACCTCGGCCGAGCTTCAGGATTTTGCCCACCTGATGGACGAATTTGCCAAAGGATTCGATCCCGACTCCCTTGCTCGAGAGATCATGGCTATGCTACCACTGCTCGAGGAAGATCTGTTCCCCATCTCCTTCGCCCATCTCTTGATCCTCCTTCTTCAGACCGACGGCAAGATCGAAACCGCCCAAGTGAAGCTAGTTCGGTGGCTGCGTGCTCGTTATCCCATTGCTTTGTGTGAGCCAAGCGAGACTCAACTGGTCGACGAGACGTTCTTCATGTCCGAGATTGAGATGCTGAGACGGCTGCTATCGACCTTGCGTGGAGACGACGACAAGACCATATATTGGATCAACTGCAGGCCCTTTGAGATTGGCAAGTCCTGCGAGAAACTTGAAGCGTCCATCAAGGTAATTAGAGCCTTCGAGCGTGACATGCGGTCTGCAACGGAGGAGATTGACGAGGAAAGTAAGATTGCACCTCACCGTTTCCACCTGTCGATGAAGCTGACCACAATGAACACAGGACACTTCTATAATGATCTCCCCGTCTGTAATGAGCGCACTGTGTTGACAAGCATGAGGGTACAGCGGTGTGACAGCTCTCGGGCATCCATTGGCTGGAATAATTATCTGTCTTCTGAAATTGAGCTCACAAGGTTCCACCAGTTCTTCAAACACCATGTGATGGAGCATGACCCTGATAAGGCTCGTGGATTTGGATGGCTGCCACCAGAACATATCAGGGTTCCTCGCTCGTCCTCTACCGATGTTGATCTTGTCGATGTGTCTGATTGGCCTCTGAACGATCATCAGAAAAAGATCATGAGTCTGCTGTTCAAGGTCGCTCAGTGGCTTGGTCTAGCGAGAGGACTTGCGGCCGTTCATCTCTTTTGTGACGTTGCTCGTAACTTTACCATCCACAAGCCCTCCGAGAACCCGAGTGCCAGCTACATCCTCTTCATGCAGAAACTTGCCGAGGTCAGACTGTGCCCCAGCTCGATTAAATCCCAGATCCCGACCCCGTTTCCCTACGACGACGAGGTCTACGCGAACCGCAACCCGGCCTTCTTTATTGACGTCTTCAGATCTGCCAGAAAGTTGGTGTGCTGCCAGGTTGAGATGGCATCTTTTTTGAAGAAGAAGAGCGACAAGAAGAAGCAGGGCTATTCCAACCACCGCACCTCTGGTCGCCAAGCTTCCAAGGGCATGAGTTCGTATGATCACTGAATTCCCCGAAATCCATGGATCTCTTGCTGGTGCTTGGGATCGCAATCGCAAGGTCAGTCTATACAGGAAATGAACTAGGTTATCTGGCCTTTCTATGGAGGTCGCTAACTTCTACTTGCTCAACAGAACATGGGGAAGAAAACCGGCCCCTTGGGTATTCCTTCTGCAAGCCTTCCTGCTGAGGAAACAACTCTTGACCATCCTGCTTCCCCCGAGGAAGAGCAATTGCTTTACCACTTCGCAGGTTACGCACGTTCGATCTAGGATTCAAACCGCACGCCCGAGTGACCTCCTGCACAGCTGTGATGTTGTCTGGGCCAGCGATCCGTTGAATATCCGCCTTTGGACAGTAACTTTGCCATCTCCTCTCGGGAACAATTCGAAAATCAGCAAAAAAAGGAGAAAAATTCAAAAAGACGGAAAGAAGCCATGTTTGGCGGTTTGAGCTGCGTTCAGTTCAAGCACCAGATTCAATCTGGTTTGGTACGGTTATCCATCTTCTTTCTTTCACTTCATCTTGCACAAACGTCCCTTGGCTTCCAAATGGTTTCTTCGTGGTTGACGATGCTTTTTGTCTTCTTGAAGCTTTTCTGGCTGCGATGATCGCATGCGCTCGGGGCTGGTCTTCTGTTGGCACTTGTCGAGGCATTGCGGCCTATCTAGTTTCCATATCGAAGAAACAAAGACACTCATTTCCAGGGACATGAATGAAAAGAAAAGCACTTATGTACTTACATAATTACTCATACTTCCCTTTTGTGAATTTTGTTCTGTTTCTCATGTCTGATGTATTTTCATATTTTTATTTCACGTTACGCGGAGCGGAGCCAGCAGCTAACTGTTCAACCAACCAGGTCATGATGCTGAATTTCGTGCAACGTACTGACTCACGCCGAGATGAGTGTCTCCGCTTGGGGCATCACTATGTTCTGCTTTGTGAATGCTGACATCTGAAGTCAGGAGTGTACTGAGTACTGACGGCCAGACCAGACCGTTGCTGATGGGCTGGTTGACAGGTCTGAACTCTGACGATTATTGACTTTTAGCAGCTCGATAACCGTCAATACTGTGCTGTTAAAAGTAAGGTGAGTGATTGGATTTGATTATAGTAGCTCACTTCTAATGGCCTGCTAGATTTGCGTAGGAGTACGAGTATGAGATTGACAGCCATCTATGCGATCTACATACAACCGTGTGGTTGAAAGAAATAGATTTGATCCAGCATATTCCTCATTTATCATCAATCAGCCCAAATGATAGAATCTATGAAAAGGATAGTATTGGTCATAGAGAAGTCCCGAAATAATCAACAGTAAATCGCACAAAAAGCTACGACTCCATCATATCGTAAGCCAGTGCAGGATCAATCAGCGCCATATCATCGCCAGTAGTGGGTATCGTAGAATTGCTGTCTTGCATCATTACATCGGCGCCGTGCGTAGGCAACGGCTTAAACTCGGGTGCGCCGGAAGTCGCTATCGTCTCTGTCCCGTTCAACGTATACGGGCCGTACGACGAAGGATCGTTATCGAATTCAAGACCGTAGATTCCCCCGAATAGTTCCTCGGAGGAAGCAGATGCAGATGCAGATGCACCGAACTCATGCGCGAGCAGCGCCCGCCGCAGGAATAGATCCCGGGTTTCCTCTTCGGAGAAATGATGCTTGCCGCTCATATGGACCCAGAGATCGTAGTCTCTGTGGAACCGGTGCGGGCACGACTCAACCAGACACGCGATGTGGCGACCCGTTTCCTCGGCGTAGCCCTCACCCGTGAGCGCGGCCAGCGCGGACACACCGGGTGAGGTTGCGGTAGAATGCTGTCGATCGCGGGTGAGGCCGAGACGCTGACGGCGTTCGGCTTTGGCGTTCTGGTAGCCCAGATGCGCGGTACGGATGTGTTCTTCCAGCGCGAGCTTGCTCCCATACCGCTTGCCGCAGCCGTTGTCGTTGTTCCAGCCGGCCACCTTTTTCGACGACGAGAGGTCGGTCTCGCCGCAGACGAAGCGTTTCTCGCCTTGGTGGACGGTGCGGGTGTGTACGGTTAGATTTCCCTTCTTGGTGAAGCTCCGGTCGCAGCCGGGTACGGTGCAAGGGAATGTCTTGCGTTCCTCGAGACTGACGTCGCCGTGGGCGACTTCGAGATGGCGGCGGAGTTCGCGGGATGTCGCGCAAGTCAGAGAACAGTTGGGACATTGCGGGGGGTGGACGGATCGGATATGAGCTTGTAGGAGGGCGTAGGTGGGAAACGTTGCTGCGGCGCCTTCTGCGTGCTGGGAGCATTCTGTGCAGCTGAAACGTTTCTCGGTGTGAATGCGGCTTTCGTGGGCTCGAAGATGCCCTGCTGTGTCGAATGCCATTGTGCACTTCTGCCCGGTGCTCGGGTCTGTGTGCGGGCACTGGAAAGGTTTTTGCTTTAGATGTGCGGTCATGATGTGTTTTTGGAGGGTGGAATGCTTCCGAAACGTCTCATTGCAAGGCGGGTACTCCGTGCAGCGGTACTTATCTCGTCCATCGTGGGCAGCCAGGTGTCGACGGAGCCGGGAGCCGGTCACGAAGCTCTTCCCACAGCCAGGACGGTCACATATGTAGTCTCGGACCCCAGTATGCGCGCTTTTGATATGGTGATTCAGATGAGATGCGCGGAGGAATGTCTTGCCACATTCTTCGAACGTGCACTTGAAGATTCTCTCATTATTATGGGAACGCAGGTGTTCTTGAAGTCGTGCTGGCCGGTTGAATGCCTTTGTGCAACCATCGAAGGGGCAGCGGTGGGTTTTCAGCTCCGAAGGATATTTGGCTGAGGTCGTAGAGATTGGCGTCGCTGGAGTCTCGTGGACACTGTCGCTGTCCACACTGGATTCGTCGGAAGATACATAATCGGCATCTGACTGAGGTTCCTCGTATATCGGATCTGCGACAGCGATGTTCAGATCCACAGTCAATTCAATCCTAGGGTTCCAGCGTCTTACCAGCATCGTCCAGCGCTGTGCGTTTCAGAGATTTGTTCGGGATAGCGAGCTCATCCGACTCAAGTTTGCGCTTCTCACCCATGGCTCAGATGAAGCCCCTGATATCAGGCCTCACAGGAACGACACCCATTAAGAGCATAGACTGAACAGTGGTCAACGCATTAAGCGCACATTCAACTGCTGAAAGGAATATCTTCTAAAAATTTTGCCAGGGACTGATGTTAAAAGCGGTGACGAAGCTGACCAGAAAGGGCTTAGTGTTAACGGGGCCAAGGAACTTTTTCCGCCGCCATTTTTGGAGGGTCGCGATATCGAAATCTTCATCTTCACCAAGCCTGTCGCAAGGTCGATCTTTTCGCAGCGTCTCTATCCCTGGACGCGATATTTGCCGTCCTTTCACTTGTGTGGCTGCTGAACACGCTCGTTTGGTTATATTTACCTGGTTTGCCAGCTCTAATTTGACACCATGTCTGACTACGGAGATCACGACGCTGAGGAAACGTAAGGACACCTCATTTGACTGCATTTTCCAGTTTGGATTGGGAGCACTTCACTTGCTCGCTGCGTAATTCACTGGCGAAAATGGTTTTGAGCTAGTTCAGCCGTTCTGACTCGCACATTTTACAGCTACGACTACGAGCCCGCTGAGGAGGTGTTCGACGAGAATGAGCCCGAAGACTTCATAAACCCCGAGGATCTCGAAGGTGCCGAGGGAGGCGCCGATGGCTATGCGGATGATCATTATACGCCGGCAGTCAATGGTGACCGCATCGTCGTCTCTGGCGATCCCAGTGCGGGATACTCCGGCAAGGTGGTGGAACAAGCACGGGCGAAGAAAATCCCCAATGAAGAACGCAAGACAACCCCGTACATGACCAAATACGAAAGGGCGCGAGTTCTGGGTACCAGAGCTTTGCAGATCAGGTTCGTCATCTGGCGGCATGTGGCATGTGAAGACCATGGAACTGACGTTTGTCACAGTATGAATGCTCCCGTGCTTGTAGATCTTGAGGGAGAGACAGATCCTTTGCAGATCGCCATCAAGGAGCTGAACCAGAAGAAGATCCCGCTCATTGTGAGAAGATATCTGCCAGATGGAACGTAAGTTATCCTCCCTTCACCTTGAGGAAGGACGCAAGTCTAATCCGCTTATGAACATTTAGGTACGAGGACTGGACGTGTGAAGAGTTACTCTAAATCTGATCACACTTTGGGTGGATATCTGTTGAGACTGAACTATTTGTTTCTATTTGTCATTCTAATTATGGTCTTCTGATTTGACGTCCCGCATAGCGTTCGGAGTTTGGGAGCAGGAAGCGAACCGTTCATTGCATTGCTAATGATCCGGTCGCCGGGAATTGGAATTCAGCAAAGAACAGAAAAGAAGTATACTTGACCTTTGATGGATAGAATATGAAAAAAATGTTACGTTCACTCCTTTGGCCTTGGGTATTTATCCACATCCACAAACACCTGGAGTCTTCAATGAGTCTCTAGCCTTACAAACAAAATGTATGCTATGAGAACTGTCTGGAAGCCGGCGCTCATGACACTCGAGCATAGCTTCCTATTGTACCATATCAATACAAACATAATGAAAGATCGAACGAAGTATGCGAAAGGTGAAGAGGTACAGGACAGTTCCCCCTGAAGTGTACGAAACCTCCGTTTCTTTTGCCCCTTTGCATGCTGGAGCAAGCGTTGCGCCAAAATGAGTAAACTGCAAGTCTGTATCTTCACCTGACCTCAATGATTTTGGGCTTGATGAGCTTTACAATGATACTATCTGAAGTAGCCCGTCAGGTCGTCTGTACTCTTGAGCATACTCTGTTGTGTCTTCTTCCAAAAGGAGCTTAGCGTGAGATCTGTCTATCACGTGATGACAGCTAGGCAGTCAACAGAATGTTTCTACGCAGTACTCCATACAGCAATCAATCATCGCCATGTTTTGGATCCGCACAGATACTGTTACGATTGCCGGCCGCAAACGTACATAATCTTAGATACTCTCTGTCATCTCTCCATAACTGCAAATGCGAAGTTAAGATCTGGTTCATGTTCCCGAATGATCTGGCTCGGATCTGGCACAAGGAGTCTCGGAGATCGAAATGCGGGAAAACGTGGATTCGGTCTTTCGGAGTGTGCCGCAAAGTCCCCGAGCTGGCGATCCACATTCCCCTTGCAAGTCAAGTCTTACCCTATCCAATCCTTTCATTGCTGTGTTCTTTACTTTTCAGTTGTTTTCAGTCGAGTCTAGACTAACTTCAGTTCCTCGTCAGTTCAGAATTTCAACATGACCAGGGGAGCTTTTTTTTTTCTTTTGTGTCCAGCAGCATCCAAAGCTACTGTTAGGGCACAATCTGATATGCCTCGTTTCTATTATTAATGAGAATCAAGCCGCAAGCGTCATCGTGAAGAATGTTCCTTCCCCGCTGGATAAGTCGGCACGTCACGTTGTCCATGTTTTTGGCGCCCTGAGACGCCTTGGTTACCCTGGCTCGTCCTAATTGCTACCTCATCTGATTATCAATCACAGTTACCGCAGACCTTATGCGGAAAAAAGCGCATGATTATATTGCCGACTTCTCTTTTAAGGCCTGAGTTCGCTACCGACTTTGGTAGTTGAGTGGGCCCTTGTCCGTCGGCTATCCATCAGCCTTAGCGGTTGGCCATTATTGCTCGAATGGAGAAGACCTTCGGAGTTACCCCAAGAACGAGGATGCATCTTTCAGGCTTCTAGCGGTAGTCAATGCGCAAGCTACTTAATACACGTATTAGATCCTGGAGCTGTACGGTCAATGGGCTCGATCCCATTCGACACCCAAAAAACCCCGGTCACGTATGTCGGTAGTTTGGGACCTTGAAGACTGACTCATGCCTCTGGTCTCCCTAGGAATACGACTTATGGACCGGCTCTCAGTGGATCTCTCCTTTGATAGCCGGAGTCCCAGTGGTTTATCCTATCGGGCCTCTGACTGGCAAGCTTAGGCTTTTTTAGTTTCCCCGCTGACTCTTAAGAGTTGCTGAGAAATCTTATCGCATATAAATTTGGTTTTGCGCATCTGCTGTTTTTTCCATGTCGCATGGTGATAGAATTGACAGCTGTTAAGCGGTTCTTGATTGGAAATTTTTTCGTCCGCTTGGATCAATTCATCGTCGGGCTTCGACTTGTATTTCTATGCGGACTTTTTAGACTATACATACCCTTCTTGTATAGTTCGCCATCACATTTCTGCTACACATAGAATCGGCCGAGGTTTTTTCGCGCGCTGAGTCCGATATATTTATACGATATTGCCATCTGGAAGGACAGGAACTGGGGATGAGGGCACATGCGGAGGAGAAGGCCGTTGCGCCCTCGGTGAACAGCAACAATGATGAGAGCAACGTGCGCACATCAGAGCAGCAGCCAGGAGAGAAACACCAAGAAGAGCCAACCTTCGATACAGGCGTCCTGGCATGGTTGCAGGTCCTTGGATCATTCTTCCTATTCTTTAACTCATGGTAGGTACATTTGTGAATGCATGACATTCGTTGAGGCTGCTCTTTCGCATCGCTAATCGCTAGGTCGTCTTAGGGGTGTGATCAATACATGGGGCGCTTTCCAGACATACTATGAACAGAATCTTCTCTCGAATGTTTCGTCATCGTCCATTGCCTGGATTGGATCTCTGCAATCGTTTCTTCTGATGCTCTTTGGAGTAGTGACCGGCCCGTTGTTCGATGCAGGGTACTTTCGAGCTCTCGTCATATTTGGCACCGTTGTGCTCCCATTTGGCTTGATGATGACCAGTATTTCTTCACAGTATTGGCACTTGATCCTCTGTCAAGGAGTCTGTATCGGCCTGGCTGCTGGATGCCTGTTCGTTCCCTCGGTTGCTATTCTGCCTCAATACTTCAAGCGGAAGCGAGGTTTAGCCAACGGATTGGCGGCTTCAGGCAGCAGTATTGGAGGCGTGGTCTATCCGATAATGTTCAATAAGCTGCAGCACCAAGTTGGATTTGCGTGGGCGACTCGCGCACTGGGCTTTGTAGCTCTCGGAACCTGCTGCATCTCCCTATCTCTCATGCGCATGCGATTTCTCCCTACCGAGAAACGCAAGTTGGTCCAGCTATCCGCATTTAAGGAACCGGCATTCGTGATGTTCGCCGTTGCAATGTTTCTGGGCTTCCTAGGCTTCTATAACTTCCTATTCTACGTGCAGTCCTATGCCATCGACACGGGAATCGTCGATGCAAATCTGGGGTTCTATCTGCTCTCTATGCTTAATGCGGGTTCTACCGTGGGACGAATCTTCCCCAACTTCGTCGCTGATCATACCGGCCCACTGAACATGCTGACGCCAGCTGTCACAGCTACGGCAGTTCTGGCCTTTGCCTGGATTGGCGTGCACAATGTGCCCGGCATCATTGTTCTCTCTGTCCTGTACGGTCTCTTCTCCGGCGGGTTTGTCTCGCTCCCACCGGTAGTCATGGTCACTTTGACGAAAGATATCCGCGACCTGGGTACTCGTCTGGGCATGATTTTCGCCACGACCTCGATTGGTTTGCTGATCGGAACACCAATTGGTGGAGCCATCATGAGTGATACCCATAATTATCTCGGGGTTCAACTCTTTACCGCTTGCTGCATCATCACGGCAGCCGCCATTTTTGCGGCCCTGCGATTCTCACGCACTGGGCCCCGGCTGCTTGTCAGAGCATGATAGCCACCAGTGTCATCAACGTTGCACGACTTATGCGAAGCGTTTTTGGCTTATTAGAAGCACATATCGTAATAATCGGTACATATCACAGATGCATCGTCGGTTTCGGGGTCATAGATCAGTATGGCATTATAGAGCGGAAACGCGGGCTTTGCTTTCGGGTTTGCATCATGAACAGTTGTTCATATTGAATGGGACTTCACATTGTTTCATATATACACCATGCATGATAGGGTCTCTATTATCCTCGACGGGAAAATAAAAGTGATTTTGTCTATCATCATCCTAAGCTTTTCGCATCCGTAATGCCACAGAAAACCATAGTATAACTCCCCAACGCCGGGAAGCTAAATCGACTGCATCAAGCACCACAGCCCGCTCAAACGTAAAGACAAACGCTATCTGTTATGAAACATCCTCGGGATTCACCAAAAACTCCTCCCCGTTCTCGCGTATATGCTGCAGTTTCTTATCCCGACTGCACGGTTTGCGCATATCGAACGCATCCTCGCCCGAGTCCGACATCCCTGTCGGATCATCGCTGTAGTAATTGACAACCCGCCGGAAAACAGAATACCCCATCCCCTTGTACATCCCCACAGCGACCTTATTCCCCGCGCGCACGTACAGATCCACAAACCAGGCATCGTTGATGTCGGAGCCCTGCTCGAGACGCTCTGTCAGGCGGCGCGCGTGGCCCAGACGTCGCCAGGCTGGGGCGACTGTCAGCACGGTAATGTGTCCGTGCCAGGGGGTGTAGTGTTCCGAGTGGCGCATTGAAGGGTGTTGTTCTTCGAGCTTGCCCATGACTGTTTTTTTTTTGCTTTCATTAGTGACAAGACGGCCTTGCAGAGGTGGTGTGGCTACGATGAAGATTGCACGTACTGTATCCGACTATGCCTTCTGTGCGGTCTTTCACCGCGCTGAAGAGCGAGGGCCATCGCATGAGGTAGTTGAGGTAGAAGCCCAGGTCGTAGTTTTCGGTCAGCGGGTCGAGGTTGGTGAGGTTGAGGGAGAGGAGGTCCGTTGGGGACACGCGCCGGATGGAACTCATTTTTGCTGTTAATAGGGAACAGCTGTCAATGGCCGTTGGCGAGGCCAGTAGAAGTGAAGCTCTTGGTGGTGTGGGGTGAAGATGAAATAATGAAGCTGATGTAAATCGAATGATCTGATTGGGGCTTCGGCGGTCACGGGAGGAGCGGCTGTTTATTCCTCTGCTGAGAGTAGTTCGTTGTCTTTTGCATCATCATCATTCTTTATTATTCTTATTGAGAAATTCATTCTTTGTGTCATGAGATTCATCCGTTCTCTTGTCTTTCCTTCTACTCTTCCAGCATCCTGGTGATGCTATGATTATTGAGACATCCTGTCTTGTTATTTCCTCTCCTCAGTGTGGCCCCCTGCCCGCGTCCAGCTCATTCCGCGATCGACATTCGACGATACAGACCCCTCAATCCTGAGAGATAAAACAACACAGTTGATCTGTCAGGATATCGAGAATCCTAAGGACTGATTCTCAGCCGACTGCTGTCTGCATTCCTTGTCACAATCCCACGTGGGATCCTCAACCTTCTCCCAACTGACCTGCATCATGCCGGCCATCCCACCATCCCCCCTGAGGCTATCTCACCGCCATAGTCACAGCCAGTCCTCCAACCTCGGTTTCGACCCCATCTCCCCCGGAACCTACGCTCCCAATGGTTTCTCTCAGAGTCCTATACATTCGCCTCGGACGCCTCGTTCCTCAGCGCCCCCTTCGCCGGTGGAACCCCGCCAGCGGAATGCGCAAGCCATGAACGGGTCGTACAGGTTATCAGGTGACTTCGGAGGCCCTGCAGACGCCGCAGGGGGGCTGGGAAACCTTGCAGACGAACTCGCGGACGCCTGGGACGAAGAAGAGGAAGGGGGCTATGGCTATGTCTCTGGTCAGGACAATGCATCGGGGGACCTACAAGGCGCCACCCGAAGTGACGGAGAGGACGACTACAATATGGGACCGCGATCGCCCTTGTCAGATTACGCGCCGGGCCATACCTCGCTGCAACCGCCTCGGGTCAAAGCTCGCAATGGCAGTCAACGAAATCACCGGCGACATGAATCACAATACGACGGCTCCGACTACGGCAACGAGTCGGATTTCGAGGAAGCGGCAGACATATCGCCTAGTCTGGAGGGGCAGATGGCTGAGATTGAAAGCTTAGTCCGGCGAGGGATCGAGAACAACGGAAGTGAGAACGATCATGTCATCAAACGTGTTGTTGAGACGCTCCGGGACCTAGGGAGCCAGAGTGGGATCGAGAACAACGCCATGAGGTATGTTTGCCCTCTGAGTTGACGAACTCCCAAGCATCTGCTGACCTCCGCAGATTAATAACAGCACACACCTCCATCACCTCACACTTAACCCACCAGACCAGAACGCTCCAGACCCTCACCCACCCTCTCCTCTTCTCCCCCTATCCGCTCCTCTCTCCGGACGCAATTGACGAGCTAATCCCGCTCATCGACGAAGGCCTTCTGCCTAACCTACCCTACCCGTTCCCCGGCCAGCCACGCCACTCCTCCAGACCAACCACACCTTCGCAGTCGCCCTCCTTGAACCCACTCGTCTGCCTCCAGACCCTTATCGCACAAACCACGGACCTCACGCTGTCCCTCCGTGGCCTTAGCGACACCCTCTACGAATCGCGACAACTAACTGCAACCGCCTCGCGACGACTGCGGTCCGCAAGGGAACTCGTCGCCGAGCTGCGCCGCGAGGAGGAGAGCCGCGAAGAAGCCACCCGGTGGATCGAAAAGGGAGACTGGGACCGCCGGCTGCGAGACCGCGAAGCTGGCCGCGTCTGTCGGGACGTCGTCAGTGGATTCGAGGCCGTGTGCGGCGAATGGAGGGAGAGGCTCTTTGGTACGGCTGCTGTTGCTGCTCCTGGGGCGGAAATGGCCGCTGCTTGAGCTGGTTTCTTCCTTGGTCTTGTATTTTTGACACCATACATCGATTCAAATCCTGTCCATATGTCCTTATCTTTGGGTTTCTTCGTGGCCTGCAACATACCCCCTTTTCTTTCTTTCTCTTCAAGAATATATAGATTTCTTCTGTTCACGGAAACGTCTATGCATTTGGTTCTAATATTTCCTTCCTCGATGCGTAGATTAATTTGTAAGTCTATCCCATAATGATTTCCTCTGCAGAAACCTGAACCACCACGAACATAACGATAAGAGCCTGACTACGAACACAAGCTACAATCAAGACCACGTAGAAGAGAAATAAAGTAGAGAAAATCATATTCTTCCTGCATTATTCATCCAACAAAAGTCGTCTGACGTAAGATATAGACGGGAAAACCTGGACTTCATTTATGGGACATAATGCAGTCAACAACAGACATGATGGCTACCCAGAGAAGAAAGGGGAGAGAAGTCCCCACTCCCTAGATTCATGAAACATGAGAAGAACAACCAGATAAGGTAGCAGAGACACCGTTAGAATTAAAAGAGAGAGAGAGGAAGAGAATGCAAACGAGGGGGATGAGTCCTCCCAAAACGGATACGAATCATACACCCCTTTCCACGTTTCGGCAGACGGAAACTTTTTTGCGTTCAGATTTTATTTTCAAGAATTCAACAGACAAGGGCTTGCTTGATCGCGCTAGCCCTACTGCTGCTGTTGCTTCCACCGGGGCACCCACTTCTGAGGAGCGGGGAACCCTCAGGCTTGTCGGAGCTGGCGGCGGCGGCGGCGGGGGAGTCTGTGTATGGGAGGGGGTTGGGAGGAGCTGGATTCCCGCATGTGACGGGGAACGTATTTCTCGGGGCAGGACCGTTCGAGGGAGGAGCAGCGGGAGCGGCGCTGGCTCCAGAGCGGAGGTGAGGGGGGACATATCCGCCGGTTCTGCGGGGGAGCTGGACCTCTTCCTTAGGTGCCTCGGCGGTAGGAGCAGGCGCGGCGGCAGGAGCGGGTGCGGCGGCAGGAGCGGGTGCGGCGGCAGGAGCGGGTGCGGCGGCAGGGGCAGCGGCAGGGGCAGGGGCAGCGCCGGTAGCCTCCTTGGCAGCTTGGCGCTCTCTCCAGCTGGGAACACCGCCAGTACGAGATGCGAGGTTAAGGCGAGGAGCTGTCCGCTCAGCTGTCCGCTCCGCGGGTCGCTCGGGCTCAGCAGCACGGGTGGGAGGTTCTGCGAGGCCAGACTTTCTGGCGGCACGGCGAGCCTCAGCTTCCTCCTCACGCTGCTTCTGCCGTAGAGCAATCTCGTCGAGTCTCCTGTATCGTAAGTTAGTACCATTATAATAAGTTTTATAGAACTGGGGAGAAACTGACTTTCTCTCTTCCTCACGCTTGGCTTTTTCTTCAGCCAAGACGCGTCTGCGCTCCTCTTCCTTGGCGATACGCTCTTCCTCTTCGCGTTTGGCCCGCTCTTCCTCCTCCTTTCTGCGGCGCTCTTCCGCCTCACGCTCGGCCCGTTCGCGACGGCGGCGTTCCTGAACTTCCTTGACACGCTGCTTCTTCTTAGCCTCGAACTCTCGCTCGGCGGCCTTGCGGCGCTTCTCAAACTCCTCGTGACGCTTCTCAGACACCTCCTTGCGGAAGTTGCTGAAGACGGGAACAAGGCGGCTGAGACGGTGCTTGAGGGCAACCGCCTCCTTGTGCTTCTCCTCAGCTTCCTTGAGAGTCTCGGCCTTGATGGCCTCGTAAAGCTCCATGTCACGCTTCTTCTGGGCTTCATAGTCCTCGGGAATGTGCTTCAACTCCTCGCGACGGAAGGCACGCTCCAGGTGATCGATACGCTTGGCAGTGGTGCGGATGCGCTCATTGAGCTCGTTCTTCTCCTTCTCGAGCTGGGCAAGCTTGATGGCGCGCAGCCGGTTGGCATCCATGTCCTCAAGGTCGATCTCGCTGATATCGATGCCCTTGACACCGCTCTTGAGCTCCTCCAGCTGCTTCTTGAGCTCCTGCTGGCGGATACGGTCCTGTTCATCCTTCAGACGCTTCTTTTCGCGTTCCCGCTGCTCGTCAAGCAGTCTCTGCTTCTCAGCCTCTTGCAGCTGCTGAGTACGAATACGCTTGCGGGTCTCCTCCTCTCTTTGCTTGCGCTGCAGAGCATCGGTGGCAGCTTCCTTCTTCTTCTCGATGAGGACACGGCGGGCAAGGGTCTCCTCGTGCTCCTTGGCAGCACCAGCCTCAGCGCGAGCCTGAGCGGCCTTCTTGGCCTGGATACGGGCCTCGTTATAAGAAGGATCCACGTACATGCATGTGACGTGAAGGGTCTTGGCGAGACGGGTGAGCTGAAGGCGGGCGATTTCAGCAGGGGTGTTCTGAAGGCGCTGCACCGAACCGACCTCGCTCTCAGCAGAACCGGCGGCGCTGCCGGAATGCAGAGCCTTGGCGGAAGAGAAGACATCGGTGTCGAACGTCAGAACACCCGAGGTATGGTCGACGCGGATAGCGAGGTCGCCCTTCTTGCATCCGTTCATGATGAACTTCTCGATCATGGCCGGGGTGATCTGGAAGGGATCGGGGAACTGTGCAAGCTCGTAGACAAACTTGAGTTCGACGGACTCGTAAACCTGGGACAGCTGCTGGAAGAGACGGGTGAGGATGACCTGCTGCAGGGGCAGGACGTACTTCTCCATCTCGGGATCGGCACCGATCTGCTTCAGGATGGGGTGATCTTCTTGCAGATGGAGAGAGGGTGGAAGTCAACCTCGAGGATGTTGTAGAGATCCCGAATCTCAGGACGAGCACGCTTGAGCAGGCCCTTGTTCAGAGCATCCCGGAAAAGCACCGCACGGCTGGGTGGCTGAGCCATACCGAGCAGGTTGGTCAGACGGGTATTCTTGTTCTTGCGGGCCTCATCGACATCGACCAAGGCGCCTCGAGAGCGGGAGGTGCTGATGACGGGGATCGACAGAGCAGACAGAAGGACAAAGGAAGCGGCCTTGGTCATGTCAGCCTCGGTCACCGAGGGGTTCTCCTTCTTGGTGCCCTGGCCTGCGGCGAGAGCAGCGGCGGACTGACGGAGAAGGTTGTAGTAGCGGCTCCAAGCGGCGGCATGGAAAAGATAGTTCTCGCTGACGAGGAAGATCCGTGCAAGCTTTTCGTAGTAATTGGCCATCATGACGTTCTTGGCGGGGCGCTTGCTAAGGCTGAGAAGAGTGTGAATGTCTTCAATGCTGCGGAAAGCCTCCTGCCACAGCTCCAGCTCAACAGCAACATTCAGCTGCTGGAAGCGGGTGTCCAGATGGCGCTGCAGGGTGTCGGGATCGCTGAGGTTGATGGCGTGCATCTGAGCGGAGTACTTGGCGGCGTTCTGGACGTGGTTACGGAGCAGCTCGCAAAGACGGCGGAACTCGGTCTTGCGGGTGTACTTGAGGCAAAACTGGAAGGCCTGCAGGGCGGTGGTCTGATACATGACCTCAAGGCGAGCATTGTTCTTCAAGATCTCCAGGACGGTACGGTAGGTCTCCCAGAGAAACTTGAGCCACGGAGTGACGACAGCGCGGTCGGTTCGGTCGCGGGATTGTTCGCCAGAAACAGTAGCAAGCAAGATGGTCTCGGGGTCTCGATCGCTTCGAGATCCTCGACGTTGGACGATGGGGCAGCGGACTCCAGAGAGGACTGGATCTCGTCGGCCTTGGCCTGGGCCTCGGTCACCTTCTTCTCGGCGAGTTCGATGAATTTTTTGAGGACGACCTATTCGCAGCATATATATCAGCCCCTGCAAATCATATCACAAATCAAAGTTTCTGTGCCTACCTCGATGGTTCCCACGTTGGTGTTCTGGGCGATGTTCTTGTACTGGTAGAGACCATCCTTGGCAGCCTTTCCTTTGCGAAGATCGACACACAGTTCAACGAAAAGGAGCATGACAGGTTCGAGAGAGGCGATCGGACTGCTGCGCGTCCTCTTAGAGGTGACATGTTCGTGGAGGACATTGAGGGCGGCGGGAGCCTGGCCCACGGCAATAAGTTCCTGAGCCCGCTGCAGTGAGAGAACACAAGGTCAGTTACCAGTCTCTGAGTTGTAGGACCCTACCGATGATATTTTCCATGATCACCACTCACTTTCAGGACATTTTCCGGCTTGATATGGGGTGGAGGCGGCATGGTGGGCGATGGACCCTGTGGGTTTTAAAGATGATACCGGTGAAAATCGTTTGGCACGCAGAGGCTTTTCAGATCGAGGCTGGAGAAATCTCGAGGCGAAAAAAATGGCAAATCGCACAACGGCGGGCGGGCAGCACTGTTCGACAGTGTAAAAAGGCCCTTTTCTTGATGATGCTGCCACGCGACGGTCGGCCAGAAAGAAAGTGAGGGCGGCGGCGATGCGTCGTTGTGGGAGAATCACGAAAAAAACAGGCCCAACTGCGTTCCCACTTTGGGATAAGCGACCGGGGTCACGTGTTCGAGTAGACAATACAAAGGTACACTCCCCCTAACTATTGAGCAATATAGACTGAGTCATACATCAGACGTTGAGGATGCTCAGCTTGGATGATTTGAATCGTCCATCCATTGGAGAATAATTGGTTTCTTTGATAGATCTGTCCCTATCTCCCTCGAATCGCCACTGCTTGACGAGTCAACTGGCTCCTGCACTGCTTGTGGATCGAGAACAACCTGGTCGATCGGATGAGATATCAGCTTCTATCTAGATACAAATTACATTGTATTCGAACTTCGAATCTAGGTACTCTACTTTGTACTTCCGATCAATCTTAGCCTATCAAACATGTGGCTTGGTCGAAATGCAGAGTACCTACCACCACCGGCTGAGATGCGTCAAAATCACGTGATTGGATACTGTATCTCAGCTACCTTAGTACTCGCAGCGTATTGTAAGTTTGGGACAGTCTGATACATTCTTACATTCCAGCTGCTGATGAGGGGTCCACGTGAGATACTTCGACATGGAAATTCCATACATCGAAAAGCATCAAGTCGTAGATGGATGTATGTAGACAAGATGATACCCATTCTCAATCTGTTTCAAGGAGCCTCAAATGTCCAGTCTTCCTGGTACCATCGCTTTCACCAGAAGAACACCCCAAGATTAAGCCCCATCCATCCAGACTGTTCAAAGTTTAAATAAGACCATCGTCCGTAGCACCGCACCATTGCTCTCAGGGGGGTTTCACTACTACTTTGGAGTCAATACCATCAGTCTATCGCCGTTTTCCCAGTTCCCACAGAGTCGAAAACTGTCTGTTCTTGCGAGAGTGGGCTTGGCTTGACATTTTCATTATTATTAGGCGTTATTATTTATCTACTGGTTCTACTCTCCTCTGGTGTCTTGTCCTGCTCGTGCTAGACTGCTAGTAATAATCATAATAGTCCTCCCCCGGTCCCTCTCCAATACGGAGTTAGTAGGGTCTCATTTCTCCCTCCATTTCTTCTTCGTCTTCCTTCTCCTTCTGATACTACTCTACTCTTCCTCTACTCTTTTTATTTTTATTTTTCCGTTCCTTAATTTTCCCACTAAATCCATTCGTTTCCTACCGCTGATCCTCTCGCCCTCTCACTCTTTCTGTGTCGACTGTTGACTGTTCAAGTTAATCCCCTCCCTTTTTTGTGGTTCACTCCGCCCGCTTTTTCCGGATTCCCCTTACTCTCCGGTTCAGCGCGCCAAAGCTTCTCCTCAACCCAGACTACCTACCGACCAGGGCTCAGCAACTCCCCACGGTCTCCCTACCCCGTTGTCGCGTGTAGGGAATTGTCTACAATTGTCCTCGTCACTTCCTCGGCTCTTGGTGATCACAGAAATCGGAATCGAAAATGCCTCCCTACGAGCTGCGGTCGGGGGGAGATGTCAAGAACAAGAAGCAGAGTGTGGCCGATCTCAAATATCGTCGCTTGACAGAGCTCAATGCTCGCTTAAAGGAGGATCTGGATCGTCCTCGAGTGAAGGTGTCCGAGGCTGCCATGTCGTAAGTGTCCGATTCCAATTGCCTTTGCAACTGTCATCGTCCCTGTCGATTCACCTATGATGAGCGACGGGATGGTTGTGATCCAGTTGCCGACCGCCGTCCGGACTTGACCCCCGAATACTCACAAACCGTTCTCTGACCAGGTTGATCAACTACTGCAACAATACTCGTGATTTTATGGTACCGTCTGTATGGGGCCAGGTATGCGATTGACCTCGATATGCAGAAAAGTGATCAGCAGGCGGAGTGCTGACACAAACCCAGGTTGACAAGCGCGAGGATCCGTATGCTCCTCAGCAGCAGGGAGGCTGCTGCACGGTCATGTAATGGTGTCATGACACTGAATGCTTTTTTCCGAAATCGAAGACGGCTCGACTTGTTCTCGAAGCTGTTGTTCGCGATTTTCTTTTCCCTATCGACATGATTTCCCGCCCCATTTTTCTTCTTTTCGCCCTAATACTTGACATCTTCTTTGGACCTTCTGGATTCGACATGGCTTCCCGCTTCTATCATCACGACGATAACTGAAAACACCTCATCCATTGAACAATGAAACCGGGTACTACTCGTGACGGCTGTGTCTGTGAGCAATTGTGCGGCTATGACGGGTCGACTGGAGGAACGCGCGCTGGTCTTGCAGAGATTCCGGGAGGCCTACTACTGAACGAAGCATGCGTCGCATCGTATCACATCGTCCCAGGGATGATCATTGATCTCAGCGTCCAGCTATCCGTGGTGCACTTGAGGATGCGCCGACTTGACATTATCTTCTTCTATTCAATATTCTTCTATTTTTCTCTTTTCTAAAACTTCCTCTTCTATCTGCGTTGATCTTTGTTTTCTCCCGATTGTGATTCCGTCATATTTCCTTTGTCTGCAGTGAGTGAGTGATTGGTACGGGTGGTGTCTCATGGGTTCGAAAAGCACATTCCTCGGCTGTTGAGGCTGAGAGCAAAGTCCCAGCATCTTGTAAAGTAAAATCGCTGGTTTCCAGCTCTAATACAGCAATCGACGTCTACCTTCCAGTTTGATGCGTAGTCAAATGGCCACTACTGTATTTCATCTCAAACATATAACCCAAGCCCGACTTTCAGAAAATCCGCCCACTCGCTGACATCATCAAACCACCTCACCACCTTCATCTCACCAGCTCTCCAGTCAATAATCAAATAACCACGTAGTCCAGCTACACAGGGCATAGATCCACAACACGATCCCTGATAGTGAATCTAGTGAAACTGACGAAATGACCGAACCAACCCCCCAATCGAACAACACCCACCAACCTCAAACACAACCACAACCACAAATACAAATCCCCGCCCACCACCACCACTACAACAACAACAACCACAACCCTCCCCCGAATCACCATCAAATACTGCACGCAATGTAAATGGATGCTCCGAGCTGCTTATGTATGTCCGCCCTCTTCCCTCCCGTTTCACCAGGATCAGGATCAGTACACGATCAACAAATGCGAATATAGGTACAAGTGCCATGCCAATACTGATGTGATTGGAAAAGTTCGCCCAGGAACTCCTCTCTACGTTTTCGACGAGCCTTGGTGAGGTTGCTCTTGTGCCGTGTACCGGGGGACGTTCATCGTGAGTATTACGACGTTGTCTGAGACGGAGGTGCGGGAGAGTGTGCTCTGGGATCGGAGGGTTGATGGGGGCTTTCCTGGTATGTTACTTTTTTTTCCCCTTTTTTGGTTATGGGGATTGAGGGGCTGATGATGCTGGATAGAGGTCAAGGTGCTCAAGAGTCGGGTGAGGAATGTGGTTGATCCGCAGAGAGATTTGGGGCATACGGATCGGGCCTTGAGGAAGGAGAATGGAGATAGTCACAAACAAAGTCAAGGAAAGGAGACGGAAAAGTGTGAGGATTGTCAGACTTAGTGATGTTACCGCTACCGCTACCGATATGATAGACGAAGTCCTATATTCAACTCTATATATCAAGATCAATCTTGAGCTTGTCAGACTGACAGGACAGAAGATGGATATCAATACATTGAACGAGACTCGCCGAATCTAGCATGACAAGAAAACAACAGGTTGGCTAACCGTGTTGATATGAATCGTGATATGGTGATGTGAATCAACAATGGCAATAAGAATCAAAGAGAATGTCACAGAAACAAGAAATGATACAGTTCAGTCCACGCATGGGGAGAACTCTGGATCCTCCAAACGCCAACCCACGCCCCGTTTCTAATTTGATTTCCTGATCCCAACCGGTCTGCGTTGCATCGTTGGGAATCAATCATGATTGCCCACGGAAAATACAGCGATAAGATAAGGAAAAATGAGAGAAAGAAAGAATATAAATGGTGAAGAAAGCGGCAGAAAAGGAGCGAGACTTGATAGCCGGAAGAGGGTCTTCCAAGTCACTCGGCAGTGCTAAAGCGGTGACGGCAAGCACATTGCCTGCCCATCGAATAAATGAAGTATGTCTGAGTGTAGAGCTGACCAAGCGTCCAAGCCTAGTCGTAGAATCATGCAATCCATCGTAAGCACAATCGTCAGCGGATATACCATGCGTGAGTCCTTCGCCATTCCTCCATTTCAGGTCCAACCATGTATCGCCAGGAGCCAAACACCTTGAAACAAAATCACAAGAAAGGAACATTAGGCGAGGAGAAGGTGAAGCGAGATGAAAAGAAAGCTCAAGTCTCCCCACTCAGCTCATGGTGATGCGAATGATGTGGTTTGCGCTTCCAGAACGCCAAGCGTAGACGACTCCGCCGTTTCGGTAGCCTGCGTGGAGGTTGCTCACCGGCCATTGGGTCATCCCAAGGGGGATGCGCCTCATTCTTGACGCTCGGTGTGGTTGTTGTAGAATGTGCGGGGCTGTTGGACCCGTTCCCTACTACGGAAGTGGTGATGGGACTCTTTCTTCCGTCATCCATGTGTGAATGAGAGGTGTTGGTATCGCTGAAATGGGTGTCACCCTCGGACGGCCCTTCGCCGACGGAGTACTGTTTCGATGAACCAGGCCGTGCACCGTCAGACTCGTCATGCTCGTCTTTGATGTGTTCCCGGGAATAGCCCTTTTCGTCCCTGCTATCGACAGTGACGAAACTGGTGGCATTGGTGGCTGGAGAAATGGGCGTCATGGTATTGCTATATGTGCTCAAGCTGTGGGTGCGCGTGCAACTGTTACGCTGCGAGTTCGGTGCACCTGAGCCGCGTCCGGTCGAGTTGGTGTTGGCGTGATGGCGACGGTGCCCCTGCGGTCCCTGCCGAGAACTGCTCGGTCGCTCTGCTTCTCTTTCAGTGGATTCACCACTGGTGTGATGGGAGTTGGCGCGATTCGGGTCATCGGATGTGTTGGCAAAGATGACGGCAGCGAGAACAGCGTCCCTCGAAGAGCGTCTGGAATTTTGGCCAGTCTGCCCTTCGAAATCTCCAGCATGCTCCGATCCATTCGCGTCAGGAGACGCGCCGGATACCGAGAGCATAGCGAGGTCAGGGACAGCACTGGAGGATTTTCGAGAAGGAACGAATGGTATCGGACTGCCTGTGATATCCATCGATGGGCCTGGGGTGTCTGGCGACACGACAGGACTGATGGTGTTCTCATTGTAATCACTCGGAGATGATTCAGTGGTCCCAAAGTAGTCGCCGGTTGCTTCGCGTCGCTGCGTCGCAGGGTCGTCAGGGTCAAGCGCCGACCTGGCAGAGCTCTCATTCAACGGTGCACGCAGACCTTTGAAACTTGCGGCAGGGCTCTGCGAGCGAGGGGAAAGGCCGCCCTCGAAACGCGTGTCTAGCAGCGACTGTTTCCTTTTCTCCATATCGGCCAGAAAGTGCCAGCGAGTCTGGTTGGTCCGGATGTGCTCGACCGTGAATCTTAACTCAGGCAGAAGGTCCGAAACGCCCTCGAAGAGAGGGAGGGCGAAGATAGACATGAACCCGATCTGACCGGTGGCGAGCTTGTAGACGTTTCCCAGCTCCGGTGGACCACCAAACAACGCAGTTTCCATGCCTACCTCGCGCTCCATCTCTCCCTGATTGGCAAATTCTTCCTGTAGAATCTTGGTCCATTTTTCGGCGACATCCCACGGCCGTGCCACATTGCTGATATCGGCACACTTGATCAAAAGGCCACAGACAAGTGTTTTGTAGATTTCGATATCCTGCGGCTTCCAGCCATCGACAGACTTGCCATTCGCGTAGAACTTCTCCTGCAGAGAACCCAGCCGTTCCATAAACTTCTGATGTACGCCCATGTCGGTCGCCAGGATCGAACTGATGAGCAGTTTCCGAAGTTGTCTATCCTTGAAAGCTGCAGGCCAGTGGCGCCGCAGGATCTGTGAGAATGCAGCGCAGTGGAAAGCCTCCAGGACCGAATTATCGTTGTATAGCTGCGCCAACGGAGCATTGAGCTTGACCAAAAAGAAATTGTTGACTCCGGGATGACCGACGTCGTGACCGATTGCGGAAATAAGTAGCGTCAAAGTGTCAAACGGTGTCAAGAGAGATGCGATGGAGGACGGCGAATCAGGACCGGGGCCGACAGAGCCATATGGGGGCAATGCACCAATATGCACCAGGAAGCAAAACACTGATTGCAGCACATCAATGGCATGTCGGAAATTATGGTAGAGGACAAATGAATTGTACGATGCGCGGCAAGCAAGCAGAAAAGTTCGAAGTTCACCTGCGAAAGAAGGGTCCTGCGTGAGTCAAGTTCTCAAAAGTATCAAAACCACGAAGAACTTACATGGTGTTAATCGCCACTGATCTAAGTTGGGTAGAGTGAAAGCATGCTGAAGCATCTCGCAGGCCCCAAACACGAGTTCGTCTTCGGAGAATTGATGAGCAGTGAAGTTCCAGTTCCCGATGGACTTCCTCACAACTTTCTGCCGCTCTGGACTCACATCCAGGTCCCTTTTACACGTTAGCTGGTGGGTAGAAACTCGACGGCAGAGCGAACGCACCTGTCCTGGAACTCTTCAATGACTTCTTCGGGGTTGCAAATACCCTTCATGAGTTTGGATACCCTAGGAGAATAAATTAGCACTGCGGCTGCCGCATTATGTTGAATGCACTTACATTGCCTCTCTCAAGTAGGCATAGGGCTGCTCATCGTGAACGCCCACCCACGATTGTTTCCGCGACTTTTTCCTGGCGAGGAAGCGAGATTGTTCCCTGCGCGCCGACTTGCGCACTCGATAGGCATGGACTATCAAGCCTTGCACTCTTGACCTGTCCAGTGGTGTTGAGAGAACGTCAACGGCGCCTGCATCTAAGCATTTGGAAATCTGCTGCGGATCGGCAAGGGGAGTGGCCGACGGTTGTGATGTAGGATCGCTGGTTAGTTCGTTGGGCGCGTGGCGCAAGACTGCAATCGGTATGATCAGGTTTGGGATCTCGGAGACTTGAATGTCTGCTGATACCCCTGAGAGCAACTGCAAGCCGTAGGAGGATTCGGATTGAGCGGAGAAGGTGAAGCCCCGACGGATAGATGTCGGAGACGGAGGTCCCGCGTCTGGCCACGAAGCGCGACTGGCTTTGCGACGATCCCGGACAGAGTCCTCGCCGCGACCGAGTTCAATGTCGAAAAAAGCGAAAATGGGCGTGCATTTACTGCTGGCACTATCGGAGAGCTCGGCGAGTTTGGCGGCGAGAGATGTCCCGACATGACAGAGGTATACTGCGATTCAGTCAGCATCCGTAGCAGCAATGGAGGAAGAGGGCAGCGCATACTTTGTTTACACATTTCCAACAAAAGCGCCACGTCCGACCGCAACGATTCAGGTTCATCGGCACGAATGGTATCGCTGCGGGGAGCTATCGGGTCAAACGAATCCCGGTCCACCCATCGTTCCTCTTGCACGCGATCATCGATATATACTGCGCAACATTCGACACGATCCATAGTATCGGCCGGGTTGGGTACGCCCATCGCCAGGAGATTCTGGGCTCAGAAAGAAGGCTCACAAAGATCTAAGGAAAAGTGGAAGAAAGAAAGGTAGAAGGAAAGAAGAGATGCCCAGTCTGGCCTCGGTTTCATATGGTATGCGGACACCAATATCGTCGAGCGTGAGTCCGGTAGAAGGGGAAAAACGAGCGGTCGACGGAAGAGCTGTATGGGAGCGGGGCGCAATCTTGTAAGGAGAGACTCGGTTCGATGAGGACTCTATAAACTCTGTGAAGATTGCATTAGCGCTCATGGTCGCATGATCCAAGTGCGACTGTTTATGCAAGCGAAAGGAGTCAAAAGGCCAAGGGCCTTGCAACCAGAGAGCGATGAGGGAACAAACGAATGACGATCCACGCCAGCGTCGCAATCCCGAACAATGAGGTTGTTCGCTGCAGTATCCCACAGCAGGTTAGGGCTTCGATTGTTGTCCTGCGGGGGAGGAAAGACAGCAGTCCCTTGCGTAGATGTCTCGTTCTGAGACAATCCAGAGTCAAGTCCAGCCCTGCAGTAGCGCACCCTTGATCCTCAATGCAAAAGAAATGCCGACACTGGCCGCAATCACCAAATCCGCACGCACATCACAATCCACTCACTTTTGAATCGTAAATAATATAAGAGCTCCTGAAAGAGAAAAGAGCGAGAGTTGTATATAAAGTGATATGCTGCGACGGATCGCAAACGAAGATCGATCGATCAAAGAGAACAGCAGTCGGGGCGGCGAGGTGAAACGGTCGGGAGGGAGCACCAATTGCCGCAGTGATTTTCGCTTAAGGCCGTCTTAGACAGATACACGTCTGTCGATAATCCACCAGAAAGCGAAGAGTCGGGATCGCAACGTATTCGAGAATCACCTAGCCGAGACGGACGCGAAATTCGAGGTTCCTGGATCGGAGGGGGGAGGGATTCTCAGGATGCCATGATGGGCCTCCGAGAGGGCCAGGCGGAATAGACACGGCACGCAGATGGACAGAGGCAGTGGAGAAGGCAACTGGAACAACCAGGTCCTGTTTATCGGGGAGGACAAAGACGGAATTGTTGCACGAGTCAAATTTCCTGGGTGAGGATTTGACGTTGATGTAACGGGACAAGGGAGGAGGATAACCACTAGTGTGGAATGTGGTTAAGTGGTGGAAAGGAGGAAAAGAAACGCGATGGTGTATGTCTACTCCGTGGTAGTCGATGGTAAAGCGTAGGGAACGAGAAGTGGAAAAGATTAGGAAAAAAAAAGGTAGAAAAAAATTTAAAATTTAAAAAAAAAAAGCAAATGTATGGAATGACGATGATGAAGATTGACAGCGCCTAGAATATACACTGAGGCTGATGGAGCAGGAGGAGAAGAGAATAATGGGACAGAGAGGGCAAAAAGAAGGAAGTCGATCTCAGGGAGGGTCCAAGTGGAGGAGGAGCAAGAGGAGAGGAATGAGGTAGAGCAACCAGACCAGACCACAGAGCCTATGAGGGTCTACCGTACTGACTACTGAGGGAGGTAAAGACAATCAGAGTCTAGCGAGAGGTTCAAATTAGAATTAAGATCGACTAGACAGTACTATCTATCTACGGTATTATTATTAATATCTATCTAGATACTACATCCAACTATTATTAGGGTAGTGTCATAGATAGATGGTCGTAGTCGACTCTGCAGATGAGGATTCTTCTTGGGTTTTTCTTCCAGTCTTCCAGAAGGTCGCGGCACAGCGGGTGCGGGCGTCGTCAGAGACTCGGCGATGGGGCCGATCCTTACCGAGTCGGTAATACAAACTTACTTGTAAGGTATTACGACGATCATCTTACTTCCTTAAGGAGTTACAAAGGTACCTTACTTATAATGCCAGGCATACCTATTTAACTGGGACATTGCACCATTCGTACCCAGTAGATGATGAAAGGAGTGCTTGAAAGTCTCTGGCTTAATATGCTTGGATATCACGAACGTGCTCAGCTCAACTTCGGATCAGCATAGACAAATCACCTGCAGAGAAGAAAAAGCAAAGGCAAGGAGAACGATGCAAAGCAATCCATCTAGAAACATTCCGAGTCAGTAAGGTAGTACAGCGTATCTAGGGGAGTTAGTTACCTTAGGCACCGAATCAAGCTCAACTCGAATGCAGACTGTCGCGTTTTCACCTCGCTCTCATCCATCTCTCCAATCAGTAATAAAACTTACCCAATACCTTACCATCCAGATTTCGGACAAGTTGACAGCCATGAAAAGAAAAGAAAAATTCAAGATAAAGTAAGTGGGGAAAGTGGGGAGGCCACAACGCCTGATCATTGATCAAACCATCCAATCTCATCGACCACTGCACTCTGCGCGTTTTCTAGAATGCTGGCTGAGCAAATCAGCTTGTCTCATTTGTGGGTATTTACGCCTGTTTTATGGTTCGTAATTTCCTTTATCCGTATAACACCTGACACTTACCGAGGTTCTCTCCTACTTCATCATCATGAGAACCTACCTTTTACCTACCCAACTGTACGTCCACTTTAGGTATATTTTAGGCATCGGTTATCATTTAGCATGGATAGTATCTGCAGCCTGAGAGCCTATAGATGGAGTAGTACAGAGTCCAGAGTCCCAGAGTACTCCGTTCTCCGTCCATGCAGATTAAATGTTTACTTCACCTATGACCTAAGGGGCTACTAAGGTAATCAAAATTAATTAATCCTCAGGGGCGCAAGCGCACAACCACCACCCGAGGCCGCAGATGTAATAATTGATCAGTGGCAAGTGAACCATTGACGTGATGTGATGTGATCTGATGCCACAAACGGTATCTTTGGTGCCTTAGGTCCTCCATCAAAGTTACCTGGAACTTACTGCAGTTAGCAAAACTCAACTGAGATTCCAGATCAAGTAAGTCCTGGACAATGATGATGTTATGTGGCGACTCCCCAGACACAGCTGCCGATTCACCATTCTTGTTTAAGAGTTGGGTGAAGATCATTTAATCGATCTATTGATATCGATCCCAAGAGGAAGATCACTAATGTATCCATCTTTTTTGATTCTATTCACTTCATGATATTGATAACACTAGACTCAGATACAGATACTCCGTAGATACCTTAGTCCGTACCTACTAAGGTACGTATCTACAGATTACTCGAGCATATTTGTGGCCCCGCTCTGGAGAGGGCCCAGATTCCAGAATCCCCCCTAGCGTCTGCCTACTACGAGTCATCACGTAACATATCTACTACTATCGAGCACGCTTCCTACTATCTACAGCCGACGGAGCATTATGAAAAGACAAGCACTTAGAAATAATTTAGCAAATAGAGCTGAGGCTTGAAATCAAGTCCGAGTTTCGGCCGACTGCCTACCCATTATCTATTAGATGACTCTTGCTGGACGGAACGATTGTGATCGGATAGCGGGAAGGAAGCTAAAACTCCAAGGGATAGAATAGATACCTTGCTTGGCTGACCCCTCAGACATGCGACAGTCTCCCGTGTTGACCTCGTTGATCGGCCAGAGTCAAGAATTCACGAAATCATTCTTTTTACTAACAATAGAATACAGTCTGATTTTTGAGTTATCAAATAAAGCTTGTTCGTCTCTTAAAATGCAATATACACAGCCTGAAAGCTGCAACAATCGAACGCTGACAAGACCCCAACATATGCACCCCAAAATGATGATGATCTGAATCTCTAATCGTCTTCCCTGTAGATAATGGCTCCCAGAAGCACAAACATTCAAAAGGGGAAGAAAAATGTAGCAGAAGAAATAATGGACAAATTGAAAATGGCGCTCATAATGACAAGAAATCCCAACCCCAGTTTGAATGCCAGAAAGCAAAACGAAAATTAATAAACACTATCATACATTCGCAATCACCGTGCCCTGATACCCCACGCTAAGAAAGTAGATTTTTCAACGATGGACTGGCGCTTGCCCCAGATCCTCCGTGCGTTCCATTGACACCCGAACTCCTGCCAGTGCTCATCGCTCCTCCGGCTGCACTGAGAGGCGCGTCCTCCATCTTGCCAGGAGGCGATAGCCCCCGGGGATCCATACGCGCTTGCGACACTGGGGGTGATTGTGTCGGGGCACCGAGGATGCGATCCACAGAATACATTCGCGGAGGCGGGCCTCCGTTCAAAGCGCTGAGAGAGTGTTGAGGAGAGTGGCGGACGATTGTCGCTTGTGCCGTTGGAGGTGACGCTGAGGATGCGTACGGTCGAGGGCCCGGTGCATGGGACGGATGAGGTGACGGCATGGACACTGGCGCATACGGGCTCTGATGAACAGTGTACGGTTGGTGCGGAGGTGGAGGCGCACCACCAGGATAATGAGGTGGTGGTGGAGGAGGAGGAGCGTGATGAGTAGGTGGCGTCGGATGTTGAAAGCCATTAAGCGGATGAGTCTGGACGGGGGGCGGTCCTCCGTGGTATGCAGGAACTGGTAAGCCGTTGCGCAGCTTACCATCGGCAAGCTCAGTCGACCGCTGTTCATGGGCCGGGTACCATTCAGAGCCATGAGCCAGAGGGCCACTAAGCGGCCTTGGGAGAGCATTGGTCGGAGGGGGAGTCGGATGCGCGTGGGGTCCATAAGGATGCCCATGATATTCGGGGATTCGGGGAGCGGGAAGCACTGGCCGCTGCGCTGAGTAGGGAGATGGTCGAGGCTCCGGAGATGGCTGAGCTGTAGCATTTTTCAGGTAGCATTTGTGACATTCGTAGAGTGGCCCCTCCGCGACCGAGCTGTAATCGCCATTCAGCTTGGGTAGAGCATGCTGGGGTAGATTCTGGGAGAGGAATGGCGGGCTGGAAGAACTCATTCCAACTCCATTCATGCTCGAGCCTCTGCTGTTAAGGACAGCAGCTCGCCGCGAACCGTCGATCGGCCACCACCGAGGACTGAACGAGGTAGAGCAACGACAGCATTTCCGCTCCACCTCGGGACTGGAGACTTGCCGGGGAGCACGGTTTCCGGAATCAATCTCCATCTCATCCGTATGTTGTTCCGGAGCCGTCACGGCGGGTTTTTGGGTGTCCTTTGTCGTGGGTGCCGATTGAGGGGCAGCAGTGACAACACCGTTGATGGCGGAGGCGCGCCGACTTCCGGCGTTCGTTGCATGCTGAGAAGAAGCATTCACCGTTTGTTGTACATATGCTGCTCTTCGAACCGTCCCGGGTAACGTCAGGTCCGCCTGCTTGTACGACTGAACGAATTGTTGAAGTGCGTTCAAACCGTCTTCCCCCGTCACCTCACCAATCTGGTGGAGGCCGGATGAAGGAGCGTGATGCGGACACCAGATGCCCGCGGTTGCTGCTCCCACCTCCTCCCCAAGTCGTATACTGCTGACTGTGTCCCGTCTAGAACTCTTGACTGGCGTAATGTTGAACCCGAAGGTGTACTGTGCCTGAAACGCACAACCCACATGAAAACGGGCATTGCAGCCGCTGTGGCTGCAGGTCACGCAGGCACCTTTCGTGGTCTTGCAGAGCTTGCACACGTCCCTGTACCTGTCTGCCGCAATAAGTCCAAATCCCTCCGCAGGCTCGAGCTCTTTGGCATTGCCGAACTTGATCTCTGGGGTCCAGACAGCACACATGACATGAACCCAATTGTTACCGGCAGTCCGCTTCAACGGTTCTCGTGGACCAATTGGTTTGCCTACAGCCTCTTGCCGTTGCCGATAAAGCTTGATAGCCTCCTGCACCATCTCCTTCTCGAGTCTCTCCTTCTCCCGATCACGATCCGTCTTCTTCTTATGCGATACCTTTGGCGCCTCCATCAATTCATGCTCCGTCCAGGTCACGGGGCACAGAACGCATTCGTAACATGTGGAAATCATGGGACTGCGGTCATTCGAGCACATATCACACAGCCACTTCGCACAATTACGCGATGGACTGACTCCATAGCAGTTACGATGGACAGTCAAACGGCAATCTCGGCACGACAGGTGTTGGTCGCCCAAAGGCTCCAGACTGTTGCAAACGGCGCAAGGAAGAGTTTTGGCCTTTGGAGGATCCGGAACGATTGGTTGCGGCTCTGGCGCTTTCTCCGGGGCGGTTTCTTTTTCGGTGCCGGTTCGACCGAGGTGGTAACTGGTGTAGCAGTGCCTTCTTTCTCGTTGGGCTTTGCCTTTTTCTTGTTGGAGTCTTGTTGCTGTACTTGCGGGTTGGCGTTCACTGGCACACCGATCGAGGCCGCAGTGGCTGCAGTGGCACTGTTGATACTGATCGGTGTCTCAGTCGAAAGCAGGAGCTGCGTCAGTAATTCCTCGTCGACTCGGCGGCGCCAGGACTTGTTGCCGCTCTGCGCGATCTTCTTTGCAACTTCATCCACGCTTTCCCATTGGATTCCGTACTTTCTCCACAATAAAGCACAGCGAAGACAGAGCGCCACCGTGAGCAGTGGGCCCTTGTCCTTCTTCGATGGCTCGCTCGGGGTCGTGGTGCCGGGCGGAACGCCAGGCGCGCGTCGCCATTGCCGCGAAGACCGCGTGGAGCAGAACTTGCACTGAAAGCCACGCTTCTTCTCGGTCGCTTTCTCATTGTCGAAGGCCGAATCATCGTGGTCGTCAGCCACGTCATCAACAAGTTTCGAATTGGCACTGTGCCGTTTGGCTTCTTTTTTGCCTTTTCTGCCCTCGTAGCCGCCCCAAATCTGCCGACCACGCGGGGTCTTCTTCCACATATAGTAGAATCGAACGATCTGATAATGCGGAACCGTACCGACGTGTTTGGTCACATTGCGCAGCTCTGATCCGTACTTGGCAACGCCCTGTTCGAACAACTTCACTTCCTCGGGGCGTAAATGCGGTTCCTTCAAATCCTTGTATTTGTTTTGCTGTTTCAGTTTCGCAAGAGCGGCCTCGGCATCGAAACTGTTCGAATACAGAAGCTCCAAGGCCTTGTCGAGGAAATTCGTAGCGTACTTCTCCTCTCCTAATTGAGGTGCGATTTCCTTAGCCCGTTCCATATACTCGTCGATAAATTTCTCTCGATCAGCAGGACTGAGTTCCGCTCCAGGCGCATCATCTTCGCCCCGGCTCGGGATCTGCGTTGCAGTGGGCATCTTAAACAGGACTTCGGCAGTACGGGTTGGCTTGCCGTTTATTAGAACTGGTTCGTCCTCGCCGCGTCGCACATATCCAACTGGTTCATCCATGACCCATTTCGGACGGTTTGCGATTTCCTGCTTCGCTGCTTCGATTGCTGCCTGAGCCTCTTTCGAGAGCTTCGAATCTTTGCGGCCTGAACGACTCAAATATTTCTTTTTGATATCAATCGGCTTGGCATACTCGACTGGACGGCCAGGCCATGGGTTGACAATCGCTTGATGCCGTGGTCCCAGTCGAGAACTGGCTCGAGGATAGATGCGGTCATCGTAATCAAGCGCATCTTCCACCCGACAATGAATCCCCAAATAACGGTAGGGCCACATCCGGGCTTGCGCAATCTGTTCCTTCGTCGCCGGACGAGGATGTTCCTCCTCCGCCGGAGCAGGCGTGCTGACATTGGTATCGTTAGGAAGACCATTCGGCTCCTCCTCTTCTTCTTCGGCAACTTCTTCCTCGGCTTCGGCTGGAGTTTCACCGATGATGGGCGTGTTTCGAGCCTCGAGTTTCTTTTCCTGTGCACGGCTGCAGGCTGCACAGGCCCATGCAAACCCCCGGGCGGGCTTTTTGGTGAGAACTGGGCGCACACAGTACATGTGATAGGTATTGTGGCAGACAGCGCAATCAACCGAGTCATTGCTATAAGATGAGTCAGTGGTAAGCTCGAAGGATTTTATGACTTTATCATGAAAACCTACTTAGCAGCGTACAAACCGCATCGCTTGCAGGTTTTGACCGCACTAAACAGTTCTTTCCGTTTTCCTATCTCCACTAGGATGAACTTCCAACGTTCATCGAGGACCTTCTTGACATTGGCCGGTACATTGATCACCTTCTTGGTGGGGACGACCTCGTAGTAGCGATGGATATACCGGTCAAACATCTTGTCGTACCAAAATGAGTCCCTCGTTTTCCGATACGCATTGAAATCGTCTATTTCCGACAGATGCTTGATCTGGCATTTTCCACGCAATGATGTGAGCGGACACGTGTCGGAATGCATGGAAGCGAAGACAAGTCTTGTGTCTGCGACGATGCGATGAATATCACGGGGTCGATAGTACCAATTAACTCGCAGCGCTTCAATGGGTCCATTGGATTTATCCTTGGACGGAAGAAACTCCATGATTCGAGCAAGGTAGTACGGCTCTCCAGGAGGCTCGCAAATAAGGTAAACATGATCTGAATGTATAAGTTTTAGTAAATCGCGCACAAGACATTGTATGTAGGATGAACTTACCATTCACAGCGAATGTTGTGCCGTCATCGGCAATTAATTTGCCATCCTTGAGGTAGGCACCATTGTTCTCGAAAGAGACCATGTTGGACTCAGGCAGGTTGGGGTCCGCGCTTGGCGCAGCGGTAAAGAGTTTTTTGGCCGCATTTCCGTTTGTGGAGTTCGAGTTCGTAGAGCTCGCCGGTTGTTTACGTTTTCTCGACGAGCTCGAAGATCCGGCTGAATCGTCTGGCTTCGCAGAAAAAGAAGACGTGCCAGGAATCGCGTCCTTGGCGGCTGCGGCATTAGGTCCATTCACCGCGGTTAGGCTCTTTCGAGAATTCGACGATGAGGAAGCTTTCTCGCCGTCCGGTTTGACACCATTCGTAGTGCTAGTGGCAGCTGTACCACTACTTTTCTTGGATGATTTGGGTGCTGAGGGTGGAAGCAATTCGAGGTCCATGTCAATGTCGCGATCTTCGGCGTAGTTGGGGCGAGGCGCATTGCGACCCCTGGACCGAGTGCCATAAGGCGCAGGAGTGGCGGAGGTGCTGGGCGGCTCCGCACCCGCAGCCTCTGAAGGAGTTGTGCTGGCTGTCATGGGTTGCGATAATGATTCATTCGCGGTGGCGTTGCCTTGGGCGGTGGAAGAATCCGCGGATCCCCTTCGGGATGTTTGACCAGAAGTAGGCATGCGATGTGATGGTGAGGTAGACTTCACGTGTTGTTGTTGTTGCGGTTGCTTCTGGGGCGGCGACCTGTCCGAGGCCATGACCAGCCCCCAGAGCGGTAGAAAGTTGAGGTGAATTACACGGAGTCTGAGTGGCTGCAGCGTACCGCCAGTGTTGCGTAGGTGGTAGGCGTGAAAGTTGAAGAACACCCCAATTTGGCTTGAACGCAGAAAAATGCAAGGTTCAAATACGGGCCGCGACGGAAGGACGATCCCTCATCAAACTTGGTTGTGCAGTGAATGAGTGAAAGCTGAAGACATCCGAGCGAAGGCAAGCCGGAAGTCAAGGGGGGGAAGTGAGTCGAGTCCCGTGATGCAAATGTCTACGCAAACAAGTTCGGAAATTGAAGACTTGGGTGCGAGATGAAAAAGTGGTGCTAGTACCAGTTCCCGCAGGGGTGTGGAAAGGGTCAATCGCGTGTCAAAGAAAAAGTCGGAGAGACAAGACTAAGAGACCCAGGATATCTAGAAGATCACGATCGACACCCTTCAAAATCGGGCCAAGGCGGGAGACTACCAGACTCCAGGGAAGATAAACCTCGCTTAGAACTGTTAGACAAGCCACGAGGGGAATATGAATGGAGATATGGGAGAAAGGAATGAAAGGAAGGGAGACGGGAAGGTTGAGGAAGTCCGAAAGACTGAAATTGATGATGGGGTGTGTGGTGGAGAAGGAAGGGAGGGAAGAGGAGGAAGGAGTAGAAGAAAAGACAGCGAGAGAAAGAGAGAGAGAAGTTGCTGTAGGATAAAGTTAAGTTGACGGCGGTATAAGCAAAACAAAACCAGAGCCACTTGGGTACCGCAAATAGGTGTATGCGTCGGGGGATGACTCGTGGGGTGAGTGAGCAATGAAGAGGTAAGATGGGCCAGTAGGAGGTGATTTAAAGTATGTATGCACGTAGGTCCACAAGGGTAAAGTCAAGTCAAAAGGGAATGGAAGTAGAAGGTTTTTACCTGGGTTGGTACTTGCGTAGGTCGTGGTAGTGGCTTAGTAGCCTACTCCGTAAGTAGGATTATCGAATCAAATCAGAATAGAACTCTGCCTAGACCGAAAGTCGTGAAGGAGAGTTGTCGGGGGAAGATGCAAGATAAGATGGCAAGGTACGGAAGCGGTAAGAGTAAAGTTGGTAGGAAAGGAAGAGGAAGAATGGTAGATGGGTTCGTCGAGTCAAGGGACGAGGGGTTTGGGAAGGACGAGGACGACGAGGGTGACGACGGTGACGATGAAGACCATAATAATAATGAGAAGAAAGAGGGAAGAAGATATGGAGGCAATGAGAATCAGGAAATCCGTCTAACTAGAGGATGAGAGGATCCCGACCAGACCACGTCCCTTTTGCCCCCCTAGTCCCGATATGTTAATATGACGGGTCCTCCACCAAAGGACGAACCAGAGGAGATTTACTACGACGCAGTACAGCGTTTAGTCAAGGATGGTAGGAAAAGGAAGAAGGGTAAGAAGAACCAAAAGAGAGCGAGCGAGTGAGGCGGGAAATCTGAGGGTGTAAGAACCCTTGAAAGACTTGAACTCCAGGATGTGCAATCGGCCTTCCTATCCTCAATGATATTCCTTGACTTGGTTTGATGGATAGATTGTATCATACAAGATTAAGGTACCTAGGTAGGAGCTGGATTGTTCCAGTGTGCTGGCTGATCCAGCCGCACCGTTATGCTTGGTATTTATTTGTTCTTCCTTAGTAGATACTGGTTTTCTTCAGTCTTCTCGTCCATATCAAGACACTTAGACAGGGCAGCTTTTCAGTAGACTCTCGATAGATACACAGGCCGGTTATTATTATTTTACACACTATCTTGGTCCCCTTGCTCAGTCTTAAGGGTTAAGGCGGCTGTTGACCCGTTGGGTGATCTACGTATTGGTGCTAGCGGGAGAATTTACTCATGTAGGCAGGTCTAGTCTAGTCGTTTTATATGGGTGGTTCCCGCCGGGTTTGTTTGATTTAGTCACCTCGAAAGGGTTGTGTGTGTGCGTGTGTCTGTTGTGGGCCGAGCGACCCGATGCAAAGAACCATGATGACGATTATGATGATATCTGAACATGGGGCCATAGAAAAGTAATGCATTATGAAGGCCCCATTATCTATAGAACAGAGCGAATGAACCCATCCACCATAGTCAAAGTACACTACATAAGGCTATAAGTACCTTAGAGGTTCGATGAGAACCCGGAGTTGATCCGGAAAATGTATGGTAAAATATGGGAAAGGGAAAGAGACGGGAAAAGCCTCAGTCTAGGTTGTGGCTGGAATGTTGTTACGTAGGGCAGCATGCGTGTTGGCTGTTGCTTCTCTCCGTCACCACCATCTGGTCCTGGAAGAAGCCATGCGACCTTGTTCCGCCTTTCCTGGGAAATCAAAATCCCTGGACTTCCTGAGATACAATATGATGAACCTATTGATGGCGATCGCCTCATTGGGAAAAGAATCCAGTAATGTGCTGCGCGGTTATTGCTCCGTCAACACGGCCGAGAGGTACTCTGGCATCCGAGGAGTATAGTCGCACAGGAACATGGTATCATACATACAGCTAGAATTCCGTTCTAGTGGACAGAGGAGGGTACGTATGAATAACAAATGTGACAAAATTAAGGCATTATAGGACGGATATATTAGATCTCCCAATCTTCAGTAAGCATCAACGTTGCAACGATACACGCAGTTTTCAGAGGAGCTCACAGAATATAGGTAGGAGGCCAAATTCCGATTGAAAACAGGCTTAGGTATCTCTCTACCTACGAATAAAATTTCGAATTTTTCGTCTGGTATGGCTGGGACCCCTCGCACTAGCTACTATCGATCCGAAGAATGAACAACGCCTGTGGACAAACGCCACTTTCAATACAAACAATGGGCAACGATAGGAAATCCCTAGTCCTTACTCAGTTTCAGATGATTCGCTTGTAAAGGGGGGAGGGGCTACTCCAGAGGGGTATCAGACTTGTACGACCGAATATTGTCCGCAACCCGAAATGAAGCGATAGGGACGGCCGATGATTTGACTCTAATAGTCAAGCGAGAGCCTTCCGGTAGGGCCTCTGCATGACGCTCAGTTGGATTATCAAAATAAATGGTTTCTACTCAATATGCTGGACCAACTGGGCAGTATGAAGGGTCTCGATTCTCTTAGGTTGAGAAAGATCATCACGTTACCAGCGCGAACTGCTATATGCGTGGCTTAGTGCAGGGAATCAGTGAAATGCATTTGCTGGGGATCCCCGCGGCAGCGGACTTTTGGCTGGCTCCATACTAATAGTCTTGGCTGGAACTAAGGTTTTTATTATTCGACGGAAATGACCGCGAACAATCCCACACTGCTTATTATGGAGTGTGATCCCGATTTACTCTCACAATATCATTCAGAATCCTTCCCTAGGTTTAGTCAGAACAAATTTACTCTTAGGCTGAGGGAAATGCATGCTCATGACTACCAGCTTGCCTTGCGGATTCCTTAATACCGCTGGTTGTCTGGAGATCATACCTAAACCACGTCAGACTCGGCCAATCATAGTCCTTATGCCACGATAGCCGATGATTGCTGCTCGCTAACGTTTCTGACGGAGTTGCCACCATCGTAGACATTATTATTGCTGGTTCGAGCTCGATGGTGCACACACCACCAAAGCAAAATGTCTGTCCTCAAATAGGATTTAACCGTGGAGGTCAGGCTTTTTCACCCGTTCCAGAGATGCCTGGTTCTCAGAGTCATGTGAGATCTGATCGAATGCTTGCCTCATGCTGTTACCTTGATTTAGCGACAGTGTAAGATCTGAGACGCTCGTATTCCTCAGCCTCCTGCTCGCGTGTTTCGCGACTAAATCAGGGGCAACTCATATGAAGATTGGGAGTGGCATTGTGGAGGATTGCTTGCTGCTGACTGTGGCGACGGCAGGCGTTGTCATACCTAGATACCATAGTGTGAGCTAAACCAACTCATTGAACAGTCGCGATGATGATAGTCTTTCCTCGTAAATCGGAGATATTAGTACGTTAGGAGAGAGAGAAATATAGACTAATCGACTTCATTTCAATTGCATTGTCTTCTGTCGGCGCCCATGACTTGCACACAGTCCACTCACGAACAGTAGGTAAGTACCCTGGCGAATATATATCTCCGACTTGCCGCCAATTTTGCTATGAGCGCCAGCGCACCTCGAGCCAGCTTATTTAGGTCAAACTTATCCGTATAATTAATGATACCATCAATGCTAGATTAAGAAATCATAATTTACTGTTATATAACCGCCCGTGTCGTTGTGCTCGGCAGTCAATTCGAGGACCGACGGCTACGGTCTATAAGCGACGCTCGGCAGATACTGATGGATGGCTGAGGGTCAAAAGTGGTCCGGACCATCGCACTACTTTCCTCTCTGCCATTTGGCTCTCTATCTCCGCACCCTTCCCTCGCCTGCTGTCTTTGCTTGTCTATTTCACATTGTCCCCTTGACTTATTGTTTCGTGGAGATATCTTTGTAGAAACCATGTATCCGAGGAAGTCCGGATGTACGGAGTAGCAGAGCACAGCGCACATCCACCAAAATGAAGGGGACTGAAGCGGGTCTTGGCAATGCACCTTCTTATGTCCTTTGAAGAAGAGAAAGAGCAGGATCTCAAACGCGATAGCGTACTGTCTTACGTTTCCACTTCGCGAGTATCCCCCCGACTCGAGAGCTCTATGGCAGACTCGATAGGCGGGCTTAGTTACATCGATCTAGGAATACTCATGGCTGTGAACTCCGTTGGCAGATACGGTGTGCATTCACATTGATCGAATGCATCCACACTAGCTAGAGGGGTATCGAGTCATGTGTACTAGATACTGGACCGTAGTAAGTTAGCTGCATACGACTAGTGGTAACTCCGTACATGCGCTGGATTTCATCCTCGGGTACACTTTGGGAAATGGATTTCCGCGTCGCATATGGCAGTGGACTACTCAGTGGAATAATCGTGTTCCAGAGTACTGAATAATCCTAATCTCGGGGAAACAATTTCTATCCGCTGAACTTAGGAGTTATCGATTTCCAACTTGCATCAGTTAAGTGGTGATCACAAGCCACTGTACCACAGGTGGATACTAGGCGACCGCGTAGCCAAGCATAGATGATGATGATTCATCAAAACAAGCCCTGAACACTTTCAAGTTGGATAACTATACCAATATGCTCTTAATATTCCATATTAATAATGTTTATGAAGAGGAGAATGAACCATTAATCACTATACCAGATGAGATAGAAACGGATGCAAGAAGAGATGCAGCATAAGGGCAGAGTCAAACTCCCTAGACGCACAAATAATCTGTCCGTGCACAACCATAGGTGTCCAACCTGCTGGGCTTGGTAAATGAGCCCTTTATGCCACCATACCTACTTTGTCTAGCGTGGTCATGTAGTGAATGAGAATCATTGGATATCTATCTACTAGTGCTATCTGGTGGCTACTAGTAACTAGCGTGCTCCGGTTGGCTGGACGGAGCTGATCCAGGAACGTTCCGCCCTGCAGAGTGCAGACGGTAAGCAGCAAATAATGATTAAGTGCCTTGGATCCTTACCAGGCTCAAGTAACCGCCATATCTGCCTTGCTGCCTTATTGCCTTAGGCTGTTATTTTTCCATATCCGCGACTGCAGTTTCCCGAAACTGACGCGGTGCACCCGCGCTGTTGCCTTGAATGTAATTATCTCCAGTACAAGTAAAAAGAGAGAGAGATGATCGCGATGCTCCTCAGGAGAGTTTGATTGATTGGGATTTCAAGCAGGTTAAATGGTCAATATGCTGGAGGAGTTTGGACAGATCTGATACAATAACTCAGTGCATCCCACTCTATTGTTTGGCGCCCAACCGTCAGCATCCACTATAACGCCACGGATTTTCAGAACTTGAGCACTTGCTAAGCGTACGCCGCACCGTTATCCTAGCATACAGTACAGATGCTCAAGGGATGCCATTCCAAATTCATGGCTTCCAGACTTCCATCGATGTCGCTCGCCAGCAGACTTATGATGTAGCCTCACTGGCAGGACAAAAGCGACTTACAGAGCAGTCACCGAATGACTCTTTCAAGGTCGCAAACCTGAAACAAGACATTGATAATAGTAAGACTGGTTTGCTGGATATTCGTGCGGTCGATTTTTCTCGTCCCTCAGTAACTCCTCAGAAAAACCGACTGGTCGCAAGCGAGATTCATCACGTTGCAGCCGCCATTCCCCCAGGAGGCAGCCAACCAGGAAGGACAGATAACGCCGTACCAGGTTCCAGTCAAAATCCTCTTCTGTTTCTCAAAAATCCCCGATATGGACTGCCACCTGCTCTGGTGGCCAACTTTGCTGCTCTTGGGGTTACCAGCATCTACCCGTGGCAGGCGTCATGTTTGCTCGCTCGGGGACTCCTCGAAGGGGAGCGGCATCTTGTCTATACAGCACCTACTGGAGGCGGAAAGTCCCTCGTGGCCGATGTCTTGATGCTGAAACGCATCATTGAACATCCGTCTCGCAAGGCGATCCTCGTCCTTCCGTATGTGGCACTCGTTCAAGAAAAGCTCAAGTGGCTTAGACGCATTGTGGAAAACGTCGAAAAGAAAGTCCTTGATGATGATGATGAAGCGGCTCGGTCGCAGCCATACTACCAACGCTGGAAAAAGCTACAGAAATCTATTCGGGTCACAGGGTACTTTGGTGGGACTAGGACCGCTGCCTCTTGGGCTGACACAGACATTGCCGTCTGCACGATAGAGAAGGTCTGCCTTTCTCAGAAGCCATCGACGAGGGTGAACTGATTACTGACATGGGCTTCCAGGCAAACTCATTGATTAATACCGCTGTTGAAGAATGCTCTATTGGAGACTTGGGTGTCGTTGTCTTGGACGAATTACACATGCTGGACGATGAGCATCGCGGCTACATCCTCGAACTGATGGTGACAAAATTGCTGTTGCTGCAACAAGACATCCAGATTATTGGCATGAGTGCCACCCTTTCTGTAAGTGATCACTTCTGTATCTCGATTGGGGCCCGCTAACTCAAGGACAGAATACGAAACTGTTGGCGGACTGGATGAATGCAAAGTACTTTATTTCTACTTATCGACCGGTTCCAATCGACGAGTACCTGGTCTACGAGAACGCTATTTACCCTGCTGCAACTTCGCGTCAATTGTTCCAGACTATCACTAGGTTGAAGACCATGAAAACGATTTCCTTGACGGATACTATGCCCCCACACCGCATGATACAATGTTCAAAACATCGAGAACTTGCAAACCCCATGACAAATGCAATGGTTGCTCTGGCCGTCGACACTGCTGCAGCAGGGTATGGTGCTTTGGTATTCTGCGGGAGTCGGCAAGGTTGCCAGATCAGTGCAGGAATCATCAGCGAAGCTATGCCTGCAGTGTCTGGATTGGAGGCCGATGAGCTGAGCAGGAGATTGGATCTCCTTGCCGATCTCAGAAGCCTTCCCAGCGGCCTTGATCCAGTTTTAGAAAACACCATCCTCAAGGGTGTTGGATTTCACCGTAGGTGCTTACCTCGCTGGCTTACGTCAATGACCTAACTCGGCTACAGACGCAGGAATGACCGCTGAAGAGCGGGAATTGATAGCTCAAGCATATGACCAAGGAGTTTTGAAAGTTATCGTGGCCACCTGCAGTCTGGCAGCGGGTGTCAATCTTCCAGCGCGGAGGGTGATCATTAATGGAGCACGCATGGGCCGAGAGTTGGTCGGACCGGCGATGCTGTAAGAACCGCCTACTTTGATTTCAGTGACCCGAGCTAACGAGAGGCAAGACGGCAAATGTGCGGACGAGCGGGCCGCAAGGGAAAGGACAACGCCGGTGAAACGTATCTGATATGCGGAAAAGCTGATATACAAGCTGTTTGCGACCTTCTCGAAGCCGATATGCCGGCAATTGAAAGCTGCCTAGCACCGGAGAAGAGAGGTCTCAAACGGTATTTTGTCTTAAAAACATTGCTATACGGGCAGTTGCTGATATATGATCTAGGGCTCTTCTGGAAGCTATTGCAACGGGGCTGGTCTCCGGTTGCGAAGCAATCAAAGAATATGTGAAATGCACTCTTTTGTATCGGACGGTGGACAAGAAGATTGCCTATTCCATTATGGAGTCCTCACTTCAGGAACTAATTGACGAAGGACTACTAATTTTCAAAGAGGATGAATCGTACGAGGCGACAAAACTTGGGCAGGCAGTAGTGGCCTCGGCGTTCGCTCCCGAGGACGGCCTTTTTGTATACGAAGAATTGAAACGAGCCTTACGGGCATTTGTCATGGATGGTGACATGCATATTTTCTACATGTTCACCCCCATCCAAGTGGCGATGAACACTCAGATAGATTGGCTCATTTTCCGAGAACAGCTGGATAATCTTGACGAAAGTGGTCTACGGGCGCTGCAGTTTGTCGGCGTGCAGCCGTACTTTGTGAATTTGATGTGCGCTGAATTGTTTTAATTCCGTTGGTAAAGAGCATGGAGGCACTAACGGCTTGCAGGGTCCAGAGCGGAGGATCGCTAAAGGAAGACAACCCAGAACAGATTAAACAGGCGACTATCTATCGGCGGGCCTACACAGCTTTTCAGCTGCGTGACTTGAGTAACGAGGTGCCACTATCGACAATTGCGAGCCGCTACAACATCCCCCGTGGCGCTGTTCAGACACTAGCACAGCAATGTCACGGCTTTGCGGCAGGCATGGTGAAGTTCTGCCAGCGCATGGACTGGGGCATGCTTGCTGCAGTTCTGGATCATATGCGCGATCGACTGGAAGCTGGAGCGCGCGCAGACTTACTCGAGATGGCCCAGGTCACGTATGTGAAGGGCTGGACGGCACGACTGCTCCGAGAAAATGGGTTTCGCAACTTGAGAGACCTGGCCGAGGCAGAGGCGAAGGACCTTGTCCCGGTACTGATGATGGTATGTTATTCGGCTGTTTTAAGAATGCCTGGGGTTAACCGTTGCCAGGCGAATCCTCGCAAAGCGCAAAAGAGCCAGCTACATCCCACGGAGGCCGAGCGGTATAGAAAAAAGCTGCTTGCAAAAGCCGAGATTATCGTGGCTTCCGCAAACAAGATCTGGGGTATGTATAATGAAGCTTTAGATGATCTTGAATGAATGCTCAGGTCAGTGTCTTAGAACGCGAGATGCAAGTTGACTTGGAGGAATGAGAGCCGAGTTCAAGTATGACCATTCCCATGGTTTACTGACGCTTATCACCCGAACTTCCGACCTTTTTCAAAGACGTGCGATGATGAACTGTATCATGACCTGGAGCAGGGTTCCGGAGTGTTATGGAGATTGAAGCAACTACGTTGAATTCTGGCACTTGGAATAGAATTTGTGGGACAATCTTCTTGGACATATCATATCACTCTAGTAGGTAGGCATAGGATTGCTATCTCTAACGAATCATGTTGGAATGGAATAAACTCAAGAGGGTATCAGCAAACAAAAACAAACACCCAACACAATCAGACACCATTCAGAGCGTTCTGTGCGTTCATGACTTGACCTTGATCGACGAAATCCGCCAGGACAACGTTAGGCTTCCGACCGTAGAGAGAGCTGCACAATGCGCTCTGCGCGCCAATACTGCCACTACCAGACACGGCATTGGTCTGCGGTGCGCGCAAGCGATCGGGGACCAGGATGCCCAGGATCTCGACGTCCAGGAAATGATTGACGATGTACATGCGCCCATCAGCCGAGGCACCGGATGGACGGTCGATGCTGCAACTCGGGAAGTTTGCGTCTGTTACGTCGAAGGGGGTTTCGAAGTAATAAGCGAACTCGTTGAGGATATAGGGGACGGAGTTGACATCGGCGCCGTAATCTACCCATGGTCAGCCGCACATACCCCCTCGGACATGCCTTTAACAGACGGCCAATACTCACCCAGGAACACCACCAGCCTCTTCCCCTTCTCAATCAACGCCGCCAAGGTCGGCCACGCATCCATCGCCAACGTCTGGGGGCTCCCCTCCGGCACAAACGCATAGTCCCTCAACCCGGCCCCCGCAAAGGCCTCGTCGAAGCGCGCCACTGGCACACTATCCGCGTTCGTCAAGAGCAGGGTGACGACCTCGTCCGGGTGCGCATCCAGCCACCCCTTCACGGTCTCCAGGAACGACTGCAAGGTCCCCGCGTCCTCGAGCAGACAGGAGGTATGGCATAGCCGGAGCGCAGTGTCGCTCTCGTCGAGGCTCTTGTGTGTCTGGCCCTGGAGGAAGCGGATGCCCAGGTCTAGTTGTTCTGTCACCTCGAGGTTCTGGTTTTGTTGCGGGAGGGGCCGACGAAGGGGCTGTCGTGGGCGCCTAGGAAGGTGATGTTGGAGTAGAGGCGGGTGCAATAGGCTGGGTTGCCGTTGCAGGTTGTTGGGGTTGCTCTTTGGGTTACGGGGGTTGTAAGGACTGGGATGGGGAGGAGGGAGACGAAGAGAGGGAGGAAATGGAGGGGGGACATGTTTGAGCTGTAGAATACTCTGTAAGTAGAGAGGTAGGAGTAGGCTGTAATGTGAAGAGACTGTTCTCAAGGTCGAAGCTACGTGGGATAAGCTTGATTCTTATTCTTATCTCATTTCACTTGAAGAAAGAAGAATAATGGAATGATCAGATCATGCATGCCCTCGTCCCTCTTCGAAGAATGTCCAGGATCACGGCACATCACAGCTCCTTGTGACCATAACGCGACCACCTGGGTAGTATCAGCTCCCATCATGTACGCCGATACTTGTGGAATAAAACCTCCACCTTGGATGAAGGCTGATACTACCCTGCGGGTTATAGCGCTCTGAGAGGGACGAGGTACCGGCATGCGTGTAGAGGGTAAGCTCGGTGGTTGGTGGATGGAGAACAGTTAGCTTGTGATGGATAGAGAGAGGGACAGATTGATAGGATGATCAGGCTGGATGAGTTTATCACCTGCAGGTCCAGCGGTCCAGCAAGCGTCTGCCAGTTACTGTATCCATCCCGCAGATCATGGATGGATTGCGGTTAAAGCTTGCTTGGGGGTCTCCTGAGTCAGTGAAATGAATGGTTGGATGTTGTTTTGTTTCTTGCATATTTAACCTTGAGTAGGGTGCGCTTCTGGTTGCATTCTTTCGCTTGGATTTGTGAGACGATTGATAAGAGTATTATGATCGTTTATTATTGGATTATGCAAGAAATAAATATGGCATTATTATTAACTAAGCTCTTTTATACCTACCTACTTACTTATTGTACCAGAGGAGACTTGGACACTGTCGTTGATCGCGGCCTTAGGCATACATCTCAGGTACAGGCCGTCAACAATCCAGGCACGATGAACGATGGAATGTTTCTCTGGTTTATTCGACATCAACAGTAGTGATAGTATAATGTTTGAATTCGAACATCATCAAAAGGTCACCTCTCAATCTCAATAATTCTCCTCGCCTGTAGATAGACACGTTGAAAGTGGCAGGCTGTGACTGCTCGTGGCTTGTGGGGTTGGTGACATGATAGCATACTAGCAGGCAGCCAAGCCAGCCTCCCCCATTACCATTTCTGGTGGATCAGCTCCAGCTCAACGAGCTGCTTCAACCGCCGCGGGAGAAACGGCCACGGTTATTGATCCAACAACTGTCTCACATTTATTCATGGGGTTTGCGATCTACCATTGATCCCAACATTCTTGATTCGGGTTATCGCCGTGTCGATTCATCGCTTGGAAACCTCCAATACCCGTCCCTCCTGCGATCGGCTTCGTCGGTCAACCTTCACCCACCGCCTCATCTTTCACACCAAACCCCCGGCAACAGGCTTCGGGTCTCGTTCCTTATCACGGCACCTTAACGTCATTTGAATGAATAGAGAGGAGAGATGGTTATGCGAACTTCCTGCCGATGAGCTCCAATATCGAGGGCAGTGATGACCGGGACCGCGAGGATGAGCTGGACTTGGGCCAGGAGGATGAGGGAGCCCTCATGCCTGCCGAAAATAGGCCCCTAGAAGCCGATGGGCAGCGCAATGAGCCGGAAAATGGTACAATGGCTTACTTTGAGGAGGATCTCTCCCCAGAGACCGACCAAGACCAGATGCCAGACAAAACGATGCCCTCGTCTGACACCGAGGCTGCCAATCTTCCAGTAACGCCCCGTATCGGTCAGCTCGTTGCTGCTGGCAGTCCTAATGAGACAGCCTCGACACCGGATGATACCCCTTCTCTACATGTCGGTGTGCTTGCAATCCGAATGCCATCGATCGACCCGCTGATTGTTCTAGGGCTCCGTTCTCTCATCACAAAGCAGCAGTGCTCTGGCGCTCCGAGCGTCCCTCGTCCCAGTCCCAGTCCTTCCCATCGTCCGTTCGAGCTCCGCTTCCAGTCGAGGCTCTCCTCCTCCCCTCTCGGGTTCCGGCCATCCTCGCCGTTTCTGTCGCATATCCACTCGCGAAAGTCTTCCCTTACAAGCCGCATGTCCCCGTTCACCGGGGAGTCTGAAACCCCTCAAGGTCCTTGGGATGTAATCCGGTGGACCAAATTGCGAAAGATTACCGGGCAAGCATTCTCAGAAGTAGGCAAGCGGAACTTTGGTCATCCGACGTGCATGGCGGTTTCTACAAGTATTGTGATTGGAACGTCTAAAGGGATCATTCTGGTGTTTGATTACCAGCAAAGCTTGAAGACCATCATCGGAACAGGAACCAAGGGTATGTTGGTTGGAATCTTCACACGTCTTTGGTACACCGACTAAGCTGCTGACTGTTGCGACAGCTGTTGAATGCGGCGCCATCACCTCGCTGGCACTTTCGGCCGATCACTCCACAGTCGCCGGGGGCCATACCTCTGGCGACATATTTACATGGGAGATCTCGCGATCTGCTCGACCTTTCCTTCACATACCCCCAATACCCGCGAATCAACTCGAGTTTCGAACCTCCGATGGTCACATAACAGGAATGTCGGTGATCCATCTTGGCTTCCTGGGGACGAGACGCACTGCGCTGGTGTCGGCTGACAAGCGGGGAATGGCCTTCTCGCATCTGGCCACTCGCGGTATGGGCGCAGTAGGTCGAACGGTGAAGACAACACGAATCCTGGGCCGGTATCCCGAAGTCTTCGCCGATGGCCACCGCACACGGAAACCGAGCTCCGTCCTCGCCTTTTCGCCTCTCCCTCTTGGAAACGTGGAACAGCCAACCGATTCGCTGGGTCTGGTCGCTATGCTGACTCCCTACCTCCTCGTGATTGTCTCCACGACGCCCGTTGCGCAGACGCAATACAAGTCACCGCGCCCGAAAGAGGTCGCCGCACACGGTGCGATGACAGGCGCGCTGGCTTGGTTTCCAGCAATCAAGCTGAAGGGCACAGACTCCGAGACTTCAAAGACGAAGCTTGTTTATTGTTGGTCCAACGTGCTGACAGTACTGGATGTCGCTGAGATGGAGACGGATGAACCGCCAAGTGGAGATAGACCTCCTGCTCTGGAATTCACACCACGAAGCCGGTGGAAGGCCGAAGAGGCGATCGTTGCCGTGCAGTGGCTGAGTCGCTCAGTACTGGCAGTGCTCACAATCACCCAGCAGCTGCTGATTCTTGAGGACCATTCTATGCGCGTGACCGACGCCGTGGATTTGCTGAATCGACACATATACCATGTCGACCTTTTCTCCTCGCAGCTGCATTCCTTAGTCGAGCAATTGAATGAGGAAGATACGTCGATGCATGGCGTCGTCGCTGATGCGTTTTACATGAGCTTCCGCTCGTACAAAGGACGTCTCTTCTTGATGGGCTTCAATGAAGCACTAGTCGGCAGTCTTTCCAACTGGGCGGATCGGCTCTTTGCACTCATGGAGGCCGGTGATTTTATTGGTGCAATCCAACTGGCGACATCGTACTATAAAGGTAGTGCCGAGAAATTGACCGTAGGGCTGCCGGAAGAGGACGCCTTGAGACAGCCTATCGTTCGCGAAAAGCTGCTTGAGATCGTATCGGCCTCGTTGAAGTTTGCTTTTGGCCGCAACACGGAAGCCAACAATGAGCGCCTCGAAAGCCGCCAGCTCGAGGAACTGGCCGAGGTTTCGATATCCGCCTGTGTTAATATGGCGGAGGACGAGTTTCTCTGGGACGAGGTCTTCAATTGGTACGAGGAGCATGATTCGCAAGGTGTCTTCCTCGATGCTCTTGAGCCTTATATCGTGGACGGAGCAGTGCGCTCCTTACCTCCAACCGCTGTCAAGGCTTTAATCAACCACTTCAGCACAAATCATTCGACCAGTCGATTGGAAGAGATCATCTGTCTACTTGATACCACGACGATGGACATTGACCAGGTCACAAATCTGTGCAAGCACTATAATTTATACGACGCTTTTATATATGTATGGAACCGCTGCCTTGGCGACTACGTGAGCCCGCTGGAGGAACTTATTGCACTCATTCCGGCGCAAGTGGAGTCCATGGTCAACGGGGATTCGATGGATGTGCTGAATCGACATACGAACGCTGCGAAGATGTTTCCGTACCTCTCATTCGTGCTCACAGGCCGCATCTATCCGACTGGTGAAGAGATGGACAATGCCGAGGCCACGACAGCCAAGACAGCATTGTACGACTACCTCTTCTCAGGGAACCAATCTGGCACTCCTCAAGCGATAGGAACGTTCGCGAGTTTGCATGCCATGTTGAAGTTTGACGCATCTAGTTTTATGAGCATGTTGAACGAGGCGTTTGAGGATAGTTTCCTGAACGACCAGGAGCCCGATGAGATCCCCGCGCAAGGAGTCTCGATCAACCGCCAATACCTGATCAGCATTCTGTTCCAGGTTATGACGCCTACTTCTTTCGATTCTTCAGATACCATCTACCTCGACATGTTCGTTGCGCGCAACCTGCCCAAATACCCTCAATATATCCTGCTGTCTGGCACTACGCTTCATCAAGTATTGGTGCGACTATGTCGCTACCCGAGTGAGGAGATGGCGGATGACTGTGAGCTCAGTGCGGAATACCTACTCTCTATTTACCATCCCCCGGATATCCAGAACATGATCCCACTTTTCCGGGAAGCTCGCTTCTACCGTATCTTGAAATCCACGTACCGCTCTGAGAGACAATTCCCCGAGTTGATACTCACGTACCTTGAGGACCCCAGCGAGCAGGAAGCGGTATTCACCTGTCTACAGGACTGCCTCCGCCCCGGCTCCGTATTGGGCAAAAAGCAAAGACGGGATGTCATCGACGTGATCAAGAAACATGCTGGGCAATTGGCTGGCATTGATGTGAGAACAGCCGCGCAGACAATGCAGGAATTCGCCCCCGAAACGCATGAGACATTCCTCAAGGCTCTGGAGGACGACAGTTATAAGCAGTATCAGTATCTGCTCGTTGTCGCCGAAAGCCCGACGCGGGAGGTTGCAGAAGCAGGGGCTCCCCGAAACGTCGCAAACTGGATGATTGAGCGATATGTGCAGTTGCTCTGCAGGTACAATCCCTCGCACGTTGTTGAGTTTGTGGATGATTTGCGAACGGGCGATGTACGGCTGGAGGAGTTGTTGCCTGCCATGGAAGAGAGCGGGGTTGTCGATGCGGCTGTCATTCTGCTCGTGAGGCAAGGCCAGGTGCGAGCTGCAATGGACCGGCTCATCGCTCACTTGGGTGCACTGCAATCGGGTCTGGTGGGAATATTGCAGAGTGCGCAAGAGAGTCCTGACTCTGCCAGTACGGCGGAAGCGATTACCGATCTTCTTGAATCCTTGGACAAGTATGCGCACGTTGGCATCTGGTTGTGCCAAAGTCAAAGCCGGACGACTAAAACGTCGCGACCGGAGAGGAACGGTACTGGCAGTAAGGTTATGTTGGACCAGCCTTTGTCTTTCAACGAGACTCTGTGGCTGGACCTGATTGAGGCAGTAGTTCGCATCGCGAGCAGTGTATTTGCTCTGGTGCGGGGACAGCAAGTTGATGACGACAAACTCACCCAGGTGGCCCCTGGGACCTCCTCACCGGGCGACAATACCGCCCAACTCATGTCGTCCGTCCGCACTCTGGTTCAACAAGTATTTACTGCTCTTCTGTCGAGCACTGTCAAGCTTGGCGGAGCGGCCCCTAGTGCCGAGCGGACCGATGTAACCTTTCTCCGCATCCTACGTGCATTTCTCACTCGAGCTGCCAGCTGGTCACCGTCGCTTCTCGAGCTGCGTGCCGTCTTGGCGTCGGTCTTCTCCGCCTACACGTACGAAAAATCCTTACTGTCTCTGGCCAATGGCATGCTCGATCGAGACCTCTTTGTGCATGTGGAGGAGGTCACGCGGTTGCGTCAACGGGGATGGCGGCCGCGGGGGCAAGTGTGCGAGATCTGCCGGCAACGCATCTGGGGTCCCGGGGTGGGGTCGCAGTACTGGGAAGCATGGGAGAAAAGACAGGAAGGGGAGCGGCAACGGCGGGCGATCAAACGGCTGGAAGGCAGATTTGATCCTGCAACTGCCAGGGGGAAGGGAAAAGCTGCTGCCGTGGGCGCAGGCGCTGGTCCGTCACTGCACTACAACGGGCATGTGGAACATGACCGTCAACATCGGGAAGTTGCCGGAGCACCTGAAACCGACGAGGCTTTCCACAATGCCGAAGAAAAGCGCATCGGCCCCGCCGTTGTATTCTCCTGCCGTCATTTGTATCACCAACAGTGTCTGGTGGACATGGCTCAGGCTGGACGGGCGAGTAAGCGAAACTCGGCCCATTTTGCGCCGGATGGAACAGGATTGGAGTTGTCATGTCCGACTTGTACATAAACAGGACTTGGAAGCCATCTACTGTAGTCATCATTCTTATAATCATATCTCCGTATGATGTAAAATATGCACCAGCCCTGCTTTGTCCCCCTTCCGCATTCTTAAGGCATGCCAGCCCATGGACCCGGCATATTTGACAGAATGTCATGATTAGGAAGAATGAGTCCGGGCTATTTTCGCAGCATAAAAGTCTATCATATCAGCAGACCAGGATTGTAACGCAACGGAAATAATGCAACAACACGGCGATAGTTGCATTGGTATGTTGACGCAAGTGCAACATAGCCTCGTGCGGCGCGCGATACAACCATGAAGAAACCCCCAGTCGGCAGTTGGTTATATCCCGATACATTATTGACATCAGATAGATGAGAATCTGCAAGAAAAACCGGCATCTACAGGGGACGGAGATGACATCGGAGTCATTTCTTCAACTAGAAGAAATGGATCCATCCATTCACGTCTTGTCTCCTTATTCGACGTGACGAGTCCAGTGAAGTCAGTAGACCCCCTTTTTCCACGCTTATTGATCCTGCATGGTTACCATTACATTCTGACTAACAAAGCTTAGAATGTGATTGATGCAAGCCGCTGTTTCACTATATCCCAGTGACTACTGATTCCGTCCAGTAAGATGCCGGAGTCGATAGTGACCAAGCCTTCTGACAAGAGGGCCCCGGGCTGAGTAGAGGCCCGCAAATTCCCCGTTTCATCATCTCTCGGTGAAGAGATGACTGAGCTTGTATCTGGCTCCAGGTTGTCATGTCCACATGGCCTCTGATACATCTCATTCTGACTCCACAGCAGGTCTCAGGGCCTGGCCCGGTGCCGGTGGATGCATCATCATCTTCATGGCCGGGTGCCACATTGTATTAGTGCATTAGTGCCTTAATGCAGAGCTTCGTTTGGCTCTGCTTACGAGCTGAGCTGACTGACATGCATGGAATGTATATATTCAGATGGATCTGGACGAGGAAGATGTTTTCTTTCTCTCGTTGTCCGAATCACCACTCTCCTTCTCACTTGGCCTTGTGCTGTCGCTCCTTTTTCTTGTCGTGACTACACTCATTGGATAGACCAAACACTCTTTTATTCCTGCTGGCCAGCTGAATGAAGCCGAAATGTACATCCGGTCGACTCTCCTTCCCATCCTAGGCCTCTCGGCCACCGGCATGGCCGCCTACGTCCTCGAAGACGACTACGGCACCTCGACCTCTTTCTTCGACAAATTCTCTTTCTTCACTGCCCCCGACCCAACCGGCGGCTTCGTCTCATACGTCGACCGCAACACCGCGCAGAGTGCCGGCCTGATCTCTGCCAACGGCGCCATTTACATGGGCGTAGACCATACCAACGTCGCCAGCAGCAGCGGCCGGATGAGCGTCCGCCTCACCAGCACAAAGAGCTACACGCACGGCCTCATCATCTTGGACCTGGCGCACATGCCAGGCGGTATCTGCGGCACCTGGCCTGCCTTGTAACGTCCCCCCCCCCTCCCCCACCACCCTTAGTTCCTCAGCATGAACCCCCAAGCTAACGAGGACAAAAGCTGGATGGTCGGGCCCGACTGGCCCTCCCACGGCGAAATCGACATCATCGAGGGCGTCAACACCCAAGCCACCAACCAGATGACCCTCCACTCCACGGACGGCTGCTCCATCGCCAACGGCGGCTTCACCGGCACCTTGCTCACAAGCAACTGCTACGACTACGCCCCCGGCCAAGACACCAACGCAGGCTGCGGCATCGCAGCCACCTCGAGCTCCACCTACGGGACGGGGTTCAACAACGCCGGCGGCGGCGTCTACGCAACGGAGTGGACCTCCGCGGGTATCAGCATCTGGTTCTTCCCTCGTGGATCTACGCCCCTGGATATCCGAGCTGGCACGCCCAACCCGACGAACTGGGGAACGCCGCTCGCCAAGTTCGCCCCGGGCAGCTGTGACTTTGATGCGCATTTTAGCGAGATGCAGATTGTATGTCCCCTCCCTTTTCCTCATTTTCCACTTTCAGTGGGTTTGCAGCGGGCTGACCATATGGAAAAAAAGGTCTTCGACACGACGTTCTGCGGCGGCTGGGCAGGCGCTGTCTGGGGCTCGGGTAGCTGTGCGTCCGTGGCCTCCTCGTGCCAGGATTTCGTCGCGAATAACCCCTCTGCGTTTCAGGGGCGTACTGGCTCATCAGTTCGCTCAAGGTGTATCAGAATGCGCCTGGGGCGAGTAGGATGAGGAAGAATGCCACTGACCATCTGCATGCGCAGTCGCCTTGGGAGGGTGGCAGGCGCCATCCTGGTCAGCATGGTCGTGGTCTTTGAGCTTGATGTTGAGAGTGTGATTGGGGAAAGCTGTGTATATTTGTATGAGTATAGACCCTGTTTATAAGTGTAGGTTATAGTTTGGAGGCCTGACGTACATGTGTTTCATCTCTGTTATGTACTTACATTGTTACATTTAGATTTCATAAATATGCAATGAGCTATCGGTTCATGTCTATTAGGATAGTCATCAGTAGCCTGACATTATTTTACACATTAGCTATGTCAATCATCATTCAAAGCAAAACATTAACCGCCGGTCATCAAATCTTAAATCCAAGCATATCTCTATTATCATCCGTCAGGCGGCCCCACTCTAACAGCAGGCGGAAGAAGTAGATCTCCATGTCCTCCTTCCGCAGGGCCTTCTCGGCCCACTTGCGCCCCTCTTCGGCAATATACTTGCCTCGAGCATCGTGTCGCTGCATCAAGTCTTTGGACTGACCGTTGGGGTCTTCCGTGACTGGCACGTCGAATTTGGCAAAGTAGGCCAGGGTGCTCCAAACTCCGTGCAGACGGACATCAATAGGAACATAGTGGAGCCACGGAGTAACCCGTCGGTCTAACCACTGTCGAAACAGGCCAGTCTTGAAGGGCAGACTGTGGCTCTGTAGAAACGGAAGAAATCGACCACTGAAGCCCGCGCCGTCTAGGTCAAACAGATACCGATACTTCCAGTGACTCTGGAAATCTACCGCGGACGCGGCGCCCAGCTCTTTCTTCTGCGCCTCGCAATCTGAGCCGCACCGAACAGGATTCAGGATGTGAACAGTAGTGTTCAGTCCGAGGAGATTTGTCGGGGCTGAGCCGTCCAGGACCTCATACCTATAGGTTTCGGTGCCTTTAACGGGCAGCAGTACCGATACATGGCTCAGTGTATTGTTGTTGATGAGGTGCGCAAAACGTTGGCGAGGCATCCCCTTCCATTCCCCTGACCGGCTCACTCCCTCGGATGTGCTGCCAATCCAGAAAAGCGTGTTCTCCTTCTTCTCGTACTCCTGATCGGAATACTCATCAGACGGCTCGTACTTGATCTTATCCACATAGTTCCACGGGCTAGGAAACATGATATCATTGAATCCAGACACCTTACTCTGGCTGAAAACCGGCGTCAAGACTTGGGATACTTTGAAAGATGCAGGAGAAAGGAAAAACCCGTGAAGCCATGCAAGGTCTGGTTGGTGGCATATGTCGCTCATGCTGTTCGCATCTAGGGGAAACTGACCCATCGAATGCGGCCGCACACAGTCCAGGCAAATATGACGCCGGTCCCAGATCCGTTTCGCCCGAGCTTTCGACGACGGAGGACATAGTGGGCGGATATATCGGTCAAAAATAGGTTGCATGGAGCTATCTGTAAAAACTGTCTCGGTCGTTTGGTCGGCTGGCTCTATAGGAGCCCATTGCATGCCACGGTCCGCCGACCATACAGTCAATACGCTGTTATCGGGAGCCGGGCCATGAGAATTTGCTTCCATTCCGAATTTGGATGCCTCCTCCCAGGGAACAGCCACGCGTGGCTCGTCGTTTAGGTTGAAAGCCAGATCCATGTCGGGTAGATATTGAGCAAAGTTCTCGATCATTTTGGCAGCACCCAGGACCATCCAGGCATGAGTTGGTTTAATCCCCTCTTGTACTCTGGGCGTGCCATTCCTAATGCTGATCGCCCCAATGTCGTTGAATGGGTTTGTGGCCAGGTCGCGCGTCAGGTCTCGGAGCCTCGCGGGAGACAATGCACGGAACGGGAGAAGGTCCATATGGATTTGATCAAAGTCATCAATCACAACGGAAGACCTACTGGTGGCGTATTCGTACCATTTATCAAAGCCCCTATGTAACAGTCAGTTGATGGGCGCAATCTCATATCACTTCACGCTAACGGGCGACTCACGGTGGGGGATGCTGATTGTATCGTTTGCGATAGTTCGCAACAGCATCGGCAAGACTCTTGCTGCTTTTCGCCTGAGAAGACCACGCGCCGTGATGTTTAATGTTCTCATAGATCAACAGCTCGATAGTATGGAAGTTCGTCAACACCGGTTGACTGGCGACCAGGATGATGCCAATGCCAAAAAGTGCCGAGAACAACACTCGGATCACAATATTTGCTCTGTATAAGAAAGGCGGTTCTTCGTTGGATGCCGTACGTCCACACAAGTACAACACACCCCCAAGAAAGGTAGCAAGAAGGGAGGAGAAAGCATGTGACGGATAGATCAATGGAAAGGGCTCTTGTCCATCGAACACTGTAGCGGCCAGCGAGAAGCAACCGACAACGAACCCAGCCAGAATGGAAATTCCGATTATGTCGTAAAACGGTATCTAGCACTGTTCAGTGGGATTCAAAGGGATGCATTTATGCCATAACTTACAAGCTGGGAAGCGGAAAGTACGAGGAGTGTCATCAGCAGGCTTTGATTGAATGCGCTTGGCAAGTAATGAGAGATGACAAAGCCATCATTCTGATCCCTGGCCCGAATTGCGAGAATGATTGCGATTAACGTCCAAAAAGCAGCAACTCCCTATCAACTGCATTAGACCACAACTCCATCCGTTGAACAGTACACTTACAATTAGGCCGAAACCGCAAGAGACCAGAAAATGTTTATTTCTGCCTTCTCGAGGCCCAGTGCTTTCCCTAAACAGTTCGCTCACACCAATCAAGATCGCCGAGTCAAGCAAGACACTCAAAATGCTGATGAACCGCAGCAGGGAGTATTGGCCCGAACTGATTGGACAGATATAAGTCGACTGTATGCCTTTTTGCAACTCCGATGCCATTAACCCCCCAATCATGAGAAAAGCAGCCGATATAACGTATCGCATGCGACTCTGGCAGAAAAGGGCGTGTAGACGTCGAACAGTGCTGACCAGTTTGCGAATCCGCGCATTGAGAGAGATTTCTGGATCGGCATCCGAGCCGTCTGCGATCGAACGAGATCGTTGATTGCGCCAATAATCGTGAATTGAAACGAGGAATGGTATCGCGTACTAGGGAAACGTAATACTTGGTCAAAAGGTGCCACTGCGTTTGCCTTTTCAAAGCCCACTTACTGCGTATCCGGCTGGCGCGCACTCAATCTTAACGGTCACCTGGCGATACAACTCTACCCTTATCCAGCCAAGCATCGAAATCAAGGCAATTTTGGTCCACCATCCCTGACTACCCGATTTTGTAAGGAAGAAATCGCTGATCGGACTGCTGGGCGAAAAAGGCGCCTCTCCGGACGGTTGATCAACGCGTTCGGCGAGAGGGATGGCAGTGTATTTGTGCCGAGATTGGGCTATGCGTGGAATAGCGATATCGAATCTGCTTAAAACCAAGAGCGATACACCCGAAAGAAAGGACGCAAAGATGAGGGTATGGTGAGGCCGGTCTGTGAAAACGGTTGGTGAGCACCAACTGTCTGATTGAAGTGCGCACTGCCTTGGTCAAGGGAATTTGATTGCTCTTACCAAAAGCGAATGTCGTCGTATAGGAAGTCGTTAAAAACATGCAACTCATAAGAAATACCCTGTTGACTCAGTCAAACCAGCACATGACATGAGGCAATCCTGCAGAGATCTCCCTACCCCAATGAGGCTTTGAGCCCCGTCTCCGCGGAGAGCCGAATCATATTCAAGGATCCTGCTTGTTGATAGCCAGAAAAGCCGCTATGGAGCCATTGCCAATTGTTTTATGTGAAAGCGCTCATTCTAATCGATACTGCATATAAAGTCGAAATAATTGGACAGCTTTGAACAGCTCTGGACGAATGCGACTGCAGGTTGAATTTCCAAATCTCGTGTCCTGTCGACGTTCCGAGGCGGGCAGAGTAAAGATATTTCCAGTGCTGAGTAAGGTGACATGCGACAGGATACGATTCCGAATAGAAGCAACAATCTCAAGACGAGGAGACCGTAGTAACGATGTAGATTGAGCTGTGACGGCACGAACAGGGGTGGTGAAGAAAAAAAGGAAACGAATAAGGCTAGACCAGGGGATATTAATGGGAGGGTTGCGTCAACGAGTCATTCTGGACCCATGGGGACCGGCAGATAGTGGGCCGTTGAGGGTACATTGCTGCGAGCCGACGGAGCATTCTTTGATTGCGATAAACCGACAAGCATTTGATTATTACTGTCTCCGCTGGCACGTACGGACACAGAAGCTATGACTACTCCACGGGTTTGCCAGTGTAGTAATCTCCGATTGGCCTTGCGTTATTGTTTGATGATCAAAAGGTCATGGTAGACAAAGTTCATCAGTTCGTTCAGAGAGGAGATAATAACCTCGTATTGTTTGATGACACTAATCCTGGTCATTCGTTCGCTAAACCTGGTCAGTCATGTTGCTTATTGTCCGTGCTAGCGCAGGGGTCCAATCATTAGCAAGGAAGCGTAATTGACCTTAGAAACGACGAAACTTTATAGACATCGTCTTATCCATGACAGAAAGTCACTGAATCTTCCATGGACGCTTTTCTTGATGGATGATATTGTCATAATGTCACGAACCGTGGGTGTTATTCCTGTACCTGAGGATAGTCGACGGAATAGTAAACCGACCTAATCAGGAATAACGTCAAAAGTCGACAATGACCTCCCAATTCGGTTGTACAGTATGCGCTATTCTGTTTCAGGCAAAGCGCGGTCTTTTGGCTAAAGTTGGTGCACGTGTCTACCTTCTTCCCTAGGCGGTAGCTTTTATGGCAGGCGGTAGACCATGGCAGATCATCAGTTGCTGATAACAATTTTTTTCCTCTAATCAGTTGGCACTGAGAATACGGCGTGATAGCTCTGATTCTTCTCTGCACCCTCTTTTTCATGGTTTCATCTTTGCCTAGTTTGCTTCTAACAATCTGAGCCCTGCTACCAACTATAATAGCAGACGGCAGAGTCAACAGAATCTCGCTGCTCCCGTTGTGAGCATCACCCCCAGAGGTTGACCCTACGCAGGAGAGACTAGATCAAAATGCCACGCAAGGCAATTGATTCGCGCATTCCCGCGCTCATTCGGAATAATGTGCAGGAGAAGAAAAGAAGTTTCTTCGTGGTCGTTGGCGACCGCGCCAAGGATGTGATTGTCAACCTGCACTACATTATGTCCAGCGTCGATGTCAAGCAGAATAAATCGGTCCTCTGGGCATACAAGAAAGACCTCCTCGGATTCACAAGCCATCGGAAGAAGCGCGAGGCGAAGATCAAGAAGGAAGTCAAACGAGGAATCAGAGAACCTAACCAGGAGGATCCTTTCGAGCTGTTCATCACCCTCAACCAGATCCGATATGTGTACTACAAAGAGACGGAGAAGATTCTGGGTAATACCTACGGAATGTGCATTCTTCAAGATTTCGAAGCTATTACGCCGAACCTGCTTGCCCGTACCATCGAGACCGTGGAAGGAGGTGGTATTGTGTTGCTGCTGCTCAAGGGAATGAAGAGCTTGAAGCAGCTCTACACTTTGTCGATGGATATTCATTCGAGATATAGGACCGAAGCGCATGATGATGTGGTCGCCCGCTTCAACGAGCGCTTTATCCTTTCTCTTGGCAGCTGTGATTCATGCTTGGTGGTCGATGATGAGTTGAATGTCCTTCCAATCTCTGGTGGGAAGAACGTGAAGCCTCTCCCACCGCCAGAGACCCTTGACGAGAACACAGGCACAAAGAAAGAATTGAAAGAGATCAAGGATAGCTTAGCAGACACTCAGCCGGTGGGCTCTTTGGTCAGTCTAGCTCGCACTGTTGACCAGGCAAAGGCGCTGTTGACCTTCGTCGATGTGATCGCTGAGAAGACCCTCCGCAGCACCGTCACCTTGACCGCTGCTAGAGGTCGGGGAAAGTCGGCAGCTCTTGGTGTTGCCATCGCAGCAGCGGTTGCTCACGGATACAGTAACATTTTCATCACCTCCCCTAGCCCGGAGAACTTGAAGACCCTGTTTGAATTCATTTTCAAAGGGTTTGATGCTCTTGGATACCTCGATCACGTTGATTACACCATCCTTCAATCCACCAACCCCGACTTCAATAAGGCTATTGTGAGAGTCAACATCCATCGCCAGCATCGTCAGACCATTCAATATATTCAGCCCCAGGATGCTCATGTTCTCGGCCAGGCGGAACTTCTAGTCATTGATGAGGCAGCAGCCATCCCTCTGCCCCTGGTGCGCAAACTGATGGGTCCATACCTGGTATTCATGGCCTCCACTATCAATGGTTACGAAGGTACTGGTCGGTCGCTCTCTTTAAAGCTGATCCAGCAGCTTCGGGAGCAGTCCAGGGGTGGTCTGAAGGCCAGCGGTCAGGACGATACAGATATCGCTGATAGAGCCACTGGCAAGGCTGCCAAGGGCGCAGAGAAGAACTTGGGTGGACGCTCGCTCAGAGAGATTACTTTGTCGGAACCTATCCGTTACGCCCCTGGGGATTCAGTGGAGAAGTGGCTAAACAAAGTCCTGTGCCTGGATGCGACGCTGCCAAAGTCCAAGATCAACACACAGGGCTGCCCGCACCCGTCACAATGCCAACTCCTGCAAGTCAATCGAGACACATTATTCTCTTTCCACCCGGTCTCTGAAAAGTTCCTGCAGCAGATGATGGCATTGTACGTTGCCAGCCACTATAAGAACACTCCTAACGATCTCCAACTGATGAGCGATGCGCCTGCGCATCAGCTCTTCGTGTTGGTCCCCCCATCGACGAGGACGCTACCAAGCTTCCTGAGCCTCTCTGCGTGATTCAAGTTGCTCTGGAGGGTCGTATCAGCAGACAAAGTGTTCTGAACAGCTTGAGCCGTGGCCAACGTGCCGGTGGCGACTTGATCCCCTGGCTTGTCAGCCAGCAGTACCAGGATGAGGACTTTGCCAGTCTCTCCGGCGCCCGAATTGTGCGCATTGCAACCAACCCAGAATATATGAACATGGGTTATGGATCACGCGCTCTGGAGCTCCTGGTTGATTTCTACGAGGGCAAGTTTACGGATCTCTCCGAGAAAGTTCCTGGCGCGCAGGAAGAGATGGTCAGGGTCACTGATGAAGAGCTCGCCAACTCATCTCTCCTTGATGACAACATCCATGTTCGGGACATCCGCTCTATGCCCCTCTGTTCGGCAAGCTCTCTGAGCGTCGTCCAGATGAGCTGGACTACGTCGGCGTCAGTTACGGTTTGACACCCCCTCTTCACAAGTTCTGGAAACGCTCTTCATTCGTTCCTGTCTACCTTCGCCAGACTCCAAACGAATTGACCGGTGAACATTCTTGTGTGATGCTGCGCACACTCGCCTCCGCAGCCAGCGACGCTAGCTGGCTCGGAGAGTTCGCTCGCGACTTCCACAAGCGGTTCGTAGCTTTGCTCTCCTACCAATTCCGAGAATTCCCCTCTGTTCTCTCACTCAGCATCTGCGAATCCGCCACGGCGGGCGCTAAGCTCGACACTTCGTACACCCCCTCTTTGCTCAAGAAGAGCGATCTCGACGCGGCCTTCTCCCCCTTCGACCTCAAGCGCCTTGACAGCTACGCAAACAACCTGCTGGACTACCACGTCATCCTAGATATGGTCCCCACCATTGCGGAGTACTACTTCTCCGGCCGCCTGAGCGGCAAGGTCAACCTTTCCGGCGTCCAGCAGTCCATCCTGCTCGCCATCGGCCTACAGCGCAAGAACCTCGATGACGTCGAGAAGGAACTGAACCTGCCCTCATCACAGCTTCTGGCCATGTTCCTGAAGATCGTCCGCAAGATGTCCACTCACTTCCGCGGCTTGGTCGAGGGCGCCGTCGCGGAGACGCTCCCCGCCGAGAAGGTGCCCGTTGCGCAGTCCTCGGCAGATGCGCACGACGAGGTTGTCGACGAGCGGTTCAAGCCCCTCGACACAGGTCTGGAAGATGAGCTGCGCGAGGGCGGCCAGCAGGTCGACGAAGAGCTGAGGGAGAAGCAGAGAGCCTTGATAGATTCTCTGCCTCTGGACAAGTGAGTCAAACCCATTCCCCAAGCCCCCACTCCTACAACACTGTGTGGATAAACCTCGTCGTCGGACGAACAATAACTGATTTCTAGCCTCCAGATACGAGATCGATAACGGCACCGCCGCGTGGGAGGAAGCCGAGAAGCAGATCCGCAGCGGAGGCGCCTCAACTGTCAGCATCAAGACCTCGAAACCCAGCAAGCGGAAGAAGGGCGAGACTGCGCGAGAGATCTATGACCAGGAGATCGAGTCGAAAAGACAGAAGATCATCAAGAAGGGAACCGAAGGGCGAAAGAAGGCATGAAGTATTCATCTGAACCTGAATCATTCCAGTCTTGCATGAAAGAACGGTGTTATGGTATTCTCTTGCGAAGAGGTTTTACGTTTCTGTATATATGCTTTGTATATCCCAAAAAGTTTGAATAGAGGCTTTGCATCGCATACTCTCATCCTTGTCAAAAACGCCTTTTGCTTGAGGATACATAACATGGAAACTATCTCGAAATCTACAACTCATCATGGTCACCCTTCTCTTTATCAGCCTCTTGGTCAGCCTCGTTTTCAGCCTCTTTCTTCTGCTCGACAATAACACCCTCTGGCAACTTGCTCTTCGACCCCTCACCCAGTCTTATAGCGTCGATCCACGCCTCCACAGACACGGCGCCATAATCCTGACTCTCCGACGCGTCGTAGCGCCTCCACCAGCCCCTGCGTCCATTCAGAGCGATGATCTCGACCGAGGTCTGGTCCTCGGACAATCCCAGCCCAGCCCGCAGAGTCTTGGCCCCGCTGTTGATAGTCGGAATACTGTAGAACGGGAAAAGCTTGCTCTTGCGCAGGGCGTGCTTGTGCGCGATCTCCGATAGACTAGCTAGCGCCTCTTTCGCGGGACCGGGCACTTCTGCATCCGCTTCGCGGGCTTCGGGGAGGAGTGCTAGGACGCAGGTGCCAGATGTAGGCTTCAGGCAGGCGGCCTCGAGTGCCTCTGCCGTAGGGAGTACGGGGATGGGTGGTGCCTGGATCGGGACCTGTACGGGCTTTGACTCTGTAGCGCCGTCGGGGACGACCTTGGGGTCGGGGGATTCGGTAGGTTTCAAGTTTTCTGCTTCTTCGTTGATGATAGTGGAGGACTTGGGTTTTTTGGATGACTTGGTGGATTTGGAGGATTTGGCCTCAGTTGAGGCGGGAGCCGGGTCGGGGTTTGGAGCTGCGACCTGGCTGAGGAACTCGACAATGGCTTGTTTCTTGAGCTCGCCATTGTAGATGATGGGCTCCTTATCGCCGCCAGGGACCAGGACGAGGGTAGGGAATTGCTTGACATCAAACTTCTTCACGGCGTTTGATTCCTTGTTGCGAACCTGGGCAACCTTGATGGAACCGAGGAACTCAATGGCGACGGCTTTGAGGGGGGCACTCGTGGTACCTTTCTCAGTGAACAGAATAGCCTTGGGAGCTTCCTTGTCCTCGGAGAGCCACTGATCCAAATCCTTGTCCGTGACCCTCTTCACATGGTTCGGGATTCTGTCCACAACAGCATCGACGATGGCCTTTGCGCTTCTTGCTCCCTGATAGTCCTCCACCTTTGGCTTGCCTGGTTTCTTGGAAGGTGTGATAATCTTCAGAGTCGGGAAGCCCTGTACGCCCATCCGACCACAAAGGGGCTTGTTGGCATCGTCATCGCAGTTCACAGCCGCTACCTTGGCCAGTCCCTCCAGGTTCTTGGCTGCCTTTTCGTATGCAGGCTTGAGATTCTGACAATGGCCACACCAAGGAGCATAGAATCTAGAGTAGTGCGCATACGTTTTAGAAGCTTGTCGATGAGACCAATCGCGAGGGTGGGGAGCTTACTCCACGATCTGGGAGAAGCGTTAGCATACAGACACCCTACGACACAAATACGCTTCGAGGCTATCATACCGATGTGTAATTAGAGTTAGCAATCAGCTGGTCATAGGTCTTCTGAGTAACCTGCAGCACAGGAGACTTTTTAGTGTACAGTCCATCTGCGTTGACGGACGAAGCCGCCAAAAGCGATGCGACCAGCAGAAGTGCAGAGCTTGGCTGCATCATAATGAAGGAAATTCAGTGCCTGTAACTCGGGTGATTAGTGACTAGAGTGTAGGTGGTAGCAAAGCACATCAGACAAGTATCATGATTGTCAAACGTGGACAGCAGGCGTATTTAGAGCTGTCTGTCTGGGGATTGAAGCAAGGTGTCCTGAAGCTCTTGGCATGTGACGGCGGAAATCAACAACTCCGCCATGATGCAAACAAATGATGCACCTATCTCCAGCTTCCCCCACGCCAATGGCTTATTCGGTTACAGCTTTGTTTACTTACTCTTTTAATTGACTAGCATGCTCGCGTTTCGATCGAGACTACTATCGGCAGTCTCTCATCATCCATTTCTCTGGTGATGACATCTAATTGCTTCCAGATACTCTATTATTCCCCACACTTCAGTAATGGCGGAAACAAGCACGTCGGGGTCTCCACGGAGATCAGGGACAGCGGACATTTTGCTCATGCCATTGGAAGTCTTCTGGATGATCTTGCAGTATCTTGATGCCAGGGATATTGTGCGATGTCGTCGGGTTTCAAAACATTGGAACGAAGCATTTATCAACCCAGAGTATCTAGCTCGCCTGTTGATTCGACTGTTTCCCAGAGCTCCAGAGGTTCGTGCGCTGAAAGGCAAACAGTCGTTGGACGAGCTACTCTCCACGGTTCAGAGTGGTGAGCATTGGCGTGAATTATTCGACAAGGTTGCCTCGAGATACGATCATCTCAGCCGGGGCAAGCCAAGGTCGATCCAAAAGCTCAAGCTCTGTGATGACTTTGGAGTCACTGGAGAAAGAGAATGGTTTCAGGTACAGCCTTGGGATAGCCACGCCAGTCATCTCATGCAGCGCGTTGATTACCTCTATTCCGAAACATTCTGGACCTACGAGGATGGTCTGCTTGTGTACCCCAGCGCAGATTACTCCTCTTTGGTCCTCATGAATGTGGAGACCGGTGAACAGGTTATGGTACCGTTCTTGATTATCGGTAAGGTGATTAGGAGGATCCGCTTGCAGAAACGTGTCCTTGTAGTGGAATGGGCTGAACCAAAGGCCTTCCACTGGCTGAACGACAGCGACGGCGTCCATCGTCATTTTGCATCTTCATTTGACGTGACCCAAGAAGCCAATGGCAACTGGGACGTCGCGTTTCGCAACGAATGGAAGATCATGTTCCTCGGCCATCCTCTGAGTGAGAGAGATCGGTTCTACTCCACTCATAACAAGACGCATTATGTGATCTACATATGGCAACCTAATCGCAGCTTGTACACTGCCGACGAGGATGCTCCGATCGAGTCCCTGTTCGTCTGGGACATTTCAAAGCCATGTCCCTACAGGCCCTCTTTGGATCCTACCGGGCGTCAACGGAGCGAAGAGCAGGATCAAGCTCCCTCCATTGTCTCTCGTTTCGGTTTCAGAGAGTTAGGGTTCTTCTCTGTCAGACAACGGGGAGTACCGGGCATGCAAGGTCTAGAAATAACCGATGATGGCCAAGCCATAGAAATCATCGAGAACTTGTGCACAGGACCGCTTGACCGACTCGTCGGACCGACGGAGTGGACGTCTCAGGTGCAGATCACGAGCATTCCCCTGATTGGCGATGGACCAGTATGGAGGCGAGACGTTGGCTACATCTTATCTCCTTACCGCGGGAGCAATGGGTTACAGACGAAGCCCCTCGGTCTGCTTTGCAAGCAGTTCTGGTACACTGTCATTTCCGAGGTCTATGACAGAAATTCAAAGGCAGGATTTGCTTTGCACCTGTCTCCGTTGGGCTGGCCTTTTGATTCCAAGATTTATATGAGCATACAGACACCATACTCTCGGATTGTCTTGAAACCCGACGATGTTTTTGAACTCGCGGGTAAGGGGAAGATTTGCGGAAATGAGAAATTCGTGATAGGCGAAAATGCGAACCGCGAGCTTGTCATCTGGAGATTCGACCGCTAGACACGATTGGTTTCTTGGGTCAAACGCACGAAGTCCTCATCGTCGCGCGATCTGCGGAACTGCCCTTGCTACATCCACGGAAGCGGGCAATCTGTCAATATCCAGCTAGCTTTCATCCGCTCTTCTCCACTCTTCTCAGATGAACGAGGCGAAATTGTCTATGAAAGTCATGAAGACAGACGATTACTGTTTCGTTGACTATTGAGGTGCCGTCCCTCATGAGCTATTGAACGGTAACCCCTCTGCCAGCTGGACTGGCAAGTCCGAGCCAAGGAGGACAAGTATGATCGCTGCGAGCTTTCCCACTCCTTCTCAACGAAAGTAAGTCACTGGAATTCAAGGCGGCACTTACACTCCAGAAACCAGCTACGGAAGGTCTACATGGTAGCGAGAAACTCGTATTGACTGGCCGACTCCCGGAAAAAGATGCAGCTTGAGTTTCGTTTGTGAATGGATAGGGAGTAGCCGGCGATAATTGCAGCAGAATTCAGATAGCTAGCCTTGAAGCCTTGTATTCATGGCTAGATCATTTCAAAATGTTGTTGTAGACTTGTTGTAGTAGTAACTTGGAAGGTACCTAGTGCCAAGCCGATCGCTCATTGGCCGCATGTTCTGCCTGGGAGCCTAAGGCATCCGCAGCCTGTAGACGGTTAGGGTACGGCTAGTCCCGAACAGGCTAAGCGAAAGCGCCCACACAGAACGGGCCCAGCGAAAGGCTGTCTCTGTGTGTGTGCGAATTTCGAGGCTTGACCTTGACTCCGACTCCCTCCAACGACGACAACGACGCCCATCCCTCTCACCCCCCGGCTTCCTCTTCAACTCCTACCGTTCACCTTCGAGGTCACAAGTCGTCAAAATGGGTGGTGTCACCGTTCGCGATGTGGACGTAAGTTTGCTCCATTCAGTAGCCTGCAGTCTGCGACACCTGTTTCTCTCTTGGCGGAGAGGCCGCAATGGATTATTGGCAATGGGAAGAGGAGGAATTTGATAAACGGGATATGGATGCTACGGAAGGGGCATTCCTTGATATTCAGCCTGTCGCCTGTTCGCGCATATGGGAATTCACAACAAAATCTGCAACTTGAGGGTGTCAAGACATTGATGGAACTGAGATACGGTCGGAAAAATCAATCACACAACACAGCGCACATTCGACTGCATGGGAAACGAGATTATGAACGAAAATTTCGCTGGGACCACCGTTGCCAATAAATCCAGGAGAGAGCAGGAAACCAGGACGAAGGAACATGTGAAGGACGAGACCTGTGCTAACGAGTGATTTTTCTACCTACAGGCGCAGAAGTTCATCGCTGCCTACTCTGCTTTCCTGAAGCGTCAGGGCAAGCTCCCCATCCCTGGTTCGTTCGGCCTCCGCAACAAGGATTTCACAGGAGATCTGAAACTGATGGTTATTAGGATGGGTTGACACTGTCAAGACTTCTTGCTCCAACGAGCTCCCTCCCCAGGACGCCGACTGGTACGATTGATCTGAATTGTCCAGTGATCGACCACCATCTAACGGCTGATGATTACAGGTACTACGTCCGCGCCGCTGCTGTTGCCCGTCACATCTACATGCGCAAGACCGTCGGTGTCGGCCGCCTGCGCAAGGTCCACGGCTCGACCAAGAACCGTGGCTCCCGCCCCAACCACCACGTCGATGCCTCCGGCTCCGTCGACCGCAAGGTCATCCAGTCTCTCGAGAAGATCGGTGTCCTTGAGTACGATGAGGAGAAGGGCGGTCGCCGCATTACCCAGGCCGGCCAGCGGGATCTTGACCGGATTGCCAAGACCACCGTTGACGAGGAGGAGGAGGACGAGGAGTAAATTAGTCTCCTACTAAAACAATAAAAAGTCCCTGATGTCTTCATCTTGAACCTCTGGTGTTTTCCTTGTCTAGAAACAATTCCCCCGTGTTGTTACAAGAGGGAAAAGGCTAGGTGGCTTTTGAGTTGAACCGGTCAAGTTACATACAAGTCGGCAACATGGATGAGTTGGATTGATACACTATGGATTCAGCGGGAGAGGAATGAAACTTTTTTTTTACCCTTTTTTTATCCTATTCCATACCGACAGTTGTCGATGATGACCAGATGGGGATGGACCAGCGGAGAGACGAAAGCACGTCTCCTCTGTAAATAGCCAGACAGAGGGAACCGTCTGTCTTGTGTTCTAATAACGGGATATGATATACTCTCACGTCCATCTTTCCTCCCCGCCCCGCTACGTAGTATACAATCACTTCTTCCCCGACTGCACAGTCGTATCCTAATGTAACCAGCATCAGCCTCACCCGTCCCATCCCCATCCCGCAATGCAATGAGAAAAAGAAACCTACCAGATAAACCTGATAAAACTTCATCCTCAAACCCTGCCCCTCAGCATCATCAAAAACGACCCTCCCCGCCCACGGAACCTCCACCTCCTTCCCGGGCTCCGCCTTAAGCACATACCTGACCGTCCCATACAGCATGAGTTCCCTCTCGCCCCCGAAATAGATCTTCTGCGGGGTATGTTTCCTCGACGCGACATGCGTCCAGATACTGTGGCGCAGGTTTATGATTTCTAGGACAGTTAAACCCCCAGGTAGCATTAGCATTGACTTAGCATTGACTTTGTGTTGTTAGAGGGCAAGCAGGGGAAAAGGGTGCAGGATACCGTCCGCTCCGTTTGCGAGATTGGGCCCCATGATAAGTGTTGCGTCGGGCGTGAAGCTGGCGACGTATTGCTCGTGCTGGGATTCATCGTCGCTGATTTGGTAGAAGGATTCCATGAAGGAGATCATGGCGTTTGCGGAGGGTGGGGAGAGGGTTGGGTCGGTGGTGATTTTGTAGGACATTTTGATTGTTACAGGGATATGATATGATGTGGTGATTTGAAATGGGTTGTCTGTGTGGTTGTGCGAGTGATTATCTGAATGTTTTATCTACAGTGTTTGATTCTAATCTATCTTGTGATGTCAATGCCTATACCTCTGGAGGGTTCGGGCCGATGCTCACTGTCCGTATCCGACATTCCGATATGGGTGTATCGGAGATGCGGGTAGGGTTGCGGACTCAAGACATGGCCGAACAATCAGACCAGAGTGATGAAGGCAGTTATCTCAGTAGGAAGATGCTAGTCTAGAATGTGATTTGATTGATACAGATGTACAATTGCTTCCTTAAGCCTTCTTGTAGTCCTCCTCGGGCAGCTGGAAGTCCTCCCAGCTAGGTCTATCGGAGCCGTTCGGTCGACTGGCGCGCGAGAAGCTGTTGTCCACGCCGTCAATCTCCGCAATAGGTTTGACAACCTCAATGTCCGCATTGTACGCCTTGGAGAACCATTTCTCCGTGAGCGCCTCCCGTCCAGCCGCGTTGTCGGGGGCTATGTAGAGATGCGGAAACCGCGCCTGCATGATCTTCAGGACGGTCGAGGAGATGCGATCCACACTGTCGCAGTGCCGAAGCTTGAAAAATTCCGGCGGCTGAGCAGCTCGCATCTTCTCCTGCACAGCATCCGAATACTTGCCCACGGCAAAGAGCAAGAGGTCATAATGCATCAGAGAGGCCATTCCGTGGTAGGACCCGCCGGTCTTCGCACGGTGATAGAGACCTGTGAGGGCGGCAATGGCGCCCATGCAGCCTGTGCCATAATCAGAGATGGGAAACGGAGGTACCACCGGAGTGGAGAGGCCCATGAATTGGCCCTGAGCCCATGCGATACCAGTTACCTGATGAGAGTCAGTTTTGTCCATGTTGCCGTGTTTAGACTGCGGACTTACGCAGTCGGCAATTTGCTGCCAACCAGGACGGCTGGCCCATTCTCCGTCGTAGCCAAAGCAGTTCTCATTGACGTATACGATGCCCTTGCCACGCTTCTCCGCCAGCGAGGCGAGAGGGTTTGGACCGTATCCCAATTTCTCGAGCGCACCCGGGCGATAGCCATCGACAATCACATCCACATCAGCCAAGAGTTCCTCGAACTGACGACGTCCTTCCGTAGTCTTCAGGTCCAGATCCGCGGCATGCTTGCCCATGTTACCATCAACCTGGAAAAAGGGGACATCTGAAAGATTAGGGCTAGTAATCTTCAAGACGTCTGCGCCGTACTCGGACAGGATTCGTGTAACGGTTGGCCCCGCAATGATACGGCAGAGTTCCAGCACCTTGACGCCCTCTAGGATCTTTTTGCTTCCACTGTGACTGGCGGGAAAGGGCGTCGGGGGCAAGTCGCCGGTGAGACGCTTTACCTTCCACGGAGGTTCCTGCACATTAAGCCGTCCCTGTGCAACAATCAGCTTATCGATCCAGCTGCGATAGAGAGATGGACTAAACGAACATGGGGAGTAATGATGAAATCCTCGTATTTGAACGCTGTGACCCCAGCTTGTCTCCTCTCCTTGTTCATCTCTTCTAGCTCGGCAGCGCTGTACTTGTGCACATGGCTCTCAATGACCTTGATGATCTCTTCGTAGTCCGTAAGATCGGGACGGTGACCCTCCAATCCAATCATGTTGAGCGTCGTCGTAGCCTCAAGGGAGCCATGGATATGAAAGAATTCGCCCTCGTTCTTGGTTCTGTAAAGGTTGGCGGACATCCGACGGTATCCATTCGACTGAGCCGCAAGCAGGTCGGTGTCTGAACGGATCAGTTTCCAGGGGAATGATATCTTCAAGCTCAAATCAACCTACCCTTCAATTTTGACTTGACAGCTGGATCCAGTTTAGAAAGTCCATCAAGTTTGGCCATGTATGCCTGGCATCCGAAAGCCGTCGCCTTCTCCAGGTCGATCTTCACATTGCGTTTCTGTTCACCGAATCGCAAGTCGGCAATTGCGCTAGCGACAGCACCTTCGACACCCTTCAATGCAGCCAATGTCTCAGTTTCTTTGAATGGGATCGGGTAGTAAATCTCGTTGTGGGAAGACGAGAATGACACGGCATCCTTCTTCTCCACGACCTGGGGCGGCAAACTCAGTCGTTCGGCTTGATCGCAGAGATATGAGAAGATTCGACGTGCTTCCTCAACAGGCGAATACGAGTTGTCTGTTTCTGTGTCCGTCATGTTGACTCTCCGTTCTGCGTTTAGACAGCACTGGTTGTCGGATATGGTTTTATGCTCATCCAAGGAGTTGATGCTTTACAATTCAAAGTACGTTTGGAAGATGATATGATAATGACTCAAAAGTAAAAGTCATCCAGAGAATTTATTTAACAAGATCATTGAATGTGAGTAGATGATGCGGGAAAGCACATCGCCATGTCCGATTGGATTCCGAGCTATCGCCCGTCGGGTGGATGCATGCAGAGGATCATTCGGCACTGCAAGCGAGTGCTGTACAATCATAATTAGAAAGATTTCAAAGGAAACAGCGAATGGACATTGAGCATTCTCTTGTCAAATATCGACCCCGCACAGGGGATTGAGATCCGAAGGCATTGCGGGTTGAGAATATTTCGATCGGATGTCAGTTGAGGCCGATAAGATCGGAAGAGAGTTGGATAGCGCTTATCTACGGTCATGCGCCTTTAGTCACGTGATATTATGGAGGAAGATTTGACTAAAGGCACTGTGGTCTCTCGCTCAGTGTTTCTCGGGGATGAGAGAGAGCTTAGAAGAGCACAGCGAATTGTAGTGTCAGCATCATAACGGACATGTTAGTCAATGGCTTCTGGGATTCAGAAACATTATTGTCAATAATTTCGCATGGAATCTTCTTCCGCTGTCCCCACCAAGAAGAGCATAAGATCTGATGTTGCGTCATTCCGTAGATGATCTGCCAAGTATAAGAGGAATATATATGAGATTTCCCAACTAAGCGAGCCGAGGCACTCTCAGTCTGTTTGGAGATGAGATTCAAACAAAGGCACAGTGAAAGACGTGAATATATACAGATTGAGATAATCAGATTGCTGTTCTGAGTACCAATGGCAGTGGGATGGACAACTATTAAGGGGAAACTCTCCCACGCGCACCACGGATATCACGTTCTTGACGCTTCCATAAGTCAATGGCAGCTTTACCATGCAGCTATGCTTCGTAAATAACAGGGCTAGTTTCGCCTGACAATCCGCAGAAGAAACTGAAGGGCACAGTCTCCACTAAAATAGCATGTCGAGCGATTTTCTGGCCGAGTAAATAAGGGTTTGAACAGGACAGTGCGTTGACTGTAACCCCCACTGTCTGGGCTGGGCTCCGGATTATCGGCAACTGGTACCTCTATATTACTGTATATATTACTGAGGACTTAGATGCAATTGAGTTGAAATCATGGATAGAAGGCATCAGAATCAAATAGATAGACAGTTTGCTCACGAACATTGTTTATTGAATTACATATATGATGAAAAAGGTCAATGCTTGCCTGTCCAGAACCCAGTATTACCTACCTGCTTATAGACCAGGTGTGACGCACTGACAGAGACTACTTTAGTAGTAGCTAGGTCTAATACATATGGAGTCAGGTACTTGGCGAGTACTCACACCTCAAGTATCGCCTGTTTGCGGGGCCCACTGGTGATGTGGTTGGTGGTTTCATAGATCTACTCAAGTTGTAACTGTACCTCCCAGACACTGAAGAATCAAACTCTTAACACTGAGGCGAGAATGATTGACCACCAATGATCAAGACATTCATTCTGAATTGATGCTGAGGGGGGTGGATAAGCGTAGCCAGTCATGGGAGTAATAGACATGCATGTGCTGTGGTGAAGATCCCACGTGCCCTAATCTTGGACGCTTATCGCTCGCCCCGTCTTGCTGTGTACCAAATGTTGTGATAGGGTTGCACCCTGTTGCCTTGACCCCCCAGAAGAAGAAAACACACGCCGGTAACGCTGCAACCGGTTGGAAATTCTGATTGTCGATCCTTGAGGGGTGTCTTGAGCCTTGAGACCTGGTTGTCTACATAGTACTGGGCGAGGTCATTACCGGTGTGTTTTCGGTGAGATACGGAGTACATCTCAGGTAGCTACCTGTAGAGAGGTACAGAATAGTAACTTACATGATACTCCGATACTGTTGTATGATCTGCTTATAGTTCAGTTGGGTGGAATGTGGGAAAACTGATCGTGTCTCAGTGTCTTAATTGATTTCTACACTGTGGTGCTATGAGGCAGTTTCTTTTCAGATCTGTCAAGGTAAGCCACATAGTAGGTACAGTCAGAGAGGTACCTAAGGTAGATAGATGTACACGGTAAGTACTAATACAGTGTCCACAGTGGCTCCGGATCATCCCGGCGCTGTTCAGACTTGGGGAGGAGACCTACTCCGGGAAGCTCTAGGCTGCTGGCCAATCACCAGGGCCACGCGCCTGTCTCGTTGGCATGGACCTATTTCTCATCCGTATGGATCTATCTGTATGGAGCAGTCCTCCGGTGGACTGTCGATTATGGAGACTGTATGGGGCAGTAACTATGGTACCCTGATGGGACCTGCGAAGTATGTAGATTAAGTCCAAGCACTGCACAGGATTTAACAACAGTAATAATCCCTCACCTCAAGTCCTGAATATCCAGGTACATCGACATTCCAGCCTAGACTGCGATCGTCATTTCCCATGATTATCGACTTGCTGTAATCCTAATACAGCAAATACGCGATACTCTCGCCCCCGCGGACTCAACGCCGGCTGACAGACTACGGGCACGCTTCACTGCGCCTGCTGATATTATTATTATCACAACTATTATTATAATCCTACCCTTATACTTACTTTTTCCCCCTCCTTCCTCCCTCCTCATATCTCTCTTCCTTCTACCGTCCAAAAGAAAGTCATCCAGGAAACTATCATACTGCTAGCATCGCGCTTGTTGAGTCTTCTTTGTCTGAACGGTCGTGTGCCTTGATCTATCCAATATCCGCGCGTCCTGTTCGCATCTCACTCAGCTCACATACTTACTGTGCCTGCATCTCCTGCTTGAACTGTCATCTGTTCCCCCAAAGTACTACGTGAGTGATCATAACCATATCTGTGTCTTTTTTTTTTTTTCTCCCCCGATTCCTGGCTCTTCTTCTGTGCCTGAATTCTTTGTTCATCTATTCGCAAGTTACCAGTTTAGTCATCCCCGTCCATTGTTCTGTTCCCCCCTGGCGGCGTCTTATGGTTGGTGGATGGTCTTCTGACTCATGCGATAACAGGTTTAGCCACCACTGAAGTACCATATCAATTTCTCTTCAGTCCATTACTTCTCTCTACAATCATGGCTCCTCAAACAGCTACATCCAGCATTGCCATGGCCCTTGCTGGCAAGACGGCCTCTGTTGATATCCCTAAGCCCCGTTCCGGCTTCTCTTCTGGCAGACGTGACTCTGTCCGTCCAGGACATCCTGCGATGTTGCCCACGCCTCCCAACTCCATCTCCCCGACTCTTCCTCCGCAGGCTTTCAAGGAACAAGATCCTCGCCGTCCCGGTTCTCCTCCACTTGCCACTTCGCCCCATGTGGATTCTGATATCGACCTGGGCGACGCTGCGAATGACCAGCGTCAGTCTGCGCACGACCTGGATAACGTGGGAGAAATCACTCCGAGCATGTTGGCCAGGTATCACTTGCCCGAGATCATGCTCAACCAAGGTCCTCTGGCTATCCGTCATGTCATGGCGTACCTGACCACTTCGGTGCCCGGGTTCTCCAGAATCCCCCTGCCAAGGCGCGCAGACTTGTCGTGGCAGCGTTGGAGGGCCGAGGAAATGAGGGAGGAGGCCTAAACGGCGATGTCATTTTCGAGAAAGTGGGTTGGGGCCGCTGGGATGCGCGACGCCGTGGCGAACCCTTGCGCAACCCCTCGCATTCAACAGCGTCACCACCCGCCAGTTTCTCGAACTCGTTTACTCAGCGAGGTATGGCCATTCCGACCAGGCGAGAACCCGCATATACCTATGGAAGCAGCATGACTGGTGATTCAGCCGTGTTCTCGTACACAGAACGAGAGCATGGACATGGGGATCTCAGCATGCTGGAACACGAAGCAGACAAGATGTCTCTCGACGGAGACGACCGCGAATATTGCTCATCTTCGGAGGCTCCTGATGAAGAGATCCCAGATGAAGACTGGGGTGAGGAGGATGTCACCGACGAGGAGGACTGGGCGCAGATAGGAGCCGCAGCACTTCGTGCACGTTCACTGAACGGAGGAGGAGGGTTCCTAAATAGCAACGGACCATCACCTCTATTACGAGGCGGGGGACCTGCTCCGTCCTCGTTGGCGAAATCCGCGCCGCGACATATTCCCATTCAACAGCTTGGCTTTTCCGTGCCTGACAGCATGGTTGGCAACAAGGAAGAACGCGCCGCGGTGGAAGCGTTGTTAAGACTTGGATCTATGTGAACTTCAGCAACAGGAAAAATGGCGTTGGTACGGATGGTTTAAACTCGGGTACATCTTTGACGACTTGATTTTTACCTCCTATGATTTCGGAGGCGGGATGATCATCATCCCCGATCATCCCGACTTTTTACGATTTATTATGACAAGCTCTCGGAAAATCAGGTTGCCAAATATTCAACACGGCACTCGCGATCTGGCTGGCTCGATCGAATGGTCTTTAATTGCATTGGGATCTGGAATTCACAGGGATCGGGTCACGGAGTTTCTGGGTATGGGGTTTTATGGGTGTTACTCCCTTTTAATACCAAGCTTGAGTGCACACAACTCAGCTTTCGCTTTTGCATTTTATACATCTGGGTTTTGCAGTCTATTTATGCCATACTGCTCCCATTTCATTTATTTATGCATGTGCCTGGCGCAAGATGGAGGACTCTCCACTTAATCTCTTTTGGTCAGCTGTACATTCAGTTTGATGACTTTGACATGTCTGCATGTTCCTGGTGAACTACTCTCGGACAGGCTTCAGCAGTATATAACACCACATATACATACAAGAAACGAAAGCAAGAAGCATTGCCTTTGGCATGAGATATCCCAATTATGCGATCATAGTCTATCTGTAGTCCTCTGTAGCCCACCGTACCTTTCCGTCGAATATATTCTGCTTTTCTTGTCCACTCAATTCGTCAATATGACCCGAAAACAACTGAAGACCGGCTTATACAAATGTTTGACCTGATGTAAACCCAAGTCCTCACGCAGCCCAAGGACTACAATCGCATATACAAACTTCGAGAACCATCTACCATCCATACCAATCCAACCATAAGATCCCAGTAACATATCAAGGTATAACGAATAAACGCCACCCAGCCCTAGACCAGCTCATCCCTTACACCATCCCAGATTGTACGATACTTGCCGTAAACCAGATACAGAAATAGGAACAACCAACCCAACACAATCAATAGGTAAAGACAAATATGGACTAGATACAGCAGCAGCACAGCTACTTATCATGAGCCTCATTAATCCTCCTCCACACCTCAGCCTCCGCCTCCGCCAGCTTCGTCCCCGCACTCGCTATCCACGACTTTGCACTCGCCAGGAACCCGTCGTCTTCTTGGGCGGAGTCAAACTCGTCCATGCCATGGCCCTGGTTCTGGTAGAGGGGTAGTCGTGACGAGGTGGCGGGAGGTTGGTAGAGCGAGGCGTAGGGTGTAGTCGTTGAGTTTGGGTGTGGTTGTGCGTGAGGGTGTGCTCGTGGATGGAATTGTTGGTCTTGGGATGGGTGTGTGAATCCGGAGCTGTACCCTCCCGCTGTGGGGTTGTAGCCGTAGCCGTAGCCGTAGCTAGGCATGGGGTTCGCTGGAGCCCCAGTTGTAGTTGCGCCTGTGGCTGTAGCGGTAGGTGTTGGTTGAGACTGAGGTTGAGGTTGAGCCTGGGGAGCAGGGCCAGGACCAGGACCAGGAGCAGGAGCTGGAGCAGGAGCAGGAGCTGATGAGGCAGCCAGAGCTGGAGGAGCCGTCGGCGCTGGTATTCCAGGATCGGGACGAGCACCAGGCTGTGGGGGAGGAGGCGAGGCGCTCGCTCTCGTGGCAGGGGTGGCTATCGTTTCGGTCGCTGTTGGTAATGGTAGAGGAGGTCCGTCAATGCCAGACATTGTTGGTGCAGTCGGCGCAGGCATGGTTGTGATGCTTCCTGGTTGCGCCTGGGCAGTGGCGTAGATCGGAGAGTATGGAGGTGCTGTTGCGGTGGCCGACACAGATGCAGGTTCCGATGGAGCTGGTTCGTCCTGCTTCGCTGATGATATGGACGGGGCCGTCGCGTCATGAAGCGCGGTTGTAGTCATGTTGAGATGGGTATTTTAATCATACAGCCGAGCAACCTCAACGTCTTTTTAGACGAGCTCCCCTGTCTTAAGGGATAGCAGCACTGACCGACGTCATGGGATCCACATCACGTGATTGACGACACGTGGTGTTCTACGAGGAAAATTTTCACCTACAGAGGCAACGTCAAGGAAGCAACCCCAAACAAACAGAAACCAGTTTTCGTACCGGAAAGAAGTACACATTGAGAAAAAAGAAAAAGCTTGCAGGCAGTAAAGTACAACGGGTACACGAGGAAATATCACACTGCTTTATGCTCAAGAAACCCGATACCCTTCTTGGAGCATATTTTCTATAACCATCCACAGTAGCGTCCAGTTTCAGGCAGTTACACCTGGAACTGACCAACCCCTTCCCCTATGAAACCGCATCGATGGAAACGATTCGAAGTTAATCAATCGTTTAGCCAGAGCCACCCTTGAACTTCTTGCCGAAGAGGATGAGCTGAACCTGGTCGTAGATGGACAGGACACCAGCACCAGCAACACCACGGAGGATGTTAGCACCAGCACCCTTGAAGAGAGACTTGACACCCTCCTTGGCGATGATCTGGCGAGCAGCATCCATGGAGGACTTGTACTTGACGGCCTCACCGGAGGTCATCATCATACGACGACGAATGGTGTCAAGAGGGTAAGAAGCAATACCAGCACCAGTGGTGACAGTCCAGCCGAGAAGGAAGGAAGCAAGGAAGCTACCCTCAAGAGAACCAACCAGGACAACAGGCTTGATGGAGTCGTACATGCCGAAGTACAGACCACGGTAGACAACAATACCAAGAACGGAGGGACCGAAACCACGGTAGAGACCGGCAATACCGTCGGAAGCGAGGGTCTTACGGTAGACATCAACAAGACCATTGAACTGGCGATCACCACCACCCTTAGCGGACTTGGCGTCGTTGGCAAGACGGGTACGAGCGTAGTCGAGAGAGTAGACGAAGAGGAGGGAAGTGGCACCAGCAGCCTGAATGATTTGTTAGTTTTGAAGTCATCTCTGCACGAGACATGCTGAGGGTATACGTACACCACCGGAGGCAAGGTTACCCATCATCCACTTGGCGTATCCATCACGCTCCTTCTTGTAGGCGAACATCGACTTGTAGGTGTCACGGAAAGCGAAGTTGAGAGCCTGGGTAGGGAAGTAACGGATGACGTTGGCAGTGTTACCACGCCACAGGGACATGACACCCTCAGCCTGGGCGGTACGACGGAAGCAGTCGACGATACCGTTGTACTTGCGGTCGAGACGGCCAGCACGGATCATCTCATCCTGTAGTGAATGGCGTTAGTCGCGTTCCAGTTGAGTAGATTGTTGGCCAGATTCGTAGAATGGCACGTTTTGCGACCACCCGATTGTCCCAATCTTGGCGACAGAAACATCATAGGTCATCGCAAAACTTCGCTCTGTCCGATTTGTTTTCTCGCAGAGCGGCAGCTATTCTAACTGTTGGGTCGGGAGCGAAGATGGTTAACCAACCTGGTTCTGGACAAGGAGCTTGATACGCTCGATGGGGGCAGCAGCAGTCTTGGAGACGGCAGCGGAAACACCACCCACTGCGAAAGAGTCAGTAAAAGCTCGATAGAAAGACCCCGTTGTCGCAAATTGATGACTGCTGAAGATTGAACAATCATCGAGAATGATTTGGATGGCACATACTCAGGAAGTCGACGACGAATCCCTGCGGTGAAAATTCTGTCAGCGAGTCGTTTCACCAGGCTTCCAGGGCAAAACCGCGTCGAAAACATCAAATTGAGTTCCTAGAGACGATTGCAATGATCTCCCCCCTCATGGAGCTCGATTCCCGATCATTGCCATCATATCAAGACCTCGATCCGATGCGACCGTTTTTGCCCAAAACAGGACTGGAATAACAACTTACGGGCATGCCGAAGACGGTCTTCTCGGCCTGGTTAACGTCACCTTTGGCCATGTTGACGGCTGTGAAGGACGAAAACTAAGAAAGAGACGAAGAGAGGAGATGGGGTTGAGTGTCAAGAAAGAACAGGACACTTCAAAGAGGATGGAGGAGAAAAAAGAGGAAGGGAACGGGAAGGGGAAGGGAGGAAAGAAAAATAGCGAGCGAAGGGCTCTTGTAAGCGGGTGGAAGCGAGTGGAGCCGCTAGGACGCTCTGGGAAAATTCTGGTTTGCTGGCCTCAAAGCGTAACTGGGAAAAAAATTTCGCAGCAATCTTTTTCCTTTTGCAGGCGGACAAACGGCCAGCGAAAGAGAAGAAAAGAAAATTCGGAACCGGGCGCTAACGATGGCCCAGGCAACGAGAGCCGATAATTCCCGATCGACCAGAAAGCATTGTAATAATAACACAGAATGCATAACACACCGTCACTTGGGCTTGATGATCATTCTGCAAAGATTCATATAAAAATGCTCTTCTTAGGACAGGCTTGACTAGTAATCTGTAATTAATAGGAGGACTAATGCTTTTGGTTGATCGATAGGTGTCTCCCTTGTACCTTATTCTTCACTGCTTCCCCGTCATTAAGCCAACCGTAACCCGGAGAGCCTCCGCCTAGTCGTCCACAGTCAGTCTCTTCACGGGGAACGTATCTCCTACCTTAGCCTCAAGGATTTCTATTCTTGGTCTTGTCCCGAGTCTCCGATGGCAAAATTTTCCTTGTTAGCCACCCGTCAGTACTCTCTGTAGATTCCGTGAATGCGGATAGAAGATATAAGTGACTTCAAAGTCCGGATACCCCAGTAAATTCTTTTTTTGGATGGTAGACACTCCATAATCCACTGTCTACCAAGCCGGTCATATGCGTCGCTACTTTTCGGCCCTCAGTGCCGCGGATGTTTCAGGACATACGGAGCACTATTTGTCTATGACATGTTTCCTAGAGTGGATAGTTCTCTTCAAGCAATGTCAATTGCGTGCCCTGCGATCGAGCTTAGCGAATTCTCTCAAGAAGCATTGTTAGAATGCCATCGTAAATACAATTCTTAGCAATGAGATTGATCCGATTCGGCTGAAGAAACTGCACTGTTTCTCGCATACCTGAATTTTCGACAGGACAGTCGCTGTATCTATAACCGTATATGACTGGTTCGGTAGCATCCACACTGTTTCGGGAGGTCAAAGCTGCTTGACTAGTCTAGCGTTTCCCGACGAGGATTGATATCAATAGGGATTGTATAGCCATCGCTCAGTAGATAGATAGGTAACGTCAAGCGGAAGCTCCCTTTTGGAAATATCAATGTCACTTTGCGAAATACCTTCCCAGTAGGTTCGGTTTCTCGGGCGTTTGCGCCTCACCTTTTTCAAGCTACTTTAGGCTGTTCCTAGTTGCTCTTGAAAAAGAGTGGGAAGACCCACACAACATGGGGGCAATCTTTTACCATATATCGGACTGAGAACATTTCTACTATGATCGATTTCTACTCCATATACTCCATATACTCCATATGGGACTTCAATTTTCTCCTGTGGCAAGTTCTCTAATAAGTGACGATATCTTCTTGAATTTGCCTCGTACAGTGCCGGTCAAACCAGATTGTTGATGAAGAGCCGCAGAGTATAATATCTACGATTCAAACGTAGTATCGGGTTGCCTCAACTCGTCAAAAGCCCGTAACACTGATATGTAGCAAGGTCCAATTCATCCAGACTAGTTGAAGACGCAGCCGTTGTGAAACTACCATTGATACAGGATGAGGTCTGAAAGATCGAAGGAAAACGAGAAGCCTCTGAGCCTCACGATATGTTTCATTATAAACAAGCCATTTCCGGCAACTGCATGTGGTATTTATAAGACAAACATCAGCTCCAACAAAAGAAACACATCAATTCTTCTTGGACCGCTTTCTCTTCTTCCTCTTGGGCCCCCTTCCCGAATATCCACTTTGTCTCCATCATCTGCTTGCTCCGCATTACCCACAGGCTTTTCACCGCCGAAGCTGAAGACAGGACCCTCTTCATTGCCAAAGGTCTCCTTGCGCCATTGCCTCAGACGAGCCTTCTTGCCGAGTTTCTTCTGGTCCTTGCGTTTCTTCTCCGGGTCACGGAAGGAAGCAAGCTTCTTCAGACCCGCAAACTGATTCAGCTGTGCATCATCAGCCATAAGAATGTCCCGCGCGGTCAACCCGAAGCTTTGAGGCGAGGTCTCGCGGTAGCGGAAGCGAGTCGTGTTCTTCTTGGTGGCGCCAGGTAGAAGAGAAATGTCGAGGTCTAGGTTGCGATCGACTGCCTCCTCGATGCGGAGGCGGTCCTTGCGGGCTTCCCGCTTCTGATCCCGCCTCTCTTGAGCTTTGCTCTTCTTGTTCGTGTCGTCGGCATCATCCTCCATCTCGACATCAGAATCCTCCAATGCCGGCTTGGGTTCCTCCTCATCAAAATCAGGGACCAGATCTTTGATATCAATATCATCATCCCATGTAGGTTTCTTTGGACGTTTCTTCTTGCCCTTGCCCTCGCCATCACTACCAGCGGCGTCTCCCTCGGCGTAGTAGTCCTCGCCAAACCGTTTCTGCATTTCCTTTTCCCACCTGTCATCGTCCCAAGCCTCGTCCAGAAAGTGTGCCCAGTCCTCATCGGTGAATTTAGATGCGCGGAAGCCAGCGACTTCCTTGATCTTTTTGATCTTCTCCTGGAGTTCTTCCATCTTCAATTTGCGAAGACGGTTTTTCTCAGCTTCCCGCTGCTTCTTCTCTTCCTCCTTTCGCATGCGCTCAGCCTCACGCTGCTTCTTTCTGGCACTCTTTTCCTCTCTTCGGACAGACTGTTGGTTGGTCTTATCACGAGCGTGGGTCAACAGGGTCGCGTTCAGTTTGCTAGGGTCTTCAAAGCGGAAGTTGTATGCCTCCTCAAAGGCTTCTGCCCGCTCCAACTCCTCCTCATCCTCAGACTCGAAAGGCTGCAGCTCGGATCTACCAGCTGGAATCCATGCCCTGGAAGACAAAAAGTTTGAAAGGAAGGTCTCCGGGTCCTTGTCCGCATTCTCAACGTCCAGCTTAATTTCCTCCTTGGATTCCGAGACCGACTTGGTAGTGGATTTCGGGATCAGGAATCCCCCATCCTCGTCCTTATCCTCGTCATTTTGATCAGCGGTGGCGTGCATCTCTTTAACAATAGCATTCTTCAACTCCTCTTGTTCCTGAGCGTAGGTCTTCGGAGCAGCGGAGGTATCGTCCTCTTCCAGATTGGCACCGCTAAGAAGATTTTGCCGATGGTAGTCTCGAAGCGTCATGGGTTTTTGCTTTTTCTCTGTATTTCCAGTGTTTGCGTTTTCTTCTTCTTGTTCGAGGGCTGTGTAAAATTTGGCGTCCTTGTCGTAGACACGAGGATCTTTTGATCGAATTGCGTTCAGTGTCGCCATAATTTCTGCATCAACGGCCGGCGTTACCAATTCCCCATCTTCGTCTTCTTCTTCGTCTGACGACGACTCTTCCGAATGGCCGGAGTCATCTTCGTCACGATCATGGCGTTTCCCGAGCGCTGAAGTCTTCCCTAATTTCGTTTCCACTGTAACAAATATCAGACTTGTGTCACCAATGAGGCATTAATTTCAGGAAAAATGGAGACTTACATTTCTGCAACTCTTCTCGTTTCTTGTTGTGTTCAAAACGACGGGCATATTCTTCGTTGATCTTGAATGCAGGCTCCGACTGATCGGTGATGGGAACTCCGCCAGATTCGTCTCCCGAATCGCTGGAGCTGTCATCGTCAAGAAGCTTGCGTGGTTTCTTCGCTGGAGGCTCCATCTTCGCCCAATTCAAATAGGCAAGAAAGGGAGGAGGACACAGATGTTCTGAAAGCCGCCGATTCAGCAGAATTGTGCAACGCTCTTCAATTGGAAAAAGTTGCAGTCGCTGGCAGAAAAAGAAAAAAAATATTCATCCGGTGCTCACCGCCTGCCGTCCGCCCTTTACTGCCTGAGAACGCAGGCCACAACAACAGAGTACTGACGTAGCCAATTAGATCATGGATGGGGCTGTCGACCCCGGATGGCTTGAAGAGAGAGTTGCAGGAACTCTCTTCTCAACATGAGTGTTTCTTTTGCTCACGTGTGTATTTACCCCGTATGACTGGCCCCCTACGTCGTTGTTTTCAATATTTGGGGTCGTACTTTTCGATCTATCACACCATTACCCCTATCTGTATCGAATGTATGGCCGGGGATATTCGCTAGATGTCGACTCAGCCGCAGACCGCATTGTCCCAAGTTGGGAAGCTTATTAGTGTGGTGTAAGTGCGGATGATGAGATTCCTCATCCCAAAGCTAACCTGATGGCGTCGATATAGGCCCGTTGGATTGAAAGAGGCTGCTCTCGATTCCCCGACTTTTCGGGCCACCACACTTCATTTCTCCGAGCAAATTGAATACCTTGAAAAATGGCTGGATGGCTATGCGAAGGCTGCTTCGAAGCTCGTCACGGAGCTTGCGACCATAGAAAATGTGATGAATACCTTTCTGGCGTATTCTTCGAACCCTCCCATCGTCTCCGAAGCTGCCCTCGACCATGATTATACCTTACAGGCAATGAGCAGGTGTGGTGAGAGCTCGAAAGATCTGTGGAATGGTTTAATGGCCACTGCGAAGAAAATGGAATCGCTTGTATCAGAGCCTATAAGAGCCTTCATCCACGATGATTTACGGAGTTTCAAGGTAAACTGAGTGTCCCCGGCCCCTTTTGAAAGCATGAGAGGAGCGTCATCTTACCCCGCTACAGGAGACTCGTCGCACCCTCGAACAAGCGCAGAAGCAGTACGATTCCCTTCTATCTAGATATGCTTCACAGTCCAAATCAAAAGAACCTTCATCCCTGAGAGAAGATGCTTTCCAGCTTCACGAAGCCCGCAAAGCCTACCTGAAAGCGTCAATGGATTTTTCAGTGCAAGCGCCACAAATACGAAACTCGCTCGATCGACTGTTAGTCCGAGTTTCCTTCGACCAGTGGAGGGAATTTAAGGCCCTCCATAATGACAATGGTGCATCGTTTGCCAAATGGGGCCAAGAGATGGATCGCATAAAAGGTTGGATCCATGAAATGGAGGGCAGCGAGAAGTTCTCAAAGCGTGAGCTCCTTTCCGCCAGAAAGCATATTGAGGACGCTGCAGAGCTGGCTGCCAGGCCGTCTCGAGAGCTGGAAGACTATTCAATATCCACCGTTCCGTATCTAGGGTCTCGCCCTCTGTCGGACCTGAACATGCCCAAGGAAGCACGGCCCGAGAAACAAGGCTGGGTTTATCTGCGAACATTGTCAGGCAAACCAACACGTACTGTTTGGCTGAGACGTTGGGCCTTTTTGAAAAACGGTATCTTTGGTTGCCTCGTGCAGGGCTCTCGAACTGGGGGGGTTGAAGAAAGCGAGCGTATAGGCGTGCTATTGTGCAGTATACGGCCTGCTTTCCAGGAGGAACGAAGATTCTGCTTCGAAGTGAAGACCAAGAGCAACACCATAGTATTGCAAGCCGAGACTCAGAAAGAGCTCACGGAATGGATTGCTGCTTTTGAAGCAGCTAAACGAAAAGCACTGGAAAACCCGACAAGCACCGACATCTCGGTTTCTGGAAAGGTTACTGTGCAGGATCCAGCCTTTGCAATCTCTCAGCCTCCAGCACCTGAATTTGCTGCTGATCCGGCCGACTCGCTCACGCCGCACGCAAATGATGAGCATGGACCGTCGGATCGTAGCGGAGGGTTGTCAGTTCCAGAGCGGGACCCATCAGCCTTCCGAAACAGCAGCGATCTCGGCAGCCCTAGGCGCATGACTGGGTTGGACCCCGAGAGTTCTGCGCGAGAGCATACTTCCAGACTCATTCAGAAATTGGATCTCCACCGCAAGTCCAACAATAATGTTGTCCCACCATCTATATCTCTGCCCGGTGCAGGTGGTGGTATCGCAGGCCTGATCTCCTCCAGCCATAGCACTTTAGGGCATAGCAACGGTCTCTCCGTGGGCGGGACCGATGAAGGAAATAGAAGTCGCAGTTTGACGAACCGGAACTTTCCTCCTACGACACTCGCACCTTCCACCTTGGCGAATCCACCCGCCCCTACCAGTATGAGCAAGGCGGCTGTAATCGTCAGCAATGAACGAGGTATTGGGTTGGGGCAAGCCGACAAGACAGGCGGGATGCCTAGCGGTATGATGGCCAACCTGTGGGGTAGTTTCAACTGGGGCTTCATGAACCGACTCGAACGCGAACGTGATGCTCAGCTTGCAGGGACCGGCGAGGGAGCTTCTGTGGGACAACAACCATCAACGCCGGCGATTGATTCGTCAAAGCAACCGCAATCAGCTGACGTAGATTTGTCCAACGGCACTTCAGCATCCAAGCAGCAGATCTCTGGCCCTCGCCATAGGCAGACTGTTAGTCTTGACGGCGATGCCTCCAAGGTGCAGAGGGCAATTCTGGGTATTTCGCATGAGTATCCCAGTTACTATCCCGAGCAACTTCGGCCTCAGGATGCTCAGTTTCGTCTGCTCTTTCCCGACGTCACAAGAGAGGAGGCTTTGGTCATGGTCTTCCGAGCTACATGGAATCCGAACGATCAGCAAGAATTTCCTGGAAGAGCATACGTTACGACTCGCAGCGTATATTTTTACAGTCATTATTTTGGATTAGTTTTAACCACAGGTGTCCCGCTGGAGAGCATCAAGGAAGTGACTGCTGCACCTGGCAGAGACTGCGACTTCTTATTCCTCCATACTATCCCGTCTTTTGGTGAGGATACTCCTGGACGAATCACGGTGAAAACATTCCTTGAGCCTCTAAGACTTCTTCGAAGACGCCTGAATTTCTTGATTCAAGATTCAACGGCGGTGGAACCCATGGGGTTGGAAGCAATTTTCAAGGCTCTGATCAGAATGGAGACCGACACGAGGAACCGTAGCCCTAGCTTGAACAGCTGGGAAGATGCGGCCGTTTCGGATGACAAGAATGGTATCGAAGAGGACAACATTGCTGCTGGACAGCAAAAAGACATCCGCCGACCGATTTACATCGACTATGACTTGGATCCGCATTCAAAGAATGGCAAACACGGCAAAAATGCGCCAAAGTTCCGGTTGCCAACTCAACCTGTTCAATATGTTCCCCAAGGCAACCTCCACCTCGCTGCAGAGAAGATATTCGATATTAGTCCGAAGGCGATATTCCATATCCTTTTCGGCGACAAGAGTGCTGTTTGGCAACTCCTTTTGCATGAAAGAAGATCGCGAGGTTCGTCCCCCAAATGATTCGGGATAACCTTTGGCTGACCGATGTGAAAGATATCAAACAGGGGCCCTGGATCAGAAACGAATCTCGGCATTTGCGACGTGACTTTGAATATCATATCGAGACAACCGACTTGCTTGGTACGTACCTCTGCTCATCACCGCTTAGCAAGTGACTGACGGTCCCCTTCATGTAGGACGCACTCTGGACAAGACGATTTCTGATTACCAAATCATTGATGTTCTCAATGATCACTTGTGCTACGTAGTGACCGACAAGCGGACTCCGTGGCACCTTCCCTTTAAGCGCTCGTTCAGGTTGGTGAGCAAGATTGTGATTACATTCGTCGCGAAGGGGAAAAGCAAGCTTGCAGTATACACGAAAGTGGAGTGGCTTGGGTCTCCTCATGGCCTCCAGAGTGAGTGGTTCATTAGCACTCGCGAGACTATTGTCCTGCACGATCACTAAGTTATTTACAGGAATCATCGAGAAGCAAGCAACAGGTGACTTAGAGCAAGACGCTCTGGACCTCGTTGATCTTGTCAGCGATCAGGTGCGAAAATTGGGCTTCCATAGCCGAACAAAGTCGGCCATCACCATATTCGGTCACATCGGACGCCAACAGCATACATCTCAACTTTCGTCCAGCGAATCAGTTCTGAAACTTGAACCTCGAAAGCCTCGGCGTCAGAGGACCTTAACTCAACTCTTACTCGAGACGCTTCTCTCCTTCCTGGAGAGCGCCGTTTCGTCCCTAATCATGTGGACTTTTGCCTTGCTTCGCTGGACCTGGAAGACTACGAACGCAAACATGGTCATTCTAGCCCTGCTGATCTCCAGCGCTTTGATGAACGGAGTCTTCACTTCACGGTACACTTATGACTGGTGGCATGAGAGGAACGTGGGAAACTTCATGGCTCGTCTTGGGGTCGGTCCCAACCATGTGATGAGCAAAGCCATCTATATGAGGGATATCGACGAGGTGATTGCTAATGCCACTGTCGGCCAATCTAGTAACAACATGAGTAAATGTTTCTCTACGTTCTACCAGCAGACAGTGAGCGACCAGGGAACAGTCCTTTCCTTTAGCGCCTCAGGTCCTCGAGACTCAGTGACACGGAGTGCAGCCAGGCGGATCCATCAAACCCGCGAGCGACTCGCTATGTATAGACACAACTTGTTAGTGGCGCTCCGGGTAGTGAACAGCATTGAAAGAGAGGTCATTCAAGGCGAGTGGGAGCGATGGCTCCGGCAGGAATTGAGACGCTGTCACCAAGTCGAAAAACTTCTCGGAAAGGATAAGGAGGATGACGGATTCAACACGCAGGTTGACCAAGCAAGTCAAACTGTTTTTGCAGACCTCGCGGGTGACGTTCAGCAGTGGTACGATAAATACTGTACCAGTTGCCAGGTGGAACAGGAGCAGCTTGAGAGGAGCGGTGTTGTATATGGTATTTAGAAGGTACATAGGGGTTGCTTGTTCGTTTTGTTTACTCCGGACGGATCGATACGTTTTGAACGATACCCCATTACAATTGCCCGGATGTTGGCGGTTACCTTTGTCTTATTGACTTGATCGAGTGGGCGATTTCTGGTATATGTTCGCAGTCCAGCTCTCTGCTGGTATATATCTGATGTTTCGAGCTTCAAGCGAATTCGAATGGTTTGTGGAATGCCAGGATGCCGTGTGCTGCTGGCTTGTAGGACAGATGTCATAGCCATGGATATGGTCGGTACCAGCCAGATCCCATATCCCTGTACATCTCTCGATGGAGTTGTACGGTCGTCCAACCCTCATTTAATTCTGTCTTGGCTTCACAGCACCCTCCTGGACGACATAGTACACCACGGTACCATCACCACCCATGCCTCGATCAACCATGGCCAAGAGAAGTCTCTTCCCACCCCACTCTTTTGTGACCCGAGCCTTTCGTCTGTACTCATAGTACTCTGTCAGCTTCGCCGCCTTCTCAGCATTACCAGATTCTTTGGCATCATCTAATGACTGATCATTCGACTCTTCCTCGTCCTCGGGAAGCGCATCGAACACGGCAGCCATTTTGCGTAGACTCCATGACTGTCCGTGAGCGGTGGGAACGACGAACATCCGTTCCAGCTCGATGTCGTCTTCGCGAAGACCCCTCTCAAGCATGAACAGTTGCTCGTCTGGATGCGTATAGATTCTGTGAGGCGGGATGCCGGATATCAGAAAGGAGGGCGAGCTGGAAAGCTGGTCTGTAGATGTCGACATCGACGACGACGAGACGGAGAAATTGGGTCCTTGCAAGTCATGGATTTGGAGAGAGGTCCAAAGATGCTGATGTTGAAGGTTGTGGAGGACTTGAATTGCAGTTGCAGAGTGAGGGTTCGAGGAGGCGGAGGTGGTGGTTAAAAGGGTGGTGAGGGCCGAGGGCTCTGGAGCCTGGGGTGTTGATGTGAGTACAGTTCGCATAGTGTGTTGCTGAGAGCTTGTCTTGTGTGGATGTTGTAGCAGAGACCGGAGGCTTTAATTCTAGATAACGATGCTTATCAGTCTATGGAGGTTTCGAAGGTTTAGAGAGCCACTGTACTCCGTATAGGGATGGACATTTAATGGTCATTGCTTACTCTCAATGGGCCGTATCTATCCTCTTAGACACAAAATTAATCATATCTCAGTGATACTCGATGTAAAAAGTGATCAGTACTGCTTGACCTGCGGGGGCTGGAGAATAGCGTTGGAGTCTTGGAGGCGGAGAGGGAAAAATTTAGGGCGATTGCGCCGAAATTCCGCGCAGCGCGTTTTTGGCCAAAGAGGAACAGAACACATGGCATCAACGGCCTGTGTTTCGAAATGAGAGTGTGATCCTTCCTGCGATATTCTTTTTCTTTTTTGGTCCATCAGCTCCGTTTGTGTCTTCGAGACTTATTCAAAGCAAAAGTGTTACTGATCTTGACTTAACTCCCGCATGATTCGTTGTCTTTCACTCATATTCCATTCCGTCATTCCGTACACATATCCAACCTGCGCTCATGGCACGCCAAAAACAGGCAGTGCCTTTACAACGGGCCACTTCTTCTGAATTGATGCACTTTGTGCCTGAAGAATCCAAGTCAATGTCTACACACCAGAATGGCAGCGCTCAGAAGCCTGTTACCCTCAATGGATCTGCCTCGACAAAAGGACAAGCGCCTGAAGCTCCCCTGGAAACTCCGGGGTTGATGCAACTTGCGATCTGTGTCCTGGGTATTTATGCGTCATTGTAAGTGATTTATTTCCAGCGCATGATTATCCTCTCCATATACAGTGTCTAATACTTTCGAAGTCTGTCATGGGGTGTTCTTCAAGAGGCGATTACCACGGTCAACTTCCCAGTCCGTCCTCCAACTGCTGAAGAACCAAACCCGCCGACGGAGCGCTTCACCTTCTCGATCGTTCTCAACACCATACAATCCACCTTTGCTGCGATCACCGGTTTTCTCTACCTCTATTTTTCTACTCCGGCGGGCAAGAAGGTTCCCTCCATTTTTCCAACCCGCAAGATTCTCTTCCCTTTGCTCCTGGTCAGCATCTCCTCATCGCTGGCGTCGCCCTTTGGATATGCAAGTCTTGCGCACATCGACTACTTGACCTTTATTCTCGCCAAATCATGCAAACTTCTGCCTGTAATGTTCCTGCACTTGACTATCTTCCGCAAGAGATATCCTTTATATAAGTACGGCGTTGTCTTGCTGGTTACCCTTGGAGTCGCAACTTTCACCCTCCACCACCCCGGAACCAGCAAAAAGGTCGCTGCAGCGAAGAATCAGTCCGGCTCATCTCTATATGGAATCTTCCTACTTTCCATCAACCTTCTTCTGGACGGCCTCACGAACACAACACAAGACCATGTCTTTAGCTCACCGCAAATCTACACACGCTTCACCGGACCGCAGATGATGGTAGCGCAGAACGTCCTTTCGACGGTCCTAACCGCTACCTACTTGCTTGTCATGCCCCATCTGTCATCTACCGGCATCTTGCATGCTCTTCTTCCCATCCCCATTCCGCCTTCTACCGAAACCGAGCTTACATCCGCCATTTCCTTCCTGTCACGACACCCAGAGGTGATGAAGAACGTGCTCGGATTTGCCGCCTGCGGAGCCATCGGCCAGCTGTTTATTTTCTATACGCTTTCTCGCTTCTCGTCTTTGCTTCTGGTGACTGTGACCGTCACGCGCAAGATGCTCACCATGCTGTTGAGCGTGTTCTGGTTTGGACACTCGTTGTCTGCCGGCCAGTGGCTCGGCATCGGCCTTGTATTCGGCGGCATCGGGGCTGAAGCCGTGGTACAGAAGCGAGAGAAGCAAGCCAAAGAACGGGCGAAGGCATTAGCTGGAAAGAGGGAGTAGACCGTTTGATCTGTTCAACGTTTATTGTACATATATACACACATAGTAGATTTTCATTTCCCCATAGAGATCCTTTTTTTACTACTGCTGTGCAGGAGATTCTGCATTCATCTGGAAGTATTAATGTGAAAACGCTCAACTGCTAAAGGTAAATTGGCCATAGGAGACGAGGCTACTTCCTCCCTTCAACCATGATGATATGGTACCCAAACCCGGTCTTCACCTCCACATACTTGGGGTTCGCCGTCGTACTGGGCTCAAGCTCATACGCAGCCTTCTCGAAGTCCGCGTTGAGACTACCCCGGACTTTCCACCCAAGAGAGCCGCCTACAGTCATCAGCATCAAGCCAGCTTTGAAAAAGGGGAAACGCACCTTGCCGAGCCTTATCCTCCGAGTACTCCCTCGCAACATCGTCGAATTTGGCCCCGTTACGCAATTTCTCAAGCGCTTCTTCCTTCTTTGAGAATTTCTCGCACTACGTTTGCCGAGTATTAGTCTAGAAGTAGCAGTAGCCGGTGATTATACATAGCAGAGTTGTAGCCAAGTGCAATTGTGTGAAAACGATACTCCAGAGAAAAAGATTTACGTACAAGAATATGTCTGACATTAATCGACGTAGCGGGCTTCAACCCCTTTCCTCCGCCCTTTCCCTTGTCCCCCTCAGACACATCTTTCCCCTTGCCTTTCTTGTCGCCTCCTTTGGCGTTGTTCTTGGGGGCCATCCTTGATGTCGATGCTTCAGCTGATGGGAAGTCGATGCGGCAGAGAAGTTTATGTCCGAGTCCGAGAATCGATATAGCAGGAACAGAAGCTCTTTGAAGACTGGACTTAGCTAGAGGCCGTAGCTGGAAGTATCTTTACGGTTTGCGCCGAGAGTGGTGCTTCTCAAGACTGATGCATTGCTAGAGTTGGAGAGTGGGGTTTGGTGGGGTCTGGCTAGCAGCCTGAGGCAGACAGGCAGACAGCTCTGCGGTTTATGTACCGGATGCAAACCGTTGATGACGACATTGTATTCTCTGTTTCTCGTTTGCACTATTTGATTTGAAAGACTGAGGTATGCTGATGAGCTCTACTCTTCCAATTCTTGGAGCTGGTTCGTAAGACTCTACAGTATCGTTGATCAGAGCTTCTGTTGTTGTTGTTGTTGTTGTTGTGACTTGTCACTGAAGGGCGATTGTGGGTTCCAATGAGACTGATGCTGGTGTTATCTTCAGGCATCAATAGGTTAAGAAGCTGCAATGGAATCCAATCTGGAAGCAGCCCGGATTAAGTCATTGCCTGATGACGCATTCTACATTGCAGACTTTATCACTGAGGAAGAGGAGGAGTTGCTGCTGCAGAAGGTATGTTTCGCGATTACAAGGGTGTAGCTCCGTAGTGTGACTGGCCTATGTAGCGATGGCAGCGAGCTAATGACGATCCATCAATCGCTCATGCTTACCAACTGCACACCATATCCTGCAATAACAGCGCTAATGTTAAAAGATAACCACTGCCCCTCTTCCCCGATGGACTCAGCTCTCCCACCGACGTCTTCAAACTTGGCCCTCTGCTCTGACCACGTCGAATACTCTAATCGCATCGCCGTTGCCCTCATGGCTCTTTTCACCTATCATCAACCCTCGGTTGAACTCACTTGGCATTTTCGCAAGCGCCCCTCACGGCGGTCCAAACCATGTCCTGGTGAACGAATACTGTCCGGGTCAAGGAATCATGCCGCATGAAGACGGAGCCGCGTACTATCCCCTGGTTGCGACCGTGAGTCTGGGAGCACCAATTGTCCTAGATCTGTATCCAAAGCCCGTTTCAAGCAACGATGGAAACAACAGCGGGGAGGGTGGCGCTCGCCAGCCTCAGTCTCGAATCTTGCAGGAGAGGCGCAGCCTTCTGGTTACGAGGCGAAGCATCTACACAGATTTCTTGCACGGCATTGCAGAGACCTGCAAGGACGATAATCTCAGTGCTGACACCATCTGCAATTGGGATCTGCTGCGTGAACCGGATCGTTATCAGTGTGGTTGGTATGAGAGGGAGACCCGAATCAGTCTGACGTATCGGGACGTGCTCAAGGTGTCAAAGTTGGGAAATACGATGAAATTTCTAGGCGGACGATGATCTTGCAGACGGGGATCCTATTGTCCTCTGATCCGCATATCAACTCGAGCGACTAAGCTATGTTTGCTTAGAAGAGTCCAGGAACCATGTTCCATCTTTCCTTGACAGCGTCTGGCCCGAATTTCTGCTCATACCATCGCTTGCTGATTGCGGCGGTTACACCCAAATTCACCGTTACAAACGTGAAACATGACAGAAGTGTCTTGTTCACCATCTCGCCATCCGGTGCAGCCAACAGAGCCAAGGACAGGTATATCACGCACTCGGCCGTGTAATGGGGACATACGATTCTTTGAAACATAGGATGAGTCGGGAGGGTATACTTCTTGAGCGAGAAGAGGTAGTGGTGACAATCGTGCTGAATACCCGAGGCGATCAAAAACAACGGAAGGCAGAGGAATGTGCGAAGGGTAGGAGCGGTGGTTACTTGGACATCATCGAGAGTCAACTTGTGCGTCATGAGAGTTCCTAGGAGGGTGAGGATTGTTAGAGCGTAATCTCTTGAATTTAGTTCCCAGACGCGTACCTGTTCCCTCAATCCAGACGGCGACCGTTGCAGCAAGGTAAAAGGTGAGGCCTAGAAGCCAATGGACAAACCACATTCTGGATGAGGATGGCTTGGAAAAGATGCGACTCTCATGCAGTCGCCGAATTCCTTGCACTAACATCAATGCCCAGCATAGTAAGACTTGATGTATGGACATCGACTTCTCCAAGTGTTGTGGGCCTATCCTTGTCGCGATGGCCTGAAACGCAGAACCACTGGATAGCAACTGGAACGCCCAAATGAGCGAAGAAAGCACAGAGGCAACATAAAAGTGCGTGAAGTAGCTGTGAGGAACTCTCAGAGAGGCAAGGTAATCGAGTGCGAGGTGTACGCGAGATTTGTCCGGGGCATCGGCAGGCGCAAGGGGTCTCGACCCGACCGTTGTTGATGTTGCACGAGCACCATAAGTCACGAAACGGCCGCGAAGTGTATCTGGCAGGCTGATCGACAGTATCTGGTAGTCATTGCTTTGGTTTAGTCCATCATCGAAGAGTCTCGCCTAGACTGATGCATCACTGCCAAAGTAACCATCGTCATCTCACACCCGAGATATCCGTACCGTGCAGGCTGCAAAGATAAAGAAAGCTCGAAGAGCATCAACAACGTCCATGTGCGTGACGTAAAGCGTCGTGTCCACAAGCTTCCTGATAAGCTCCATCTTGGTATCGTTGACCAGGTGTAGCCGGTGCCGACGATGAAGCTGCAGAGAGCCTGGAAATGCGCAAGAAGGGGTAAGGCGGAAATCCAAGAACAGCTTCTTTCAATTAGTTCGGAGAGTGTTGTAAAAGCCCTGAGATAATGGTTGCCATGATTTCATGTTACTGTGTCACCAATTGCCATGAGATTTGAAACCCCACCCGGAGCGCAGCTACCTACGAAGCACACTCTAGGGTAGTTACGAGGCGGACTGAAGGATTGAACTGGGTTTGGATCGCCTCGGGAGCTCCGCCTGCTATGAGAGCTAGTTCATACATTGGCAGAGACATGATGAAGGGTTGAGTTTCTACTATGGTGGCCTACTTGAGAGCCTTAGACAAATCCCTTACCTCAATCTTATCGTAAGAGCAGAACATGCCGGCATGTATACCTATCGAAACGAGAGATGACACCTCCATCTTTCAGAGTTTGAGAATCAAGACACCTTTCGTCAGACTTTGCCCCCCTCTTCGCCTCTGGCCATTTGCAGCAAGTTGGCAACTTCGCAAACCGGCAACGGCTAACGGAAGGGGCAAAGTGGGGTGATAAGCTGAGGTATTCTGTTTGATCATTGGTTGCATAGGAGCAGATCACTTGTGTTTAAGTGGACCTAATCAGACTCGTCGACTTAATCCTGCTACTACTAGGCCGGAAATAGTAAAGGCTCAGTTGCCATCTCGTCAGTCATTGGCTTGATGCAGGGCCTAATTTACGTACTCCGCAGCTGGGTGACTCCCTGACAGTCTCTTACGATATGTTTGGATCCATGTTTATGAGACACTCTATGCTGAGTTTCAAGATAGCAGCTCCCCTCCAGAAGAGAAGAAGATATGGACATACTGGGAGTCTGACGTATGAGGAAAGATTTGATGCGAGTACCCCGCTGTTCAGGCAGATAACGGGTGATTCCGTGGAAGATATTATTGTTTTCCAAGCAAGTTGATCTCCTGCCTTGGCCATGTACGTTGCGGAGTACTGCTGTTTCAAGAATATCCGGCTAGTAGTACCTACTTTCGGGAGGTACTCCGTACAGAGAAGGCTGTTACAGATCGACGAGTCTCATACATACAACATTCAATAATAAAAATAGATAGCACCCTGGATTGTGATCACCTTGACTCTCTATTCAATGGCAGCGGCTTCTGTCAAGTTATTATCAGAGAAGAGTGAATTTGAATTTGATTTAAGAGTGATTCCATTAGCAAAATGCTGTAATTTGGGTATTTTTACCAAGATCATACGATATGTACTAAGGCAAAATATCCCGTGACCACTACCCAACCCAAGCCAGCTGGTGGCCAAGTAGCTTCCTGAGGAGTGAGGACCCATCTTAACCCCAAGATGCTACCTATTACCTCCGTACTGTACAGTTCCTTTACCCATCCTAGCAAGCAGTCTACTACTGTACCTAAATTATCAGGTAGTTTATCTACTAGGTACTGCCACCATAGGTACGGAGAGCGGAGTAGACAACTAGTCACCTTTATCAATAATCTGACTAGTCCAGAGTCCCGCGATTTTGAGAGGACTTCTCTACTACTCTACCTACTCCCGCTAAAACTCACTAACCCAGAGAATCGCTGCCTCGACTTCTTTTGTTCCCTTTCTCTCCCTCTGCTTCCCTCTCTTCCTTTAATCTCCACTAATTCCTCCTCTCTACCCATCCAATCCTCACCTTCGTCTTCGTCTCACTGATACGTCTCTCACTCTCATCCGTCTCTTCACCTCTTCTCTTCTTTAACTACATTTTAACTATTTTCTCTTCACTTCTTACCTCAGAAAGTTCGACATAACTCTGAAAGCGCCATATTTCTCCTCCCCTTTAGCTACCGCATCACTACTGGTTCAACAGCAACTCTCCTCCCAGGATCTGAAGAAATTCTTTACTCCTACGTAACTTCGAGTCCAGTGCGGTGATCGAACGGCCGCGTGAGAAATTACGAAAGATAGGGATCTTCGCTTTGCTAGGCGTGGTCGAGCACCAGCTTCCACGCGCGACTGCTGGTGGTTTCGACTACGAGTACTCTCTATCCGCCACGGCCTCCGAAAATGACGATCGAAACACCCAGCAATCGATTACTACCGCTATGAGTGATGTTGATGCAGTGTCCTCCCTGCCAGCTGCCCTGCATGCCGGACAAAATGCTACCGCTGTCACGGTGAACCCCCGGTCTGCTTCTGGTTCGCTGTCTTCCAAGAGGGTCTCTCCGTCGCCCCATCGCAGAGGAGAGGATGCTCGCGTCAAGGAGGTTGATTCTGCGTCAGGAGAAGGAGATGGCCCGCCGAGCCCCAAGGCTGACTCGGAAGCAGAGACTATCATCCAGTCGGGCCGCGAGTCGCTATCGCCAGAAAAGAGACGGAAGTATATTCAACATCAGCCAAGGCGACGCGATGTTCAAGTTGACCACGGTGACACAGTGGAGGACAGTTCACTACCTGATGACACACACATTAGGAAGAGAAAGCGATCGATCGATGACTCCATCGCGGAACGCGACCGTGGGTTCTCCCCGGAACTTCATTCTCGAACAGCCGTTTCCCCATCACGTGTGAAAATCGAGAAGCCAGAGGAACTACAGCCCGCCCTAAATAATCTTGATTCCTCTCTGCCTTCACATAGCACGGAGGCTGTCCCCGGTGGTCAGAACGTCCAGGTCTCACGAAAGCGTAGCCATAGCGACGGTGTCGACAGTGAGAGGGACAGGGCTCAATCTAGTCGTCACACAACGGCCTCCCGCGACAGAGAGCGAAGAGATATCAACGGCATCAGTCTACCTCCACCAGAGTCGATCGATCGCTCAGGCTCGCCTATTCGGTCGGCTCACAAGCGAACAGCTTCCGGTCCGCAGCTTGGGGGCAGTGACTTGCAAAAGAAAAGGAAGACGACTACTCCGCTCATCACAGGATTTCAACGGCAAAGCTCCGAGGATAGGCTGTCGGTTTCGTCTTCAACCAGTGGCTCCCCTCTACCCAGCTCTCAATTGCGAAAATTAGCCGGTGTCGACGGCGCTTCAGCATCTCCCGCAAGGCCGACGGGTCACAAGAAACAGCGCGACCAAAATGGCCGAACACGTCTAGCACGTGCCTGTGCAGCTCAGGAACTGGAGGTAGCAATGGCGAGGCATGCAGAACGCCCAGATGATTTGAATGTGGCCGACAATGCGGGAAATACGCCCCTCCAGATTGCTGCCCTCGAAGGGTGTGCGCCGATTGTGAAATTCCTTCTTGAAGCTGGCTGTGACATAGACACAAAAAACATTGACAAAGATACTCCTTTGATCGATGCCGTCGAAAATGGCCACTTGGAGGTCGTCAAACTCTTACTGGAGGCGGGCGCAAATCCTCGCACGGTCAACGCGGAAGGTGATGAGCCGTATGATTTGGTCCCATCGGACTCAGAAGACTATGCAGAAATCCGCCGTGTACTTGCAGAGGCTAAAGCCAATCCCCGGCCGGGTCGTCGTTCCGAAGAGCGTGCTGGTTCCGCAAATAAGGAGATAAGCTCTAAAAGAGTTGCTGCTGCAAGCCCGCGCGAGTCCCCCCCGGTGAATGGACCCCGTAGCCCCCTCTATTCGGAGCCACTACGAGGCGAAAGACTGTGCGAAGTGAAGCTACGCGAAACGACTTACTCTGGACCAAAGCTACACCTGAGAATCTGCAAGCATTTGCTGCGAAAGGTGATATTGCTGGAGTTGCCAACATTCTCAACGTTGGGCAAAAAGCCGACACCGAGTCGATGATAGCTGCAGCCAAGGGCGGTCATGATGAGGTACTGTCTCTATTACTTGGGATGGGCGACGCGGATCCGGATCCTGAGCCACTTCAAGGAGGAAACCAGAAACCCGGCTACAATACACCCATGCTGGCGGCGATCGGCCGAGGTAATCTTGCTGTCATACGCTTGCTGCTGGATCAGCCGAAATTCAATCCGACACGCCGGCTTTACCGTGATCGTACCTACTTTGAGTTATCTCGAGAACGGAGAGCTGACAACTGGGAGGAGGAATATGACTTGCTGAGAGAGGCCTATGATAATTACGTTAGAGCCAAGCGTCTGCGCAAGCAGGAGGCTTCTTCACCGAAACGACCGCGCGACAGGGAGAAGGAAAACAAGCGGCCGGGTCGCAGACACTCCCCATCGCCCGCGGTTTCTTCTAGGAAGGCCGTAACAAGTCCAGGCGCCGGTCACCACCGAGAGCTCTCTTCCAAAGATGCTGTTACATCGAAGGAAAAGAAACGAGATGGTGTAGCTCACTTAAAGGAGAGATCCGGATCTAGTACCAATCGCCCCAGAATAGCCCACAAGGGTAGTGACAATCCGGCGGACGGCGATGGGTTTCGGGTGGAGTCTACTCAGTCCAAGTCATTAGCAACACTCACCAAAGATGAGGAAGCTCCCAGGAGAAGGCGTTTGATTGCAGGGCGCCCTCCACAGGATCGTGATCGCAGAAGACCCAGCATACCATCTTCGGATTCCCTGTCAGGCCGTGAGGACTCTGCCAAATCCCGGATCGATCCTCCTACCGAAGCTACGGCGGTTCCGAATGGGCCTGTGGCCTTGAAACGCGGACGCAGTAGCGCAAGTCCCGAACGCCCCGTTCTCGCGGTGCAGATTCCGACCACCACTCACGCGACGGCCAGAAAAAGAAACGACGTGTTCTCTCTGAAGACAGGACGCCAAGCATGACCAATTGTGGATTGAAGAAAAGTCACAGCAACGGCATAGCAGAGGAGTCCAAAACGTATGTTCGGCCGAAGAAGACCGAAGATCAATTGTTGGAGCGCGAGCGCGATCAGCAAGTCGATAGTACACCGCACATGGCTACCGACTCAAGAACTGTGAAGAAAGAGCGAGAAAGGCAGGATGTAGGCCACCTGGCTGATATCCCCATGGAAGATGCGAAGACTCTGGCCAAGAGGTCCGAGTCTGAAGAACAGCGCCGGGAAGAGGCGAAACGGGCCGAAAAGGAGCGTATCGCGGAAGAAGAGCGTCTCGCAGCTGAAGCGGAAAAGGCTCGCTTGGCAAAGGAAGAGGAAGAACGAGCTGCCCGTGTGGCGCGCGAAAAGGCCGAGGAAGAGGAGCGCAAACGGAAAGAGGCCGAGCAAAGGCGGATCAAGCAAGCCGAGGATGAGCTTCAGAAGAGACTAGAACAAGAAAGACTGCGCCTTGCGAAATTACGGAGGGAGCAGGAAGAGCAGGAGCAGCGGCGTCGCGCTGCGCTTCCTAGTCGGCTTCGTGTTGCTGCCCATCTCGTCGGCTCCAATGACCCACGAGCGCGGAGTCATGCCTGGCTGAAGAGGTTCATGCCCGTTGTTACTGCGATCACCAAACAACTGGATCCTTCATGTGATACCAGCATCGCTGACGAGAGATGGGTTCCAAACTACTTGGTGGCACCTTTATTAGCGACTAATGATCTCCAGCTGTCCCAGTACACAAGTTGGGAGAAGCGTAATGCGACTCCCACTCAGCGGGAGAATCTATGGCGCGTCACCCGTCGGATGCTGGTCCAGGGAGATGATATGGACTTCATGAGCTCTTCGTTTGCGCAGATCATGCAGAAGGATTGCGAAACACGGCCGAAATACTTTGACATGGAACATGTATTTTGGGTTAGAGTAAGTCATTCTCCCTTCCGACTGCCTTTCAATATGGCTCAGAATCAGATCATTTACTGACGTGGTAATCAGCTTTCCGACTTCATGGACCTCGTTCCTCATGTTCCGCATCTTCATGATCTTGACATTCAATTTCTCAGAATGCACATCGACCAGGAGCCTTCTACAGCAGCACCTCTCCTTGAATCAGCGCAGCCCAACGGACACGGGCCTGAATATGCCCATCTTGATAATATTCATGGCTTTCCTACTGGGATACCCGGGCTTACCAACGGATATGGCCATTCACGGCCAAGTACATACGTTTAGTGCCTTGTGCTTTTCTTTTTCTCTCGTCGCGGCGATGATCGAGCATAGCCTTAAATGTACAGATGGCTTGTTTCCTCGGTTGTATGACTATGATACCTCTTACTATTGATGTGATGTGAGATGTGATGTGTGATGTGTCTTTTGTTCGGATAACGGACCCTTGGATAGAGCCAATGATGCAAGTTTTATTGCTCAATGCTGGGCATTTCCCACTTAAAACTATGCCGTAGTACAACCAGTCTTCACTTAAGTAGTTGTGTTTGCTTACTATAGTCTGCACAAATCCGTGAATACGAGTCACGTGGTTGTGGAAATGGCATAAGCGCTAGGCGGTAGGGCACAATCCAGAAAATAGGCGAAAGTGATGCCCCAAAATTTTACCGCCCGCACACACTCAAACAACAGCTCAACAGATCATCTCCACGAACTCTTTGAGGATAATCCGACATTTGATATCAAACGTCAGAAACACCACCAGTCAAAATGGTACGTATCAGATGAACCAGATGTGACCCTTTTCCTGCGATTCAGACACGAAATTGAGGCCATACCAAGTGAGGGGAGGGGAAACTTGGGCGAGCACCGACGAGTATATCATAGTGCTCTATCGGGAACGCTGCAATCAAGCACAATCCATCAATGCGAATCTCCGCTATGATGATGTCCTCCACTATTCGAGTCCTGCGCATAGCGGCATCAGACCCATCAAGATATCAGCTAACGATAGACTTCAATAGTCGGACGGAGAAGAGACCATGTCCAACCCCCCGTTGCCGCCGCCGATGAGGTCGAGGTTTCGGCTGATGCCGGCGCCGGCGGCCAGATGTCCGTCCTCGATGCTCTGAAGGGTGTCCTCCGCATTGCTCTGATCCACGACGGTCTTGCCCGTGGTCTGCGCGAGGCCGCCAAGGCCCTCGACCGCCGCCAGGCCCACATGTGTGTCCTCAACGAGGGCTGCGAGGAGGAGGCCTACAAGAAGCTCGTCATTGCTCTGTGCTCCGAGCACAAGATCCCCCTCATCAAGGTTCCTGATGGAAAGATGCTTGGCGAGTGGGTCGGTCTCTGTATGTATTCCCCTGTTCTATTCCCTTCCGTCGTGGGAGAACATTGGACGTGGGCTGGGGCTAATGGTGTTTGTGTGACTAGGCCAGCTTGACCGTGAGGGTAACGCCCGCAAGGTCGTCAACTGCTCTTGCGTTGTCGTCAAGGACTGGGGTGAGGAGTCCCAGGAGCGCTCTGTCCTCCTCAACTACTTCCAGACTGAGCAGTAAATGCACTGCCGCTGCGATGTGCTTTAGCGGATGGGATGTGGATGTGTGATGGGCACGGAAATGGGGTGGTTTGAAGGGGAGGAGGAGCTTCTGGTTACGTGACCATTGAGCCTGGGGCTCGGGCTCTTCTTCCCCGTCCTCGATACGTGATCCATTCACTTCGGATTCACATTTATCTAAGGTCAACGGACTAATGGAATGAAGAATATTCATGATCAATGGGTGCTACTTGAGTGTTGAGTATCAGATGTAGGCTTGAAATCGTAGATGTGATGCTTCTATGTCCATTCAGATACATCCAAGTAACTGTCAACAATAGGCATCGGACTCGCGGACTCGTTCCGAGCCAGACCAGCACGGGAAAGTCCCGCTAAATGGCTAATGTATGTACTCGCATCCTATGTCCCCCAAATCGAAGATCCGAGCAAAGCGAAAACTCCAGAGCTATGCGAAAGCCAAATACAATCAGTCAAGCCAATGGACAGTGCCAAAGAGCAAGCAGAGCATGTCAAAAGCGAATTTTGGGAGCAAGGTGCCTGAGGCACACCCGACTCAAACTACCTGAAGTTGTAGGAAGGCTGAACCATCTTCTCCGTCTCTGGCTTCAGTGACAGCTGCTGATACGGTGAGCTTCCCGGGTCGTAGTAGAGACCTTCAATGTGCCCAGTATCTCGACGAAGAGAGATATAGTAGAATCCTGAGATTGTGAGGCCCTGGCGTGCGTCGGTGGGAGTGATGAAACAGCGTTCTGTACCGTCATCAGTACAAACCACCAACAGATTGCAGAGGTGGTGAAAGATCAATACACACCTTTCCATCGCATCAAAATCCACCGTTTGGATAGCTCTTCCGTAATCCATTTCCTACTCACAAGGTTCCTTGTCATCTCGTCGTCCGTCAAGTTCTTGAATGGTTGCAGCTCGCGCCAGTAGGTACTGTCGGTTTCAGCGTCGGCCTTAAAATTTTTCGTCTCAAGAGTGTGAGCATTGAAGTCTATGATTTCGCCCTCCAGAAAGGTGACGATATGTGCATCGTGAGATGGCGAGGTCTTATCAGGAATGTTGTAGGCTTCCATTGTGCCTGAAAGCGTCATCTCTTGGTAGTTGATATTGTGAATGGTGACTTTGACCGGCCAATTCTCATCCTTCCCTGTTCCAAAGTTGGGGATATTATTGTTGGCCAGGTATCGTCGACCGCTTGTCGTATAAACACTAATGCGACCATTATCGCTGCCATTGACAATCACCGGTTCGGTGGCCGGATGAGAGGTTGGCCCACGGTGCGCGAAAATCGAGCTGGGAGTGCATGCTGCCATCTGTGAGCCTTTAAAAACCATACCTGGACGTAGCCAGGAACATGGCGGCGGCGGTGCAATTAATGTAGTATCCAGGATGAAATCATCCTCATCCCAGGAGAAATCGAGTTGAACAAATCCACCTGCGGCAGCCGATGAAAGACTTTCTTCAAAGGAGGTCGAATAGCGCAAACGGTCAAGATATGTAATAATTTCCTTCAAGCGCGGGCTCGGAGGATGATCCATATGTAGCTGCCGATGAGCGTTGACACGAGCGCGCATATCGCCGTGAGTTGAGATCCGGTTGGATTCGCCTCGACTACTGGGTATGAACCGATATGCGCGTGAAGTCGGTGACTGAGTAGCTCGTTCCCTGCCATCTTCTGAATCCTGACTGGTACGCTCCCGGTCCAAAATATAGTTGTGTAATGTCCGCGTCCTCGAAAGGCGCGGCTGGCGTCTGACCGACTGCAACAGAGCTTCGGCCGTGGCGAGAGTTGTGTCGTCCATCCGGTGTCTACTACTCTCTAAAGGCTCAACAGGGAGTGGAAGGGGGCTTCGTCCGGTCGCATCACGTCGTATGTGGCGCCTCGACGTCGCATTGCGATCCGAGAGTCTGCCAAACCAAGAGGAGACACTGTTGGGATCCTGCAGAGGTTCGTAAACCAAATCATCCTCGTCATCTTCGTCGGAGCCTGGGGCCCAGCCGTACAGCGACCGTATGTTGGAGACACGACCTTCGTAGTTCGGCATATTCGTCGGTTCCTCTCGTGGCCGACGCACTATGGGATGGCGACTGATTTCCACGGACATACGCACTCCAGTCGACTCGTCCAATTCCATCGGATCAGACTCGAACTCGGATAGTATCTGATGCCGTCGGCGACGTTGTCGACTTGAGGAAGAAGAGCCGTGAGGAGAGCGAACTCGAGATCGAAGGAAGATCACGTTGTCATCATGAGCGTCATGCGAGGCGGCAGCTGGGAGAGTGAGGACAGGGGTTGAGACAGCGCTCAACTGTTGGAGAGATGATGCGAATACAGGCGGAGGAGATCGAGCAGAGTTTCCTTGCTGTTCGAGAACGCAGATCAATGAGCACAGGTGACGAAAAGGAAACGCAAAATGTCAAAACTAAGCAAAGCAGCCCAGGAACGAAGCCCAGGACATGGAATCATGCCACGTGCAGTAATAGTGGAGTTGATGATCGGGAGCAAGATGTCATAGGCAGATGAGGCACAGGATATGGACCCTTTCGCAGAGTTACGGACAAATGCAGGCACTTACCGAGGGAGTGTTTTCTGGGGGCATGGTCCTCTAGATCAGCCCTGTGGAGGTTGACAAACCCGCCGTTGACCTATGGATTGCGCACGGAGACTGGAACGGGGAGACGGAAGACGAGGACGATTGGAAGGATGATGAGGTGGACGAGGCATGCGAGCCTCTCTTTACGGTTGGAATGATAGGCAGCTTAGAGTGAGGAAGAGGCGCTTTGAGATAGTGATAGATCGCGATGGATTAAATGGACGCTGGATGACGAGGGGATCGAGAGATAGAGGAACGAATGACTGGGACTGATGTGAAGGCGATCAGGAAATCTCCGTATTTTGCCTCGTTTTCCCTTTTCGGATTTCCCCTCAGCCGACGGTTTCCATCATGACTCCAAGTAGCGATTGACAGTCGGGTACTCTTGGAGGTGAAAGACTTCAGATGATCCAAAACTGAAATGACGAAATATGCAGGAATGCCTGATTGGATGATTGTTGCCAGTATACTACCTGGTTGTTGACCTGGTTCCTGTCTTGTAGCAAAGTACTGGTGGATAGAAATCATCGATTCCAGAGATTATTCTACGACGATCCATCGATCTTCAACCCGACTGATGGCTACTGAGTCTTCTTTAAAATGCAATCATCATGTCTAACACTTGAATCCCCTACGCATGTCTAAATCGTGGCCTTTGGATGCTGTCCCCAGTGCTTGATGACTGCCTGATCGCTATGTGGGGATCTCATCTGCTGCTATGAAATGAACCACAGTGATCAGGACCACCAAGCAGATTATTATCGATAATCAGCGTCTCTGCAGAACATATTTTCTTTCATATAAGGATACGGGCCTGTAAAGGGAGATTTACTCGCGTCAAGTGACCTACCTTATAATCATCCGAACGTTCTAGGGATGTTATGCCAGATGGGTAATATTTCCGACGGTTACTCCTGCATCCAATGACCCTTCGCTCCATGGATTTCGGCTGCTTTACAACAGTTTTAACCCCCCAATACGATCCGTCTTGATTTCATAATGGGTTGACTTTTGAAACGATTGCCAAGGGCTCCTATATAATCATCCCACGGTCGGCAATCGGTATCCAAGGGCGGAGGAAGTCCGACATGCTTGATCCCCCACCCCCACGTCCAGCGGAGAATGGGGGGTAATGGTCCCATGAAGCTCTTTTACATTATTGAAATTCTCGCTTACAGCTGATCGATCATTTCTATCTACTCCTGTCCGCTCTCATTTTGTCTTCCAGCGAGGCCGCATCTTCGTTTAATCATTGAGGAAGCGAGCAGTTCCTTATACCAAACTCTCCCCGCTATTTCCTGCTGAAGTCGACATCATGGTCAAGATCAAGAGCATCGAATATTTCCGTGTCCTTCCCAGATGGCTGTTTGTCAAGATTGTCGACGAAGAGGGCCAGTATGGCTGGGGTGAGAGTACGCTTGAAGGTCATACTGAAGCTGTGGAAGGGACGCTTAATGCGTTGTGCAAGAGATTCCAGGGCTATGAAGCAGAGTATGCGCTCAGACTGTCCCTCACAGTTTCATCTACTGACCGGTTGACTTTTCTGCTCCAGCGATATTGAGCACATCTGGCAAATGGCCTGGCGACTTGGATTCTACCGCGGAGGGCCGGTCTTCATGTCCGCCATCTCCGGCATTGACATTGCACTCTGGGATCTCAAGGGCCGCCGGCTCGGCGTCCCCGTTCATCAGCTCCTTGGAGGCAAAGTCAGGAACAAGCTCTCCGTCTACGCCTGGATCGGCGGAGACCGTCCAGGCGACGTCGAAGCCGCGGGCAAAGCACGACTAGCGCAAGGATTCAAAGCGATCAAGATGAACGCTACAGAAGACATCAACTGGCTGGACTCGCCCAGCGTGCTCGACTCATGCGTCGAGCGCCTCAAGGCCGTCAAGGCACTCGGCCTCGACGCCGCCCTCGACTTCCACGGCCGACTGCACAAGCCCATGGCGAAACAGCTCGCCAAGGCCCTCGAACCTCACCGGCCGTTGTTCCTCGAGGAACCCCTCCTCTCCGAGCACCCGGAGGGCATCAAGCAGCTCGCGGATCAGGTCTCGTGCCCCATCGCGCTAGGCGAGCGGCTCTACAACCGTTGGGACGTGAAGCGGTTCCTCGAGGACGCGAGCGTCGACATCCTCCAGCCGGATATCAGCCATTGCGGTGGGATTTCGGAGCTGCGGCGCATTGCTTCCATGGCAGAGACGTATGATGTTGCCATTGCGCCTCATTGTCCTCTGGGTCCGATTGCCTTGGCGGCATGTATGCAGGTTGATCTCGCTACGCCCAACTTTGTCATCCAGGAGATGAGCCTGGGAATCCACTACAACACGGAGGCGGGCGAGTATGACATCACAAGCTATGTGAAGGATCCTAGTGTCTTCGAGGTTAAGGATGGTTATGTCGATGCCCTGACTGCTCCGGGGCTGGGCATTGAGGTCGACGAGGAGGTTGTTCGGCAAGTCGCGCTGAAGTCGGAACCCTGGCTGTGCAAGGAGTTCTTCGGTCCTGATGGCGGTATTCGTGAATGGTAATCGGAGGGCCTTGGGTGCACGCATTGGTTGAATATGCGGTTCATCTGCCTTGTTTTGAATAGCGGTACATTGAATTATAGACTAACGAAAATGAGAAATACATGATATGAGCCGATGCGAGCGAGAATATGCCTCCCGTACTCCAATAAATCCGCTATCACGACGGTTCTAATGATTGCCAGGGGGTCTATATATGCATTCTCATAGTTCTATTACAAAGGTCAGTATTACGCAATTCGTACCATCATGGCTTTCGCGCAGCGTTCCATTTATCGGCGCGGGTGAGGCAATCCAAAATCAAACCCCAAAAGGCCTCCAGGTCCACTCCTCTGGGGATAGCTACACCATGTCCGCCCATTGGAGTAGCTAGTGTACGGCCTAGCTGTCCCGTCTCCAACACACTCTTTGAATGGATGCCATCGGTGACCACGTCGACAGCAAACCGCTCACCATTCTTGTCATTAAACATCAAGGCTTGGTCGGGGTGCTTTTTCGCAAAGGTCGGGTTGAGATTTGAGATAGCGACGGCCACCGCGAGCGGATCGTGAAGCGGAGGACCGGACGACAAGCCGAAGACGGTGTCGTAGGTCTGAGCAAAGAAGACAAGTAGGGCGTGCATCATTCTCCTGAGAACCGAGGGGGTTTTGGTGGGGTCGCCGGATCCATGGAGAATGCGGTTTTGCACACTACGAGAAGCAAGCACTTGGTGAGTCAAATCCAACCCGATCATTGTTGTCTTCGGTGCCAGGGTAGGATTGCTGAAAATAGATTTGGAGGCCTCAGGATCACACTGTTGACCGAACACGATGTTAGAAAGCGACCCGGAAATCACACGCGATATTGATATACGCACGTAGATATTGAACTCTGCCCAGGGTGTCGTATTTCCAATTCTCTCATGTTCCCCCGGCAGTCGGCTCATGGGAGCATCTGTGAAGCCTCCACCAACGGCACCGCCCATGATGCTAAGACCCTGAATATGGGCCGCTACTTCGGGAAACGTTGCGAAGAGCAAGCCAACATTGGTCAGAGTGCCAGTTGCGATAACCCAAGCCGTTCCCTTTGGCTGTGCCATGAGAGCATCACGCATTGCGACAATTGGGTTTTTGTCTGTCACAGGAAGCCTCGTTGCTTTCGGTAACAAATCAGTTCCATCGAGTCCAGAGTCGCCTGTATTATATTACGGCATTAGCCCTTATTGTCTGATTGCAGCCATCGTAGTACTGCTGGCGCAAAGTATAGAAGGGGAGGGGTCGTGGATCGTACCATGAATGTCCGGAGCGTGAACTGCAGGCCGGCAAAAAGGCTTCCTGCTGCCGGCATAGACAGGGACATCTGGACGACCGATAGCTTCGAGGACTCTTAGAGCGTTAGTCGTCGTATTCTCGAGAGAAGCGTTGCCGTGGACGGTTGTAATTCCTAAGAGTTGCAACGACGGGTGATGCGCAGCGAGCAGAATAGCGAATGCGTCCTGAGACGTTTCGTCTTCAGCCAGAATTTCTCATGCAACCTATAGAAATGTCGCGTTTCAGCGTCCAGTACTTACATCGTGTCCTGGGTTCAGCTGGTCAGCATCGATGTAGCCAAGGCAAGTATAGATGAAAAGTATAGATGAAGCTTACGGACCAGGATCACAATCCAACCATAGAGGAATTGGGCTGTCAGGGGAGGGTGCCATTCTTGAAAATTCGCAAGAAGAACGGAGAATGGTCAGCAGACTTTTGCTTCTCTCAAAAATCCACGTAGTTTTTGTTGATTGCGAAATGCCAACTGCCTTGATGCTGCTCCTTGATAAGGTGCGGGGAACTGGAGAATAAATGGGGGCCTTGTTGTCTTATCGGAGGCGCAATCACTCCGCCAACTCATAGCCCTGAGCCCTATTTTCCATATCGGGGTGGCATTATGTGGAGCTGCGCGTCATTGTGATTGGAGCTGAGAAGCTTCTACGCTTCTACCTGCATGAGCTGTTCATCGTCGGATTGTCCACTTCAACTGTTGGTGGCAGTCTCGATCTGAGGCTGAAAGTACCATTTTGATTTACCCTGCTATACCTCTCCATGAGACCTTGAATGTAGTTTCGCTGTTCTCATGTTATTACTGGGATGAAATGACCAGCGAATCTGTTCAGCCGGGTCTTACTCCGCTTTCGCATCTCAAGGCCGTGCCTACTACTTCGAGCTCCAAGCCAGTCGCATTCAAAGACTCGTCCATTTTGCAGGCACCTCCTCAACTTCGACATCGGTCTCGATTATCAAAAAATGTCAATCGTGATGAGCCGGTTAGCGCGACCAGTGACAAGGCAACTGCTGCATTGATAAGACGCGTTCTTTGTCCGCAGGCGGGCAATCAAAGCGGAGGTGCTTCAACCCCACAGCCATTGGAAGAACTGTTGCCTCCTTTGACGAGTTCAAATGAAGTTGATCTTCAACTGTATGCATTGATCGCCATCATTATCAAGGAATTCGTCTTCTCATGGTATTCGAAAATCACATCGGATCAGAACCTCGTCAAGGAAGTCATTCTAGTGATCGCGCACTGTACTCGTGCTCTTGAGCAGAGGTTGCGTGAAATTGACATTGCACAGTTGATCTTGGATGAGATTCCTGGTCTGATAGAGGCGCATATAATATGTGAGATATCTCCCTATGGCAGCTGGCCGGTCTTCTATGCTCACGCGCGAAATTACTTTGTAGCGTACAGGCTGGCCCGCGATGAAAGTACACTATCCGGGCTCTCTCCTTCTGTTCGCGAGACATACCATGCCTTACATCCACATCCGAGTCTTTCACCAATCCCAGATTCCTCGGATATGCGGACTATTGCGAAACAACGCGAGAACGAGGCAATATACCGGCAGTTGCTGGTCCATGGAATGTTGGCTATCCTCCTCCCGACGGAGGATTTGGAAAATGTCCCTCTACGAACCATTATCGGTGACGTACTAGCGGATTTGATACTTGGGAACGCAGTCAGCGAAAAGATGTGTCAGGGATGGTTCTTGTGGGAGACTACCACCAAGCTCCTATCGACAGCAGAACGACTTGATGAACGTGAGGAGGACACGGCAGATAGTCACCAGCAAGATCGCCTACACAAATTCGGCCTGCTCAATGCTAATGATGCTCCCAAGTCCGACCAATCGTCTTCACAGATTCACTCTTTTGGACCAGCATGGCTATGGAATATCCTGCAATATCTGTATCTGACCTATACTGCCCTTCAATTCATCGTGACGGGACTTTTTCGCGTGATGACAAATGCCAAAGCGAATGTTCCGTCAGCTGCTACAACGCCAGGAAATTCCGAGAGCGAGAAATTGGCTCCCATGGGCGGCACATCGACGAAGCGCCCTATTCTCAATTATCGAATCTATAGTATGGTTTCGCAAATGCTGGACATTCCTCGGAGAATGCCATGGCTGGCAGGATCTCTCTCGCTTTTCCAATATTTGACTTTGGCGGGACCGGGCAAGTTGGGCGAGACCGGCAGTGTCCTGGACAGGTGAGTAAAGCAATCTCATTAGTTTTTACATACTTCCCACTCTTCCCCATGTGTCGTTCATCATTCAGCAGCTATGAGGGCGAGAGCTTCAGTCACGAGCCGTGCCATTACTATTTTTGCGCTCTAGAAGAGTGGGCGTGGACTGTGGACTGTGGAGAAGCGGTGCCATTCGATCTTCGAACATGATCTACTTTGGCGTCTCCTCCATCGGCAGAGCGTTTCAAGTCTCGAGGGCCCCAGCGGGATGAAGGATGCAGTGGAGTAATGGAGTTGCATTGCTCGCATATTGCATCGGTCACTTGATCCGCTACTGGTGGTTACGCCGGCTCCTCTGCCGCATGGGCCCTGCGATTGACGACCTCTATCATCCATGTCTGGCCGTATTGTCATTACAAACGGTGACCGGCGCGTACGAGATTCTTACGACACCCGTATCGTCATTACCGACCGACCAATTTCCTATGAATGAGCCTATGGTCGTAATCGCTTTTCAATGCCCTCCAATCATACAAATGAGGAGAATCAAGTTTCCGATCTTGAAAAGAATGCCATCATCAGGCATGGGGTTTTTGCTTTTCCGGGCTTACATGGGGGTCATCATCTGGGACCTGGTGATCCTCCTTCTCCCCGATTGGTGGCTGGCTCGGAGAGGCCGAACGTGTGTCGAATTTGACTTCCCCTGTCAATCTCACGTCCATTTTATCCACTACGCACTGTCATGGCTGTGGTAGTTGAGAGATGGCCTGGGCCGGCCCTTTCCGTGCCGCTCAACTTCGAGTTGTTCCGTGCAAATCCGATGCCAGGTTAAAGGGGTCGTCACTACACTGTCTGAGAAGAAGAGAAGAGGAAGAAAACCGAAGCGGAAGAAAGGATACAAGAAAGAAGAATCCTTCTTGCTGATTTGGACCGCAGCGTTGCCATGGTGTCGCCGGAACAACCCCAATTTTCGGAATTAATCCAATATCCCTGCAGTAATTGGGTGCACGTCAAGCCTTGCGTTCTCCAACTGAACGCCAAGAGGCACGATACTCAACTTGATTTGTGATGATCTTTGACAGTGTTGATTAAACTGCCATGCAACGTTTGGACTTTGCATGGATAGGGCGAGACCAACCCCCTTTTCCTTTTCCTCTCAGGGCCAATCAGTGCAATCCTCTCCAGCAGTATTTCAAATCTCATTAATCCCGGCCGAGGTCACTGTGGCTTTGGGGTTGGTTGGGTTTAAACATGCCTGTAACTTCCGCTCTGGAAACGCCTGCCTTGCCGTCTTCTCCTTGAATGATACGCATCAACAAATGGCGATCTGGTCTCCTTCCATTCTCCCATCAGATTTTCGTCATCTTCAGCATTGAGGCTGGCCTCAATAACTGGCCCAAGCTCCTCTGCTACCATTTGCCGGCCCTAGTCAAGGCGATCTATTAGCTCTCCACTCATGCAACCTTACAAATGGTTACTTTCGAGTTGATTGACATCCACTTGCTTTCCCTTTTCGAGGCACTCTGTCCGAAGGAAAGACCCGGATTGAATACGACCGCCTTTCCACAGTCTGGGGTTTTCCGCTGCTTTCTCGAGGCCCTCTTGCGCTTTTTTTCCGCCTACACAATCCGATCCCTGACTCCTCATGTTTCTTTTTCTCATTTGCATGTCTGATGAGTGCTAACCCCTGACCGAAAATTTTTTTTTCGGGCTATTCTCCATCCAGGTTACTTCACGAGACCATTCAGGACCATATTCTCACCCCCACCTTGTTGCCCAACTTGCTTCGCGCATCCAGGGCAGCCCTATTCCCATCAAATGCCCGTCCAAGCCAAGGAACAGATGTAAATCGATTGTCGGCTCCGGCTCCGCAGCCTCCGCAATTGTCCGTGCGGCCTCCTACGCCTACACAGCAAGGCCCTACTGGCGATACAACAACCCCTGGCAATGCTGACAGGACGACGCCGGCACCTCTTGCCTCTGCGCCAACGCCGTCCTTAGCTCAGAACCAGGGTCCCTCTGCGCCAGAAATTGCTGCCATCAAGCGAGAATGCGCGAGACGCATTCTGTCCCTGGGGCCTCGGCCAGTCGCACGGGTTTTCTTTGGTGTTCCAGATAATACCTCTGGCCCGACCGCTCTTAACGGCTCGACGGGAGATGACTCGCAGCAGCCGCCCTCCCGATCATCTTCGCCTTTACCCACTCCACCCAACGATACTGAAGAGACCCTCATCTTGCAAGCAATTGAGCGTGATATTTTGGACCTTTTCGCTGACGAGTATTGCAACAAGCATCTAATCTACTCCATCATTGAAACGGTTCTCGCGAAGCTTCTCCCCGAGCTATCGGACCACAGTATAGCGGAGCTCATGGAAGACAGGGGTATCGCCTTTAACACAGATCAAGTTCCAGAGGCATAGACCTTTTCATTTTTCCCTCCCCATACTCGACGGCCTGACTGTGCCAACATATCAATACCACTGTTGTACTGTAACGCTTTGCAGCCTAATTATACTAATCATATTAATGATACCATATTCTATACGACTCGAGGCTTAGCTTCTCTCAGCAGCCAGTCCATGCAAGCTAGTTGGAAAACGGCAGGACCTACGGAATAGAATGAGCCGATGGGCCGATGGGCCCATGTCCATATTAAAGAGGATAAGATATGGAACAACCAGCATTGTGGCGTTGCCAGCGGGGAAGCAGACGAGGCGTGGCAAGGTAAGGCACCAAGTCCACTGCTCACAATAGATAAAGTAAGGTACCGTACCTGTCATTTGACAGGGACAACCTAGGGGTATCAAAACCCACTGAAATTGCAAGAAATAAAATCAATAACGATAAGGATAGGTGGATAAAGTGACGTGGAGGCAGTAGACATGCAAGAGAAATGACAAACAATCCATGACCTGTGGGTGACCTTGCAAGGTTCCGTTCCTTGTTGCCCAAGTATTAGCCCTGTCCTGTACCAGCCGAAACCCATGAAACTGATAGAGTATGATGATATGAAGTAAGAAGAAGAAGGAACGGTGGGAATCAAATGCAAGCCCGCGTGAGCGATCCAGTTTAAGTGTGGATAATAATGGTAGGAAATGAGAAGCCACAAAAATGCAAGGCGAAAATGATAACCGAGAAATGATTACATCCAGATTTTACCAGCTCCAGCTCTGTAGGTAGCCGTCCAGTTCACCATATCCATGCTGTCGGTCGATAAATAGAGCATTCCCTGTGCTCTCCGCATATATTGTTGTAGAAGCCGAGGTTGCCCTCTCGTATAAGTGTATCATCCGTTAGCTTTTCTCACAGCTCGACAGCTGTCGAGCCCTTAATGAAACAAATCGTTTGAATATGACATAGGTAGTGCAAAATCTCAAAAACAAAACGGCCGCCCAGGAAAACAAAACGGGATTTAATTTGAAGATGGCGGAAGATCGGTCATGGCGGAGAAGGTAAAAATTCAAGAATAGGAAAATGAGATAGTGACAGCTGAAGTTGATTGCGAAATTTGACATGTAGCATGTCGCCAAGTGGGAGCGTCGTCGGCGTCTCCGTTTCGAAAACCCGGCTTAACCCAGGTTGTGAATGCTTCGTTTCTTGGTCAGTTGAGGAGCATCTTCAAGTTCATCAATGCGAGCCAGACCACCCGGGAGAGCAGTTTGCTGAGCCCTGGCGAGCTCGAGTCTCTCCATCAATTTCCCGATGGTTACGAATTCCTGTGCGCCGAGTCCCGTTGGCTGGTGCTCGAAATAGGACACCACAAGCTCAAGAGCTCTTCGTGCCTCATCCTGCGTTGGAGACCCCGGGGAACTAATCGGTGACACGGTTGTCGATTTGGAAAAAGAGGGCGGGTATATGGACTTTGCCTTGATCTCAGGATTGCTGCGATTGCGCTTGATGGTATTGGATGATGTATCGAGACCCGGGCCCTTCGTCGAGGTGTGCTCGTCCTCGAGAGGCGACTCAAGGGTCGTGATAGACAATGACTGCTGCAAAGCCGCTTTAGAGAGCAAATGATCGGAGGATTCTTCAGTAGACATCAAGGAAGGGTCGAGGGTGCCTGTCGGAAGCGTCTGGCTTCGCGGCCTATTCGACTGGCCGTCCGCGAGAGATCCGCGCGACTGACTGACAGGTGTGAATGGACTGTCCGATACTAATGTGGACGTGGGGCTAGTGACACTGGCAGAAAGCGAGCAAGTCGTATCGAGCGAGGTGGTGCTTTTCGCGTGTTTGTGCTGATACTCAGCAAGCTCATCGAGGTTCTTTGCAAGCTCCTTGCGCATGTGCTCTGGGCTCATGATGGGAGACAATGGCGACGGCGATGCAAACCCGGTGGGTGAGGTGGGAGAAAGCACAGCAGGGGACTGCACAGCAGAAGCTAGTGCAGAATCGATAGTCAAACGTGTAGGGCTCTCTGAATCGCTTTTCGCAAATGAGCTCTTCCGAGACTTCGCGCCCATCAGGTTGTTCTTCAGCTTGAACTTTTCCAACCAGCTTTGGGTAAGGACCTTTTCTTTGCCGTCTGGACTGCCACAAGTGCTTGCGAAGAACAGAGCCTTTTCTCTGATCATTTCATCGCTCAGTGGGTAACCCTGCTTTTGGTAGTTCCTCACCCAATTCGATAGAGCCTTTTCAATGTCGGGAACTCGTCCCTTGGCTCGCTTAATTGGTGACCGACTTCCTTCGTCTGGATTAAGATACTTCTCTTTCTGACGAAGCACCTTGGAAACAGTGCTTTGGGACGTAAAAGCGAGAGTTAGAATGGATGTTACCAACACCGTACAACAACAGGATCGAAATGAAAAGATTGGTATACTGTACCTCCTCTCTACTCCAAATAAGGCTGTTTATTGGTTTCGTCAGTCTTGCTCGATCATTGTTGCGCAACAAAGAAGCAGCAAGCTTACCTCCAATGTCAGTCTGTTTAGCCGTCTTGTGTTCTTCATGATAGAGACACATTCGCCGACGGTCCTCATCGGTCAGAGTCCTCCGAGGCGTGGAGCCACTGGTGGACGATTTGCGAGGCGGTTGAACCGGGGTGACTGGCGCTGTGGATGCCGGGATGGGAACCGGCGCCAGGCCTTGTTCTGGGAATTGTGGTTGAGTCGTGAGCATGCTGGGCCATGTATTTGAAGGCATCGTCAAAGGTAATGATGCATATGGAGGAGGTATCGAAACACCGTACGGAGTGTCCAGCGGCATTACCCCATATCCAAACCCTGAGTAATCCATTGGGGGCGAGTTCTGAGGAGACGGTTGGAAAGCCCCCATATCCATCCAGGGTGACTGTGCGAATTCATTCTCTTGCGTATGAGAGCTCTCCGTATCCATGGTCAGGAAGAGCTAGCGAGGGTGCGAGAACGTGGAGGAGAAGAGGAGGGTACACGGCTATGGGGAGGAGATTCGGCAGTACAGTCACAAGAGATACCAACCAGGAACAGGCCGGACTGGCCGCTAAAGTAGTCTGAAGAGAAAAGTATAAGAGGGGAAATGGGTCAATCGTCCGCAGAGAAAAAGCAAAGAGGGGGCAATCCACAGCCAAGAGGATGAAAGATCATGCATGCTCAATCCGAAGGCATTCAGAGAGGACCATATGCTGATTACGAAAGGTGAAGATCAGTGGTATGTAGCAGCGGCGTAAGGTAAATAGATAGGTAGTAGGTCCCGTTCTGGATAATAGGTAGTGAATGCTAGGAGCAACAAGCAAATCCCGTGAGGGTCAATTCTTTCAAGTACTTGTATCCCCGCAAGCCATACGAAGCTATTCAGGTAAAAAAAAGAAAAAAATATATATATATATAAAATAAAATTCTGTAAAAAACTGTTGATGACAATATGTATAGATGGGATATGTCTACAAGAAAAAGGTCATGCAGGCTTTTCCTTCTAGTACTCGTTTGTCCGAGTAGAAGAAGGCAAGCTAGATCAATGGAGGGGTGGTGCGCAGCTGCCGCAGCATGCGGGAGGGGAGAGGCATGGACGCGGAATTAAAAATTGGAGGGGAAAATATCAGAAAAACTAAATGCAAATAAGGGAAATAGAAAACGAATAAAATAATGGAAATAATAAAAATAATAATAAATATAAAAAAAAGAGGTTGGCTCGAAGCACAGGCACAGGGTTGATCAAACATCGTAATAATACCAAATAAGCAGATACTGCAGGTAACTACTTAGGTAAGGTGGTGGTATACGGTATACTCTGCTTACGAACAGAACAATGCTTGTTGCCCGTGGCCGAGGAGTAGTTAGGGATGTCTACCTACTGTGATGGACTGAGCATTGCCCCGTGCCTGCGAAGACCACCTTACCACTGCTGATACTGCTGTGCCTGTCCAATTCTATGTCCTGCCTTTACCTATCAGGTTTGACAGGCCTAGATGGAGAGAGCTGGTACCTACCTCCTAGTCCGTGGTAAGGTGAGGCAGAGTCGGATCGACTACATACTGAGCACTCCTAGGTAGAGTGAGCTACCTACCTATCAAAAAGGATATCATCTGGTCCTGCTTGATTTGGTGCACGACCGAAAAGATCTAGTCCAGGAGTAGACTCGAGTGATTCGACGGACTGTCGACGCATCGCCGAGGACAGAGAAAACGGAGATAGCGAACAGAAAGAAAGATGCGACGACTTGGTCGTTGATTGGTCCATCGGCAGGAGGCTAAGAAGGAAATAAATTATCAAAATGATCTTGCTGAATGGCAAATGGTGGGGGAATCAGCTTTTGATTGGTAACTGCTGAGATTGCTGGACAGGGATCTTGCTTGGGTCTGAACACAGCTAGGTAGGTAAAGATAACCTAGTACGGTCTCGTATGACGCTGTTACATGAAATAAAGATACTGTATCTTCCTAGTATTGATGACGGTGAGGACATGTTCGGGTTTTCCCTCTTTCTAAACGAAGTTAGACATAGTCGAGATCCCGGGAACATGTGTGATACCTAAAAGGTTCGTATAAGACTCTGGGTCTGATGGAAACCCACAGTCTCATGTCCTCCTTGTCTGCAGGGAACTTAGCATGGGTGTTGTTACACGGAAGCAAAGATCATGGAATGACAACAACTGGCCAGCTCAAGTACTTGCCTGGTTGGCTTAGGCTATGGAGTACTACTAGATACTACTACTAAGTCGTTTGGTTAAGTCTACCAGGCATCACGAGAAAGGTGGTTTGGTACCCGATCCAGAGTGGAGCGAAAGTTACCTTGAGCCAGTAGAGAACCATGTCAACATTGGGTTTCTGGGAGAACTCCGGACAAGAACGACAGGAGAAATAGTGAAAGTAAGAGAGAGGCAGGGGGCGTTGCTGTCTATTATTGTGCTCATATATCCTCATCATCCCATTCGACAAGCTCACCGGCTTCATCGAGGCCATATGATGGCGCTACGCCAGGGTGTTAGCGGATGATCATCTGTTCGAGTCGAGAAAGATCATCGTCGAACGAGAGTTAAGCCACTGCTTCTGGACTAGGTACCAAGTAGGTTCGGATGACTCGATAGCGATTGCCTCGAGATGCAAGCCACGACCAACTTGACAGACGGGGAACAGATCGATAAACCGCTGAACCTAATATCCGCATGACATACCTAAAACAAACAAGTAAATAGAGGTGAGTTTGATAGAACGAGGACTCTGGAGAATTCATCGTAAAGCTCTGGCTCAGGGGTTTTTGCAATCTCGTAAATGATGAGCTCGCTGGACCATTCAGCCAGATAAGGCCTTTGGGTTTGTCGACGTGTGAATCCACCCCATCCTTCATCTTGCGACGGTCAGTTGAGCAACTTTTAAACTATACTATGCGATATATGAAGATGGTCGATGATGGAGACAGAAAGATGGCGCCCGATTAACATACAGTAAAGTATGTGTCAAATTAAATCCTTGAAGGGGCAGATCGTGATCGTCCTGCGTTGACGGCCAGGGATGACAAATCTTCATTTTGCCCGTCTCATCGAATGAAGAAAGCGCGATTTGCGGTTTGACACCCTGAGTGATGATAAGTCAAACCATATTTTGCAAAAAGCATGTCATCCGTCTTGGACGGGGGACGCCTCATCAGAGAAGAGAGGGAAACGGAAAAAGAAAGTAGAAGTGCGCAATTTAGAGCCACAGATAAGTCTTGGAATAGCGAAAAAGAGGAAAACCTACAGTCCAAAATGCACAGTACTTTGTCACCAGGCGACACTCGAAGAGATACTTCGGTCGAATCAAAGGCTGTTTATCGATTTCAATTTATTCTCTATGCAAGACAAAACCAGTTTATAATTGCGCTTCGTCCTATCACAACGCGCATAAGGAGCAGGATGAGAAACGTCAAAAGGGCTGATTCCCTATTAGGTTTAGAGTCATTGGCAGTCCTGCTGATGAGTTGCGGATTTTTACTACTGTTCTCGGCCAAACTACCAGAGTGACAGAGGAGACTTTAGAGTCGCCAACTTGTAGTAAGGGAGTAGGAGCTAGGACCCCCATCCATGGTCCACAAGGCCCGCAGCGGACCAGCGGTCCACTCCGGCCCGGCACCCTAAGCAATGCAAATCGTGACCAAACTCTGTCTAAAGAAGTTAATGAACAGGTAATCGCGAAACTTAAATGGGGGAAAAAGGAAGGGGGCAATGACTTTGCTTACACATAAGTAGGTTCGTTTGTAAACACGTCTTTCTTGTCTAAAAAGAGAGTTGAGAAAGAGTACAATCCTGTACGAGTGCTAAGCCACTTCGCACTAGAATCACCTGCATGATTAGACTACCTAGATGCGGTAACTTGCAAGGAAAGCTGTGCCGCCTTACACAGCCCTATCAAGGCTTCAATGATCAACGTAGTGCACAATTACAGGTGGCTCTTTGGCTTACTACTGTAGGCAGATGGGTAGAAAAGGCAAAATGATATCTGTATTGCCAAAAAAAAAATAATAATAATAATAATAATAATAATAATAAAAATAAAAAATAAAAAAGGCTACCTACGGCGTACAGTACTTGAATAAAGCCATGTTCTTCTTGGGTAAAATCTATGCTCTGGTCTCGCCAATGCGCCCCACCTATCGGAATGACCACGAGGGATCGGGGTAGTTGACTCAGAGAGAATCTCGAGAGTTGACATAGAGGTGCCCATGTCACTTTCTCTTTGCGTGTAAAATGACACGTCTTAGTGTCCCTCTTGCAGGATAGCGGAGGATTGCAAGTTTGACCTCCTATCCTGCCATGGTCAAAGTCGTTCTTCAGGCCATTTGGTAAGACTGAAACGAGACAAATTAAAAGCGGCAGTGATTTCCGACCCAGATCGATTCATGATCTAATTTGGCGAAAAGAACGACGCCTTGTCGCTGCTATATTGGCCAAAAATTTGCAATCCAACAAATAAGAAATGCTAATTGCCCCTTGTAGCTAGCCAAGAGGAAACTCGAAATCGAAGCTATCGATGAATTGCAGGTCAAGATGGAGCATATGAGCGCCATCTAATTGTGCGCACTGTGCTCCTTCATAATCTGGACTAGATAGATTGATAACCTCTACGCTGCACTTGACTTGCTCTAGTGCTCCACAAATATGGAGCAGTAGGATGCATAGGATCGTGCAATCTCTCTTTGCCGAGTAAGAAGGAATGGCGTCTCTATTTGGCGACCCAGATAGAGGTCATAATTGGTCCCCGGCCGGTTTTACGCAGGCGGAATAGAAAGTGTGAGCAAGTACTAAGATAGTTTGTCTAGATTCCCTCCAACTGTAAGATTTACTGGGTTAATCTCGGGGTTTCTTTTCAGACTTTAGACTACCTACCTACAAACTTAAGTAGCTACACCATTCATCATTAGACTTTAGACTGAGGACCGGCCCTCGGACAACAAATCTGAGACAAGGTGCCATCGTGTTAGGCTTACCTACCCTAAAGTATCTAATTATTGACCAAGTCATCAGCATCTGCCAGGTACGCATACAACTGCATCCAACTGCATCTGTCAGTATTTAATATCAGCACAATTATGTGTGGTCATATGTTTAATGTAGGTACCATCCAGTCTACTGCTCACCTGGCCTGTACACACGAAGGTGAAATTATAATACTTTCAAGTTGGCTTCATGATTAGATAGGTCTTGCTGACGACGATTGGTACAGTTACATACATACCATCCTTCCATTACCATACTGACCACTCGGTAAGGTAAGGTACTCCCCGCCGTATTTATAATCTGCATAAACGCACCGCACGATGATAATAATCAAAGGACATACCTGCCAACGGGAAAAGTCCGAGTCCGGCTCATCTTCGCGAGCTTAAGACAATGATGACATCAGCAAGAAATCCGCTTGAACTTAAAAAGAGATCAGAGCCTATATAGTCTAGTCTACCCCGTTTTGGTTAGTACTATGATGGTGGAGATACCCCAAATTCCTATGGTAGTTGTCTCACTTTGCGAAATGAGCTCATAACATTCACTCCATCTTTCATACCTGCGAAGACTTTCAGAGTTGCAAATCGCAGAATGTCTGGAAGGGCCCCATAATAACATCCTCTCTTCCAAACTTCCTTTTGAGGTAAAAGAAACTTCAACCTCAATGTAACACAGCCGTCGTGTGGCTGCATCGAAGGATCCCGCTATGCCGACCCCAAAAAGGAGTCAGTACTCCGTATTATGGACAATAGTGTAAGACAAGATCCGAGAAAAGGATTATAAAAACGACCAAATATCTGGCCAGGTACTATTGTGAACAGAGAGGAGGAAATGCAGACCTCCACACTGATGAAAACCTGCATCTGTTGGTGCGATTGCAGTCACCTGATGGGAAGGGTTTGCTGCGTTGCATTGACTTGCGCCGTCGCCCTCGTTCTTCTCCATTGTTACCGAGACGGAGTATGGAGTAGTACTCCGTAGCGGCGTAGATACGCCATAAGAAGAACCCCTCCTCGGCGACGGCGAGACATTTGACTTAACCGGATCGAGCTGTGTAACGAACGCTTTGCTTCCATCTCAGAATGTGTCGACAACAATAGCTATTGTTCGATCAATGTCTTATGTTTTGCTCTGACTGAATCCATGGATCTGATTCCATGTCTCATCTACCGCGCATCTTACAGTCAACTCCGATATCGAAGTCCCGATGCACGAATGACGATTCGATTAGCTCTTTTCCGCCAGTCCCACAGTAAAGATCCCGCGCATAACCCTTAGGAAGCTATTCCCTGTCACAAAGTTCATCCGCAACTGCAGCTAAAAGGCTAGAAAGCATGGGTAAGGCTTCGGTTCTGCGCAGACCGCTTCTTATTCCTACTGTTATCGGAGTCATACTGCGCATACAAACCTTGGAAGCCGTCTCTGGTGGTACGATCCAGGACATATGATCGAAGCCCATTAAGCGCTCCTGTGGGTAGCTTCATCGCAATGAGGCGACATTACCCCACATCCGGACGCTTTATCATCTAGACCACTCATCTGATCCACCAATGAGAATATTTCTATGGTCTAATTTCCTGGTCGTTCCGTGACTAGGATCGCCCCCGTAAACCTTCAGGAGTCAGGACACAAGAAATCGGTGCCTGACATTCATGGCGTCATATGACGGCCTAATTGCCTGGCTGCCTGAGGGTCGAGGTCCAGGCTGAGGTTCAGGTTTGAGGCCTAAGGCGCAAGTAGGGCACGAATGTAGGGCATGGGCTTCCTTACACTGAGCAGGATCCTGTCTTGCTGCTGCACATATGCAACCTTGCCTGCAACCTTACCCTTGGCCGGATTCATCACGGCACACTCTTCGCAGAAATGAAGAGGTACTTTCTAACTTATCAGTGACAACGAAATCTGACAGTTTCTGCCTCCGTCAGAGGATATGCTTCCCCTTCGTCATGCTCGGTAAGTGGTCAAGTCGACAGTATTGCCTTTTCCCTGGGCATGTGCGTCCCCTTGCTAACGCAGGCACCGCTTGTACTCACGATCCTCGAACCAACCACGGAGCCTACCCGGCTAACACCTGACGATGTCAGCGTTGCAACCAGACCTCCTCGTCGGGCGAGCGATCACAAATACAACATAATTTGGTGTCTTTGATTAGCACAGCTCACGCAAGTTATTTCGTACCACAGCGTTCTGATAGGACGAGTTTCGTCAAATCCAGACCGGTGCCCGGTTCTTCAATTGTGGTGGGATAGTAATATGGCAAAAGTCCATGGAAGCCTTGACCCTCGCAGTCCTTCGCACTGACATCTGACATTGCAGTACTCGGCATGAGCCACAAGCGAGACCTATCTGGTGTTGCGGGCGATCTGCGCATATTGAGGTGGTCTTTCACGGCTGAACCGTTGACGCCTCTGCGCGGAGATTGGGTTCAGATGAGGACGCAAGGAACGATGCGCAGGTGACTCGCCGTCGAGTGATTCATCTTACTTCCGGGCTGGGACTGGACAGATCTTACAGCAAATGCATGCATGCCAACTTTGAAGGGAAGGAGAAAAAAATTCGGCAGGCTACTACATAGTAGGTATAGAGTACATGCTGCTGAATCAAAAATAAGATCCCGACTTCGAAACTTTTTGATTTCAGACGCCCATCATAACCTCTTGTCGACCTCAACCTTGAACACTAGAGGGTAGCATTGCGACCATTCTAGCCCATGAATCAGTAGATCATCTCCAACGAGTAAATTGTCCGAAATTAAGTCGCAGCCGGCAAGCATGCTGCCCGTGCGCGGATCGTCTAGTCCGGCCCCGTCACACGCCCGTGGCGTCTCGCGGAGCTATGTCACACGAAGGGAGGCCCTTTTGTCCTTTCGCAAAAGGATCTTAGCGCAGCATCACTGACACAGACCTTCGAAAGCTCTCGTGCACGATTCGCCACAGCCGTTCCTACTATGGGACGGACTCTCGGATTTCATGTCCATCAAGATTACTTAGCGCTTAATAATCGTGACTATGACAACTCGTCAGCTCTGGTGGCACGAAGCATAACGTAGAGCGCAGGGGTAGCATACCAATATCCTCATCCGCTAATTCATGCGAGAGACCGACTCGCTGCGGCTGGTGTTTGACGGAGCGGCCATAGACGATCGCAACCTTGAACTGTTCCTTGATCGACCGGTGAATGGAGTTACACTATACACACACATCAGTAATGGCTCCCAGTGTCTCGTGAAAGGTCTGATGAAAACATACAAAGTCCTCGACTGTGCACGCGTTTGATCTCAAGACAACAGGAGCTGAGTAATCAGGAGCCCTTCCCTTGGGCTTCGTGTAGACTCGTCTGAGGTTGAGCTTCTCCCACATTTGTTCCAGAAGTTCATCGATATTCCAGCCATGCTCGGAACTGATGGGGACGGCGTTGGGGATTCGGTAAAGAAGATCCAGCTCCTCGATTGAAATGGAATCGATCTTGTTCAGGGCGTAGATGACTGGGATATAACTTCGGCTCTTGGCTTCGAGAACGTCAATTAGATCGTCAATGGTGGCATCACATCTGATGGAAATATCTGCAGAAGATATCTTGTATTCATTCATGACAGCTTTGATTTCCTGTTCGATAATGGTCAACTTCGAATCTGGAAAGAGTCACATATCAGGGGCACATACGTCATGGTCAATATGTGTTAGGGGAACGGTGCTAGTGATGGCAAGACCACCCTTGTCCTTCTTCTTGAAAACAATGTTGGGTGGTTGTTTGTTGATTCTGATACCGAACCCTTCCAATTCGTTCTCGATGATCTTTTTGTCGAGCAGCGGCTTGTTGACGTCAAGGACGATAAAAATGAGATGGCAAGTCTTGGCCACTGCGATGACCTGACGACCACGGCCTTTACCATCTTTGGCACCCTGGATGATACCGGGGAGATCGAGAATCTGAATCTTCGCACCGTTGTACAGCACCTGGCCGGGAACGGTTGTCAAGGTTGTGAACTCGTATGCGGCGGCTGCGAATCCGAAGGTCAGTTTCTGTTCAGCCAAACGCGATCAATTCGAAATATACCCTCGGAATGTTGGCCAGTCAATTTGCTCATTAATGTACTCTTGCCGACGGAGGGGAAGCCGATGAAACCACTATTCCAAGTAAGCCTATTGTCGTACTCAAAGCTCGTTCAGTCGATACATACACACTGGCAACACCGGTACGAGCGACATCGAAACCAACTGAACCTCTTCGTTAGCCTCCCTAAAAGATATTCGCGACACCTCTCCACTTACCACCACCTCCACCGCCACCGCCGGATGGAGTCAACAGCTCTCGTTTCAGCTTTGCAAGCTTCGCTTTGAGTTGACCTTCACAACCAGTCAGTTACCCACTTCAAGATGCATGAGAAAGCCATCTATGTCCTGCGCATACCCAAGTGAAATGCCGTCGCCTTGTTCTTTTGAGTCCGAGCCATCTGAATATTCGGTTAGTTTCGAAGCACTTGCGACCATCCAACGCGGCGATTGCTATACGAACCTCGTCCTCAATTTGCTTGATCTGCAGTCATAAAGAAATTAGCATGATCAACTCCTTCAAAATAGGACATATGTGATAGCTATACCTTCTCCACGGTCGTCGACATTTTGACGGTTTGGTACGAGTACTACCTCGTACTAGGCGCAATCTATAAAACCGAAAAAAAGAGGGTTAAAGGATAAGAATGAAGAATCCAGTAAGGCTTCTCCTATGTCTCGCTCGCTGAAAAGCAGTCTATGCCCGAGACAAATCGTATGCACGTCAAGTCGTGAATGCGTTTCTGCGGAGAGATCAATCTTTAAAATTGTGGCCGCCACTTCATTTGCTGCTCAATCAAGGCGGTCTCACATGGCGGGGTTGTGGCCTCAGGCCAGCGTCAGGCATCACAGTGGCAACTTCCCGCTCTTTCCGCGGAATGTGCACACTTGTGTATCAAATGAAAATCACCCAAAGTGGTCGAAAATGGTCCTATGTTCCTTTACTATGGAATGATATGATCTGAGCATTTCGTTGCTGCAGTCGTCAAAATCTATAATTAACTATTGTTACTGACCTTAACATTATCCTAACTCCTTCATGCTGAACATCTCCCTGCTCCGAACTCGCTACGACTACTATTGATCCGACTTGTATACTTCTAGCTGGCGACGAATCACAACCCAGCTTCTACGTCTTACATCCATATTGCAGGGGATCCTGACAACAATGCCATATCTCGGCTCCACAACATCATTACCACCTTTGCAAAGCAAATGCCCTGATAATGCATTCAAGAATCTCGTCCTAGACCTCAGCGCAGCGTTGGGTCCGAGCTCGGGCCTGGATTCTGACGATGTCAATCTCCTCGACATCCAGCGCCTGATGGAGCAATATGTCTCCAACCCGCAGGAATGGCGCCCTTTTGCCCTGGGCGATAACAGCAGAGGATATACAAGGAACCTTATTGATCAGGGGAACGGTAAAAGTAATCTGGTAGGTCAGACGTCGATCCCCCGGTGCTATAAACTTCAGCGGCGCTGTGATGATATGGCCGTACCTGCATGTGGCCGAGACCCAAGCCCATATGTGCCGCGCGATACTGAGTCACGGGTCGCATGCTAATAATGTACTCCGGCAGCTAATATTGGTCTGGAGCCCTGGCAAAGGGAGCGCAATACATGATCATGCCAAGGCACATTGTGTCATGAAGGTATCATTCGCTACGAGCCTATATCCTCGTCGGGGCAAAATTGCTGAACTGACGACGCCCAGATCCTCAAAGGCTCTCTCCAAGAGACTCTATATACATGGCCTGATCAAGATAGACTCCAAAACGGGCAGACCTCCTCCCCGCAAATCATCAAGGAAACCACCTACACCGAAAACCAGGTGACCTACATGTCTGACAAGGTCTGTAAATTCCCGCCTACTTCACTCAGAGCTAATGATCATTCAAAACTGACAATTTGTCAAGCTGGGCCTCCATAAGATATCGAACCCAGACCCTCATAACCCCGCCGTCTCGTTACACCGTACGTATCTCCCCTTGAACTGATACATATGTCGGCTTCGCTGTGCGCTACGGCTAACCTTACCAACTTGACAGTCTATACCCCACCAAATGCTGCAACGTATGGGTTCTGCGTGTTCGACGAAAAGACTGGGAAAGCAAGCCGCGTGAAGCAATCCCATTTCTACTCTATCAGAGGAGAACGGTGCTAGTCCACGTCTGCGTTCCGGCTGCATCACTCACTGCTGCTGTTTTACTGACGTTGGGCTAGTTGCTCAGCACGTACAAGCTACCTTTGCATTTGTCTTTCCTGCCTGGAATGTGACTCGAGTGTGCTTCCCAAAATATCCCATATTAGCCTTACGTCTAGTTATACTGGCTAATGAATTTTGAGATGATTTGCATGAAGCAGAGACTTCTTTCTCCTCCCTTCTCATATTCCTGCTTAGAATTAAGCGCAGGATCACAAGAGTCCATAATAGACAACCTCAGGCGCAATTACATGAACAACTGGTTGAATGCTGCCAAAAGATATTCGCTCCTCATGCGTGACTCAATTAAATCCCGGGAAAGTAAATGCACATGCTTGAGACGTACTGTACAGTCATGGAATGATATGCGAAATGCAGGACACGGATGACCCTTAACGGAAAAAAACGCCAGCGGTAGAATTCAAACAGATCATTGCACTGATATCATACGACAAAAAAGCAGAGGAAGGGGGAATGCGGGACGTATATCAGACACGCCTAAGTAATAAATCGGCGTTCTCCAAAACTTCGGACTGGCGCCGGCAAAGCTCTTCGAGGCGTGCCAACGGATTCTGTAAACTTCCAGTATAAGTATGTCGCTCGAAGGAGGTGCAAAAACGCATCAACCGTGAGACCCACCCAGTCCTCCTGTTTTGGTACGCCTTCAGCGATAGGCAACTGTTCAGTAGTAGTTTCGTCCCCCGAGGCTTGCGCGAAGGATCGCCTGATGGGCGCTGGTGTCACGGGAAGGCTGGGGCGTTCTACCTCCGTGGGGAAATCCGTGACTCGCATGCCCATGGGTCCATGATCGGTTGTTCGCCAGCTGGAGGGCTCGGTTCCCGGGCTGGGACCCCCGGAGATCACTTGCACTTTGGCTTTTCTGCCATTTTGAACGGATTGGATGTACTTGTTTATCTCTGGCACTTCGTCCCATGCATTTGAACGGGAATATGTCTCCCATGTAGCGGTGGATGGCTCTTCAGCTATCCATGAGGTCCTTGGCCCTATGGAGGATCTGTGTTCTTCTCTGGTGGATGCCGATGCTGACTCCGTAGAGACTGTACTCGGCTGGTCCTCCAGAAAAACGCGCGTGGGCTTGGGTGCACGAGTTTCCCAAGGGAATATTTGCTTAATTTTTTCGGGCTCCGGTTTTGTCTCGGGGACCTGGTACCACATGTTTTTTGGAGCCTCGGGATAAGATGCCGGTGGTTGAAAGAGTTGTTGATCATCCGACATGGTATAAGTCCTTTCAGCCAATGCAAACCCTTCCGGCTTGCTGTTCAAAGGAGGCGGTTCCCTACAAAGACTGAGTGAGAATGGTCATTTCGGCGAATCAAGATGGAACTTACCGAACTGCATCCCATTCGGCCTTGGGTGCTTCAAAAGTTTCGACCTCGACTGGGGGAGCGGACGGTGCCGGAGGTTGCTTTTGGTCCTCAACGACAGGCTCTGGCTCTAGATGTGCGTGATAGACCTCATTCGTAGCCGAAGGTTCCGACGGAGGGGGTGGAGCGCTGGTAGCCTGGCGAGTAGGCTGTTCGCTCTGTATCGTAAACGCTGGTTGGCTAGAATGCGGGAGCACATAGGCAGATACGTATTCTTCTCCTCGAACATACTGTGGAACAGCACTTCTGACCGGTGCTGCTTCACTCTGAATCGGATGGTGTTCCTCTGGTACTGCTTGCGCGTGATCCACGTGCGACACCTCCAGCCCATGAGGAGTACTGCCCTGGTCATAGAAGACTTCCTCGTGAGGAACCTGTTCGACCTGGGCGTGGCTATGACTACGTCCTGTATGTGGTTGTAGTGATGGCGATCCAGATTTGAATGAAGTTTCATAATGCGTTCCTGGCGCTTGCTCAGAAGAGCTAGCCATGTGTTGATCATGCTGTATTTCTAGGACTTGCCCATAGGAACCAGCCATAGGTCGGTCTCCAGGGGGATGTAAAATCTGCGAGCGAGAAGGTTGTGGTACAGTCTCTTGCGGGTAGGTAGTTATGGCACCCTCTACCGTGGCAAACCTACTCGGCAGGGAGTGGACGGGCACCTGAAACGTAGTGAGCAATCAAGGTAGATGAGGGGAATGCATCATGGTAGAGAAGGTCAAAACACACCATTACAACAGGGCGATAATGCCTATCGTAAATAGCCCACCACCTCCCCAGCAACTGATTATATGGTGATTCCACGGGTAACACTTGTCTAGGCAAGTTCCAGGGCTTCTGAGCTCCAATGAAGTGAATCAGGCTAATGGTGCTCTGGAAATGCTTATAGGCAGGGATGTACTGGTAGTTGGCGCTGGGAGTGCAGTTATACGTGAAGCTCAGCCTATGCCAATTCCGAAAATGCATGTTCAGCAGTCCCTGGTCCGCGCCGTCAAAGCTAATGCCCCTCTCAGCGAGCGCCTTAAGCGCATAGTAATCCTGCAAGTTGGGTCGCAGGACCATGACACCGCTATTGAAAATATCCGGCCAACCAACATCAGGCGCGGCCGCGAAATCCTCCCCCAATGACAAGAGTTCATCCGGAGCCCTTACAGCCACGACATCACAGTCAATGTATACTATCTTTTTGTATTGCGTCTGTCGCCACAGTTCAATCTTGGTGAATGTTGCGATCAGATCCGGACGATCCATCAGCCATAGATTCGCCGGGGTGAGATTGGTTGCTGTTTGTACAGGTATGATCTCGTCGTATACCGTCTAAGAAGACCTGGTCAGCGGCATAGCTATGATGAAATACCCTTGACTTTTCGAACACAGGGGCACGTCTGAAGTAACGGAGTAAAGTAGTCGGGCCATACCTGGAGCTCCTTGATAGTAGCATACTGCAAGGTGTCAGGTGTGTAGAGAGCAACGAGCTTGGCCTTCGTGCCATTGTCCCGCAAGGAATGGGCGAGAACCACAGCACCTAGAGGGACTAGCTTAGTAAAGATCAATTTGACGGTGTTCAATAAATCAATTGTCTACCAGGCAAATAATTATCGCTCAATAGGAGCTAAAATTGGATTAACAGTGCTCTCGACGTCGTTGGCTGCCCAGGGAAAACGATTCAATACATACCGTGCAATAAACTGAGCTTCCATCAGGTACCATCTCGACGGTACCTGATCCCGCTCGAACTCCGTAGAGATTGGGAAGGGAGAAACAGGATGAGACGTCAAGTAAAGATTATGAAAGGAGGATAGAGACAGAAATGCCAGCACGAAGGAGGAAAAGTGAAAGACGAAACAGTCGACAGGTAATAGCGATCAAGACGGGATCTCCTCTCGTCCCCTCTTGGTCAAGGGTAACGTCAAAGCAAACCAGCCAGCCCCGCCCGCCAGCATAAGCAGCGACACGAGTAAGTGGATCAGGGCGACAGCTTCCACAAGAGCTGCATCGCGTCCAAAGAGGTTACAGACACACCATTCGAACGATCACTCAGCAGGGAAATTTAGAAGACTGGGCAGTTGAGAGAAACAGTGGCAGCGTAAGAACAAGTAACCAGGAGTATCTATCTAATCTCATGAGGTAGCTGCTCCAAGACTGCTGGGGCGGGTAAGTGGATAAAACATGGTCACGGATACTAAGAAACCAAAAACAAAAGCCAATTCCGTTAACAATATCTCCGGAACAATGACGATTTGGGCGATCCGGGTGTTCAATGGTCCTAAGTACCGTGCTTGATCCTTCAAGGTATTATCTACTGACCAGTAACTATCTGTCTACTTCGTACTCCCAACACAGGACCTACTCCTCCAAGACAGCTCTGCCCGGATTGGGCTAACCTGGACCGTTCCTGGCTTGCTTAAGTGGGGTCAACGACAGGTAACTTCTTCTTATCAAGGTGCCTTCAGACTTTCTAGTAAGTAGTATCATCAATCCCTGCCTTTAGGCCGTGCCCTCGTGCCACCATCAGCGCTTTGATCCCCAATGAGATTCATACTAATAATCGTTGAGGTTGGTAAAGGGGTTGTTGTTCTCAACTGGCTGGTGAAACAAACCAGACTGGCATATGGCAAAATCAATTGATATGACCCTTGCATTCATCTTTTGAGAGGGGAAAGTTCCCTTCTTTATGTTTAGTCCCATATCCGAGCAAGCTACAGACGAGGAGAAATGTCGACCTTAGTTACTCCGCACACAGTGCCCACCGGCATAAAGACAGAATGCAGTGGATGATGGTAATGATTGGTGGATGAAATATTGATGCGTAGTCTTACATTTGGATGTCTCGCTTTCTAGGTGACACTTTGCAGATACGTCAACTCCTGGCATTGTCCATGCAAACTCAACCAGCAAGTCTGCGATCGAACAATGCAAAAGACAAAAAAAATATCAATGGAAGGATAGAAGACAATAAGGAAGGGAGGTCAACTCCCACGAGTTACCACATCCGTCTCAACGCACGTTCTTACTTGCGAACAGTCATGACGGCTTCAGGGTAACAAGCCTGAACAACAGCACCAATGTCCTCCCGTTCTCCCTTCACAGCCCATTCCACGGTCTTCTCGATGGCCACACGGCTCTCGCGCTCCAATGGCGTGAAGTGACGAGAGCGTGGAAGCATGACGACCTCGCTCTTGTAAACAAGGTAGTCTGAGATGCCATCAAGGCAAATCTGAGGGTCGAGAGCAACATCTGCCTTACCCCAGAGGATCGTGGAGCTTGCTTTCAACGCTCCTGTAGGTCCGTCATCGAACAAACCAACTCCACTACCAATGCGCCGCAGCTCATTCCCTCCCGCAATGCTATGCAGGTCGGCGATTGTTTGGACCGATTTGCACCAGCGGCCCAATGCCGCCCCATCTCGGTAGTAGCCAACCATGTGCTGAAAGTTAGAGAGCGCACGTTCCTCCTTCACCGAAACTGGATACTCGTCGCCTGCGGCAGTCCGTGTCTTGCATTCTTCAGTCGACGGACCCATAGTGCTCGCCATACATTCTGCGGCATCCCGAGCGGTGAAGTCGACATCACCATGGGAGGTCTGGTGAACCGCCTTTAGGAAGGAAAAGTTGCCCCCGCTGCCGAAGTATTTAACAAAGCCCATTGGCAATTGCATCACGAAGATATAGCCCGAGCGCTTCAATTGCCGGAACACTGGCCACAGGGACCTGACAGCTTTGATGAGAGTCGAGCGCGACCGGATTGGTGAGCGGATTGAAGTCTTGAACATTTTCAATGAGGAGGATAGAAGGCGACGAATGTTCGCTGCAGCCAGACCGGGCTGGAAATGAGAAATTGGTTAGTGAAGCTCAAATACCCATGCACTAACCTACACCCATTGTGAGTTGTGATACGTACCACCGGCCCATTGGTGACGACAAACCGGTCAGCCAACTGAGGAGCTTCAGCTGCAAGCCGCGTGGAGATAACGCAACCCCAGTCATGCCCTACGATAATCGTCCGTCGCTGGTTGTTTCCAGTCTCCGTATCTATCCCGTACTTGGCTCTAATGGCAATGATAAACTCCGTCAAGCTCTCCAAGACGTTTGTCGCCGAATATTTGTCCAGACTATCGCTTCCTCCGTAGCCCGGTAAGTCGACGACGACCAGTGTAGCCGCAGATTGAAGAGAACTGGAGCTCACTATGTATCGCCACACGGCCCAACTATCAGGAAAGCCATGGATGAAGATCGCCAGTGGTTTCTGAGAGACCGTCGAGTTCTTGGGGAATCATTGCAAAGGTAGTGGAATTTGAATCCGTTTCGCAGGGTGAGGATGTGATGAGAAAGACCGAAGCATTCCTTCGAGAGATCCCAGAAGCGGTCGCGGGCTATTCCATTGCAACAGAAATTGGGTCAGTCCTACCGCGATCAAAATGCCTGCAATGTGAGCCTACTCACCTAACTGCAACTCCAAGTTCTCCTTCTCAGAGGGACGTTTGAAGAAAAGTCCAAGTTTCATAGCCTGAAGTCCGTACAGGATAAGAGTTAAAAGCCCATAAGCAAAAACCACAGCAGATTTGAAACTTTTAGCAAGACGGCCAGCCATGTTGCTAGCAGTCTGGCAGATGACCTGCTCTCCGCTCAAGGAATGAGAATGACGTTAACAGCAAAGAAAGGAGTTGTGATTTCAGAAGGAACGTAACAAGGCAGTGACTTTGCTCATAGGGAAAATTCTAATGGTAAGCTTCAGTGCAATAACACATTAAAATCGAAGGTAAAAAAAAAAAAGAGACGGAATGCACTGGCTTCGGGCGAAAAATAAGCTTAAGCAGTGGATGGAGCTGAGGGGAAGCTGTCTAGCACTATATAAATGATGCGTCATAACGCATGTGATTATGATTTCTTGCCTGATACATAAGGCAACACATTTATACAACACAACTCACTTTTCAACCTGAGCTTATAGCTAGTACCATGATAGTAATTACAAGATGCCATATTTGAGAAGAGCGTATATGATGAGCTACTTATATTGAACATATGTTCGTCTAAAAAAGCCGAGTTCTCACAATCAAAACGCAGAGAACCTCTCCACGTAGGCGAGGGAGAAGCCTTGATTCTCCTGGGAAAAGAGCGGTCCATTGGTAGATACAATTGCTACAAAGACTGCTGCAAAGCTACATATACAAGCAGGGACCTGTTGCAGCAACAGGACCGTCAAGTCTAGACGTCTCCATCATAGACGACTATCAAACAAGGCAAAAGAAACACAAAGTACAAGCAAACGCCAGCAGCCTCTGAAATGCAGCCAGATATGTGAGATATCACTCCGCAAATGGGTATTGGTACAGAGCAAGTGCAAGATTCAGGAAGCAAAACCATAACACCAGAATTTTGAGGAGAAGAGGAGCAGACTTATAACCAACTCCGCAGCAGATCAAAGGAAGAATCCCAGATTCTCCCGGTTATCGTCTACTAAACGTCCGTACCTGTCAAGGCGCAATGTTAGCCAGTCACGGATTGCAACCGAGAGGAGAAGCTTACTCTAATAACAGTCTGAAGAACCACACTTCCAAGTCGTCATTTCGTAATGCTTTGAGGGCCCAATCCCGGCCTTTTCCCGCAATCTTTGCCGCCGTGTTTTTGCCTTCATCTTCGGTGACAAAGTACCGCATCGTCTCAACGTACTCGTCGCCCGCCAGACTCAGAGGAACGTAGTGTACCCAGGGTTTGATCCACTCGTCGTGCCATTCACGAAAAATAGCCACCTTGCAAACTAGACTGTTGCTGTGCAGAAAGGCATAATATCGGCCACTGAATGCGTTCCCGTCGATATCGACCAAATACTTGTAAGCCCATGCATCCTGCAGACCAACCGCATCCACGACCTCAAAGAATTCCTTCTGAGCATTACAGTCATTGGGGTCACATTGTCCGATGAACGTGAATTTGACGTCGAACAGATCACGATAATCTGCGCGACTGACTTCCTTGGTTTGCCACTGGCCGTCCGTGGCCTTAGCAAGAACTCTGACATTGTCCAGACTATTGATGTTGCCGACAAAAATTTGACGGTGCTGCCGCCGCCAGCCACCAGCTCGAGAGAAACCTCCGGTTGTGGAACCCCTCCAGAACATCTTTTCTTGCTTCTTATCCCAAGGGTAATCATTTTTCTCCGCGTAGGGGACCATGTTAGCCCAGTACCAGGGACTTGGGTAGAGTATATCTTGAAAGCTGGAGATTTTGCTCTGCGAGAAAATTGGAAATAGATCGTGAACCACGTCAAAAGCATTCGGGCGATCAAAGAAGCCGTAGGTTTTCCTCAGTGACGGAGTATTGCAGATATCGGAAAAGGCAGTGGTATTGTAGATAAAACCCGGGTCTCCACGTTTGTAGGCTCCGATATTATCTGGCGCATCCTCGTTCAGGGATCGGGCGGGGCTATCCACCGGACAGGAAGCTCGAGAGTCGGTCCATGTGGGCTGATGTGCATACCGGTTGAAACGTGTCGTACGCGCTTCATCAATCCGATCACCCTTGTTCAAATCTTCAGGCCGAGGCGACCATGCGTTTTTCGGCGATTGGTTCTGGAAGGATTTCGGAAGCACACTGTCCTTCGCAATACTGACCATCCTGCGCAGATCATCGCTCGGTATGACGACTCGAGGCTCATCGTGGGTGTTGAAAACGAGGTCCATGTCTGGCAGAAACTCCACAAAATCACTCATCATCCCAACAGTAGCATCTCGCTGCCATTTGAGTCCGTCACCACCTCCTTCAACCAGAGTGACCTTTCCCTTTCTGATGACCACTCCAATCACGGCATTGTCATATCCCAGCGCCTCGCGCGCACGTTCACGAATCACCTTTGGTTCGATCGCCCAAAAAGGGAGCAAGGAGTGGTAAATCGTGTCGTATTCATCGATTAATTGGACGCCCCTCGACTGTGCGAACTGAAACCATTTATCGAAATGCGGCGGAGGGTGCATATGATATCGACGACGGTATTCATTGACGGCGTCGGCCAGAGTCTTGGACTGCCGCGAATGCAGCTGTTCGAAACCCTGCTCTGCATTTCCAACTAGAGTGGCGATTGGGTGTCGATCTGTGGGGAAGGGAGTTGTCGCGGGATTTTCTGGCTCATGTTTCTGTTGCTGTGCATTGCTAGAAATATGTCCTGACGGAGGGTGTGGAATAGCTGGAGGAGACTGATTTAGAGGTAAGTCGGAATCATGGTGGCTTCTTCTCAGAAAGACAATCGAGAAGCCTGCGAGGACGACGACACCCAATAAGAACACAATTCTCTGAAGTCGCATACTGCCATCGAGAGGGGCTATCTAGCTATTTATGCGAAAAGAGTGCCGAGGGGGGCATTGAGACAATTCCGGTGGTCACAGGAATGTTTGTTGTTTATGTCATGTAAGGGTTGTGCGAGTGTGAAAAGGAGAAGCAGTAAGGATAAGAGCGAGGACGATCAAAGAATATGGATCTAACTCTGTTAGACGACAAGCAATCAAGTAATTTGATTGTTCGATGCGAAATTCATGGAAACAGTGGGACCAAAACTCTCCTCAAAACACCCCAAAGTTCTCCGTCATCCGTATTTAATTAAAGCTAGCTAGATACGTAATCTCGTCCAACCACACAACATGCTAATTGCACCAGTGCACCGGCTAAGAACTTTAATGTTCTGCAAGGCCTCTTAGGGGGCATTCCAGACCATTCAAGCGCCGACCAGAGTTTGATGTGCCAAGGATCGAATGGTGCAGGTGCTCAAACTTGGAAGGCTGGCTCAAAGGAATGAACTACTATTAGCACCCTAAGAGGACATGTTCGTTCCTCCAGTGGCCGTTGCTAATTTCCGTGCATTCATTTCTCATGCTTGAGAATAATCTGAATAGGGACTCTGCAAGTGATTTCCGAATGAGAATATCAGGAACCACGTTTATCGTGATTGGCGGAAACCTTTGCCCGCGTACTATACCCTTTAGGTGCCATAAAGTGCCTTAACTTTACATCAGTACTAGGTACGGAGTAGATAGTACGAAAGTTTGCAGTGGTCCTGGTGATCGGATCTTTTTCATTGCAGAAATCAGTACCGATTCTATTAGGAGCGATTCTGCAAGTCCCATGGTTAGAAGAGTGACATTCGGATGTGACAGTGAAAATGCGAATTATATATCATATTTCATATTCAGCCTTTCGGCCGGGTTCTTCCTGGCAAAGGAAGGTGCCAACCAGGGTAGGAACCGACTCGAGATAGTGACGTAGTGCTTCTTATCCTGTGAAAACATCCAACAGCAAGCTATATTAAGTGCAAAAGCCCCCAGTGTCTGGAGAACATATGTTTGCGCCTGGGCAACATGGCAATACGCTGCAACACACAAAGCTGCGACCAGCAGAACATGCGCAATATAAAACACTCGTCGTCTCATGTGTATCGATGCTGTTTTCATGGCCCACAGTCCACTGGTCGATCCCAGGGGCCGTGCAAGGACAAGGATGAAGATCGTGATGACAATTCCGCACAATCCCCACTGGACATCCAAATCGCGTATACGTTTGGCCAGCAAGGAGCTGAAATCCGGGTGAGGTGATTGCCCGAAGAATGACAAGTACAGAGTGGCATGCGCGATCAATAAAGGTGAGAGGACTACTCGGCCAAAGAGACGGTGGAAACGCGTCAAGGCGGATTGCGGGATGGCTGTAAAGATCGACACGACGGACGGTGATGTCGGCCTGGATACGGATATATACCAGATCGGAGACATCAACACCTGGAACGGCAGCTGCGAGACCGCAACATGGCCCAGCGCTTTGGTTAGGTGGAGATAATCTGACAGAAAAGCTGTCATTTAGCTTTCATATATCTTGAATCAAGCAGTACAGTGTCCAAGTATCAAGTATCGGCTCTGTCAATCGCCGTGGGATATTTTTGGTGGTGCATAAAGGGACGGCCAGACAACACACCAAGAAAAGAATGTACATACCATCACCACTCCTCCACATAGAGAGTCCCAAAAGCCAACCAAGCCAGGTCAAACAGACAACATATTGTCCTCGAGTCTCCGACCAGCCGCGAAAAGGGGCGGATTCCCACCATGATTTGCGTGCTCGCCGAGGATCACTTGCATACTGCGCGTGCGAAACAGAGCTCTTATAGCATCTGAATGCGACCAAGGTAATGACAACAGAAAGTTGAGCGTAGTATCCCCGAAGATCAAGAAGCTCACGGCGATGCTGCTGCTCGGCTGGGGAAACAAGCGCAAAGTGCCAGGGCCACTGCAGTGACATACCGGCTGTATGGTTGTTGGACAGTTATGATGGTAGGATCCTGACTAGACACGAGTGCGGAGGAGGCACGGAAATATCAGCACAAACTCATTTACACGCTGGTAAGTTTGACAGGCATATTGAAGAAGCTAACTAGTATTCTATATAAGCCGGGCATAAGGTGTAGAGTAGAGAATGGGGGAAAAAATAACCGTCAGCGATAGGACTCGAACCTATGCGGCCGAAGCCAAGTGATTTCTAATCACTCCCCTTAACCACTCGGGCACACTGACCGGGGTTGAAGAAAATGCCAATTTCGTACTCTCATCAGCTTATTGATATCAAACACCACAGTGGATGAGCCCAGAGCTTACTCTGCACTACCTACTGTGCTGAAGGCAGATGGCTGGGCTTTAGACGCAAACATTTGCAAGATATTATAGACGCCAAGGCAGTATCTCTACAGTATACTGAGCCCGAATACAGACGCGGCCAATGGCAGGAATATGTTGATGCAGTTGACAAAGAGAACAGTTACATTCTGAGAAGTTTTCGCATTGGTATGCTAGGCATGAGTGAGAAAATCGCAGTACAGATAAAGCCAAGGGCGGTAAGGGGATTGTTTCGATTACTCCAATGGATACTTCGGAATAAAGGTGAGGTCTAATGTTGAATGTGCCTAAATCAAAATTCTGTCATGCTAGACAGAGTACTAGCTGTTGTAAACATGTCTGAGTTCTCCCATATTATCCGTCCCCTGGCATTCTTGGACTTAAGACATGAATGCCATTGGTAGTCACGAGACTTCTATGTTTCTGGGTCACAGAATATATTAAATGTCCAATACAATAACTCCAGTCAGTGTGCCCGAGTGGTTAAGGGGAGTGATTAGAAATCACTTGGCTTCGGCCGCATAGGTTCGAGTCCTATCGCTGACGTTTCTTTTTTCCCACGTTTCCTCTTCTTTTTTTACCCTTCCACTTAAATCTGATGCCAATGTATGGATTCTGCCCAAGTTTCAGATACGGGATATTGCTGGTTTCGCATGATGGAACAAAGTCTACTTCATGAACGCCATGGGATTATTTCATTCAGTGAGTCAGTTGGCCTGACCATTTCTCTAAGTGGACAAGATTCTCAAGTTTCAAACTCGGCCCCAACAGAAGCGCAAGTCCTATATTTACTCCCGCTACCCTATTGAAAGGCTCCGTTCGGACGTGGGTATGAAGTGGTGCATGCATCAAGTAGCATAATCAAACAACTAGGCCTAGGGTGAAGTCTGCATGGCCTCCTCGTGGCCGCCCGCGGCAGTCGTAGCAAAGTACCGGACATCGACATCTTCATCCTGCTGCAACTTCTCTAGACTGGGGAGGATTCTCTGCTGGATAAGCTCCTGACTCCGAGGTGACGGGGTCGCTGGTTTCCCAGCTTTCTCGAGCTCGGATAGCGTCCCTTCGGCGGGAAGGCGACGTAGTGTGTCGATCAATACAGCGTAGGATTTGGCGACATTGAAGCGGATATTGGGAATTTCATCCGTTACGAGTCTGTCTAGAATAGGAAGGATTGAGTTTTCGATAATGTCCAGCGAGACAACGGGCGCAAGAGTCTAACATAGTCAGTAATCGCCCAGCACTCGGAAACGCCCAGAGAAACTCACAGAGATAGCAAAGCACGTGGTCATTCTGTATAGATAGTTAGGGTGTTGTCCCATGGCCATAACCTTCGGGATGATAGAGCCCTGAGCCCATTCGACTCCGAAGACTTCTGTAAGCTTTCTCAAATTCTGAGTGGCAGCTTCTCTGATGGAGAAGACTGTGTCACCGAGCCAGCCCATGCACAAGTCGCTGAGCTGTTCGTCGAAAAATTTGACACCCAGCTGACTAGCGAGAAGAGGGATGTACTCGATGATAGCAAGGCGAACTCTCCATTGTTTGTCTTCAGCTAACTGGACAATAGCAGGGAGAAGCGACTGCGAAAGGAGGTCGATGCCGATGACTGAAACGGTTAGATATAACTGATGACAAAGTTGTGCCTTGAATCTTACCTTTGTTGACCAATTCCAGCTTGGAAATGATATGCAGGCGGACATCGGGGAATTCATCTTTGAGCATCTGAAGGAACATCGGGAGCAGATGAGCAATCGTCCTAATCGCATATCGTCAGCATTCATGTCAAAGCAAACTTAGAACAGTATCACTCTGACTCTTCTTTCCCGAGGATCGGGGCGAGTCCGCTAATTTGAGTACCCAATGCCGCTCGCACATGCTGAGATGGATCCGAGACAAGATCCTCCACGCTCGTCATAATCTCGTTAAGCAAGGTTTCCCGGTCAATCAAGTTGCAAAAACCTATTCGCCATCAAGTTAGCCATGTCCTAGTTTGCATAAAAGCATTCCATACCTGGAATCTGGCCCGCAATAGCAGTACGAACTTCAGCCTCTGTGTCCTTCAGAAGCTTAACAAATGAGGGCACCATGTCGCGAGTAACAACCTCTTCGTGCACAGCTTTAGCGATCTGTCGTGGAATATTAGCACAGCCTAAACAGAATAACCAAAGCCGCACCAGGGACAAATACCTTCTCGTATCGATCAGCAACCATGTATCTCACTCTCCAGCTCTTATCCTCGAAAAGATTGCGCAGGGAGGTCAACAGAACACCATGACTGGGTTGTTGCTCCTTGGGGATTTCCTCGGCGATAGAGATGAGAATGTCCACAGTCAACAAGCGCACGCTGTCTTGATCGTCACTGGCCAAGTATTGGAACAAGGGTATTATTTCTTCAATGATCACTTGTGTCTGCATTTCCTTGACAAACTTGGCAAGGTTATTTGCCGCCTGTCGTCGCACCATCGGCGTCTCGTCATGTACAAGCCCTCCGAAATATTGGCGGAGACTTTGCTGCAGTGGCGGTTGTGATTTCCTGTAGGGAACGCAATAGAGACCCGTAGCTGAGACTTTCGATGTGAACCAGTCGGCTTTCGAGAGGCGAATAACCATGGGGATGAAGTATTCTTCGATCTGCTTCTCGGACAATTCCTCCCCGATCTTGTTGAGCGACTCGACGGCCTAACTTTCTGTCAGCAGAAGAAACGACACATCCAATCCGCTGATTTTTACCTTCTCCCGCACCAATGGCTCTTCAATGGCTGCCAAATTCTCCAGGGGAGAAAGGAGGACATGACCAAATTCCGGACCGCCAACATATTCCACGAAACTGCCCAGCTCATCGCTCAGAGCGGTTAGGACTTCGTCTTCGTCCTCGACAGAGTCTGCGGAAACCGTAAATTAGATCCAAATGCTTGTCATGCCCAAATTTTGGTCGAACTAACCATCGAGGAAAGGAATAAGTTCGTCCCGAGTTCTCTCCGGTCCTAACGCCAATGCAATGGTAGAAAGACGGCGTATAGCGTTGATGCGAAGAGTAACCTCATCATGCTAAAGGAGATGGCGCACGCGACTATCAGTATGTGTTGAAAAGAGATGACGTGGGTGAAAGAGCAACTGTACCTTCAGTTCATCAATGAGAACGGCAATGGGGTAGAGCTCATCATTTTCTCCCTGACCCTCCATCGCGGGAAATTCTGTATGCTTTTCAATGTACTATTGAAAGGGTGAAAAAAGGCTAACGAGGCAGGGATGCGGGCAGGTTCAAGGCCTCAGCAGGAATTGGAATTATGTTGGTAGATCAATCCGGTATGAGGCGAACTGAACAGGGGCTCCGGGAAGTTATTTTGTGGTCGACACAGAAAAGCTGTCGAGAACAGGATGAAATGATCAAGCACCTGCTCTTATATTGATATTAGTCGCTGTTGATAGCAGAGTTCTAGTGGTATAGGAAGGGATAATGATTAGAAACCCCGGAGCGAGGTTTCGTGGGGTTTGGGCCGCCGCAGGACACTTGACTTGAGTAGCAGAATTACCTGGACAATTGGATTGAACTCAGCGACACAGCAATTCGTTGCCAAACAGTAATGGAAGAATTAAAAATCCCTAACGTGAGAAATAGAATAGCCTCGAGTGAGTCTGTACAGGCTGGTATCAGGACGGCTACTATTCTTATTAAGGCGAGCTTCGACGGTCGCTGGTTGCTCACCTGAACCTGAGGCACTAGTACTAGTTCTAGCTGCTCCTGTGGCTGGTGGGGGTAAAAACAACCAAGGCAGAGCCTGAGGCCCTAAGGAATCAGGAGGGGTGAAATCGTGGCGGTGCAGTCCTCTGTGGCTTGATTGGCGGAGGGTCAAGCCCCAACAGAGACAAAAGTGCCATGGACTTCTATGACTGCGATTATCTGCCCGACACTGGAAAACAGACAGAGCATCTGCGGAGTTACCATCGCTGCCAATCTGCGTTGAATAGCTCGGACATTCATTCTCACTCCATACAGTTCGTTGGTAGGACTCAATCGTTGTCTGATTGCGGCATTCCTTCTTTACAGTTGCTAAGAACAAGCCCCTCATCATGCCCACCATCTCGGTCGATAAGGCCGCGCTCTTTAAAGAGCTTGGTCGGGAGTATGTTTTTCTCTTGCGTTCAATGTCCTCAACCATTATGTGACTAATCATATCATCAAGATATACGACGGAGGAGTTCGATGAGCTGTGCTTCGAATTCGGTACGTTTTGACTCATTGATTCCTCACCTTTTTTTGCGGAGTTTCTCGCTGACGGCTTTTCCTGTAGGCATTGAGCTCGATGAAGATGTAATGCACCCTCGAACACCTTGAGAAACGCGCTTGAACATTGCTAAGAAAAATAGACCACAAATTCGGACAGACCCATCGTCGATGGCAAGCAGGAACCACCCCAGCTGAAGATCGAAATCCCCGCCAACCGGTACGCATACTTTTCGGCAAACGTTGAACACTCCAATCGTATATACTGAGTCTTCTCTACAGTTATGATCTGCTATGTTTCGAAGGTATCCAGCTCATGCTCAACATCTTCCTGGGCCGGAAGCCTCTTCCCAATTACCGATTGGTTGAGCCCGCCAATGGACAGCTGGAGAAAATCATTGTCAAGGAAGATGTAAGTGGGCTTGGTTGGGAATTCAGTGTCGCGTCAATATGGACTAAACGAATCTTCAACTAGACCATGAAAGTAAGGCCGTTGGTTTCCGGTGCTATTCTTCGCAACATCAAATTCGACAAAGCCCGCTATGAATCCTTCATTGCTCTGCAAGACAAACTCCACCAGAACCTTGCCAGACAGAGAACTCTTGTGTCGATCGGTACCCATGACCTGGACACTATCCAGGGCCCCTTCACCTACGAGGCACTGCCACCAAAGGACATCAAGTTTGTGCCTTTGAACCAGGCGAAAGAACTGAACGGCGAGGAATTAATGTCCTTCTACGAGGTATGGAACTGACCGGCCATGGCTCATCGCAATTAATACTTATCACTATAAACAGAAAGACAAGCATTTGGGCAAATATCTCCACATCATCCGCGACTCCCCCGTTTACCCCGTCATCTACGACTCCAGGAGGACTGTCTGTTCCCTGCCGCCAATCATCAACGGTGACCGTTCAAAGATTACTTTAGATACCAAGAATGTCTTGATCGAGGTTACGGCTCTTGACAAGACGAAGCTCGACATCGTCACCAAGATCATGGTCACGATGTTCTCCCAATATACCTCCGAGCCCTTCACGTACGTATTGGTCTACTTCGCCTTGTACGCCTGATACTAACTCATTCTTGCGCAGTGTTGAGCCTGTCCAGATTGTCTCCGAACACAATAACGAGACCAGGGTCGAGCCCGACATTGCACCTCGTACCACTCAGGCCGAGGTCTCTTACATCAACCAGTGCTGCGGACTGGAGCTTTCTCCCGAGGAAATTTGCAAGCTCTTGACCAAGATGGCCTACCAAGCAAGGCCGTCTGCATCTTCGCCCGATCTCATTGACGTGGATGTTCCCCCCACCCGCGCGGACGTGCTTCACCAGGCAGATATCATGGAGGATGTTGCCATTGCGTACGGTTTCAACTCGCTCCCTCGGTCCTTCCCCAGCAAGTCGGGTACAATTGCTCAGCCTCTACCCATCAATAAGCTCTCCGATATTGTCAGAATGGAAGCTGCAATGGCAGGCTGGACAGAGGTCTTGCCCCTCATCTTGTGTTCTCACGACGAGAACTTCGCCTGGCTCAACCGCAAGGATGACGGCAACACCGCCGTGAAACTGGCAAACCCTAAGACCGTAGAGTTCCAAGTTGTCCGCACAAGCCTGCTTCCTGGCCTCCTCAAGACCATTCGTGAGAACAAGCATCACGCAGTACCCATCAAGATCTTCGAATGCAGCGATGTCGCCTTCAAAGATCTGGCCTTGGAACGTAAAAGCCGTAACGAGAGACACTTCGCTGCAGCTTGGTACGGCAAGACGAGCGGTTTCGAAGTTGTGCACGGCTTGCTCGACCGCATCATGGCCATGCTCAAGAGCGCCTTCATCACAGGTGAGGAGGGTCTCGAGAACTCAGCCGTCGGCGACTCGCATTACTGGATTGAAGAGCTCGACGGTAAGTCCTATATGCTTTTTCGCTACGTGTATGTATCGAGTACTAACTCGGTCTTAGAACCCACTTACTTCCCGGGCCACGCGGCGTCCATCCACCTTCGTATTGCTACCAAGGATCACGTCATAGGTGCCTTCGGTATCTTACACCCTACGGTCTTGGAGAAGTACGAGCTGAAATACCCCGTGAGTACGCTGGAGATCAACATTGAGGCTTTCTTGTAAGGGATTGTCAAGGCAGATGGGGAAGTGATTTTACCAAAAATATAGATATACTCCCTGAAAATATCCTTTGACACAAAGCAGATAGAGCACTAGAGTCACGACGTACCTTGAATATGACTTAGAAAAGGCCTACTTTCTTGGATTATCTGGTCTGCTAGAGTGGAGATCATACACATTCTTGGCAAGTTCCAGAACAAATGCCGGAGTCTGGCTTTACGGCGAGTGCATATTTTCTTACATGGGAGAGGTTTACGAGGGACTGCTGCTATTGCAGCAGTGTTATACGACAGATACGCATGTAGGGAAGTCTAAGTGAAAGACCACCCGCTTAACGAGTCGACATAGCGCATCCCGTAGTACCCGTACAAGTAGAGTTGCAAAGTGAACAGCTTCCCCGTTCCGCAATCTCATTTCATTTCAAGCATCACTTTTGGTATCCTACCTAGGTCTTTCACTAGGGATCTAGGAGAGAGCTGTAAGCCCAAGAGAGATTCTCCGGGCAGCTGCGAACAATATTGTCGGAAGGGGAGACAACTGAAGTTCATGTAGTGTTCTTTATTGCGTGAGGTTGGAAGTAGGTAGGTAGGTAGGACGACAGGAACGAAGAAAAGAAGAGCACGGCCTATTTTAGAGAAAAGAAACCAGATTACTCCTGGGCGTAAGCCTCCGCACCGGCACCCTCCTGGCCTTCAGCGGCCTGCTGCTCAGCAAGTCGCTGCTGCTCGGCGAGCTGCTGAGCGGCGAGAGCCTTGGCACCGTAGTCCTGGCTCATGGGCTGCAGGATGGGCTGCTCCTCCTTGGGCTCGATGATGGTGACGGAGTCAGGGAGGGTCTTCTGAGGACCGGCCTTGCCCTCGGGGTCGGAGCCGCGCATGATCTTGACCTTGATACCAAGAACACCCTGGCGGAGAAGGACGTGACGGGTGGCGCTGTCAATGAACTCTTTGGCGGGCTGACCGGAGTGGATCATGAAACCGTCCTGTATGGAGAGGATAGAGTCAGTCACAAGGTTCCTGTATCGTTGCTTGCACATCCTATATCCCGAAAACCCTTCATTTCATTTTCCTTCATAGTTCCTCTTTCATTTGAGCAAATTCCACCAAAGTACTATTGACGTACCGTAAACTTCATGGACTTGGCACGGGCAGCACGCAGCTTTCCGGAAACGACAACCTCACAACCCTTGGCACCGCTCTCCATGATGAATCTCAGGACACCGTAGCAGGCTCTGCGGACGGCCAGACCGTTGAGGAGCTTGTAGCGGAGGGACTCGCACTGAGCGACGGCGGACAGACCGCGGTTCTGGACCTTGGCGGCATAGAGGGAGACGGAGTTCTCGGGGAACTTGAAGCGCTTCTGGATGAGGGAGGTGAGCTCGCGGATGCGGCGACCCTGCTCACCGAGAACCTCCTGAGTGTGGGTGGCACGGATGACTGCGCAAAAAAAAAGAGCATCCGTTAGCATCATGACACTATTCCCCGTGTAATTCCTCGCGACAAATTGTGTTCCTCCGATTGCATCCCCAATTTCGTGGTTTCCCCAATTTTCTGGCCTCCTTCAAATCCCCAATAACCTAACGGAAAAAATACTTATGATCGGGCGAACGTACTGATGTCGGTGACGGTGGGAGTGACACGGACTTCAACACCAGAGTAGCCCTCCTCAGCCAGCTCGCGCTGGAAGAACTCGTTCAACTCGGCATAGAAGACACCGTCGGCGACGAACTTGCGGCGCTTCGAAATAGCTCCCTGGACAGCGGCCATGATTGCGTTTCTGCTGGTTGGTTTCTAGGTTGTCGAAGAAACGGCCGTAGCGGTGCACCAAAGTTGGGAAGTCGTTCGAGGGCGAAGTGGTCGGCAGTCGTCAGACCAGATTTGAGAGATTCCGCGTTAGTGGGGATTTTCTGGGAATAGGGCTTGTCCTTCCTTTCTGGGATAGGGCTCAACCCTCGCTTGCACTCCGCCGACCCCTTTCCCTAATAGGAATAGTCCAAACAGCTAGCTTTCAGAGCTTAATCCTGTTCAGGCTCTCAGGCATCAACTGGCTGGCCGTCTACCAAGTCCCCTTCTAACAGCTTCTTTCAAGCTAATATCGAGGTAGCTACCCGCCAGCAGCCTTCGCAGTCTTCAACCCTTGCCGTAGGAATATTCGTCATGCTCTAGGCCGAGCTTAGGCCGATCCTTTGTTGTAACCATTGCATAACATAACATACATCAAATCGTGAACTGCAATCAAGTGCTATGTGCTTTATCACCGTTCATTGTCTGCTTCATTCCTATTGCATTTCAAGCTCCATCTGAGTCAGATTTTTCGGCTCCTGAGAGTTGTCCTTTCCCTTTGAGAAACTAAGATTTGAGATTCCTGAGGCCACTGCTGCCATTCCGGTCGGGGCAGCGTTGCCGGTTACATTGCCAGGAGCTCCGCTTCCGACAGCATGATGGGCTGTCTCAATACCCGTCAAGACCGGCGTTGACTCAGAGGCGGGACTACCACGACGGGCAGAGGGAGTGACGCTGGCCGAGCGGACTCCGTTCATCTCCGCATCTGTCCGACCAAATGCTTCGCTCCACCATCTGACTTCATTGATACGCGGGAAGATCAGGCGTTCCTTGCCGCGCTTATGATCATCTATTTGAGGATCATACTTGGGATTGACAAATTGCTCTCTCCGGGCAAGAAAGTAATCCCACACGCTCCGAGTGCGCTCCTTCGCCTTCATCTCCACCCGCTCCTTTTCACTATTGAAAAGGAAAGTACCATATTGGCATGAGTAGAGATGGTAGAGCAGCCGCCTGAGAAACCGCTCGTTGAATTCGAATCGTGTCGGATATTGGTATAACAATTGGTAGGTCGCATCCAGGAACTGATGAAAGACCGGACTTGTTTCCTTCACCTTGGTTACCTCCTTTTCGGAGACAACACTTCTGGGGGCGGAACCTGGCTTTCGGGGACTGTCAGAGTCACAATTTTGCATCTCCCCTTCCGAATCCGGGAGAGAGTCGCGGCTCGTGTTGTCTCTGTTAAAGAATCCTTTTGCGCTGAGGAAAGCATTCTCTATGGCTTTGCTTGCACCACCGCTCTCTCCGAATCCACGACCGGAATCACCCCCAATTCTTTCGTTTTCAATCTGGAACCACTTTTCGCTGCTCAAAGGACCCGTTCTGTGTCGGAACATGTGACCAAAGGAAAGCCAATCCTTCTCCACGAGTACCATAAACCCTTCCATCGTCCTAAAGTAAGGATCAAGACATATCTGACTCAGAGCGCTCAACTGGCCCGTGCGATCCCAACCATCCGAGCAGTGAATGAGCACATGCGAGTGCTGTAGGCCGACTTGACGAGCTATCAACCCGGCGCCATCCAGAATGCCAGCAATATGTTTCAGCCATCCGCTTCGCGCCAGTTGATCCCTATTAGGTCCTAATGGCGTGACATCTGAGTCTTTAAGAGCATCAACAACCTTGTTGAGCGAGTCCCGCATGACGTGAATGTTGTCAATGCCGAGGTAGGCCTTCGTAGCAAACTTGTAATTGTCCATATTCTCTGATCCCAGACCAACGGCTTGCATAGCAAATGCATTGACTGTCGGCCGTGCATCAACAATTAGATTATGCTGCTGAGCACCATAAATCTGAGGTCTTTCCTCTGGATCCCCACGGAACGACTCCAGCATTTCGTCTTCCAATTCCTCGGAGTTTGTCAAATCAGTCAGCATCTGGCTTGATGAAACGTCACCTTGCGTCGAGTTCGGTGAATCATGTTCCATATGTGGTGGAGTGAAATTGGCCAGTGGCCTGTCTGTACGGGATGTTGAGAATATTGCTGCCAATAGCTTCTCATCCTGGATGCTTCGGTTCTGCCGTACACCTACTAGAGGCTGAGAGCTTCTCGTGATCGAGCAGTTGTTGATGGGATGGCGATACGTCAGGACAGGTACTCGTGCTCTCGACCGATAACGAGCTGCGTAGTTGAGTGTATTGTCTGAAATGGACGACGGCACCGGCAGAAGAGCGGGGTATGTCGGTGAGAACTGAGACATCCTAAGTCAATACAGCGATCATGAAGCTGCTCAGGAGGGAGAGGTTTACCCCGTAGTCCGTATTTATCTCAGAAATCCGCCAGCCATTGTCGTTGCCATCGCAGCCCACGCCCTGCCTAGCCCACTCTTTGCGTGCATCGTACAACTCCCAACCGTTGAATTCCCGCTCCGGCGGCGGCGGCTGATAAGTGAAGGCATAGAGTTTGTCGATCCGGCCGACTTTGCATGTCCAGAGTTTTATGCTCTCATATACATCGCGAGCTTTACTCTCACTGGCGAAGTAGAAACAAATGAACGTAAAGTCTCGACAGCGCAAGCGAATCGACGACAGCTGGCGGGATGCGGCGGGAGTTGGGCGGCATGTACAAAATGAGATGATAGGGTATGTTATCCACAGCTCCCTCGGTCGAACAGGCGTGCCCTGAGCTTGCGCAGTCTCGGCTCCTTGGGGTATGTGGGAGAAGATAATATGGTGAGGGGTGAGGTGTAGCGTGCCGACGACCTGTTCACCACGACGCGCCAAGGTCACATCTTCAACCTGAGAGTCGAGGGAAGGAGGAGTACAGTCAGATCCATACGTCTTGTCTCAACTCGGATTGTATGTAGTCATGGATCAAACCTTAGCGATCCGTGTTCTCTCCATGCCTATGCTATTTCCGTGTCCGCATAATCTTCATGGTTGGGTATGACAGACAAGCTGGCTCTATTTCAGGACGGTCGGAGGACTGCGATGAGTCGATTATTACTCCTATTCTGTGATAGCACAGCGAGTCAAGGTCAAAGGCAGAATAGCGATGTCATTGAAAAAATTGCAGATTTTCGGAAAAGTCTCGAGGTGGAGAGCTCTCCAACCACAAGAAGTTGAAGCCCGATTCGGTCAGATGCGGAGCCCCTCGCTAGCTACGTCAAATGTCCACCGACCGCTCAAGGCCGGTAGGTAGTTGTCTGCCCTACGGGGCATTAAAGTGAGTTTGATATGATCGGACAGTCGGTGATTACCATATTATTGTGTCTGAATGACTTCCAATGCCTCGTAGTAGCTTCTTTTTGATATTCGACCGCATCTTAAGTCGTTGGATGGATTCAAAAATCGTTGAGCACTAATGAATCCTGGCGTCTGTAACTGATTACCTGTTTGGGCTACAGATGGCAACTGACCACATGCACCTGAGCCAGACATAGCACACTCTTTGTTTGAATATCTTCGAGGGCATACATGACTGTATCGATGGCTACGGCTCTCGGTTGGTCTGGGATTAGAGAGCTTGCATCAACTTAATCTTCGACGAGGCAGATATATATTCCTATGGTGATCCAGCCAGCGCAATTGTAGAGTTGGCATATGTACATTGTCCAGCTTGACGCAGGGGAATTCTATGCAAAGAAGGTCTCATGATTATAATACAATAGAAAACATATAATACAGTAGTGATGTCTCTTAAACCGAATCTATCCTCCAAGCCCTATCCAGCTCAAATGCCAGAGAGCAAGCAGCACCGTAGAACGTGTTGAACTCACGATGGAGTGGATCAGGGGACATAGCATCCTCTGCAGGAGGACTTGTGGAGCGGTCACCCTCAGTGAGATCCACGTCGAGGAAGATATCCGTCGTTCGGTAGGGATTGAACGGCCCGCTCTCATAGAAAGCATAGTTGAGCTGCTGGCCGTTGAAATCATAGCGATGAATGCGCGTGCCCCTAAGGTCATTCACTGGCATGAACATGTATTCGGCAGCAGTGTGGTTACCCGAATTGTCTGGTTCGCTGTTGAAAGTTCCCTTCAACAGATCATTGGGAAGCGGAACATGAGTAAAAACAGGCAAAGGCGCTTCACCTTCGCTGTTCATATACCTATAAAAGATGCCCTGCAGGTATTCCCGGAGGCTTTCCACCGTAACGTCCGCGGCTGACTCATTCTCAGAATGTCCATGCAGTAGATCGCGGTACAACTTTCTGGTAAACCGAAGGTCAAGGCCATTCTCGGGGAGCAGATAGTCAACACTGCTCTCAGCCAACTCAGCTTTCACGCTACGAATCCCAATTTGGGTATCAGAGACAGATGACGGGTGTGACCCTGGCAGAGTTACCTCTAATTCCAGTCGCGGAAAGATGTTTGCATGGGCAGCGGTTGGAATCAACCGGAAGAGGTAAAACTGTTGGTCATCATCGGGCAGACGTGGCTTGAGCGTACGGAGAAACGACGTCACTCGAGGAACATCTGTAGTGAAAGTTCGGGGAAGATGCAATTTGCCCAGCTGAGAAGCACTGAGAGTCTGGATCTCGAAGGAAGGCTTGTGTAAGAACAGACATTGCCCAACGGCGGCTACCACGGTCTCACTGATACCATCGCGTTCTGACGATGGTGACGACTTTCTGAGTAATTTGAGAAGCTCGTCTGACAAAAGCGATTGATGCTTATCGAAATACGGGGTGTCCAGGATTTTCGTCTCGGAGGATTGTGTAGACGACATTGCCCACCGAAACCACGCCTTTTGCCGATCGAACCACGGTACGTTTTGCTCTGAGTCTACATTGTAGGCACTAGCCGACTGGGTCGCGGATAAGTAAGTGCCAAAGGGTATCGCAGGAGAAGTTGTGTTGTAGATCGCTAGGTTTAGTGTTCTCCGAGCATTGTCCGCATCTTCTCTGTTCTCCGCAAGATAGAACATCTTAATAACGCCCTGCGACGGCTCCTGGTCGAATGCAACTCCATAGATCTTGCTGACCCATGCAAGGAAATCAGGAGTAAAAATACGACCACTCTTGGACGTGGCATTATTTGGCGTAGGTAGATCGACATCTTCCTGTCGGATTCTGTTCGTTGCATCGTATATAATCTCGCGAATCGATTCACAGGTGTGCTGAGTCCCGGTTACCCTGATGAGGCCCAACGAACGGGTGACGTCAATCTTCGCGTCGTGTAAGCTGGCCAATTCTTCGAAAGAGAAATGCTCAGAGTTGAGCAGCAGCGATAACGAGTGCGCGGGGAGACGGATGTCGATTTGGCCAACTTCACCAGCAACACCTAGCTGCCAGCAGTCTCGTAAGATTCTCTCTGCAAGGAGTTGCTTCCCTTTCAGCGCTTGTGTCACGGCGACTCTATCGGCAAAGCTTCCCTGCGAAACTGGACCAGTTTCAAGAAACACGGAAGTTCCGGGTCTCCAGACAGCAGTGGGCGTGTTCTCGCTTCGTGGTTCCGCATCCTTCTGGACCAAAGCCTCTTGCTTCGCTTCTTGTATATAGTCTGACAGCTGTTGAAAGGTAAAGGATGATTGGAGTCTATTCCGCAGGTCTTCCCAATCGTTGGCGGACAACTTGTCGTGCGGTCGATGAGGTTCACGAAAGCTTTGTATGCTTTCATTGATGGTAGCAGATTCTAGAACAGTATCTTTGATTTCGATATCTTCTAGCATGAATGGGAGGGCAGATTTATCGGATGTGTCGCGCTTGACCTCGGAGTTTCGACGGCGGCGAGTCCGATGCGGTACGACAACGATTTCCCCAGGTTTTCCCAACGAGTCGACATCGAGTGTCACCTTCTGACTCCTAGGATATTCCTTCTGGTTTGCCCACCTGCTTCGAGATCGACGGCGAGATGATGGCTCGTCCTCCGGATCGGTTGCGGTGTTCTGATAGCGGACGAAAGCATCACGCTGGCGACTCGTTGATGACCGTAGAATTTCTCTACAAGGGGAGATGTATTGACAGGCCAGACGCCCTGCTCCCGGCCTCGAGAACCGTGTAAGCATATGGAAAAATGGGCGAATTGCTTCGAGCCAGCCGCTCCATGAAATTCTTCGCAATCGATAGTTTCTTGAAGCTTTGCATGCAATCTTATCGGTCAAGACACGCTAGGCTGGAAGCGGAAGGTTGATCACTATGTAGTAATATGTGCCTTAGGCCACAAGAATGAATGTCTTTGTTTGACGGAAGATACTCAGTCCTTATCGTTTCAACAAATAATTAAAGTAAGTAAAGTAAGTACAGTATAATAAGAGGGTCAAAGGTAAGAATGAAGGGAACAAAAGAAAAGAATATGAGCCCTATGGGATTATTCCTTTACAGAGACCTCCCAACTCCGCAGGTCCTCTCGTACCTCAAATTCCGATAGTTCATCCACTTCACTACGGCTTTTCCAGGCCTTGCCATTTGCATTGTCGTAGAGCTGCTCTTGAATACTGCCACCTTTCCTGATGTGTCCCGAGGAGTCAGACCCTTTACTTTCGTTGCGGAATTGGCTGGATAAGCTCTTTGGTCGCCTCTCGAAACTTGGGGACAATCGGTTCCCTGATCTGGTTTGCCTTGTATCTGTATTCCTATCAGGGTGAAGTTTGTTATTATTATCCACCGTCCTTCGAGAGCGAGCATCAGGATGTTCGTCGTTGTCGCAAGAACCCGTGGCAAAGAGGTCCTCGATTAACTTATCCGCGGGGATGTCATCTGTGCCAGACAGCCATGAAGCAGCCAGAGTGCGGCGGTACATGTCTTGCATATCAGCGACCTCTCTACTCTGGGTGTTGATGGACGGAAGCCGGCCAAGTTCATCATGATCAGTTTGTTCCGAGGAGACCACACCCGCGATGCCTGCGAAAACCGCGGCGGACCTTAGGGGCGGGCTGCTAGCAATCAACAACAGACCGGTCATGATTCGTAATAGCAAAACATACGTGGTAAAATTCCGATCGCCATCGATTTGGCGCATCACAATCCCAACCCTGAGCGTGCTGTTGACCTTACTATCCTGCATCAGGTACCTCCTCACGATGCCTTCCTCGTCGTCGCTCTTGTCGACATACTCGGCAAGGTTAAGTCTGATCCTTCCTAAAAGATTCTTGTCGCCGTGCCCTCCAGCCCCAAACTCTTGTAGGATGTCTAGGACAAGTTCGCATTCATGGAGCATCTGATTTCGATCAATCGTAAGTCTGACCTGCAGGGTCTTCTCGTAGTTCCAGTACGCTCGATGATCGATGATGATCGCTTTATCCGTATGTCCATGATGCTCGGCCGTGCTTGACGACGGCAGACGCCACTTAACGAACGCCGTTCCACTCACAAGTGGCACATTATTTAGATCGATGATCTGAGTGAAGATCTCGGTTAGTAAGAATCTATGATACATGAGACCGGTCAGACTCACTCTCAATATAAATTCGAATCTAGGCTAAGTCAGGGTTCAGCATTGCCCACTCCTCCTAGACAAAGCACTTACCCTCCTATTCTTCGGAACTACGGTATGTGGAATCAGCAAGTTGTCCCGACCATGAGGTCATCTGGCGCTGCGCGGCACAGCGTTCAGCGAGTGAAGTGATCGCATACCAAAAGCCTGCATAGTGGGCAAGGCTTCAAAGTCAGTCGATAGTGCCCTTCCTTTACCTTCTCATTTAACCAAAATGAGGGAGTCGATTCTGTGTTTGGATGCCCTTCACTTGAATCGTTCGTCATACAGCTTCGCCAGCATCTCCGCACAGCAATCAGGCGGTCAGCCACTATTCAACCGGCAGAATCCCACCGCTACCGACCCGCATCGACAAATGTTCAGCAATACAAGAGAAGATTGGTACTTCTCATCAACCATCACCCGCCTCCAGTTTCCAAAATGGACCAACAGCCTCTCTCACCTCCGGCAGAGCCCGAACCAACCTCAACAGCAAACCTCCCCTCAAACGCACCAGTCCCGCTTGACTCCCCCCTCCGCACAACACTGATCCACCCATCCCTGCCCGATATCCGCGTCCCAAGCTCGCCCCTAAAACCATACCAGTACGACCCAGTCACCTGCACCCCCATCGATCTCGAGTCTGACTCGATCCGATCCCAACTCAACCACCTTCGCACGGAATACCCATCCCCTAGTGCGGCGCTGAAAGCGCAAGAGCAAGTAGCCAAGGAAGCGAAGCGGAAGATCGAGGAGGCGGAGAAGAAGCGCGAGGAGGTGCAAAAGGCCGTGGATAAGAAGGTTAAGGAGCGCGATACGGAGATGAAGGTACTGTCGAAGTATCAGAAGGTTAGGGGCTTGGATATTCCGTCTTGAGCCTTGGGTTGAATTATTGATTTGGCTTGGTGTGAGATTGGCTTTTGACGTCTAAGGACGCATTGACAACCAAGGAGTGCTGAGCTGGTCGATGCTCAGTACTTACACGGCTCCCTTCGGTGGCTGTTGGAGGGAGGATACAGTCATTTAGCATCCCAGAGTGTTTCCATATTCTGGATCCTACAAGAATTGGCGGCGCTCGCCGACTATATGCGCTGCAATCGGCTTCCCAGCCACCAAAACTGCCAGGCAGGGCCTACGGACAACACAACTGCCCGGAACTCGAAGCGCGGCCCTCATGGGCAAATAGAAGAGCTTCTCACCTCGCAGATGCACGGCGCCGAGTCTACAAAAAGTCGTTGTCCTCTTACTAGATGAGGCTGCAATCTCGAGTCAGATCTTCAGAGGAGCTCGCAGCTAGTGCTTCGATAATGTCCTGGCACACTCAAGTCTCTAGTCTTGACATGAACCTGGATTTCCTGTGGGCTATGGACGGATTATATAGACATCGACCCCACTCGACCTGTATGGCCCGGCGCATAACAGTCCTCAACATGAACATCATTAAACATGAAGCGCGTGATTACCTCTCATATGTATCAAAAATAAAAGAAGATAAATTCGTGTCCATTAATCATAGGCCCTTATGCATGGCGGTTCAACTCTCTTACAACGTGCCCAAGACCTTCACCAAGACGGGGAGCAACTATGTGTTTGTTAGCGATATTGCCTTGTGATTTTTAAGGGTTAGGGAACATACCTCAGATGCATCCTCGATCAGGACCTGTGTCTCATTCACGAATTTCCTGGTGAGAAGATCATTGGCGTTGTTGAGGAGACCGCCGACTTCTGCGAGCAGGTCGGGTGTGATGACAGGGGAAACTCCATCAATCAGGTCTCTCGTCTCGTTGACGAACTTGGGCGTCAGCAGCTGGGTAGCGTTGCCCAGGACGTAGGTGACGTTGGTGAAGAGGGCAGGGGTCAGGGCAGGTCCCACGCTGTCGATCAGGTGCTGAGTTTCCTCGACGAACTTGGTGGTGAGGAGCTTGTTGGCGTTGTTCAGCAGGCCGCCGACTTCAGCCAGAAGCTCCGGTGTGATGACGGGAGCGACCTCGTAGATCAAGTCTTGTGTCTCGTTGACGAACTTGGGTGTGAGCAGGTTGTTGGCATTGTTCAGGAGGCCTCCAACTTGTCCAAGCAGCTCGGGCGTGATGACAGGCGAGACATCGCCGATCAGATTCTTTGTCTCCTTGACGAAGTCGGGTGTCAGCAGATCATTGGCGTTGCTCAGCAGGCCTTGGATCTCGTGCAAGCCATCAGTGGACAACAAGGAGTTGGCGTTATTCAGCAAGCTGCCGATCTCCTTGAAGAGCTGAGGAGTGATGTTAGGCGCCACAGCACCAATCAGGCCCTGGGTTTCGTTGACGAAGGTTGGCGTGAGGAGATCGTTGGCGTTGCTCAACAAAGCGCCAACCTCGGCGAGCACGCCGGGTGTCAGCACAGGGGCAATACCGCCGACCAGGCTTCTGGTTTCCTTGACGAAGTCCGGAGTCAACAGGTCGTTGGCGTTGTTCAGCAGACCGCTGATCTGCTTGAATAGATCCGGCGACAGGAGAGGGCCAACGGCGTTGATGAGCTGTTTGACTTCCTTGACAAAGTCTGAAGTCAGCAGAGTGTTGGCGTTGACTAGGAGAGTGCCAATCTGCTTGAACAGTTCGGGTGTCAAAACAGGAGCAACAGCTTCAATGAGGCCGCGAGTCTCCTTGACAAAATCGGCTGTCAACAAAGTGTTGGCGTTGCCAATCAGACCATTGACCTCCTTGACAAAGTCAGCAGTCAGCAGGCTGTTGCCGTTGTTCAGCAGAGATGAGATCTGCTTGAATAGTTCAGGTGTCAACAGAGGACCAACGGCCTCAATAAGGGCGCGGGTCTCCTTGACGAAATCGGGCGTCAACAAAGTGTTGGCATTACCGATCAAACCGTTGACTTCCTTGACGAAGTCAGCGGTCAGCAGGTTGTTGCCGTTGTTCAGCAGGGTCGAAATCTGCTTGAACAGTTGAGGTGTGAGTAGCGGACCGACTGCGCCGATCAGTTCCTGAGTCTCATTCACGAAGCTGGGCGTGAGCAAGGCATTGGCGTTACTCAAAAGACCCAGCACTTCCTTGGTCAGCTCAGGAGTGAGGAGGTTGTATCCGGTATCGATCAAAGACTTGGTCTGGTCGGTGGTCTTGTCATCGAACAGGTATGCGAAGTGGTGGAAGAAGGATTCGATATCCTTCAGCAAGGTGGGAGACAGGAGCCCCGAAATGCCTTGTAACAGATTCTGCAGATCTTGGAAGATGTTTCCGGAAAACCCGTCCGACGCACCTCCAGACGATGAGCCTGAACCGGTACTACCAGTAGCGGTTGGCGCAGCTGCATTTGTGGCGGTCTCAGAGTTAGAGGAGCTCTCCGCAGAGGCAGGAGTTGGAGTAGCCGTAGAGACACTTTGGGCTTGCTCACCAGCAGTGTTCGTTGGAACCAGGTTGGATAGGATATTCAGCGGGTTGCCGTCCTTCTGACTGGCAGCCGGGCTGGGCGAGGGTTCAGCATTCTCAGTGGGCTGAGGGCTGGCGCTGGTTGGGGGTGCTGCTGCTGCTTGGGTGTTGACGTTGGCGCTCTGCTCCTGGTTGGCAGCGTTGGCATTCTGCTGGTTGGTGCTTGGACTTTGTTGCGCAACCGGAGTGGCCTCTGCTACTGGAGTTGTTTGCGCTACCGACTGTTCCTCTGCTACACCCCCCTGTGATGAAGCACCGACTGGTGAGGATACCTGCGCTGGAGTTGCGAGCGCGGTGCTAGATAGCAAAAGAGCTGAGAGGACTGTTGAGAAACGCATGCTGGGTCAATGCTCTTTCACAGGGGAATGGCCAGCAATCGACGTCTGGGAGAGAGGTAGAGCCGAGATCTCCCAAGACTGGACTGGCTCCTTTTATGTCTGCAGCTTCGCGGAAAAGATCTGCTACTAGTAACCATTCTCTCCGCAAGGTCCAGCTACTGCTAGAAAAAGACCGAGGGCTATTGTCTGATCTCCACATGTGAACTAACTGATGTTGGGGGTTCCTCCTTCCATTGACCAGACTACTGATGTCAGCGGCAGGGGGATTTCTGGTCGTGCAACGGTGATAGCACCCTTTTCGAGCGTACTGGAAAAGCATAGCTTGTCGATCATTGGTGTATGTCATCTGTTTCCTTCCATCTTTTGAGCCGAAGACGGTAGAACGCTGTGGAGCATGGTACGTAGATAGCTCCTGTAGTACTATGTTAGTACAGCGCCGCAGCAGCATGGGATGGTGACCGGTGACTGTAGCGGCGCTGAGCTGGAGCCCAAGCTGTGCTTAGTCGGAATCAGCCGTCCACCCCAGACCGCAATGCTAGGCTAATTGGTCTTTTTAGGGGTTCTTAGCCCTGCGGGGGGAACAAATTAGAGGCACGGGAAATTGCGAGTGGCACTTTAGTCTCGTCTTAGTCTGAGATGGGATCGCTTGAGGAGTTGGGGTCTGGCTTTCGGGATCCATCTACCTCGGTGATCGGCACGGACAATTCGACAGTTTGAGCAAAGGGAGCACTTGACAGTCATTATTGCCTTGCTTTGTGATCATGGATTAGTAGTGTACCTGAGCGGTTGAGCCCCTTGAGTTGCAGAGGAGAATTTTGAGTGAGCAGCCCACGCGTTTGAACAGACGAACTGCCATTGTCCTGGTTAGAAGAGCAATATTTGCAAGAGCCAGGAGGTAACACCCAGCGCGACTGTGGGCACTAGTCTGTGTTAGTGGGAGTTCGACCATGATAGCACCATGGATAGGCGCATTCGAACATTGGGCAATATTCTTTCTCCTGGGTGAGTGAGCCAAATGCGATTTCTCACTTTCTCGTACTCCATAGTCGTAGTTCTCATTTTGCGGGGAACGGAACATGCCCATGGGGAGCCATCACCGGAAAGACTCGTAGCCTCCGCTCGAAGTTTGGAACTGGAAGTCGGTAGTCTGGAGACCCTCTTGTGTCCCAGCTCAAGTGTGGGGTTTCATTCGGTCGATGTAGGAAGGGAAACTAGGACGAAGAGCGCCCGTCGAACTGCAATGTTAGGTGCTACGAGGTCAAAGGAAGACAGCTCGAGGTGCATCTCGGTAACATGTGATGTGGTGCCATGAAGAAGTCAAATGTATGAGTCTTTTAAGAAAATGAATGAATAACGCAATTCATCTCCCAATACGAGTATCCAGAGTAGACAATGAGTGGAAATTCCCACAGTTGACCTGGGCTAGTGTCGTGATCGGCACTTTTCGTGCCCATCGAGCGGGGTTCTTGTTTTCCTTGTCTTCGTTTGCGTTGGACGGCAAGAAAAATCTTGTTTTTACGCCTCTTTTCTCGAGTCTCGGCTGCTTTTCTATTATTATTGTCATTCGCTAGAAATTGGAGAAAAATATGGGAAGATGAGGCCAATGATGGATGGACTCTGGAGGCTCGAGTCTCGACTCTCCCGGGGTTGCTTCCCCCGGCCCCAAAGCTGATCCTCTACTGTAGTATATCCCAGGGGTCAGGGCTACCAGGTACACAATAAGACAGAGACCTCGATGAGTGAGAATTTTTCTTCATGATTTCATGTGATATGACGCATTGTATTAGTGTCCCTTCTAATATATCACAGTTCATGCCCAGTATACACCCTCGTCAGTAACCATTCCATTGGAAAAGCCCCAAAACCCCTCTCCAATGAAAGCAAGGGGAATAAAGTGCTCGGAGGCCAAGGTTATGTCATTTAATATATGGGATCTGCCAAACATCACCGGAGTCACCGTAATTAGACTAGACTATTTGTGATTGAAGCGAGACAAACAGAAAATAGTCTCTAGGCAAGTCCATGCAAGGTCACTTGATTCTTACTCCCAGGATGTCGAGGCGACAAAAGGTTCTCCCCGCTAAAGCCCCTACATTAGCGTTGTCTGTCTCACTGTCACACGTCAATGGCTTACTCTGGTCGAAGAACAGAGTACTCTTAGTACAGTGGTCCAGCATTTCGTCATTCTTCAGGTTTGCTCTGATTCAATATCAATTACCCCAGAGTCTGAACCGCTTTCCCCATGTCAACAGACTCTAGCAGTGGGAACCCTACTCTGAGAGGCTCGGACTCGGAGGGTCTAACCAATGACCACAAATGTAATTATTTGGAAGGACTCGTGAACTTCGAATCATTAAGACTAGGATTCAGGAACGACTTGCAAATGCTCCACTTCGAACTTAGTGCTATTCTACATTCGGTCACCACTGCGAAGTGACAAAAGTTTCCGCATGAGACCAGTAGGGCTCAGAGATGTCCAGGTCTCCAACCAAAAACATCAAGATTCTACTTCCATGGATAATTCAACTATTCTTGGTGTTATCTGGTGTCCATCATGAAGCCTTGGATATCACTGCAATGTTGTGGTCGGAGAGCCCTTGATGAGGATCCTCGATGAGGAACGCTCGGGGACAACCTGGTCTCGCATTGTTGTTGTCTCCAACGTGGACGATAATCGTCCATCTCCACAGTTAATTATCAGTGTTCTGATCTA